GAGGGGCCTGATTTTCCTCTGTTAACTCTCAGAGGCATGCTCAGGGGCCTCTCAGGGAACAGCACTGAGTATAGTTCATCTAAAGTCAATAGAGAGTGTAATTTATTTCAGTTACAGCCGATAATCCAGTGAGGGCTTTTCACTCTATAAAGTGGGAATCCAGTGTAAAGTGAAAGTGGAAAAACCTCTGGAGGGTTTTCTAACATACTGATATCCAGCTGTAGAATCCAAAGATGAGTCTCTGCACTTACACCAATGAACACTGAAACTAAAATAAATAAATACATGTAATTTATAGACCCAGGTTCACAATATTCCGCTTGAAATACTGTATGTGAAAGGATTTTTCATATATTCCCATTAGTCTTCTCATTCTGATTGAAAAATGTTAGACTAATGTGTTGGAGAATATTGACGGAGGGAAATCATGTCTGAAGGTGAAGGTTAATCTCCTTTTGTTAAATGACAGGATGGTAATTTAATGGATGGGGAGGTCTATTCATGAGGTTTTGGTTGAATTGTTTTTGATTGTGAAATGAAGAAACTACCTTGTTTCTCCAATCCTTGAATATTACATGAAAATTTCTCTATGTGGGATGTGTTTTGTCTCATTTCTGGGCTTTGTTTACTCAGTTATGACAACATTAAATCTCGTGTGGCTTCTTTGAGGAGTTTTTATCTGTGATTAAAAGAGATTAAAATTAACACTGATGCTTCTACATGATTTAAAAAAGAAAATACAACCCTCACAGAGAAGGCGGTTTCTTATGTGTGGTTATTCTGGATCTGTTTACATAGCCTACAGGTCTTTGAAAGATGAGGTGGTGACAGTAGCCTGAATTGACTCATTCAGTGACTGAAATTTAAAGTGAGTGAATATTTAAAGGGATATGCTGGTGTGAATTTAAGTTAGGGTCAAACACACTGTAACACTGAGTTAGACACCCTTCGAAAGATATATGTTGCCGACCGCTTGCTTCTCTAGTTATACCAACTTAAGTAACAACCGCATGATAGCAATACACAGCGGTCTAAAGAGCCATAAACAAACCTCAACCAAAACGCCACTCTATAGCCACAAATAATGCTTAGATAGCACCTAACTTCATCAACAGTACATATAGGGTCTCAGCCATAGTACTAGCCACCAAACATCTTTTTAACTTTGCCTGATTTCTTTAGCAAAGAGACGAAACACAACTCACCTACTCTCTTCCAGCAGCCACTTGTTTGTACAGAGACCTCAAACATGTCCATCACCGACTGCAGCGGGGTGATGCAGCTCAAGGAAGAACATTTATGATCATTAATATATCATTTCAATGAAGTAATAATCATTATATTAATCATTTTACACTGCAGACGCGGTAGTTCTTCTGCCTTAGTGTCTCTGTCTGATTGCATTTCCATGAAGAAATGATCATAAATGTTCTTCCTTGAGCTGCGTCACCCCACAGCAGTCCGTAATGGACTGCCCTGAGGTCTCGCTTACAAAGAAGCGGCTGCTGGAAGAGAGTAGGTGAGTTGTGTTTAGTCACTTTACAAAAGAAATCAGGCAAAGTTAAAAGATGTTTGGTGGCTAGTGCTATTGCAGGGACCCTATATGTACTGTTGATGAAGTTAGGCGCTGTTCTGAGCATTAAATGTGGTTGACATTTGCGTGTGGAGACATAGACCGCTGTGCATTGTGCGGTCGTTACTAAAGTTGGTATAGCTAGAAAAGCAAGCAGTCGGCAACATTCATCTCTCAAGGGGATGTCTAAATCGGTGTTACGGTGTGTTTGACCCTTAACTTAATTTTACGCAGGAATATTCCTTTATAAAGCGGGATGAGATTTCCTGATATCAGCACGAAATAAAAGTTCCTTGCAAGATCTTCAAGAAATTCTCAGTAGAAGTTCGTGAACCAACAGAATGATGCAAGTCTTGTCCTCAGAGGCTGGAATCTCTCCTCTGTTCCTGTTGCCGCCGTAGAAAAGTAACATTTCTCATATGAAACCCGTATATCAGATAAACATGCAGATGTCAGGCTGCTAACAGGTGAAAACCAATAAAAACAGTTCTGAGTTTGATCCGTGGGCTGACTGGGAGCCGGTGTAATGATTTGAGTTTATTCAGGCTTTCATACAGACGAGCAGAAAAACAGAAACACCCTGAGGGAAAAAGATTTACTTACAAGTGTGGATTGGCAATTTAAAAGGAATAAAGTGTTGACTGTACGTGTTTTTGCTTGCTTGAATAAGTGCAGACCTAAAATAAAATCATGACAGTATGGGGTGCCTGCTCTTTAGAAAACTGTCGACACGGATGTTTTTCGGCTCAAGAATATTTTCGGCTTTTCTTGATCATCGTGGAAAGCGGAGAAACTTTACGTCCTGTAGAATATTTCTCTAATTATTTGGCTGCCTCCCATTCCACCAGCTCTCCATCTGTTTGCTTTGAGTAAAATTTAATGTGGAGCTGTTGCCAGATGTCACGGTTTGCTCTACTTTCCAGAGTTTGAGCCGAGATATGAGAGGAGAGTATGTGTCAGTGTTGGGCCCACGATCGCGCCCATATTAGACGTGTCTGTCATCAGCTGAATCCATGTGGACGCCTCTGCTACTGCTTTAGTGCTCAGAGTGAGAGAGCAGGAGGTTGATTCAGAGGGCAGAAGCTGGCTGTAATCTGTCAAAGCTGCAAAGGATCCTGAAGTTTTTGTCTTTTCTCTTTCTCCAGGACACTTTGAGGGAACACGACTTTGCTGCGAGAAATGGACATTCCTCGCTGCTAGATGGATGGCTCGTCAAGCTCCAAACATCCCCGCTTGGCTGTTCACAAGAGCGTAAAAACTTCTGAAGAGCGAGGGGACGTCTGACCCTCTTGTTTTGTGACAGATGAAGAGCCTGGCAGTGCACCAGCTAACGCACACTGAGGCGACAGCTAACCTTTTTAAGAAAAGGAGAGACAAAGAAAGAGAAGTTTTGTCTTTGGGTTTTTAAAAGTCAAACTTGTTCGAAGCAGGGACGACTGGTGTGTGAAGAAACTGTCAGATAAACTCAGACAAAAGGACAAGAAGACAAAAAACACTGCTTGAAAAATAAGGGGATGCTTAATTCAAACATCCCTCAACTCAATGCGTGAAATAATCCAGCAGAAATTCTTCAGCGGGTAACTCGTGTGATGAATGATCAATGGAAACCAAAATCATCAACCCACTGAGGACTGGATGCAGAATCAAACTCCAAGTGTATCCATCAGAGACCGCTCAAAAAGTGTCTCAGAAGTGTGTATGGCCTCCACGACTCCCTACAACATTTGGGCATGCTTCTGATGAGATGACAGATGATCTCCTCCCAGACCTGGATCAGTCTGTGGCAGCAGTGGATGTAACAATGCATGACGTCCCAGAAGTGCTGGGTTGGGTTCAGGTCTGGGGAACGGACAGGATAGCTAATAGAATTAAATCTTGCATCATCCAGGAACTGCTGACACACTCTAGCCATACGCTGCAGTACACCAGAAGGAACCCAGGGCCTACTGCAAATAGCCCAACAATGGATCTCATCCTAGTCCTGAACAGCAATCAGGGTACCTCTGGCAAACACATGGAAGTCTGTGCAGCCTTCCAAGGACATGCCTCCCCAGACCACCACTGACCCACTGCAAAAACTGTAAAGGTCCTTATACACCACGCGCAAATTCGCCTTTTTTTAAAACAGCATAAAGTCAATGCAAGCTTACACATCGGCGGCGATTTTTCTGCGGGGCGAAAAGAGTCTTTTATTTTTTCGCTCGTGTCGAATTTTTCGGATATTTGCAGGCCAATATCTGGACCTGCTAGACCTCTGGTCAATCAAAAGTCATGTTGATGATGTCACAGACCCATGCGGCTGCAGTTCACACGACACATACCACCACTGGCACCAAGAGCAACGATGGGAGAGAGGCTGGTAATTGCGGTACAGGACTGGATGGTGGTGTGGAACTCGCCCCTCTCCTTCCTCAAAGCCAATATGGGATGTACCCAAACACTCCTTTGTTTATTCTTCTGTCTTCTTCTTTTTTGCCAAAAGCATCACATCGAGCTCATCATCGCTTGAGGATGTTGTTGACTTAATTTCTTTGTTCTCCTCTCCTCCGTAGCGCGAAAGAACTCGCGCCAAAGACAATATATATTTATTAATTCGCTTCGCAAAATTTATACACATATTCGCTTCGCGCCCGGTGTGTATAGGCGAAAGCGATTTTTCAGACCAGCGAATATTCGCATTTTCATCTCGCTTTTTCACTTCGCTCCGCAAATTCGCTGGTGTGTAAGGACCTTAAGACAAGAGGAGGTTTTAGGCAGAAGAATGTCCTCAAGACTCTCTCAAGTCTGTCACACATGCTCACTGGGAACCTGATCTCATCAGGGCACCAATAATGACTGTGTCAACTCTGGTAGTCCTTCGCAATTCCAGTCGCAAGGGTGCTGGAAAAAATGCAAGATTCAGATTCAGCCAGGAATTGAGAAAATGGGAAATGGTCTGTGGCCACCACCTGTAAAACCACATCCTGATAGGGATTGTCTTGCTAATTGCCCTGTCCACTTGTTGTCTGTCCCGTTTGCACAACAGCAGGTGAAATTGATTCACAGTCATTACTGCCTCCTAACTGGACAGGTCGATATCTGGGGAGAGGGATTGACTTGGAGTTACAGTGGGATGTTTACCTGCTCCTTTTATTTTTGAGCAGTGTGCATTTTAAGCTTCACATCTGATATATTATTTTGTATTATTGTTAGTTGCTCTTTTGTGCAACTCTGAAGCAATCTGGCTCTAGTTTTTCCTTTGGGATTGATGGAGTACTATCTTATGTTTAAAGGAGACCTGAATATGGAAACACTTAAAAAGCCGGGTTCACATCAGCAAACTGCACTAAGGTAGGAGGTAGTGTGGGCGGAGGAGAACATGCAGCAGTTTGATTCATTTCATTTCAAAGCTTTTATTGGATTTATATGGAAGAAACATTTTTTGAACTGGTAAAAGAAGCAGATAAAAAGCAGAAATTCACTCAGGGAGTTCTTAAAACCAAAGTAGAGCAGAAACATTTGTTTGATGTTTAAAAAGAAAAGTGTGCGCTAACAGGAGACTGTAAAAACTTAGACAACAAGGCGGCATTGGAAGTGACTCCTGGCTAAAGTATAGGTTGCTAACCCAACCAATCTAAGCCAAGCCAACTCAGGGTGGTTTTGAGTTGGATTGAGCCAAAATTAGTCTTGGGCAGGTTGTTTTATTGTGGACTGGTTTTTATTTTTTACTTCGGTCTGATGGGTCAGAACCCATTTGCAACTCCTTCCAAGTGAGTATGTGAAATACCAAAGTCGGGGCAGGGAGAGCAGCAGCAAAGACTCTGAGGGTACACAACAAGGCTGAGCAGTCAGCTGATCTTGGCTGGCACTAGAATCAGCTGATGTTCTGTAGCATTACATTCAATTTCTGTGCTAAAAGAGCTGACAATTTCAGACTTTGAGTGAAATTTGGGATCAAACAAAAAGCATTTAAGCCCAAATGTTTGATCGTCTCTGTACTGCACATCCCCCATAAGCACAGCTGATATGGAAGAGAGGTGGACTGGGTTATTATTATTCAGGCCCCAGAGTGTCTGAAGAGGGACAGCAGAGCAGGGAGGAGACAGAGAATCGTCCGGGGTTACTAATGAGGGTTTATCACAATAATACAACCTGCCTCATGCATCTTTCATACAAAGACCCGGCTGAGTACACGAGCAGCAGAGACTGTGGGATGCACTCTTGCATGTCCTGGCATTAATGATCTGTGACACAGTCGGGAGACAGACTCGCCTGGTCTCTGGAGGATCTGATGCTTTAGAACACCAGGGCGTTGAAAACGTCTCATATTTAAACATTTTATATATTTTAAATTTCATTTCAAAATGTATTCTCAGCTGTATCTGAGGGCTTATTTTAAAGCTAACCACGAACAGTTCAAAAACATGTACATAGTAGAAAAATACTAAAAACAGAATACAAATATTTTAGACATTTAGGTACTGGATCTTTACAATGTAGCTTTTCACAATAAAAGCAGAAAGTATTTACATCATTTACAGGAGTTTAATGCTTAGGTAGTTTGACTTCCTTTGCAGGAAGCGATGTGCAGTTTATTACGAAGCTGTGTAGCTCTTTCTTGAACCATCTTTCTTACACTTTGCAGAGTTTGTATTTCTGCTATGGACAAATATAACATTAGGAATGATGAATCAGTATTAAATTGCACCAGGACACGTTGAGGTATTTGTTAAATCTTCACCGAGATAGAAGAAATTCAGAAATTCGTCCAAAAACTTCATTCAAGTGTTTCTGTTGTGATGCAGGAAGTTTTGACACGTTCTTACTCAACGGGGTCACGGATGGTTTTCATGTCTGTGAGAATAATGTCTCTGTATCTGCTCTCCAGTTCCTGCATGAAGTCCAAGTAGTTGCTCACCTTGAAGTCCTGTATTGGCTCCTCCTGCAAGTCAAGAAGAGACATTTGTAGTTTGAATAGCAGTTTAGTTTGTGGACTACATATGAGGGAAAAAAATCAAGTCATGTCAGAATCATGGCTCTTCATTCTTTCAATTTTTGATGGATTTGAAAAGTCCAAAAATCTGTTGACTTATTTATTTTCTGTTTCTCCAGCAGCCACTTTAGGCACAGCATCCCAGCTTTAGGCTCCCAGAGTGCACAGCTGTAGCAGGAGTGTGTTAGTCCTGGCCAGCTCGCTGCTTTTTTCATTGTGAGTTGCTAATTTTATGTCCATGGAGCATTGATAAATTCAGGGCCAGCAACTGGATGCACTTTGAGTACTCTCAGGTATAAAGGAGCCTGGTGTGACCTGCTGCATGCTAAGTGTGCCGAGTGAAAGTAGAGCACTTGGGGAACACTTCGAATATCGTGGCTCACACACCACCTGAGGTTAACAGCAGTGAACAGCGACAAACGTCAGCTGACTAACACACTTTACTAAACTTCAATACAAATATCAAGCTCCACAGCATGTTTCAGATTAATAGAATCGTACCTCTTAACCCATTTTAATCGGGACAGCATGTACGCATTTCAACCTTCAAAGCCGGCGACACAGCTGCGCATTTCTACTGGCATTTCAAGCCGGGAGCGCGGATACGTCATTTTGTTAAATTCTGTAGTTTTCCAATCATTTCTGGAGTCGTGGCGAATCATATCATCATACCCGTCTGCCTCTGATAGGCTAATAAAGCGATCAGATTCGTGCTTGGATTTTGCTACCTGCTTCGTGAGGAAAGTAAACAATGATGGAGGCAGAGAGCAGCTTCAGAGGAGAAACATCCAGCAGTGTGAACAACCTCTTCATATTGAGTGCTTTGGCTCACACTATTGGCGATTTCTGTCAGTGTTGCATGACTTTGGGTGAGCACAGAGATGAACACACTGTCAGCCACTTATTTATTTATTTTTTAGTGCTGCTTTTGTACTGGCACTATACTGGGGCAGCCGCATACCCTTTCAACACCTTATTTTTTATATTTACATTTGTATTGAATGGACACTTTATCATGACTGCCACTTTTTTAACAGAAAGCAAATAGTTTGTTATTCTCCAGTGCAGAGCCTTTACTTTTATTTATACAGCCGCTTTATTTCATTTGAGTTTGTTTGTTCAAGGTTTTCAAAAATGTCATGAAGGTTCGGAAAAATAAAAGATAGGTATCTTGAAAGCCACATGTATAAGCTCTCAAATACGTTTTGAATTTTTGTTTCTGTCTGCTACAGAGGCTGAGATATCAGCTTTTTTTGTAAACCTCAACACTTCAGAAAACCTCAGGATCTGGGGGCCCTTCTTAAAATTGCCCTCAGGATTTCAGAGGCGTATCTCAGACAGGGTTCAGGTCTTAATGGCTTAATGTGAACAGTCAGCATGTTTACATGACACTCGAGAAAACTCCAATTAAGACTGGACAACTGAAGTGCATGTAAACACCTTAGTCTGACGATAATCGGAGTTTGGGAACTCTGATTGGAGTCGGAACACTCTGATTAAGACACCCAGATAATGCGATTGGAATTCGATTTTCTCTACCATGTAACCAGCGTAGTTAGAGTATAATTGGACAATGCATGTACGTGTGCCCCATGCCCTCATAACCCTGGAACAAACACACCAGTGGGAGAGGAGTAGCGTGCACCACCTCATTTGCAGAAAAAGTAGCACGCACATCATGTACGACAAAAACAACGCTGTACGATGCTCCATCTTCTTGCTTGAAAATGCTCAGCAGCAGTTGTAGCCACTTATGACGTCTGGCACGGACCTGCTGTTGTTGTTGGGTCAACCGGAAACAGCACCACTGAAAGACCCATATCGCCCCCTAGTTTTGGGGAGGAGGACACGTTCACGTCAATAATTCGATTTTCTCAGCTGCATGTATACACGGACAAGTAGAGAAGTCCAACTCAGTGAAGAAAACGAATTATGAGCTTAGTCCGATTAAGCTGTGCATGTAAACGCACTGAGAGAGAGAATATTATAGGGATTCTGTGTCTGTGTGTTTGTTTCTGAAGAAGAATCTGGAAATTGCCAAGTAGACATGGTAAGGATTTCTAGGCTTTAGTTTCATTGTCTGAATTTGTCTCTTAAGCGTTGGAGCAGCTCTTCAAACAAACTAATATGAAAACTTTGCCTATAGCCTTCATACTGATATCATTAGTGAAGAGTTTATTCTGTCTTTTCCTTCTGGCTCATTTCATTGTAAGTTGTTTTTTTCAACTTTATTTCCAAACTTACAAAGTAAAAGAGAAAAAAAGAGCAAATGTATAAAACTTTTGTCTGGCCAATTCATCCGTTTTCTGTTGTCTTTGATTAATTTGGGACCCCTTAGTTTAATCTCAGGTCCCTGTAGCCGAGCTTTGCAGACAGGTATTGGTTTTCTTTTTCTGCAGACGGCTGCTTACTTAATTATCAGTCACATTGTAGCGAGGTGGGGTGTGAATAATCTGATGCAACCTTTTCATTAAAATACTTTACATTCAATCTATTTCAAAGTCAGAGTCACTCAATTTAGAGCTCTCAAAGTCAAGCAAACAACAGTCTTGTTTGAGGTAATGAGGTTTTACATGATGGAAAAAAATCATCCTAATCAGAAGCAGCATCCCTACTGTGCAAAATACACATAACGAGACATGTTGTAATATGAAAAAGATAAATCAACCATATAAGAGACGAGGATCAGTGCAGACAAACAGATTTTAATCTGCCTAATTTGTTCTGTCATGGTTTCAACTGCAGCTGCTGTAATTGCTGCCTGAGTTACAGTATGCATCATTATAACCAAGGCCTCGTGGGGAATGCAACAGAGCAAATAACTGTCTGTGCACTATCTGTGTGTGTGGCATCAACAGTTAGCAAGATGAGGAAAAAACTGCCCCTCAGAATTGTAACACATTCAGAATAAGAAATTACTGCAAACAACCTGCAACACACTCCAGGACAAAGTTGAATTTCTTCTGCAAACTGTCAGCACTCATTTCTTGTCTCCTTCATAATAAGGGATTATCACCAGCCATAAATAAAGGGAGTTTTGTCTTTCTGTGGTTAAGGAGTTGAATCTTACTGACGTGCATATACATGCACCAAACTTTATTCAGATTAGAAGCATTTGGACATGCGCAAAGTTGTCTGATTTCGCTAAAACAACCACAGAAGAAGAGTTGTATTTAAGCCTGTGCTGTCAACAAACCAAAAACGCGGGAGTGGCTCACTTCATCCAATTCAGGAGTTTTCCCCCATTAAATGTTGTCAGTAGATGGCGCCCTTGTGTACTTATTTTACTGTTCTGTCAAAGGTTGCACTGTGCGTGCAGATGCGACATCATTACGCTGTATGTGGGCCTTATGTTACCGGAGGAGCAGACACGGCACCTGCAGTTGTGTTTTATGCCAGACTGTTAATAATGAAACCTCCTGTACTGGCCTCAATAAATAAGCAAAAGGCTAAAGAGTGAAGATCGAGTCAGGTAGGAGAGTCACGATCAGAATAAGTGTTTACATGGACGTGTTTTGGAATAACGATCAGCATAAACCAACCCTCTCAATCGGAATACAATTTCTTTCTGATTTGGCCGAATTGGATCAGAGTCTTCCGATTGATATGTTTACATGATACAGACCCAGAATGTATGGTTAGATCACCAGATCATGTCTTTATTTTTACCCAGCTGTGCTGGTGGAGGTTACAGGTACAATCTAAGCTTGTCCGTTAAGTTCAAACTACCATGAAGGTCACAGGGAGGACTGGAAACCTCACTCTCATGCCAATATACGAGCAGTGTGTCCTAAAGCAGGCACAGAGAGTGTTGTCTGACCTGTCCCAGGACCTCCACTCTGAGTATGAGCTCTTCACCTTCATGCAGACAATACAGAGTCCTCTAACTCTGAAAAACCAACACAAAATTAAGCAGTTTCATGTTTCCTGATGAGTTTTTTGTTCTGATCTGCTACTCTGCATATCCATCAAACCTAATCCCATCCGCTGATAATCAGCCTTCATTAGGCGTCTTTTATGAGCATTTTGAAAAACCTCAAAGAAGTGATGTGTGATGAATAAAAGAAGAAGATTAAAGTGGGAGAAATATAATGAAAACACAGGGGTGATTATTCAACAGAGTCAGTAACGTCAAGAAGAAACGAGTTTTGGTCTGATGGAGAACTATGCTGTGAAAACTCGAGGAAGCGGTGTATTACGACATAAAACACACTTCATAAGAGAAAAATCCTTTTAATTATAAAGATTTTGAGTTATCACTCATATTCAAGACATGTTTGATGAACTGATTTTCATTAAGTGTCGGCTTATTTTCAGCAGGGCCAGGAGATAATTCAAAAACTATTAAATCCATATGTTTCCCTGTGAAGAGCGAAACCATCAACGCGGAAGGCAACTCTATAAATCACCGTTCGAGTGCTCGCTATGAAGACATTGCAAAAGTCAGAATTTATTGTGATAATTAAATCCTATTTTTGTAAACAAGCGATGCTTTCTCAGCAGCATGTGGTTATATTACCTGATGGGTGGAGGCACATGTTTAATGCTCAGAACAATTTAATGCAGGTGGATGAATCTTCATCCAGCTTTACCCTCTGATTAACTTGTGCCAGTTAAGGAGAGACTAAAAAATGTTCCTCCACTTCCCCAGTCAGAGATGGTGAAGGCTTGTAGCGTCTAAGGCGGCTCTCATATCTATATCACATCTCAAATTTGAGACAGAAGCTGTTTTTGCCACAGTGGCAACAGGCAGAGGTGATTGGTGCAACGCTTTAATGCAAATGTTATGGTGCAGTGTTAAACAAAGAAAAAAGGACTCAACTGCAGAACTAAGGATTTATTTAAGCAAAAGCAAAATGTAAAAGTCCACTTCAAAACTTACTCTCAAAATGTCCAGAAGCTAAATCCTGAACAAACAAAGAGGCACAACCACAAGGATACTAACTGGGCATCTTAACATACGCTGACATTGACCTACCTACCTACATGCATGAGGGCACGCACGCACACACGCATGCACAATAAACCAACAAAGACAGAGAGGAAGACAGGGGCTGTGTCCCAAATGGATCCCTAACCCCTATATAGGCGACTACATGGGGGATAGTGCCATTTTGAGGGATGTCTGAAGCCTGAGTGATCAATTCCAGTGCCCCATATAGGCGACTCAAAATTTCCCATAGAGCATTACAAAATGTAGTGACCATCCCAGGGTCACTCACTGGTGGAGGGCATCCCGTCATGCATTGCGTCATGCCATGTAGTGTCCGAAACCTCCAGTGATTGAGCTCACTACATAGTCAGCTATAGTGAAACCCCATATGAGGGTTAGGGGTTAGGGATTGAGTGATTTATTTTGGACACAGCCAGAGACTTTATACAGACTGGTTAACGAGCAACAGGTGTGGCAGACGAGACACAGGTGAAACTCATCATGGGTAATTAACAAAGGAGGGAAAACTGGGGAAGTAAAACCAGACTAGAGACACAAGGAATCAACTACTACAAAATAGATAATAGGAAACACTGGAAGCTGATCTAAAGAATAAAACATAGAGAACAGAAAGGAAACAGGGTCAAACACAAACTGAAAACTCACAATACTAGATCACATGAACAATAGGGAACAGAAACACTAGGAAAAACACAGAAAATACACTCAAACAACAAAACCAGGGAAAAACTGAATTAACAGAATATATCATGACGGCAGATTGATTAGAGATGAGATTTTACTGCATTGTTTGGGGGTTATGACCAAGTAGAATCAAGAATTTGACAAAACTTTAATAACTGTTCAGTTAATGCACTAACTTAACACCAAATCACCTTTACTTTATGCATCAAAGGGTTTGTTTGAGGGTGTATGTGTGTTTCTTCTTTTAAAGCATAACAGCTGAACTGTCAGTAAATAAAGACACCCAATGGATGTTGGAACTTTAAGTTTCTTGGCGTCAGCCAGAATTAGCTGCAACATTAATCCCAAAAGCTCAAAACCAAAGTTGCTTTGCTGGCTAATTTGCCTCACCAGGAAAGAAACGACAGACTCAGTTAAACCCCTGGAGGGAATAAGCTGTGATAAACACAGAGGGGATTACTTTTGGTCTGTTTTCTCGCTGTTAGAATTAAAAGAGAAAGGTGCAAAGACAGGACTGTAGGAATTAGAGTTGGGTTAATATGTAATCTTTAAGTTTAACCCTAAAAATAAAATGTGCTGATGCACTTGCTGAATATTTAGATATTCGACAAGTGATGTGAGCTGCTTGATGCCCAAATCGTCTTTTAGATCCATCAACCATTCACACTTCTGAGATCATTAGCTAGCCTGATTAATATCCCAATTACAAAGATTTCCATTTTGATGCCATGGCGCTACTGCTACAAGCCAAGACTATCACCAAAGACGAGAACCACCTGGATGTACAGTTTGGATTAATAAATCCTAAAAGGGTTAGGGTTAGGGTTGTTGTTGGATAGAATGAAATGTGCTAATTCTTTTGCTGAATATTTAGATATTCAACGAGTGATGTTAAGCTGCTTAATGCCCCAAATCGTCTTTAAGATCCATCAACCGTTCACACTTCTGAGATCATTAGCTAGCCTGATTAATGTATTAATTACTGATTTTAATGCCATGGTGCTGCTGTTACATGCCAAGACTGTCACCAAAGGCGAAAACAACCTGGATGTACAGTTTGGATTAATACACCCACATCAATAACATCTGTCATGCTGCACATCTCAAACCGTTTTAACAAATCTGCACAATCAACGACTCACTTTGTACGATGATGATGAATTGATGTTCACCACAGGAGTGCTGTGTTGATGCACTGGTTAAAACAAATACATCATTGCAACAAATGAATAGTGACAGCCCTAGTGCCAGGATTTATGGACATATTCTGAATAGCAACATGTCAATCATTCTGTGTGTGCAGATGTGTCCTTCCCGGCTGTCTGCACCCCTAGGCTCTTATACACCAGTAGCAACATGAGCTTTGTTAGTCTGCAAGAGTTAACAAGTACGTTATGAGAATATGAATGTACAGGTGCATTTGTAAACAATAGGGATCATCTGTATGTGAGTATTGTTGTGTAGACCTGTCCTCTCATAGACTGTTGCAGAGACTATTCCTACTCAGAGACCATGTTCTGTTTTATCTTCCTGGTATGATAGGCTTGTTGTTGGACTTCCCTTTGTTTTGGTGATGATGATGTTTGGTTTTGTTGTGCAATGATGTGATGAGCTAAAAATAGCCTTGTGTAGAGATGCTTTAAAAGCATTGGACCTTCTCTTTCCAATCGGTCTTACTGCAATAAAACTTCTTGAACCTGCAAATTGCAGCCCTCTCATCGTGAAGCTTCAGACACAACAGTAAAAAAAACAAAGAGAGTTCGAGTACTTCGAGTGGACGGCTCATAGTTGCACTCATCTAAAGCAGCACAAGTGCTCTCTCTGTTCAGGTGTGTTTGCAGGAAAAAGCTGAACTCCTGCAAGAAGTTTGTTTGCGCTATTCCACACTGATACTAAGTGAATGAAAAACTTTGAGAAGAAATTAAAGGAATAAATATGAGCCGGTGCAACACCTTTCTACATGTGGTGACAGGCAATTTTTCTTTGAATGCAGAAAAAGTAAAAAATTAAGTTTCTATAGGGTTTGGGATCCCTTGTAGTCTCTGAGCCGTGGCAGATATATGATCCCTGCCTCTGCTGTAGCTTCTTTGACTTAAAACAGTTGTAGCACGTCATTTGCCTTTTTCGAATTTTAATTTAGATGAAAAATAGATACACCCCCCAGTGAGGGAAGATAAGTGCAAGTGTATGAATGTTTTGAAAATCCTCTAATACTATTTTTTGGAATAAAATACTCCCTTAACACTGTTCCTGTAGAGACACAGAGGAGTAGAGGAAAGTTAGGACCACTGGACGCGAAAAGGCATGAGTAAAACTTGCCCCAGTTCAGCTCAGGACGAGGATTTTATAAGTTTCTCACACACACAAACACACATTCGGTCTCTGGGAGCAGTATCTGATGCTACAGCTCATTAGAAGAGCTTCCTCAGATAAAGCCTCCGTAACTGATCTTTTATTCACAAAAAGTGTCAGCGCCGGCTCATGGCGATGTTAACACCCCAGCTATCAGCCGGGGACGAGAAGGATTGAAACGTTTAATGAGTAATGACAAGGAGCGCCTCATGTCAGGACGAGCCTCATTCACAATGCTGCTGTTTAATGTTGTTTTGGGTATTAGCGAAAGAGCACGCCTCAGAGACTGTGACTTTAGACCTTCTTCAGGGCCGCTTTTCAACCCTGCCGTCATCCAAAATTCACCACGCAGAACTTATTTCAATGAGATGTTAAACTTTCAGAACAGGCCGCTAGCAAAACATACCAATGCAGGAAGTTTTATGAGCAAATTCACAAAGTCGATTTTCCTATTCAATATGAATGTGAATCAGGGATCACTGCCGGATATGAAAGCAGAGCTGTACAATTCAGCAGAGGTCTGCAGAACAGTTCACAGCTCACATTTAAAATCCAGACATGAGGCCAAATAATGAAGGAGGTCTGTGCTGGTAGTGAACAGCCTTCAAACCGTAATGATCTGCAAAGATTCAACAATCAGAGCGGAGAAGTAGTTCAGCAGCACGGCCTGCTGGTCCTGCAGAAGTTTCGGTAGACCTAGTTTGTGTCCTATTGATCTGTGAGCAAACTAAGCTCATAAATGAAGACATGGCCTTAACTTGTCATTTTAAGGTGACTTTGTCCAAATTGGAAAATTCAGAATATAAATTGCTCTGATTTTTAAGAGACAGTCTGTTTTGAGGGACCCAATAGAGAGAAGGTTTAAACTGTGTCGCTGCACAAGGCTTTCTAATGGGTCATTCCATGTCAATTCAACCAAGAATCTCCACTCCTGTCACAGATTTTGATGAAATTTGGTGGACTGATTGGCCTTCAGGAGAAAACAAAATGAAAATGAAAACACTAAAAAAAAAGCATTTTGCATTATGAGGAAGTAATATTTTACACAAGCAGGCAGGTGATTTTCGACCTAACGTATCACACATTTTGACAGATTACTCAAAAAGTTATGGAATGCCCATCCTGAAACTTGCAGGGATGCTAGTGGACATGATAGTCTTTCTTAAGTGTGAATATGAAGAAAATTGAAGGACGCACGTTTTTTGCTATTTCCAATTGAAGTTTTTGGTGTTTTTCAACTTTTTTTCTGGTCCAATTTGGGAAAAAGTATTATGTAACAAAAAGATAGAAATTGAAGCAAGCTTTAAAATGACACCCGAATCAGCTCTCTAGGTGCCATACTTCCAGAGATATGAACACTTTTGTAATGCATGTCATGCTAATTAGCCAAAAATTCGTTAGCCCCTATCTCACTAATTAGATGGCTTTGAAAAAAATATCTGAGCTCTGACATTTTCTCCTTAAGGCCAATCACTCCACCAAATTTCATCAAAATCTGTGACGTAAGTGGAGATTCTTGGTTGAATTGACATGGAATGACCCTAATGCATTCAGCAATGTGCTGTTTTCATGCAGATGTGTAGCTCTTTAAAGCACCATCTGTGACACCGCCCTGACAGCTACTCGCACAGTAGCCAGCCTTTGTTAACATTGATAAGTATGAACACATTTACTGCCCTTGTTGCAGATTTTCAATTTATTTCAGTTTCAGATCTTAAAATATTACGTAATTCTCAAAAGATATTGATGCTAAAAAATCCGGCAAATCAATAACTTGTGCCCCTCTCTGGACAGGAACACCTTCAGCCGTGTTTTTAATCCTGTTCGACAGGGTGTACTATCTTTAAATTCACCTCACCTTGAGAAAGACCTGCAGCTCCTGGGACTGTGTGCGCTGCAGGATGTCCGGCTGCAGGTGTTTGAGTATAGACACGCACATGTACACTTGGTAGTCAGGACCCATCACCACACAGGTCGAGATGTAGTGGCAGATTTCAGTCCAGTCCAGATAGTTCCAGAAACACTGAGTCAACCAATGGAGGCACATCTGTGAGAAAGACAAAAGTTGTTGCTCATTAATCTCTTTTTTTTCTTTTCTAAGAATTAAACTGTCCTCAGAATATTATGAATTCCTCTTTAAGCATCACTAGTTCTTAATTAAACAAGAGGAAAAAAAACAAAGACCTTTATTACACTCTGATATGAGCGATTAACCTGATGCTTTGGAAAAATTACTAATCATTTGGAGAAATAGTTTTTCCCCTGTGATAAATCATGAGGATATGAAATGTCCCAACCTTTACAATGCCATCAATCTTCGAAGTGGTCTGCAAAAACAGGGAAAATAACAAAACAATAGGCTGCTCCCAAAAATTGTCTTGACCTTGGATTTAATGATTTAGTTTCCTGCCGAGCACACTTCTTGGTGAAGTAACTCACTAAATTTGCTCGTAAGTTTTACCTTATTCTTATAATGTCCCTTGGTGTGTCAACTACAGTTGTAAAAACTTTGCTAAACAGCAAAAACTCACTGTAACCAAGTTTTCTCATTTATCAAATAAGTGCCATATTCGAATGCAGGAATGTCTAAAACTAAAATTATTTCATTTACATAATGATAACAACCCAAAATCTGTTTAACCTTGTAAAAGTTTGGTAAAGAAAAGATGAGAGTAAAATATTAGGGCCTGTGTCCACTAATGCTAGCAGTGTCTATATTCGCAATCACAATTTCTTGCTTTTAGGGTCCTTAGTGCCAAAGCACCCTCAACTTTTGGAGATCTGCATCGCTCATCAGTGTCATGTCTTTATCACAGACCAACAATGAAACAATGGAATCAACAATGGAAAGGGTCCCTACAAAGGAGAAACTTTTTCATTTTGGAGGCACAGTTTTCAGGTCAAGAGCTGCCGCTAACAACGCAAAACAATTGCTACCAATCATTTTACATTGTCTTTGCAAAATTTAATGAAAAAGCCACATATATGAAGCACACAGCATTTTAAAACAGGCCTAATGGTTACTGCCAAGGGAAGCCGAGGTGGCATTGGTATAACTAGTCACAGTCAATGCCATCGAAAAACATTTAAAACATTTAGGTTGTGGACACTGCAGGCAAGCAAAATACTGTGAGTGGACACAGTCCCTTAGAAGTACAGCTGCTCAGACATGTCAGGGCAAGAAATCGACCTTACACTATACAAATGTTTAAGTGGTCTTAAGGTACACAAGTGTATTTGTCTTATAAACTGGCATTCAAGTGAAGCAATATATTTCTTCACATTTACATGACTGAGATTCAAACTTCTACAACTGTACCATTATGCTCTTTATGTCCAGACTTTAAATTGACTTTGCTTTATCAGCTTTTCTAAATGAATCTTTCCGGAAACTTGTTTACTTCGAAGGGAAGAAATGATAACTCACAGCGGTTCTGAATATTGAGGTGGGAATAAGGGATGAAGGGACAAGCAGATGCATGCAAATGTTTTATTTTTCCACCTGACGGTTGAGCTGAAATCTCTGATATTAACGCAGAGGCTCCACCAGGGGGTTTCCCACCTGTTTCTAGATTAAAATTACCAAAAACTAAAAAAGAAGTGAAAATCTATCAAGGGGAAAAAACACCCCAAATCAAGTCATCCTTTGTAGAGGCACTTTTTATTTCCACTGGTGAAAATTTTGTTTTAGGTTGTTTTGTGCAAATGATCATAAACCAAAGTCCAAACCATAAAAGCTTAAAGGAGTTTAATTTCATATAAAAGTTTTGAACTTCCGATGGAGTTTCAGGAAAAAATCAGGCAATTACCAAAGTTATAATTCAATTCCAAGGAGTACCACAGGTAACAGTTTTCTCATTGCAAACCATTGCCTCATAAAAAAACTCAAAATCTGTAGAAAACTGTGAAAAATACAACATTCAGTAAAATAAAAAGCCAGAAAAAAGTTATATAATCAACTTATGAAATGCATTTGACCTCCTTTGACCACGTCGTCACCCATTTCTAATGATGTCAGAGGTACTAGCCATAGTAAGTTACAAAACTGCATGAAAACCACTAAAGGGATGATTAGGAAGTATAAAGTACTTCACAGTAAATCTTAAAACATTGGTTTTAAAGTGTTTATCTGTGTTTTGGAGGGCTGCTACATCTAGCTTGTCAGTGGCTGTTCCTGCTTCTTCTTTGTCTTTCCTCACTAATGCTATAAACATATCAGATTATTATCATTATCATTAGCCGTCCTTCTCAGCTTTACTCGCATCAAAACACTGATATCCTAATTTGTGTGTTGTGATAAAAACTAGAAAAGTTCAGACCCTGGCTTTTAAATCCTCTGGCAGAAAAACAAGAACAAGTCGAGTACTCTGTGTGCCCACAAAAGGAACAATAAATCCCTCAAGGTCTTTCCAAGAGCACTTTTTAGTTGAAGAAGTTAATGCACTCTTCTTGGTTGTTACTGTTCCCAAGAGCTAAAACTCAGAGGTCAAAGGTGAGAGTGACTTTCCTGGCAGTATTCTCTACTTCATTTCCTTTGTGCCATAAACAGGCTTTCAGAGCTGTTATTAATCCAACCAGGTCAGGTCACACTCAGAAATCAGAACCAGCTTCTTTGTGTGAAGTTCTGATTGATCTGATTCTGCAGTGGAGCTGAGAGATGATTCAGAGTTACTGTTTAGATGATTACAATTTCATTTTTAAGGCCATTTTTCAAGTAGTCAAAAATCTAAATGTGCAAAACATCAAATTGCTGGAGTGACTCAATAATAGTCTTAAATACAATCACACTGCTTTTCAGAATAGTTTTCATCTAATCATATCGCTTTATCCCAAAGCTCTTTTCTGTGGCTGTTGAAAACGTTATTTTGATCCTCGAAGCTGCACAACGTTTTTATATAAGCAAAAAAGAAAGAAAATGTGACTGTCCTGATCATAGGATGATGTAGACAATGCCAAAGATAATGCATAAACTCAAAAAGAAAGTTCTGAAAAATGGTCATCATGGTGAAAGGCGTACAAGAAACAATGGGGATAATGCTGAAAGTGACAAAGGTGATTGTGACATGCTAAAAGCAGAGCAGAAAATTGCCCAGATGGCACTAAAAAGCATTTAAAATGATGCCAACAATTAAACAGAGGTGCTGCTCATGATACTAACACCAATACCTTTTTTATTTGTGGAGAATTTTTCAAGACAGGAACATGAAGTGCTTTCCAAAAACATATAATCCAAACAGAAGGAAATGAAAAGGGACAATCAAAATTTAGATACGGAGCAGAAAACAACATAGAAATGACAGACGATTTTTAAAGTGGAAGAAGGTGATGAAAATGATAGAGAAGGTTCTGCAAATGATGAAGGGATGATAAAAATGATGGGGGAGAATGGCAACAAAGATGCTGCAATTCAAGAAGATGATTATGCAAATGATAAAAATGGTTATGTGCAACATGGCGACGCAAAAATTAATGTTTAGATGACAAAGTGTTGCCGGAAATGATAAAGATGGTGCTTTTTCAGAATCAGAAAGGAAGTACAGTGTATTGAAAAAGGATGAAAAACTTGTACTGAATATGACAAAGACGGTGCTGCAAATGAAGAGGGCATGATAAAAATGATGGAAAAATGATGGGGAGAATGGCAACAAAGATGCTGCAATTTAAAAAGATGATTTTGCAAATGATAAAAATGGTGCTGCTAAACATGGTGATGCAAAAATTAATGTTTAGATGATAAAGTGGTGCTAGAAATAATAAAGATGGTCCTTTTTTGATTTAAAAAAAATCCTTTCAAGCTATTAAAGAGGTATCAGAAAGGAAATATAGCATATGAAAAAAATGTACAATACTCCTTATTTAAGATGCAAAATTATGCTGAACATGACAAAGATGTTGCAGCAAATCATGAAAAATGTGCCAAAATATTTAAAAAAAGGACTGATAACAATACAGTAGATGCTGCAAAAATAATGCTGCCTGACCCACTAAACATCAGGTAGACCTACACCGCTAGAACTTGCGCCAAAAGTGACAACCTCTAGAAAAAAGAACAAGCAAGTATGAGAGATAACGTGCCCTTGGCTCCACCATCTGCGGGCCACCCACACTTTAAAAACTAGAGGTCACATGCAGCTGTGACTATCAAACGCTTCCTTTGTAAAAATATCTTGATGGTCTTCCAGTTCAATGCTTGGCAATATTGAAGTTGCAGTTCTGAATTTTTTGCAGAGTTTCTGAAAAATCTAAGGGTGCAGGAATTTTCTTGAGAAGGACATGAATGTTTGTGTTTTAGTGTATTTGGACGCTGAATGCATGTTCATAGATGCTTTTATACAGTCACTCAAGAAGCAAGAAGGAAACATCATTTTATATTTGCAGGAAATAATCTTAACACGATTCAAAAGCTGTTTAAAATGAGTTTGCTCTTGCTGAGTGAGGGATAAAAGAACTACCAACATGTCACTTACCCTAAAGACTCACATTGTTTCTTATTCAGGACGTGTAAACCAAAGACCCCGTGTTTCCCTGTGACTCAGCTTATTCATAGTAAACCTACCACAGGTCGCTGCTCTTTCTAGAAACTCCTTTCATCACACGCTCCATTCTCAAGGCGATCTATTTTAAATGCTAAAACGTTTTGTAGATGGATTTTGACAGAGGCCTGAGTTCACACACACACACACACACACACACACGCCTGCACAACCTCCACTGTTTGAATGTCAGAGGTGTATAATGCTTCATTTGCCACTGCTGCTTTGTCAAGCTTTCAAAGCTCAAACTTTTTGGAAAAGGTATTTCCATTTCTGACTGAGTAACAGGTGCCCATTATCGCCTTGAAGAGAAAAGAGATGAGCTGAATGTTAAGGTTTAACTCCACCCTGGAGACACAGAGTTCAGCTCTCTGATGCAAATGCGGCGAGTCTTATGAGCACCCCCGCTGCCGAACATTATTTGAGCCTCGACTGTCAACCGCCGACACACAGAAGACCGGATCAAACAGAAGAGGATTCAAGGTGAAAAGCCTTTTTTTCTGCCTCGTTGTTCAGAAGAGACGAGTCTGTGTCAAAAGAATCACGAGCAGGGGAGCGAAGATCTAACTTTTCAGCAGCTCCGCTAAAGAAAAGGAAAGAGATTCAATGTCAAAGACTCCATTCGGAATTTTAAAGTCGGCTGAAGTCAAAGCGGGATAAAAAGGAAAGTCATTCACAGGGCAACTAAAAGAGTGGCTTTAAAAGGCTTTATAGTCCTGTTTGGGTCCTTCACTCACATTATTAATTAGATATTTTTATTCAACACCACCGACAAACACAAAATAGGCTGCTCTGGTGGAGCTGGAGGATTCATGTTGATGCATAAAATTTTGTTAAGTCAACAGAATACAAATAAGGCTCTTTTCTCTACTTCTATCAGTACCATGACTCTCTCTTTTTAATCTTAGAGGCTCAGTGATGTAAACAACAGAGATGGAAAGTAGGGAATCAAAGACTTAGATTTGACTACTAGTTTGTAATAAAGACATTTTTTTTCTTGATCTACTGTAACTTTAGATGTTTACAAGTGACTAATTAAATGCCAATAAGCCGACTCATATAAAGTTAGAAAACAGTCAAAATTGAACAAATATTTCCAATAAGGCCAGACACTGGATCACTGAATCTGCAGGAAGAGGATGCCAAACTGATCTGCTGAGTGTGGCTAATATTAGCAGAGCTAGCACCACCGGTCTTCAATAGCTTTTGCAGGTTAATGTTCATATGCTTGTGCTGCTTATTACTCATTGTAGCTGAGTAGCTGTTTGCAAGCCACGTCTTTCATCTGTGATTGTTTGCATCCAGGTAGTAGACTGTTATGGCATACAAGCACATCACTAATCACTATTGTTGACTCTGTGTTCAAAAGTGTGTTTTAATAATTAGTAAGAAGCACAGTTTAATAACATAGTTAAAAAAAAAAACTCCATCCTGGTGAATTTTTATTGTAAAAAATATAATTTATTGTGGATATTCAATCGAGAAATAGGTTTAAAAAGGTTGTTACTAATGCTTGATGGCTGACACCTACACCCTTGCACCAGATTTGGGCATTAAAAATTCGAAGGTTCAAATTGTAAGTCTAGTGACCGATGGTCTTGTTTGCTTTTGGATATCATGAAAATCCACTAATATGTATTTTAGTCCATTTTATTTATAAAAAAAAACTCCTCACGGGAGCTTTAAGTTGCAAGAATGGGAATATTCTGAATATTTAGTGTATTGTAATGACATTTTTTCATGCTTGGGGTCTTTTAATCTGTTAACTATCAGGTGCACTAAAAAGGAAGAGGAATAATCATCAGCTTGTGTTGTTTATTTCATTTTCATGTTTCTTGTGTTTTTAACTAGAGCGGTTAGGACAGTGGACTGAGCAGGAAACATTCAGCACAATATAGGTGTCATCCAGAAAATCTATTACTTGCAATAGTCCACTTTAAACCTTTTAAGCTGTGGTTGTGCATTATTCTTATTTAACAACATATTTCAGTGTCTTAGCCCTTCGTCTATGCAGATCTTACCTGTGATGGAGTGAAACCCGACATCCTGAAAGCCGAGTGGACCAGAGGAACTTCAGTTTTCAGCAGCATCTCCACGTAGTGAGCTGTGCAGCTGTAAACAGGAGGGATTCCTGATTCAGCCACTTCCACCGGGATATGAACCTAACAGAAAAAACAAACATGCTTTCCTCATCCATCTTTATCTGGAGTGTTTTATTTTTGACACCTAACCTGTAAATAACACACAACTTTGCAGGCCCTGCTGGTTTGTAGACTGAACAGAACAGCATCATCAATTACAAGCTGCATGTTTAGTGTTTAGTGAAGCCACACAGATAAAATCAGACTGAGCCATGTAAACAGCACAGCATGCAGTTTGTGTGCATATACAAGCGTGTGTGTTTGTGTTTACATTCCCTCCTAACATGCGGCTGCTTCGCAATTATTCCTGCCCTTTCGTCTTTTTTTTTCTGAGCTGTCGACTAAATCGATCACATCGAGGAGTTTGAGGCTAACCGCTGTGTGGAGTAATTCACCTGCTTTATCTGCATCAAACACATAGAGAGCACATAACACACAATCAGAGCAGCTATCAGGCTGAGATTGACTTTGAAGAGAGACGGCAGCACGATCGAGGCTGGTATAATGACAGCAAACCTTAAACGCAGCCCCTCCGTTCGCTCCAGCAATTTGAAATGATTGAATCTCGACTTCATTTTGGAGTTCCTCTCCCAACTTAAATTATTCCTTTTACTCCTTTATTTCTCTTCCTCCTCCTCCCCCCTGTCATTTATCATCCTCCTAAAGCTAGCCTCTCCTTTTTCAGTTAAGTAAAAAACATCAATCAAGGTGTAAATGTTTGTTTTCCACCTTGTTGAAAAATGAAGACGAAAAGTTGAACAGAATGTCATTATGTGCAAAAAGGCTTTTTGTATTCGTCTCAAACTTTCTGCTTTCCTTCCTTTACCACCGCTATGATTGTTGACGTGCTTTGGATGAGGAAAAGGGGATTAGAGGAGGACAATACGGTCCTAAAACTGTGTTTATACTCCTCAATTTACTTTGAGGGAAGGGCTGTCTTGTTTTGTTACTGGATATGTGACTTTTCCGTGCAGGCGGCATATTTATATTGTTTTATTCAGTGTGAGAGACCGGGTCATGCTGAGCAGCTCTGCAGCAGAGATGACTCAGCGAAATATGTGTCTAAAAAAAAAGAGAGACTTTGATCCTCCTTTTTGTTTCATTGCTTTTTAAGCCTATGTACATGCAAGCTCCAATCAAATTCCTTTAAAGGGATATTCCAGCATAAAATTAATTTAGGGTCAAACACATCATAACACAGAGTTAGACACCCCCTCAAGAGATGAATGTTGCCGACTGCTTGCTTCTCCAGTTATACCAACTTTAGTAACGACTGCACAATAGCAATACACAGTGGTCTATGGAGCCACGAACAAACTTCAACCAAAACGCCACTCTATAGCCACAAATAATGCTCAGAACAGCGCCTAACTTCATCAACAGTACATATACAGTCCCAGCTATAGTACTAGCCACCAAACATCTTTTTAACTTTGCCTAATTTCTTTAACAAAGAGACTAAAAACAACTCACCCACTCTCCTTCAACAGCCACTTGTTAGTTGGGAGACCTCAGACAAGTAGATCACCAACTCCACAGCTCATGGAAGAACATTTATGATCATTTCTTCATGGAAATGCAATCAGACCTAGACACTAAGGCAGAAGAACTACTGCGTCTGCAGTGCAAAATGATTAATATGATGATTATTACTTCAAGGAAATAATAAAGTAATGATCAGAAATGTTCCTCCTTGCGCTGCGTCACCCTGCTGGAGTCCGTAACGGACTCGTCTGAGGTCTCTGTACAAACAAGTGACTGCAGAAGGAGAGTGGGTAAGTTGTGTTTGATCTCTTTGCCAAAGAAATCAGGCAATTTAAAAAGATGTGTACTGTTGATGAAGTTAGGTGCTGTTCTGAGCATTAACTGTGACTATAGAGTGGCTTTTTGGTTGAGGTTTGTGCGTGTCTTCTTCGACCACTGTGTATTGCTATTGTGCGGTGGTTACTAAAGTTGGTATAACTAGAGAAGCAAGCAGTCGGCAACATTTATCTCTCAAGGGGGTGTCTAATTCGGTGTTACAATGTGTTTGACCCTAAATTAATTTTATGTTGGAATACCCCTTTAAGCATCGTTGCATGTGGGAGTCTTTCTTTTTCATTGTCTTTGAGCAATTTCTTAACACGTAATGGCAACCAAATCACATCATGTAAAAGGTCTGTGTATTAGTTGAAACGTGCAGTATCACTGTTGTACTCACTGAGGCATGAATCCTTGCCGGCCAGATGAACGCTGAGGTAAGCAGCGAGGACAGGTTGAGTAACAGCCGTAGTGAGCGGTCTGTGTCTCCAGCCATTATGAGGAAGACCGTAGAGACCAGCCAGTCATGGCCTGGATACCCATCCTGCTGAGTGACTGCAGGGGTTGGTCAAAGAGCCAAAGCGCTGGTTAAATAAATACTGAGATCAATGACTCACAAGAAATACTGACAAACAAACATGAAGGTGATGCAATGAACTGAAATAGGACGGAGTGTTTATTTTACCTTCAAAATAGCCTTTTAAAACATGGATTTTATCAAGAAGAGGAACTTTAAAAAATCTGTAAAACACATCTTTGCATCCTATTGTTTATTAAAGAGCTGTGAAACTGTGTGGTTTAAAACAATCAGACAAAAAATCTGACTTAACTTATCATCATAGTGGCATCATTTAGATAACCAGTTAGTTCAGGCAGGTCACAAAGCCAAGCTCAGCCTTAGTGCAAGCCTACCCTTACCAAAAAAAGTATACCTCAAGTACATTTTATGAAGTATACTGAGGTTTGTTTTAGTATACCGGTACTTCCCAAATTATACTTTGTACACTGATACAAATGTACTACCAGTGAACTTACAAGTAAACTTCTTGGGACTAAATTGGCCTGATTTATTTTATCAAAATACACTTGAAGCATACTTCAAAGTTCATTTCTTGGTATACTATTAGTTTCCTAGAAATAAACTTCTAGTTCTATAAAAGTACACTCTGAAGCATACCTTTACTTATTAAATTATGATTACTATTATTATCATTTATGTATTATTATTATTATATTTTTTTTTTGGGGGGGGGTCCTCAATGGGTAGGACAGAGTGGCAATGAGGGAGAAATTTTGTTTAGAAACTGTATACTTGAAGTACTACAACATACTTCTTTTTGGTAAGGGTGGGGGCTCAGACCATTACCTTCTTTACATCCTGTTTGCAAATACCAAACTGGATGTTCTCAATCTAAACTGCTTCAGTTTGTTTCCTGCTGCTTTCAATGCAAACTGCTCTCACCCCAGGTCCTCCTTTTTATTTTGTCCCATATAGATGGTCACGGAGGCCAGCTCTGTGGACTTTGCTGCTGCCTCCCTCTTACTTAGGTCAGTACTCTCTGAGTGTGTCTGGGTCTTTGCAAGTGCTCTCCTCAACTTCACCAAGATATGCACTCTCTAAGTGTGTCTAAGTCTGTACTGCAGCTCAAAGACTGACCTCCACTTAGGTCAGTTCTCTTTAGGTGTGTCTGGGTCTTTACTGCTGCTCTTCTTTGAAAACATGGACATAGCTTGCAGATAATTCTCTGGACTTTAACTTAACTCTTTACTTAATAGTAATGAGTCAAGCAGAAAGTCATTGGTTCTATTTTTGCGGTCTTTGTCTGTATTTAAGGTATCACGAGAAATTTTGTTTTCTAATGCTGGAGTAAATGAGACATAGAGTTAAAATTACTTTGGTTTCTACATGTCACTGAGGCCATTGGTTGTCAATCATGCATTGAGTAAGGCTATAGCACTCAATTAACCTTGATAAACTAGACCATTGTGTCATTGTAGAAAAAAAGGCTTCCTCATGTCAAAACTGTCAAGATCTTGGACTCTGTTAGCAGTGATATTTTGTGAATCAATGAGATGAAAAAAGTCACCTCTGAAAAGTATGAAAATGTGCTTTTGTGATGAGGTTTTCTAGAAATCTTTAAAGAATTCCAGCCAATAGTCTTCATAAACTTCAAGGTCTCCCAGGTGGAATCTCTGCACAATAATGATCATATTACATCCACAATGAATAGAATAAAAATGAAAAATGAATGAAATACCAGAGTTACAACACAATCAGATTCCAAGCTTCTCTCATTGAGTTTGAGGGGCTTATTCCGACCCTGGAGTGTCAGCTTAGTTTCATTAATAAACTTTACAATTCATCCAACCTGCTTGTAGCAAATGCACTGCACAGATATTCTGCTATGAGTCCAGGACACAACCCCAGACTGCCAACATGTCTTGCATTTAATATCTTTAGACTGAGCTGCTGTTAACTTTTGTTGACTGTCCTTGAACACACACAGAACTTCAGTTTGCAGTTTTCTGTGGGATGTATTGACAGATTTCTATTTTTGGTCCAATACTCAGTGTCAAATTGTAGAAGCTACATATTGCCCTTGTAGATGGGCTTCAGAAATAATTCAGTTTTCAATAAATGAGACCTTTCAATTATCATCTACACCATAAAGGTGTGAGGTTTGTCAAAGAGCTAAAGACTTATTTGTCAGTTTGTCAGTTAGGTTGCAGTAAAAGGTCAAACCTCAGTTTGATGAAACTTGGTGAAAGGGTTAAGCACTGCTAAGGAAGGTAATTGAAAAGATTTATTGATACTGGTGCCATTATTGGCCTTGCTTATTGATTCAATTTGCTGCTGCAGGAAAGCCTGACTTCTGATTTGGCATTGCAAGGTCAGCTGATTGTAGATACAGTCTCTGATTGGTCAGTAAACTACAGCATAGACAGCTAACAACAGAAATCACCTTATTTCATGGAAATTAAGGCAGAAATCAGCTGAGATTGAATCAGTTTTTTTGAGGGAATAGATGGACAGTAATCTCCTTTTTGGGATAGAAAAAACACTGTATGTGACAGAAACATACAGAGTTCATCATCGGAAAGCTGTCGGTCTCACAAAGTGAGTGAATTTTACAGAAAGTCTGTGCATCATACAGTTTCATTTTTTAATACTGTGAGCACAAAATGCATTTAGTTATGCAAAACTGCATTTTGGACCAGCCTTGTTTACTATCTTACATGATCACTTCCTTGATTGTCTTTCATAATGAGTCGTTGTTTTACAAGTGTAAGGCATTGACAATAGACACATAAAAGCATGAGGGCAAATGATGTTGTTGGGTGTGTTACTCGTTTCACAGAGGGAACCTTAAGTTCTGAACACAGCAATGATTTTTTTAAGAACACAGAAAAAGTAGCAAAAGAAATCGTTAGAGGTGAACGTCTTGCTCCCTCCACATGAATACAGATGTGAACTCTGCTAAGGATACTGAGCTCTGAAGAAGTCTTAACTCTCTGTGTGGACAGGAAGATCCTGATGTGCCTCATTAGCAGTGTCAGGTTGTTCACAGCACCTTCTTTCAGCAGCTTCAGGAAGCCGCCGTACCTGTGGATACAAGAATAAAGCAGAAATCATAATTATCTGCCACGTGTCTGTCAATCCTTAATGGGTTTGAGCCAAAATCTCCTTTATCTTTTGCTCAAATAGAAGACGCACGTTACAAGGAGATACCACAGATATGGAGAAAAAATGAGGATACTTGTAAATACAGAGAAGTACTCATCAAAATTCATTTCAAAAAGTCCAGAGTGGTCAGCTTTAACTCAGCACGTCTGACACTTGTAAGTCAAGGATTAATTATAAATTCATGTCCAACAACTTTAAATCCTATAAGACTCGCCGCTCTGTGGGTAATACGCACACACTCTTCTGTTGATGCCCAAAAATGCAAACATAGCACTTAGATTTTTGTACATGCCCTGAAAGTTTGCAGCTCAAAGGCTCCCTTCAGGGGAGTTGTTGAGCAAAGAGTGATAACCACTATGTACTGCAGCAGCGGGGTGTCATTAAAGAAAGAAACGAGCAGTGAGAGAACAGTTACTCAAGTCAGAGGGCTTACTGGAGGAAAAATACCGAGCAGGCCGAGTACTAAGCACACTTGCAACATTAGAGTGAAATCACAGCGGTAGGAGATCATTTCGAGATAAGGACTGAAAGAGCGGTCCGAAACTACTGCAGAGTCAGAGGAGTATCTCTCTGTATACAGCAGCATGTTTATCTCATATAAAGACCAAATGTAAAGATGGATGTCATCACAGCTTCCCAAGTGAAGCCAGCCTCCTTCATGAAAAAAGATGTGGATTGTGAATGAAATGATCAGTCAAGAAAGCAAGCTGATTAAAAAACAAATACAGCCATGGCAAATATCGTAAACATCAGCATCAGATGATCCAACTGCTGACCTGGAAAACAGGTCACATCTCATAGTTTAATCTTCCCTCTGTGTGGCACATTTGCATCAATAGAAAGAACCATAGACTGTATATACTATGGACAACTTGGCTTCGCCTTCTGTTGTCATACGGATTTGAAGCCAAAAAAGCTCTCGGTATTTCCGTTTTTTTTCTCCACTTCCTGAAACCAACATTGCGCGGTAGCATTGTACACATTTGGAGGGAGAGAGAGAGAGAGAGAGAGAGAGAGAGAGAGAGAGAGAGAGAGAGAGAGAGAGGGAGAGGGAGAGTCGCTGTGATGATGACTTTTAAAAATGGAGCTGCACAGAAATAAAGAGGACTTGAGCACAAACCAGTCTTACTGTAATTACATGTCAACATCGCAAGCAGGGGGGAGAAAAATTTATAATCTGTGTAATAAATTTCTAAAGTTTGTCCACAGCTACTTAAGGATTGCTGGAGGTGGTGGGATTTATGACCTATACTGCAGCCTGTCACCAGAGGGTGCTGTTCTCGCGGTGGCTTCACCCAGCGAGGAGGCAGATGGCGTCCATTCTATATACAGTCTATGGAAAGAACCCATTGCTGATGTGACTTGAGGGAAGCTAAAGCCAGTGTACTAGTACATGCAGAGGAAACAACTGTTTTAGACCAGAGTGTTTCATAAAATTATATCTTTTTCTGCAACGACAGCTTACAAGAAAAACAGGCTGTGAAAAAGGAAACTTCACATCTCCTGCAAACTTGCAGAACTGCAAACGGAAATAAGGTGGGAGTCTGAGTGTAATAAGGTGTGTGGTGGCTAAAGCTCTGAGGTGAGCTCTGATGTCACTGTAAAATTACTTTCTAAAAGTTCATGATCTGAAGTTAAAGTGGTTTACAGGCGACTTAATAAGGAAGCGCCACTGCGGCTCGGTTATGGATGCACCAGCAGCTGTAAGAAACTCAAATCTACAGACGCTTATAGAGGACAGAGAGCAGGTGAAGTCACTTTTCAAATCAGACTGAATGAATCATTCATTTTCTGAATCTAGATGGAAATGTTGATAATTTACAGAAACTGGCTGCACCTATCAACAAGTGACTAAAGACAGTCCAGGCACCTGTTATGTTATAATAAAGCCTACAGTTCTTAGCGTGTTCTTCCTCCCAGAGTGCTGCTTTAAGAGGACACTTCACATACTGCACATACCTGAGACATGTGTCGACTCCCAGATGCTCCACAGACGATAACACGGCACTCTTCACAGTCTGCTCCTCGGCTGTAAAACAAGGTGATTAAAGAGAAGAGACAGTTATTAACCAATAGAGGAAGTACCCAGAGAGGAAAACACACTCCTCAGGTGTTACTAACTAGGTGCATTACGACCCTTGAGAATGGGAAACATGACAAACTGTCACGACTTTCTTCCTTCAGGGCGCTAAAAAGTGATATTTGTTGTGGAGGTAATTTTGTAAATGGTTGTTCGGTGTTTAATTGGGATGTTTGTGAGATAAGAGCATCGGGGTGAGTCTGCAACAGTCATCCACAGGTGATTTCACAGCGGCACTTTGAGGGTTTACAGCCGCAGAGTCATAACTCACAGTTTCATGAGTGTGGCGGAGTTTCGCTGAGGATTGCAGTGTGAAATTCTGAACCTTGTGAGAAAGCTCTTTATCTCAGGACTTTATCTTTATCTGTGGAGTGAGATACAACAGCAGCCCCCCAAAAATACTGGAGCAGAGCAGCTTTAGATCCATGCGCCGCGGCTTTGTACAGATCGCAGAGCTATCAGTCTCAGCAGCTGCTCTCATGGGCTCTTACTTTCCCCCATTAAGTGTCCAGAATCGTAAAAATATATTAGATTTTGGAGTTACAGTTGTAATCGTGTGGAGAGAACGATAAATGAAGCAATAAGGGTGCAGGAGGACTGATACTTTGTTGTGGGGGATGTCTCGGCTGCATCCTGGCTTTTGGGAGAAAGATTATTATTACATTTGTGGAAATAGATCCCCTGCTTCAGACACTTTGCGTTAATGATGAGAAGTTTTTAACAATTAATATGGTAAGTATTATCCAGCGACATAAGTGGCAGGGAAAACTCAAAATCCAATTTAGGGCCTAATGGTGCAGAAATATGCAGGGGGAAATGATAATACAGGAATCTGAGCGATAATTCAACATTGTTACCGTCTAAAAATCACAGCTGAGCACTGAGGATTAATCACAGCCCATCAAATCTGGTAATAATTGAGAGAAAATGGCTTGTGATGAGGGGTTGAAGCAGCACCAGGACAACCGGTGCTGTATCTTCTCTCACATATTAACATCTCTAAAAACCTCTTGCTGATGGCAATTACCATCTAATGGAGATGAATGCTCTCTTGTTGTTTTTATTCCCTCCCTCACAGTTCCTCTCCCCTCCTATCTCCTCGGTAAAGAGCCGCTGGTGTCTATTTTACAGTTTCTAATAACTTTAATTCAAGCATTTAACTGCAGTTTAAAAAGAAGAAGCCACATGCAATTTATCCCTGACAATGCTTGTGACAATCTGTTCTTAATTGCAAATCTGAGCGGCTGTGAGAGTCGTGAAGAGTAATCTCGGGGATCTGCGCTTCAGTTCAGAGTCGATTCGGTCTCCAGAAGACTTATAATTCTCTGCGCTGCGAGGAAATTAAAACAAAAGTGCAAAACAAAGAATCCTGCAGGGTTTAGAGGATTTGGCGGGGGGGAGTCGTGTTGGGACTCATTTGAAGAAAATCCTTAAAAATGAGCGGCAAAAACTGAAAGAGGCCTGCTAGTCTTGGGGATGTGACACATCAACAAGAGTGTCCTGCTTGAAAAGTGAGTGTGAAAATGAGATTTTATGTCGAAGAGAGCCCCAGGACATGATTTTTCTGGCAAAGATGGAGTGTCAAGCTCACCATGGAGGACTCCTGACGACTTCTCAGTGTCACCCCTGCAAGTCAGCACCAGAGACTTCACTGGGTCAAAGTCATTCCACCAAAAGGAATGAATATGTGTTTTGAAGAGGAACGGAACACCAATTTTGGCGTTTTTCCAGTCAGATTGGTCATCGGCTTCACTGAGATAGGCAGGGTTTATGATTGGTTAGCTGAACTCCACTTTGAGGCCTGCCTGAACTAATGCTTTGCTCAGTCTAGTCTTGAGAGAAGGGAAATAGTGACAGTCTTGAGAACATGATGAACAACCTGGAGAAGTACTGGGCCCTGAATATCTCTGACAGGAAGTGAAGAATAAATCCTGTCCTGCAATCCAGGCAATGGCAACAGAGCAGGATAGTGCATCTCTTAGCTGCTAACTGGTAAAAACTAACTTTTATCATGACCAGTAGTGATAACAGCAACAGTTATAACTTTAAGCGGAATGTTGTCTGTCTTTGGAGAAGTATCAGGAATGGGAAAGTTGATAAAGTTAAAGGGATATTCCGGATTAAATTTAAGTTATGGTCAAACACACCATAACACTGTGTTTGACCATAGTACTAGCCATCAAACATCTTTTTAGCTTTGCCTGATTTCTTTAGCAAAGAGACTAAACACAACTCACTTACTCTCTTCAAGCAGCCGCTTGTTTGAAGGGAGACCTCAGACGAGTCAATCACGGACTGCAGCAGGATGACACAGCTCAAGGAAGAACATTTATGATAATTTCTTTATCATTTCCTTGAAGTAGTAATCATCATATTAATCATTTTGCACTGCAGACACGGTAGTTCTTCTGCCTTAGCGTCTAGGTCTGATTGCATTTCCATGAAGAAATGATCATAAATGTTCTTCCTTGAGCTGCGAATCTCCACTGCACTCAGTGATCAACTCGTCAGAGCTCCCCCACAAACAAGCGGCTGCTGAAGGAGAGTGGGTAAGTTGTGTTTAGTTCTTTGTTAAAAAATATCAGGCAAATCTAAACAGATGTTTGGTGGCTAGTACTATGGCTGAGACCCTATATGTACTGTTGATGAAGTTAGGTGCTGTTCTGAGCATTATTTGTGGCTATAGAGTGGCTTTTTGGTTGAGGTTTGTCCATGGAAACATAGACCGCTGTGTATTGCTATCATGCGGTCGTTACTAAAGTTGGTATAACTAGAAAAGCAAGTGGTCGACAACATTCATTTCTCGAGGGGGTGTCTAACTCAATGTTATGGTGTGTTTGACCATAACTTTATTTTACGCTGGAATATCCCTTTAGGATCTGCTGCACATTTTAATGTTTTTGTATTTCTTATTCTTTGGGCTGAAAAATGACACATGAAAAGTTGGTGTAAAGTGGAGGCAGAAAAGTGCTGAAAGACTCGTTTTAAATAATGGCTCACTTGAGAAAGCGCGGATCTCAGTCCGTGCTATTAAGTTGCAATAGTCAGCATAAAAGGTGCCATCTCTTTGTTTTCACAGCCACCCAATTTCAACAGGCGGTAGAAATAAATGAGATTGCTGGACAGCTGCCTCAATGAGTCAGGGCCGCGGCGTGTGAGGAGATACAACTCAGAACAGTGAACTGACAGAGGTTAATACTCGGCAAATGAGTCCGCTCTCGCCGCACAATGAGAGCAGTGAAGGAGGCCATAGTGTCTGGGTCTGTAGTCAGCGTCAATCAAACGCTAAGAGGTGCCTGCAACCCGCTCCCTGTCAGCTCACGTACACACGTACACACACACATACACATGCACACACATGTAGCTGCTAGATTGCACAATTCAACAAGAGCCATGACAGCCGCTTGGTCTCCTCAGAGGCTATTTGGTGGGAGGAATATTAGAGGGAAAATGGAAAAGCTGTGAGAGTGTGTGTGTGAGAGAGAGAGTGAACTAAAAAGGACAGCAGAAAACCCTCATTCTAAAGTGATAAAGGGATGTAGAGGCGTAGGCTAACACGCCTATTTCATAACTGATTCCTGGTTTTGTGCTGCAGAAGAGGGTGAAAATCATTTCCACAGTATCACAGATTTTATTCAGCAGCTTCTATCTGACTGAGTGGCGGTCTGTCTGATGAACGACAATCGCTTACACGAGGCAATTCACGTCTCAAGGTTTTTGAAATTCTGGGCTTACTCATTTCAAGAACAGTCGGACGGCTGGGTAAAATATCGATGAAAATAGATGGTTTCAAAATCGTTTAAAACCTACATTTTAATGTCATGGATAAAAAAGCACCTGGAGGACCATCTCCTGACTAACAAGAAAAAAAGGGGATCTAAGAGATCTCTCAGAAGCAGTAAGTAGTGACTGTGTGAGCACATTTTTCACTGATATCAGAATAATGTAACTATAGTACATGATATAATTAAAAGATCCAGAGAATCTTAAGAAATCATGGCACAAAAGCAACAAGATCTAAAACTAATACTTGATCTTTAGGCCTTCAGGTGGCTCTGCACCAAACAGACGTGACCCTGTAGTGGAAATCACTGCATGAACACAAATTCACAAAGAAAAACAATATAAAAATGTGTCAGAAATCCCAGCAACCTTTCTGAGCCTAAGGCTGCTCAAAATAGACAGAGGCGAGATGGGCCACATTCTTGTGGTCTGACAAATCAATACCAGATGTTTATTTTGGAACTCATGGATGTGGCATTGTCCACTCTGAAGAGGAGAGGTGACAACCATTTTGCTAGTGCACAGTTGAAAAGTCAGCAGCTGTGGTGGTTGGAAACTGGCAACCAGTGGGCCAATGCTGGCCCACCAGCAACAAGATTATTTTAATGTTGCCTTTGATTAATTCCTTCTAATTGTGACGTCATGATCAAAGACTGTATATAGAATAGACGCCCTCTGCCTCGTCACTGGATGAAGCCACCCGAGAACAGCACCCTCTGGTGACGGGCTGCAGTATAGGTCATAAATCCCTCCTCAACCAGCAATCCCTATGGAGCTGTGGACAAACTTTAGAAATTTATTACACAGTTGGCGATGTTGACATGTAGTTAGACTGGTTTGTGCTCAAGTCGTCTTTATTTCTGTGCAGCTCCATTTCTAAAAGTTAGTAGTTTACAAGGCTGCTGCACAATGTTGGTTACAGGAAGTGAGGAAAAAACCTGGAAATACCAAGAGCTTTTTTGGCTTCAAATCAGTATACTGGCGGAAGTTGGAACCAAGTTGTCCATAGTATATACAGTCTATGGTCATGACAGTCAGGGATGGACTCCTGCCATGACACAGAACACCAGCTGAACAGCAGACAGTGGACAGCTCCTGGTGCTGAAACAGAGCGCTGTCAAACATATTAAATCCTTTGTATACAGCCTCAAGACTCCCCAGCTTTTCATAATAGCAATCAAGGTGAACTAAAGGTAAAGTTAGTTTCCTTTCCTTCAGCAGCTTCCCTCTTTAGAGCCTTTGAGAGACTTTCTCCTCAGCTAACTCAAATGCTTTGCTAATTCCATCCTCCAATAATCGAACATCCCAGTTGCACCTAAACAATAATAAGGCCACTTATGTGAGCAAATGAGCAATAATTCTGAGAGGAAACAATTGTAAAACACTAATCCAAGTAAGTTAGGTTCCTGTGGGTTAAACAGAGGCAAGCATTAGTTGAATGATACCAAAGTGGGCGATTATTGATAATATAAAAGGGAGTTTTCAGAAACATGGTTTATGTTGACTATTTTATTACTTAGATCAGCCAGTAATAAAGTTATTTAAACATCAAAATGTGTAACCATTACATCCCTATCTCTGCACATTGAATAAACACCTGGAGCAAACAGGACAAGATCTAACAAACTTTGTACTTCCCCTCAGGTATAACTTTAAAAATGTAGTTTGACTCTCATACGGCAAAAAATCACAGAGATTCAATGCCTGATTGATTTCAGTTTTGAGTTATGTTTTGAGTAATCGTTCAAGCTCTTACTGGATAAGTTTGTATCAACGACAGCGCCAAACAAACCATTATGTACCTCATGTGCCCTTCCATCACAGTCCCATGGATCATAAATTAAGAATAACATTTGGGTATTTTTTGTCATTTCCACTAAAAAAAACAAGACTTAAAACTGTCACAAGTCGTTTCAACGCTGCTCAGGTGGGAAAACTGGACTCTGAAAAATGTTTAAAGTTAATAGACGTATGCAAATGAGTATAAATGATTTCTAAATATGTCATAATATGTGGAAGAAAATCAACAACTTTGAAGTAAATAAATAATCAAAACAAACAGTCAGAATTGAGCGTCTTCATCAGCGTGGTCTCTGAGGAGAGACGTCTCTGAGAGAAACGGCTCGGATTTAAGACCTCAAAAAAAAAAAAAAATAGCGGACAAATTTCTTAGGCCTCAGCAGAAAAACAAGAAGCTGACAAGTTTTTGTAGTTATTAAAATATACAAAATGATTAAAGCGTGCTGAACAATTTTCAAACGTTCCTTTAAACTACTATTTTCTATTATTCAGACTGAGCCACAAATAACTGTTGACTAATTCATAACAGCTGATCTTTCTTCTGTATTAACTTTTCTTCAGCATCTCTGGGACTTTAGTTTAAAGACATGTTCAGATCGCAGATATAATGCTCTATATCTGCAGAATAGCACACTAATTTGGGATATAACAACAGCTGACCATATTAAGGAAGACAACCTTTTATAAAGGGGGATCTTTTTTTTAAATTTAATTTAAAATGTTCTCAGTGGTCTTCAAATTGTGATTATGATGTTTTTAGCCATCACATTACATTACCTGTGTCATTTTCAAGGGGTGTCATTTTCAAGGGCTTTTCTTCTGCAGAGCTCCAGTTGCTCATAAGCAATGAGATGATGAAGGTTAAAATCATAGTTAGCTTTCTTATCAACATTGCAATCCGCTAACGCACATGCTTGTTCTGCAATCATCCTTTCTATTTTTCCGAGTGTGACCTGTATAGAAGGGCTCCGGGGGCGGAGCTTGGATTTGTGACATAGGAAATCTCACTGTTTCTGAACCTGCCGTTTGGGTCTGCCAGAGACTCACAGTGATTTGAATCCAGAGATACTCAGAAATGCAATTTAGCACTTCTTTTTCTCATGATAAGTCTTGTAGCTTCAGAACAATGCCATATAAACATGGAGACAACAAGAAAAACATGATTTTCATCAGAGTGGGTCTTTAAATATTTCAAACATTAACACCTAATGCACCAATTCAACAATACTTCAGGTCTTTGCACGCCGAGTCCATGTTTCTTTGCTAAACTCCTGGATGAAACCGAGGACTCAAAGAGCTCTCACTCTCTTGCTGGTTTTGAATGCAGTTTTGTTTGCAATCCACTATTCTGCTCTATTTTATGAAAGTTTGCAGCAGTGTCCCCTCAAATGCAGTATTATAAAGAAACGTCCTACACATTTAGAATAAGAACTAAGGGTACAGCTGTAGTAAAGGTTGTGCAGGTGAAGATCAAATGGTGAAGAGCAATTAAACTGAGTGGACCAACCAGCATGAACCAGAATATGTTTTTATGACTATGAGAGTGGTCTCATAATGCCGAGCTCTGCAGACCTTCCAGCATTCACCACATTACTCAAATGCATCACATTTGACTGACCTTTGCAGTTTAATTGATTTTTATGCAAATGCACAGCCCATGGTAATATCTGGCGTCCTACATTAATTCAATATGATAATAAGCCTTTTAGAATAAAGCACATATTTTGTTAATGGAGTGAAGATGAAGCCGCTTTAAGGGCATATGTGATTATTAAATATTAGAAGTTTTCTGGATGGGATTCAATCAAAGATCAGCCTCTCCGTGAGACATCAGATTGCAGATTTTTCAATACAATAAATATTTTAATGGATAGACTCGTACTAATATGGTGCTTTCTGGTCTTTCTGACAAATTACAGAGGTTTTTTTTTAATGCTCCAAATTTCTTTGTTTTTACAAATGTGTTATCTCTTTATTCCTCTTTATAAAATAATGGACACTGCATTTACCTGCCATTTACCCTCCTATCTCCTAAACTTGTTTCCAAGCCTATGCGACTAAAAGCAACAGCTGACAAAAAAAAAAGAGATTGGCAAATTGAATATACCTTCCCTATTTCTGTGTTTTTCTGCTCATCACTCTAGCCGCCTTTTGCATAAATACATAAACACAGTGTACTTAAATAATACTTGGCTCTCTGTTTGATCTCTGCTCCTCTTTGTTTAAAGCACTCATATCTATATTATAATAATCACTTTATCCATCAGCACTCACTGATTGCACAGACACCCAAACACTATTAGAGCAGCAGCAGCAGCACAATGTCATTTGGTTCAAATTAGATATAATTTTCACCATCAGTGATAAATTGATTTTAAACATAAAGCTCTGAGATGATTCAATCAATGCCAGAGCAGCACTTATTTGGACTAAGGAGGAAGTATTAGAGAGGAGAGAGAGGAGAGGCTTTTCAGATAAAGAGGAGGGTCTGTTTGAGCTGAAAAATGAAGCAAACTTAGACAAGAACATCTGTGATCAACTCTTCATTACCTTCAGGAACGTCTAAAGTTTGTGAGACTTTCTGCCTGTTCACTAATTAGTCGTGTTTATTCAGATTTTTAGCTTCCATCAGCCTCATCAGGTTGTTTAGCCTGCTGGCTGCCCACACTGAAACCGAAACACATCCCGTCTTTTAACCTGGGGTAATAACACTCCTCTGAAAATGAGGAGGAATCTCTTACTTTGCTTTTTTTACCCTTCACTGCAAGTCCACAGGGATGACCCTGACTTCCACGCAGCATGGGAGAGGTTTGTTGTACAAGAGCAGAGTCTTGAATAACTCAAAGAAAGTTTAACTCACATAAACTGCATGGATCGAGTTAAAACACATAAACTGCAACCAGTGCAAAGTTCACCAGTTTTGTATAAAAATTCTAGTTTTACAGTGACACCAGATTGAGCTTTCAGATCATGGATGCTTATCTTAGCTTTGATTTTTGTATGGGGGATTCAGTGCATCATGCAGTATCCCTTTAAGTCCCGCCCCAAAAATCCTGGAGAAATTGATTGTTTTCAACGACCAATTTCCAGCTAATATAGTATATCAAGACAGAATTGTAATAACACCACACATCTCCCCTCTATCACTGGGACTTGCACTGGTTGTTCCGCGCGAATTTTACGAGTCAGGGTTCAGTTCGCCGCTCCGTGAATCAAAGCGCCCTTCGGTTATTTTCCTCCGGCTAAATTGTTGAGATAAGACCTGAATGTGTTGCTTTACTTCACTGACCTTTGTACTGAGCTGGAGAGAAGAAACTCTCAGAGGCAGAGCTGGAGAGATGAGCCACGACCGTTTCCAGAAGGTCAGCCAGCCCTAAAGAGAGAGAGAAAAAAAAAAAAAAAACGACGTATAGAAAAGATTAATGTTGGTGCAGCTGTGATAAACCTTGAGTTCAAAGTAATCTGATTTAAAAATTTGAACACATCAGCTCTGCTACTTCAACTATTTATAGGAGGAGAGGGTAAAATCCTGTTATATACATTGTTAAATACAGCAAGTGACCCAGAAAGAAAGCAGTGCATTTTTAATGAAACCATCTCTGAGTCTTTTACAGAAAACAAATGACTTTCACATCATATTAGAGAGGTCAGAAATAAAAATGTAATATCACCACTAAAAGCACTTAAAGTGGAGTATCTGAGTATAATTTTAATGAATTTTAATGCTCTTTTTTATCACGCTGTAATTGCTTGTCAGTGAGAATGTATGTCCATTTCCCTGCAAAGCTTTAGTACCTGCTCTGCCTCGTATCAATCTTCAAAGTGAGAGGGCCCCGGATAAAAATGCACTTAAGGGTCACTTTCTTAGGTACACCTCTATAATCTAATATAATCTAATAAAACAACTCTGACATAAACTGTACCTCTGCTCTCAGCTGTAGATTCAGCTTTGGTGGCACGATCAGACATGAAATTCAACACTGAGGTCATACACGTTGAGACCAGACTCGATAACATTACTACACCCTCTACTAAACTTTGGACTGCAACCCCAGTTAGGATCCCTGGCCAGTTTTTATTGGCTATATTGTGACCCATCATATTTCAAGTCTGGCATTCAAAAGACTGATTGGCTTTCACAACACAGCTTCATTTAGGTTTGTCATTTGTCATTCAAACTGAAATTTTTAATCTTGGACAAGTTGTTAGACACACTTGTATCTGTTTACGGAGATTAATCAGTTGTTAAATTAAATGACAAAATGAGCCTCCATGTTGTCACGGGGGGATCACGTTCCACCTCCCTCCTCTCTTAATGACTGTTTTCCTTGCATGCACTGAAGCCTGCTGACGTGTGATTGGTCAATACTACTCAGACTACACTACAAATGGAAACCAGCACACTTCTCATTTTAAATTTCCCACCATAAATCAAACTTTCTATGAAGAATCTGTAAAAACACAGAATACTATCATGTCCATTCAATAATCAAAGTAATTTCAAAACCCACTACACTTCGAGGACTGGTGCATTTGATTATATTAGAGTGTGCAGGTCATCCTGAATAAAATCGTGCACCTGTATTTGTTTTATATTATCTGGTCCTGTGTTTGAAAGAGACTGCTCTTAAAACTAATAACCACCATTTTCTGATAGATAGAAAGTTTTCCTGTCTCGGTCGGAAACTGCGTCTCTAAATCTTCTTCCTCTTTTTTGTGGCGTACCACAGGGATCTATCCTGGGGCCCCTTCTTTTCTGTCTTCATAAGCATATATAGGCTGTTGCTCTTTAAAAGGTCATTCCCATCATTTGAAAAAGCATTAGGGTCCCTGAAAGTCTGCATCTTGTGACAGTCCTATGAAACAAAACTCACCAATTCATGGTATTCACATTAAAGACAAATAGTCTTGTACTGCCCCTGTGCAAAGATCCCTTCACTGGCTCCCTGTTGCTTTTAGGATCCAGTTTCAACCTCTTACTCTTCCATTCACAGCCCCAGATTATTCAGCCAAACTTTATCAGCCCAATCAGTCAGAAATGTCACATTTACTAAAGGTACCTCGAGCTCTACATCGACCCTGATCTTTTTCAAATCAAAATTTCAAAGGTCTTAGCTTTCTTATAGAAACCGTCTTTTGCCTCCATGAGCTGAAAGCTAACATAAAACTATGAATTCGTCTGTAAAAGCATTTATTACATGCAAACCGTTCAAAAGATTAGTAAACACAATGAGGGCTGATCATGTTGCAGCGCAGCGACTCTCAGCACAAGTGAATGCATCTCACTGAGATGCTGTCTAGGGCGGACAATTAGGCAATCAATAGGATGACAAGATAGTGAGGTACTGAACAAGCTCTTCTAAAATGAGTGTTTTGATAAAGAGATTGTATACTTCATCATTTTTATCTCCCAGCTTTACAGAGGCCTGTACAAGTGCTAATCACAGAGCCTTCATACGCAGAGACAGATGCAAGCAAATGCTCAATAATTAGCAGAGGAAGGAGGTTGATATAGTCTGTAAATGCCACAGTTTCCCTCATTTGAATGTTTCTTAAAAAGCGGAATTTCAGGCTTGGTATGGCTAATTATCCACCAAAGAAAAAAGCACTTGTACACACAGAGAGAAGCTTAACAGATGATAAATCTTGATCATGCTCTTCCAGTAAAAAGCCCTAAATGAGCGCCATAGAGCGGAGAGTGGATGAGATCTCGGTGTGCTGATGAAGAGCAGCAATCACGGTACAGTGTGTGCATTAATGGCAAGATTGTCAGCCCTCTTTTGAGTGTATTTTTGTTCTCTTTGAATCGCAGCGTTTTTACACCCACATATGAAAAGTAGGCGTCGCTGGCATTTCATAGTGGATGTCAATAGCAGTGATGAGAAGTTCTTAAAAGGTTCATAGACATCAGATCTATGTAATCTCAGTGTGGGTGTGTGTGGTACAGCTGCAGTACAAAGAAGAGAGCTGATAATGTAGTTAAACATGGAATCTATGCTGCTGAACAGGTGGAGATGATCTTTTTTGGCTTATCTTTCTTGTAGTTATTAATGACTCAATCACTTTGTGGGAGCTGAATGGAAACTTTAGTCAGAGTCAGAATTTTAACTCTCCTTAAATTTCAGGATGTAGATTTTCCATTTAACATCCCTTGTGACAAACTCATAGGTCACTCTGTTATTATGCTGCGTTCCAGTTACATTGGAGGTTGGAGCTGGGAATGACGTTACACCTGAGTTGGCGGTGTTCCAGTAAACAAGTCTGAAAACCAAGATGGACGCCTACAGTTAGCTGTTGTCAGCTGTTGTTAGCCATTGTCAGTTATTGTTGGTCGTTGTCAGCTATTGTTAGTTGTTGTTAGCTATACCAGTAGCAAACAACGCATAACACAGTATTTTACTCCTACAAACACCATAGCATCGTGTTCATAGTTAGACGTTGGGCAGTACAACATATACCACTTATTTAATTTCACAAAAACAAAACAGAAGTGCTTATAAATAATACATTATGAGAGCTTTTACTGTTACTCTTTACTGTCGATGCACTGCGCTGCCATCTTGAATAGTGACGTAGTCATCAAGTCGGGGTTGGTGAGGATTGTCCAACTTTCCAAATTGGAAATCCTACTTAAGGGGGGCGTTCCGGATGAATTTCCGACTCGGAGATCGGAAATCCCGACTTCTGAATACAACTGGAACACAGCATTACAAATGCAGTGCCATCATGAGGCAATTTGGATACAGAAATTCATACCTATAAGGGAACTCCACAGTGAACCAGTGGCATACCTTTTCCAGTCAAGACATTCGGTCTGGACTTCATGATGTTGCAGTATTGTCTTTTGCACATCTCCATCCAGCTGTCCTTGTTCTTTGTGTCTTTAGATGAGGCCAGAAGTGCACTGATTTCTGCGTCTGAATGGAGTGGAAAAAACCCATAAATGTAAGATCACAGTGAAAATACGAAGCTTTATAGATGTTTTTCTTACCTTGTGAGTTATGGTTGATGTTCGGTGGGTCCAAAGTGTAGCAGGGAGGTAGAGGGTAGCTTGAGAACATGGGCCAGGGGTAAGGATGCTCCCCCTGCAGTGAACAAATAAAGAAATGTAAATAACAGCGTAATCAGCTTATTACCCCAACGTGCAGTTATAATAAATCTATACAAATTTGTTTTGTCTCCTGTGGAAGTTCGTCCAGACCTTTTCAAACCTTCATGATTCATCATATTTGTGTTATTTTCTTTGATTTACTTCTGCACTCCTCTGATTAGATCGCCCCTGCAGCGGTGTATCAGCTTGCTGGGTTATTGATGAGTCATTTTGTTGGATTGTTTGAGTTTGTTTATAATTTAACATCCTTGAAGCTGTCCAAAGACAATGTTTGATGGCACTTTTTGAAAACATTTTAAACTTTTAACAATGTAGCTCACTTTAAGAAAAAAAAAAAAGGATAAATTTACGGCTGAGAGTTACTTAAGTGCCGAGTTATGATTGGTTATTGTAGAGTTTAATTTATTGCTTCTGATTTCTTTCTTTTTCCTCTCATTTGGCTCTTTTGTTTCTGTATCCGCTCGCTTAGTTCTGAAGTCATTACGCTTGTCATATCTTACATTTGAAGGCTCATAACTTCTGAGTCACAGCTCAGCATGTGACTTGCCAAAATCATGTGCTCTAAATGTTAATGGGGTTTAGAAAGCAGCCCTCTTTATCCCCCTGTCTGTGCTCTCCGCTCATCATAATCCCTGCTGCTATTCGAGTCTGCCACTCAGATGATGGGCTGCTGCTCTAACAATGCATAGAGCGCTGTATGCTGAGTCTGTGAGGGCTGCATACAATCCTTATGCAGCTCTTAGACTCACCGCTTAAGCTAATTCCTCTGCATTAAATATGATCTGGGGTACTTATATTTAGACTTTTCCTGACAAAAATACCCAAAAGGCAAGAAATTAAGTCAAGAATTGAAAGAACTGAATGAAAACAGACAATTTAAAAAAACACTTCGAGTGCATCAATGTTCAATTAATTAGCAATTCAAAGAGTTACGTCAGTTTACAAAGTGCCCAGTCATCTTTCAGGAAGCTGCTACAGCGAGCTCACCAACAGTACATCTATCAATATTTCATTGTTGACACAAACAGTTGGAGTTCATATTCATTATGACAGTTCCAGTCAGAAGCAATATAAAACTGCATCATTCTCTACAGCATAACAGAGTTTTGATTTGATGTGCTGTCATTTAGGGTGGAAAAGGCATTTTGTTTTACAGAAGCCAAACCAACATTTTCACCAACATCCTAAAACTGTCCAGAAGCACATTTTACATGTTTATGATTCTTTCCAGACATAGTAAGAAGCCAAATAGCCGATCAATGTGAACAAACAACATATCGACATTATTACTGCACAGCCTGCTCATAAACCGTTTACAATCTACCAAGAAGCAGGAAACACTGACCAGGGTGCCTGCAGTGTCTGCAGATATTATCAATATGGCTGAAACGATTCCTTGAGTACATAGAGTACCTCATTTACAAAAAATGATCGAAGACATTTCTCTGCTATGAAGTACTCGTTTATAAGCTCAAATCATTGCTTTTCTTCTGAAGAGCTCCAGTGGCTCATTAGCAATTCGCCTCTGAGTCATGGGCGGCGCTGCTCTGCACGCCCATCTTCACGCTAGCTTGCAGCCTAACATTGCAGGTGTAGTAGAAGTGGCAGGTAACATAGGAGATAATCAGCTCTCGGACACTAATGTCTTTAGGGACATGATGAAATTTAATATCATAATTGGCTTTTTTACAAGCATTGCAGTCTGCTAACCCACACACACTTGTTCTGTGATTGTTCCGCAATAAAGGCACTTTAACTCAAAAAATTATGTTTTATCCAAATTCTCGATTAATTGAGAGATTATTGGGTAGAATACTTGATTACTACAATATTTGATAGCTGCAGACCTAATTATCATCATTTTGATGCATAGAGATTGGTGCTGATTATTTCATAAAGGGGCCAATAATTCCGCAATTAATTAACCCAACCAAGTAATCCAACTCAAATCCTTTAGTATATTCTGTTTCATATAAACTTCCTTCATTGTGGACTGAATGGTGCTTCTCTATGCATATACTTGGATTTATATAGAAGAGCATAACACTATAATGGTTATGCTTGTTTTTATTTTATGATATTCCATCTGAACAATTTCTGAATTAACCTTGTTGAAGCACAAAGAGGTTAAATTCCAGCTAGTCAATTAACTTTGACTCTTTTTGATGTCCTCTAAACCCCACGAGTCTTAGAGATCTGATCAGGAACAGGACTGTGTTGTGCTCGGTGGTACCTGCAGCTCTGCACACGGGAACAAAGTGACTGTGTGACAGTTTTGATCATCATGCCTCCCACTGAATGACCTTTTTTTGTGCATATGAAATAGATTTTACAAAAATATGACAGAGTCTGGGGAGATGTCTTTGCATATTCTTGTTGAAAGCTAAAACAGGAAAAATAAGGGCCTTTTTGTAAACAGTATATTTCTATTAAACATTTTGAAAAGTCGTTAATCCATAGTTTAAAATTGCATTTTGGTAAAATGATGATCCTCTTGTCTCACTCATTTCTTACAAGGAAAGTGGCTTTTAGTTTTACAGTCTTGTGATCTGTAACACAGTAAACTGCTTTTTTTTGTCCTTGTCTTGCATAAAAATCAAATTAGAGATAAAACAAAGAGTCTGTTGCAACATGAAGAAACCCTCGCTGAACTCATTTACACTTCCACTTTTAGAAACCTCCTTCTTCTCCTTCCCTTGACCTCAGAGTAAATGAGTTTCTTGTTTTTCATTCAGTAAACAACACCTACATAATTGTAATCTATCCAAAACATGCTGAGTGAATGAGGCCGTGGGCTTCAGACACGGGTGCATAAATTACCCGCAGCATGAACTGATAACAGAACCAGATAGACTGGAAGTGTGAGGCTGAAACAGTGAAGACTCAACCTGTGCAATCTTTTAATGAACTTGACTGACATTTTAGTAATATTAGAAATTAAGAAAAGTATATTTTAGGATTACTAAAATTGTTGGAGAGAAATTCTTATTTGCATGTGATCAATTACAGAGTGATTGGCAGCATGACTCTGTTGTTACAGCTCTCTTTTTCATGCACATAAATTGAAAGGCTTTAGGGGAGAACAGTCTGTAGAGCAGCAGCAAGAGTAGGGAGTCTGAAGCAGTTCGAACACACAACCTGTCTTGACATTTGCCTGCTAGATGGGTAGAGGACAATTGGCCAAGCTGTCAGCTGATATGGGCTGACGTGATCAGCTGATGTATTCAAGGAGGAGACTGCACCCCTTCGAATCAAGGTGAAATAAGCATTAGAGCTCATCTGACCTCTTGTAGTGCTCTAGGAGGAAGTTTCCTCTCAGACGGACCTCCAACCACACCGACACGGACCAACACGTGGTTCCTCTCCAAAGACAGGCTGTCTATGATGAACTTCCTGAGAAGGTTAAACAGAAAAGAGATGAGATTGGGCAAAAATAGTCCACAAGGGTCTCAGGCTTCAATGTCCAAAGTTACGTTGCTGCTTTTGTGTATGACAGCATGGGATCTGTGCAGGTGACTTAACCTCAACAATAAGTTTTTGGGCAAATCTATACAAACATCACCATGTTGGAAATGCTGCTCAACCTAACCTTGCATTGGGTGAGTTTTAAGCCTTTAGTGTGTCAGCATCTAGGCAACTAAAAAGGAAATATGCGGACCAAAATTGTTTCTTGAACTGGGATGCAATCATGTTTATTTTAAGCGGGCCTTTTAGAGTGGGTGTGTATGTGGCTTCTGGTGCTTTTGCAGCTGGCCTCAAGTGGACACTCAAGGAACTGCACTTTTTAGCATTACTGCTCTAGCTGCTCTCCTACAGACTGAAGGCTGCTGCTTGGTAAAATACGGACTCTCCTTACACATGACTCTTTTTAAAGCAGCTCTTGTTTTTATCTGGAGTTTACTTCTCTTCTTTTTTATCACAGCATATAAACTGTTTGTTATATCTTAAAAGTCCCACTCCGATCCTTTATTTTTTAATATTTAAAGTGTTCTCAGTGGTCTATAAATTGTGATTATGAAGTTTTTAGCCAAAATCGCACTACCTGTGTCATTTTCACAGGCTTTTCTCCTGCAGAGCTCCAGTAGCTCAATAGCAATTTGTCTCTGAGTCGTGGGCAGAGACAGTGTTGCTCTGCACACCATTATCGCATTATCAGCCTAACATTGCTGGTGGAAGAAGCAGGTAACATAGGAGCTATTCAGCTCTCGGACACTAATGTCTTTAGGGACACAGTGAAAGCACTGTTTCTGAACCTGCCGTTTGGGTCTGCCAGAGATTCACAGTGATCTGAACGCAGAAATACTCAAAAATGCAATTTCGCACTTATTTTTCTCATGTTCTGTAACATCAGAAAAATGTTATATGAACATGGAGACAACAAGAAAAACATGATTTTCATCAGTGGATCTTTAATATGGGTCACCATGGATGATACACATGACATTTCAGGTTTAAACTGTTTTTGTCTGGAATCTGGGTCTGACCCAATAACTCCCTGCAGATTTATTCATGCAGAAACTAAAGACAGAGATGAGAAAACATCTTAGTCAGAGCTTGATGGTGGATGTTCGGGTGGTTTGGGGGCGATGACAGAGGTAGAACGGAGCCTGAAAGGTTTGCCAAATTGGGAAATGTTTGTGAGAAGATTGTGAGGATGACCGATATTAGGTGAGAAATGAGTTGCCTGTCTGGACTAGCTCTCGAGCGTCACTTAATTTAGAGGTGGAAAATATGTAAATGAAATTTCAACGTGTTTTTTTTTCAGTTCGACCTCAGTAACATCCAAGTTTTTCCAGCAAAATTAAAGAAGACCCCGAGTTCATTAATCCATCAAACCTTACAAGTTTTCAAAAACACTCTGTACAGAGTTTGAAGGCTGTGCAAAGACAGAAAAAATTATTGTCATGTCAGATTTTGATAAACTCAGAGTCCTCTGACTATTAACACACTTCAGGGTTTGAGGGTGCCAGCCTTAATGGACTGCTCTTATGTATAAAGACATTTTGACTTTAATTTTGTGATAAAGGTGACTACTTTTTTAATAGTGCTCTTTCCAAGGTTTTTTATTTGGCACCAAATGTAATTTGCATTTATGACTTTGTGACTAAAACAGAATGAGTTTCCTGAATGAAAGCTCAAACCGCAGAGGTCAAATAAAACGAGGTGATTCCCCTCACAAAGTACTTTTTATATTTTGGGGTTGCATTGATTTTTTTCAAAGGGCCAGAGAAGAAAAGGTGTAAAAAAAAAGGAGAAAATGGAAAATAAATGATGAAAAAGCCAGATGTCAGAATGTAAAGCCTGAAAAACATAGAGCAGAGGAAGGAAGGATTGTCAAAAGAAAAAATGAGCCTGTGATGTCTGCGGTGATAATAAGGGCATGAGGAGAAGGGAGGGCAAGAGTGGGAGATGGGAGAATAAATTAACAAGTCGTCATTCTCCAAAAATGCAATGTGAGTTGGCATTTCAGGGCCATTTTCATTCATAACCGACAGCCGCAGCTCTGCCAGCCATTACCAGGAGAGAGGGGCTTTTCAATACCCACTTTCAGAAATGGCCTTTCACTCGCTTTCCGCTTTATTCCATTTTATTTGTGACAATGAAAACAAACAAACAATTTCTCATCCTGAGCAATGATTAAATTTGAAAGTGTTCTGTCATATCAGGATGATGTAGAGAGGAGCAAAAAGCCTCTGCTGAACACAGAGAGAGAGAATATGACTGTGTGCATGTTGAGCGTGCTCGATGTGGGAGCTACTGAAACGTCTAAATGTGTAAAAGAGACATCCTACAGTTCAGCTTAGCTCGGGCTGTATTAAACCGTTCTTCACAAAAACCTTTACAGGCAAAGTCCAGGTACTGGAGCATCTATGACATAACATTAACTGCGGTCCTGATGGGGATCCAGGGAAGCTAAGCTGACAGAGAAAGACCACCACATGTACAGAGGTCCAGTTCATGACATTCCCACCTTCATCGCCTACATTTCCACCCTGGCTCAAAACATCCTTTCTCAACAAAGCAAAATATGATCCTACTTTTTAGAAAGAAAGAGAAAAGATAGAAAGAAGGAACAGAAGGGGGAAAGACAGTAGAATGGAGTACAGAAGGACGTAAGAAAGGATGTGTGAAGGAAAGAAAAAAGAATGGGAAAAGTGAGGTAAATTTAGGTAAGGGAAAGGACGGTAGGAGGAAAGGATGAAAAAAGAAGGGTAAGAAGGGGGAATGAGGAAAGGAAAGTAAGAAGAAAGGATGGTAAAAAGGGAAGATGAGGGAAAGAGGGAAAAATGAAAAGAATGGAAGAAGGTTAGGAAGAAAAGAAGGGGGAAAGAGAAGGTAGGATGAAAAAGGGTAGGAACTGGGCAAAGAAGGAAGGCAGGATGATAGAAGGAAGGAGGCAAGAAAGAAGGGCAGGATAAATAAAGGAAGGAGGCAATGAAGGAAGGCAAGATAAAAGAAAGAAAGAAAGAAAGAAAGAAAGAAAGAAAGAAAGAAAGAAAGAGAAGCCTTTGTTGCTGTAAGAGAATAAAGATTCAGGTGAAACTCTTTCATTAAAGAGGTTTTATATCCAGACGCACTGTCTGCTCTTACTCTGAGTTTTGAAACAAAGTTAACAAGCTCCACAGATATGATCTGACCATTTTTCTTTCTTTTTGTTCTAACAAGAAAGAAAAATGAATCTCAGCACACTGAAGTATTTCTCTGAACATTTCAAAGCACTGAAAGTTTGAATATTATACAAATTTATGACAATAAATCAAATGTTTTTGCTGAGAAATGGTCATAGTTTTCTTTTTTCTCTTTAATCCCATGAACAGATCAAAAGAAAAGCAGCCATTTGTTTTAAAAAGTTAAATTCATTATGCTTCTAATTATGATTCAGCTTAATAACTCTGTTACTGAGACAGAGAATGAAAAACTGAAATCTAACTAGTTAGAAACCTCTTATCTTATATCTCTGGCAAAGCTTTGATAAAAATCTGATTTATTTTTCTTTGCAAATTAGGAAGGCAATTATCAGGCACCCTTCGGGCATCATACAAGTACAAAAAGATTTCCCAGTGGCAACAATTTCAATTAATTCAAATTATAAATGACTGTCATGATGGTAAAACAAGTATCAAAAACTGACGAAGGTGATATTCTAGGTGAAAAAAGTCCAGCACGGCCACAAAGAAAACTATGCTCTAATGATTAAAACATTTACCGTTTGTTGAGACACAAAAGGATGAGAGAAAGTCAACACAAAATCCCCATAGCCACAAATTATACAAGAAAGAAAATCACAACAAAAGACTTTTTTTATTTTTTTATTTCTTAAATGTGTTTCTTACCCTCCGTTGGAGCCCGGCTCAGTGACATCCTCCCCCTGACTCTGCAGCAGCATGGAGCAGATGTTGTACTGGCTCTCCAGCAGCAGGAACGAGTCCAGATTACAGCAGAGCACGCTGAGCAGTCTGCAAAAACACACAAACAACACGTCAACATGCAGAGAGGACTGGCATTTTCAGATACAGAATCACAACATCAGCATCCAGCAGTTCAGACTTGAATGACACAGCACAGCGGGGTGCAACCTGCAGACAAAGACAAAGTCCCCATTTGAATTGCTGGATCAGTCAACAGAGTGTTTCCCCAGCAGCTCTCTGCTGCCAGTTGTAAGCTTGGTTAAGTAGGAGGCCTCGAGAGAGGCTTCATGCTTCATTTTCAATAGCTGGTAATGACACCAGGATCATGCAGCCTGTTAGGCTCAGGAGCGCATGAGACTCTGAAATTTGTATGATCCAACACCTGTAGAGAGAAAGGGCTTTGAAAAATCTTTTGATCAAGCACCAGTGACTTTTTTTTACTTCATCAAAACTTCTTTATCTCAGTCAGTCAGAGGAACCTGGCTTGCATCCATGGTTTTATTTTGGCAAGGCAGTTTGTGAATGTGGGGATGAAACTGGCTGAGATGAATATGTGGATGTTGTTGTTTTCGCAGTGGAAAAGCAGACTGTGATTGCATATTGCATATTATATCACCAAGAGGAAGCATGTAGAGAATAAAAAGGAAGTGAACCAAGCATTGAACCCTGGGGGACATCTTGCGACAGAAAAGCACTGGAAGAGGCATACATTTTAATAAAGAAAAATTGTTGTGCGTTTGCCAAATGAGACCTGGGCCAGGAGAGTTTTAAGGCACGGTCTATAGTTGTATGAAGCGGCAACCTTTTTATTTATTTATTTATTTTGTATTTAACAGATAAAATAATCAACCACCTTTGCAGCTATGTCCCTCTCAGTTTGGAGTTTTTATTAATTTTATTACATTTAAAGTATTTTTAGTATGTTTTTAAAACAAGATCTGAAATTCAAATAACAGATAAAATTCTAGAACAGCTCTGCATTTATCCCGACTTACAACAAACTGGTGAAAAAAGCTGGCTCTGTGGTTGGATTAAAGTTGGACTCAGTGGAGGATGTGGTGGAGAGATCTACACTGAGGAAGGTGGAGACTATTCTCAAGAACATGGATCACCCACTTTATAACTCCTTAATGGACCAAAGGGCCAATGGTGGTGGACGACTCTCTCTTTGCTGCAAGACAGAAAGATTCAGAAGAACTTTTGTACCCACAGCCATCAGACTGTACAACTCTTCTGTAAATAGTAGATGACCTTTAGAGACATGACAAATGAGACAACAGACAATTGAATTTCCCTTCGGGGATTAATACAGTTCTTCTTAATCTTATTCTTAATGCTTTTCAAGTGAGCTGTAGGTCTTAGTTTTTGATCCAATGTAAAAGGTGGTTCTTACAGCCTATTAGTAGAGTATTGGGGGGAATACTTTTAGATGTTAAATTACCAGATTTGGTATATTCAATATACCTTTAATATGAGTCAATGTACAGACTGTGCAATCAGCTTTCTAGAAGGTTCTGCAACTGCTTGATAACAGCTTTTTTCCACCTTTCCTGTTGTCTTTTAATGCCTTTCGAAACATTCTGAGTTGCCTGTATTACCTCTTGCAAGAAGCTAGAGAGCTCTTAAGTGCAGGAAAATGATCTGCCAGTTATTGTGCGCACGTTCTCAAACATTAACGTCGTCTGAGTGGCCATTAGATAGATCCTGTATGTGCGAAACCTGAGTGCAGCACTGGCTACAACAATCTGGTTAATGTTTAGTATCTACTTTCCTGCACTCTGCCCCTGCAATTCATTTAGAGGGTGCTCTTTTAAAAACATCAAATATCCATAAAGAGGTAATTTCATGAAGTTAGTGGTGAAACCAATAGGATATTTCTTTTCATGAGATGCTGATCAGGCGCCAAATGTATAGAAACTCAAATCCTTACCACACTGGTCTTATAGGTTCTATTCCCCATTCTGGCAATACTAAGTGTACGTCATACTCCACTCTCTTCATTTTCTGTCTTTCTTAAGCTTTACTAAAAAACAAACAAACACAACAAAAAAGGCATGTGAGTTTAAATATTTGAAAATACGCCTTCTGTGTTAAGGCTTTTCATCACTACAGAACCAGAATTTAGAAGAATAATTATACATTTCTGAAGATTAGAGCCTTTCTCGCCAGAAGAACAGATTAAACTAACAAGATGAAAAATTGAACATGCCACAGTAGCTGTTTACCAGGGATGTAATGATACACCCGTACAATAGGATTCATGATGCTGGGCTTACAGTACAGGGTTTTTTTTTTTTGTTGTTGTTGTTTTTCATTATATTCTTGAGGGTGTAAGTAATCCAGATTACGTTTAGCTCTGGAGGAGAGATTTCCTCATCAAGCTGATATTTGTCATGCTTTTAGTTCTTCCTGTTTTTTTTTTTGTTTTGTTTTTTTGCTATATTTCACTTCAATATACTGTATTCCTGTTTGAATTGGCACTGTTGGTGTGTTTTATGTAGTCTACTGCTGGGATAGAGGAAACTTGTACTTACTTCAATCTAAATATGTGACATCAGGGTACATGGAGGGCACTTCTACCAAGGAAGTTGAATGGCATTAATGTGTTTCCAAGAAGCTGGGTGGTGTTTACATTGTTCCATTTACAATCTGTTCGCCTCTTGCTCATGTGTTTGTTGATTGTTTTGGTATGTAGGCCAACTGGGAAACAGCCCAGTAGTAACTGAAAGCTGAACAAGGTACTGAGGCACATATCCTTCAAGAAACTGATTCTTGTAAACTGGGAAAAGGGCCGTAATCAAATTAAATAACCTAACCAAGCAAAAACCATAGCGCGTCTTACCCGGGATTTCCACTGCATTCGGAACGGTGGTGATTTTTGCCGTACGCCAATTCCTACCGGATCCATTTGTAAGGCGAATTTTGTGGCAGATTACGGACAGCAGGAATCGTGGGAATTTAGAAGAACCCGCAGATTCACGTGCAATCCCGCAATAAAAAGTTGTCATTAGCCACATAGGCTAACCATATAAGTAGTGGATTGTGTCCTCCAGAGGTGGAAATCCACTTCTAGACTTACAAAATCAGCATCCTCTCATCCATGGTGTAAACAGGGTGAAATGCTGTCTATAAACCTTTCACTTGTTCGTCGCTGCCCGTTTGCATGGTGTGAAATACGATCCGCCTGAAACACAGAGTGTTTTATTTTGAAAAGAAGCTGGATGTTTTATTTTGTTTCTGTGCCCGACTTCCTTTCCAGCATGAGTTAATCTATGCTGAATTTATTTTAATTTTAAAATAGAACTCTTGCGGTCAGCTGCGGAGTCCAGTGATCCGCAGCAGAACGGAAAGAGGCCAGCGGAAATTGACACATTAACTTAATTGGTTACAATCAGTTACAATTGGCGGATATGGCCTCTCTGTAGCCGTTTTGGATGCGGTGGAAATTGGGGGTTAACTGTGCATGTACATTAAATAGTTTAGTACTAGAGTATATCATTGCTGTAATTTTTGATGTTTTTTTCATGGTGTTAAGCTTGATATCTGTCCTCACTATCACAATAACGAGCCTCTCACCATTTTTTAAATGAAGTTTTTAGAGCAAACAGGAACGTCAGGGTTATTTTAACATGTTTAAAGGTGTTTAAAAACAACTCTTTCCTGTTTTTCACCAAATGTCACTTCACTCTCTAATAGCATGTGTCCTTGTGCTTACGTAAGATGCGATGTTAAACTCGGCATGTTGTGTGATGTGTCTGTCCTTGTAAAACACATCTCTCTCTTTTTTTCCACAGCTGCCTCATTTCCTGACGTTGCCAGGCAGGAGCTCGGGTTTGTGTTTGACTGACAGCTGTACTCACTCGGCCTGTCAGCAGCACAGCAAGAGGCTGAGAGTCTGTCAGGCCCTCTGACCCGGCTCTGTTTGAGACAAAGCAGCAGGGAATCCTTTCCCCCTAACCTTCTGGTTTGTATCCTTGATGGGCTGTTTCTATCAGCTGCAGTGAAGACTGACTGTACAATCAGAGGTCAACATGTCCAGAGCAGCAACTTTCTCAAACCACTGCTTTACTGTTCTTTTTACCTGAAGTGCAAACATACTAATACTTATTTTCAACATCAAGTCATCTGCAAACTATTTACTATAATAATTGTTTGATCAATTAACTTCCAGCTTATAGAAATGTCAGTTTCACTGAGTTTATTTTCCCCCAAATAAGTCTTATATCAGCCTGTATCCATATTTATATCATTTATCAAGTTGCTCTGTCATTTCTAACAGGGTTATTGATTTGATTAAGACTAACAGTGATGCCAATAGCCCATCAGCCAATCTAGATGTATACTTCTATAATTATAAACTGTAGTAGGATCTTTATTTAGTGTTTTGTTTTTTGTTTTTAGTAATTAATGCACCCATCTGGTCCAGGGACCCATATTATTCTTGTGTTTATGTATAATTGCAAATCCTGCATTTACATCATTCAGGCTTTCATTACAATACCAAATTTGATACAAATTTTATTTCACAAATTTGCCAAAAAAAAAAGAAAGTATCTTTCAACTTTAGCATAAGAACATTTCTTTTTTTGTGTGTGAAAATAACAGCTTCAAAGACTCTTCAGCCGCCTAAGTTGCAAATACTGTGAACTATTGAATTTCCCTTCAGGGATCAATAAAGTTCTTCTTCTTCTCATGTCCAGCATTGAAAAAGTCCTACAAAAAAGCCCTCTTTAAACAGAAACACGAAATTTTTGAAGAGCACTAAAAAAAATAAAAAAACCTGAGGTATAAATGATGAACGATTACAAAAACATACAGAGTGATTACTCAGTCTTTGTTGCTGCTATGACTGAATGATATTTTTTGTTTTTGATGGTGTTAAGCCATCTGATTGATGAAATGTCATGACCCCTGCTAATAACTACCACAATAATAGTATTTTCATCGTTGTATGTGTGAAATTCCTGCCATAGCACAGCAAGCATCCACTAACAAAGGCCAAAGCTGTGGTTAATGTCCACTGCCATGCTGCTGAAACACTCTACCACCCTGATCACAGAGGGCAGATGGCATTAACCCATCGTGTTGTGGAGAAACCAGCACAGTTATGTCAGTGTAAACCTGCAAAGGGGATTGCCTGGTAACCATTAAGCTTTAAATTCAAATGACACTAAGTTACATGCACTTACTGTTTAAAAGTTCCTCCTTTATTCTAAGTTTATCTTATAATTTATCCTTCTAGCTCACTTTTAAGTCATCTTTATATCTGTCCTTAAGCTGCTGTAACACACCAACAATCTTAATTTATCTTATCTCTGCTGACTGCTGTATTCAAGGTCCAGCACTTTCAGCAAAATTGGCTGAAAAGACTCATTTTAATTGAAGTATTAGAGATAATTTCTGCTTCACTTTTGATAAGAGATCAGAGGTTCTCCTGCTGACTTTTTTTTTTTAAACATTTCTTTCACCAAAGTAAGCAGTCAGCAGGTTTATTAATTGTACGCGAGTATTTAAATGACTTTGCAGAATTAAAAATGCACATTTAGCGCTACAGGATGCCAAAGACCCAGATGTAGATAATGAATGAAGGCTAATTAACAACACAAAGCAGGGCAGTGGGGAGTGCTGCTAATTTGGCATTAACTGCTTTTCAACAACAACGAAAAAAGAGCAAGGATGAACTGACCACAGCAAGCCTGATTCATCCACATTACTTCCTGTTTCGATGAATATCATATAATAATCTTCCACACAAGTGAAAAACACAGTGGCTGGATGTGGAAGATTGTTTAAAACTCTTCAGTCATCTCACCTGAGAATTAAAGTTGCTGTCATTCATTCTGACAAGGACTACATCTCACTTTATCTCCAAGTGAAAGACGTGCGTCGAAACGCCCGTTCATGATGAATGATTACTCCATCAATGACGCAGCCACATGCATCAGACGACACGAGTACAAACCAATCTGGAGCAGCAATCTCCCTGCCAGTCTGGGTAATGATCATGCTCCTGATTGATTAGTCATGCTTTAGGCAAGATGCAAAATGGTCATCTTTATGTAAGCGCCATTCGGGAGGCTTGTATCTCTGAGAGTCAAGAGGGCCTGCTTAAATCAATCATAAAATCATTAAACAGAGCAAAAATGCAAAGAAAACCACTGGAAGTGTGGAGATAGGGAAGATATACCATCCAGTAAGTTTTGAAGCGGTGCTGAAGACTACTGATGAGTAACTGCAAGATCAGCTTTTACTATATAAATGGAGACAGTACACTTCTCTGCTTTAAATACCAGCCAGAAGGCAATAAAAAGACCACAGGTATAGCATTTATTAGCATTTATTAACATTTATCAGAAGCTTAACTTGAGCTCTTAACAACACCATGAAATTTTCCTATTCTGTGAGGAGTCTCTTAAACTGGCATTACTAATGCTGCAGAACACCGAGAGCATTAAACCTCCAATGAGGAGCCTTTGTGTGTTTTAAAAACAGACTGAATTTATACTGATGGCTTTTTATGAACAGAAGACGGTTAAGGTGCTCTGCTAATAAACTGCAACATTTAAAAAAGAAACACACATTCAGGCTAGACGATAGAGCATCTGAACACCACAACTGCAAAGTGTACAAGTGCAGTAGTCACATCAGAGTGGAGACATCAGCCGTCTCCACTTTCTCACCATCTAAGATTTATGCTGTGTTCCAGTTGTACTCGGAAGTCAGGATTTCTGAGCTCCGAGTTAGAAATTTAATCTGGAACGCCCCCCTGAAGTCGGAAAGTCAGACGATCCTCACCAACCCTGACTTGACGACAACATCAAAATCCAAGATGGCAGCGCAGTGCATCAACAGTTAAGAGTAACAGTGAAAGCTCTTGTAATTTATTATTGATTAGTTTTTGTGAAGTTAAATAAGTGGTATATGTTGTACTGCCCGACATCTAACTGTGAACACAGTGCTATGGTGTTTGTAAGAGTAAAATACTGTGTTATGTGTTGTTTATAACTGGTATAGCTAACAACAACTAACAGCTGACAACCGCTAACAACAACTGACAACCCCTAACAACAGCTAACAACAACTAACAACGGCTAACAACAACTGGCAACAGCTAACGACCGCTGACAATTGTGAGCAACAGCTAACAACAACCAACAACGGCTAACAGCAACTGACAACGGCTAACGACCGCTGACAACTGTGAACAACAGCTAACAACGACTAACAGTAGGCGTCCATCTTGGTTTTCCGACTTGTTTACTGGAACGCCACCAACTCGGGTGTAACGTCATTCCCGGCTCCAACATCTGACTTCTGAGGTAACTGGAATGCAGCATAATCTACGATACATGTTGATCTGAAGTCATGCGCATTCCCTCATCATATGCAGGAAACATGTGTATCTATCTGTGATATGACCATAGAATGTACACATGCACGAGTTGCGACACCTCTGAAAACACGACTTTAACACTCTAATCCTAAATGATTAACTTTGCGTCATTTGTGTATTTGCAGGAGATTTGCTGTTTGTGCAGGGGTTACCTGCATGTTATAACACCTATAGCATGTTTCCAGTTCTTTTTTAAAAAACTTGTGAATCTGTTTATAAAATTGCATTGCATGTATTAGCACATTGCAGATTGTCAAACAGCAGAATAACCCATACCAAAAAACTATGTTTTTCTACAATAGCGCAGTACCATGGGCATTTCTTCCCTAAATCATACATTTTTCCCAGCAACATAATGGAAAGCGACATTTTGACATGAATGGCATCAACCCTCACATGGCTGATGTCACTGTTAACTTTCATTACCTTTTTCTAGTAAAAGTGTTCTTGGAAAAAAAAGCATGCCCACATGGTCAGGGCATAGACTGCATACATTATGGACAACTTGGTTCCACCTTCCACCAGTATACGGATTTGAAGCCGAAAAGCTCTCAGTATTCCTGCAATTTTTTCTCCACTCACTGAAACCAACATTGCTAAGTTGCATTTTATGCACTCCACCACTTGCGCAGTAGAATTGTATACATTCGGCGGGAGAGTAGCCAAGAGTCGCTGAAATGACACTCTGCTCAAACAGCGTATCCCCTGGGTGAACTACACAATCTTCATATGCCCATAGGCTGTATCAAGTGTCAATCATAGAAAACACGAACCTTAAAAATGGAGCTGCAGAGAAAAAAACAGAACTTGAGCACAAACCAATCTTACAGGAACTACATGTCAACATTGCAAGCAGGGGGGAGAAAAATGTATATTCTGTGTAATAAATTTCTCAAGTTTTCCCACAGCTCCATAGGGATTGCTGGAGGAGGAGAGATTTATGACCTATACTGCAGCCCGTCACCAGAGGGTGCTGTTCTCAGGGTGGCTTCACCCAGCGAGGAGGCAGATGGCGTCCATTCTATATACAATCTATGAGTCAGGGTGTCAGTCAGAAAGTTTCTCCGCATGTCCTGAAGTGTGCAACTTTTATGTCAGTATAGTGAGTGGCAGGTGTTGTGTATTGCTGCCCAAAAGAAGAGCTTGTGGAGACCTGGTGCACAGCTGCAGCTCCACACTGAGCATCTCTGGACAGTTGATTTGAGCCGGAACATGCTTTAAACTTAAAAAAAGCACCCTTATAGCTGAATAAATTATGACACTGTGTGTTATTTATCTCTGCGTGATAGAAAGATGAATAAGAATATACGTTTGAGTGGGTTCTTAACAGTCATTTACCTGTTAATCAATTGTAAGATGCATAAATCTAATACATCACATGCTATGGACATGAAATGTGATGTGGGCTGATGTAGGAGGGTATGACAAAAAGCTGCATTTGTACTGAGAGGCTGCTCCTGTTCCTACCCTTGCTTTTATGTACCTCTTTCAGTCTTCATATGTCAGCTCTGCATCTTAAACTAAGACCCTTTACACACTCAGGCAATGACAACATTATTGTCATTGTCTCAAAACTGCTGCTGCAGTAAAAACCATGACAGCCTTCAGCTCATTCAGAGCACAGAGGCTGTCAGTGATAACTAGATTTGTTGCATGTGTTTCCGTCCTTGTCTGATTGCTGGTATATTTAGAAAGCGGTAGTGACCGCATTCATAATAATGTCTCCAGCACTTAGTGGAGATTTTGCGGCTGACACAAAAAAACAAAAATCAAATCAAATCATGTGTGAAGTTTTGCACCAGCACACACTCGACATGTTTGGAGCCGTCAACAGGAGGGGGATAAAGGCATCTGAACAATCCAGACAGGAGAGAGAAAGAGAGGGAAGAGTGCTGGTTGCGATGACAACAAAGAGGCTTTCAGCAGAGAGGAAAAGGGCTGAGGGATTTTAGCTCTCATTAGCTTCTGGAGATCAAGCGGGTTGGAAATTCGTGCTTCTTCCTCTTTTTTTTTTGAAACCAAGAGGGCTGCACTTCAGAAATGCTCTGAGTGTGTTTGCTTGACAGCGGTGCTGGTGATTAAACCTGAGATGCATATTTTGAAAAAAAAAAAAAAAAAGAGTGTCCTGATCCAGATCTCAAGTACAGGATTAGAGTCAGTCTTGGTGTTTTTTTTTTTTGCTGATCAGTGAAAACATCAGTTTAGTCACCAGGGTGTCAGCATAACTGAATTTGTAAGCATTTCAGCAAAAAAATACCAAATTATATGAAAAATCTGTATTCCAGCTGATCAATTATCATCCATCCAGTTATAATGGTCATGAAGAAACTTTGAATGTCACCTAAAGAACCGGTTCCCCTCATTTATAACATGTATTTAGAACAAACACAAACAGGTCCTTATCGATACCACTACCAAGTCTTTTCTGTTGTTAGGTAGAAAGACAAGATGACAGAACGTTTTCACAGGCCTGGTTCGACTTGTCTTCCTGTGCATTGCTCTAGTTTTACTTAGTTACTTTTTCCTTAGCAAGTTTTTACTCAGCCAACCTTGAACACCTCACAGCGTTCCAATATATCACCTTGGTTAGTTAGCTCAGTGGCTTTTTCCTGCTGGTTTCATCATGTATCCAAACATTGACTTCAATTATAGTTTTTAACTAACAGGGCTTGCTCTAAAGTCTGGCTGTGCTCACCTCGGCTGCTTTGGGTGAAGAGGAGTATGGCAGCCCTGCAGCGGCGAGAGCAGCAGCCAAAGTTGAGGGAGTTGTTTCAAGCCTCAGACAGTCAAATGTACCAAATTTAGGCTTGAATTGATGCACAATGCTGATGTGTTTGGCCGTGGGGGTTGAGTTCACCCCCTTGCAAGCCGTATTTTGCAAAATAAATTGCATTTTGCTTCATTTCTATCTTTAGCTTTGGTTGAATATAGCCACACTTTGGACCGCTTCTAACTTTTTCACACTGCCTGTGACCGAATGATGCCAACGATCCTGTGTAGCATGAAAATGCTGAAGCAAATAATGACACACCGTAGGGGAGATCTGAGCTCCTGACATCTGACGAAGATGAAACACAAGCAGCTGCTTCTGATGCCTGAGCTGGTTTATGCTTTTTTTTAACAAAGGGAACAAATTTCCCACAGAGGGTGAAAACACTCAGTTTTATTGGAGTTCTTTAACATCATAGCTGCATGATTTTTAACAACACAAATGTGTATCGACTGTGAATGTTTGACCCTGAGTGCAGATCAGGGTGCAGTCAATAGTTTTGTTTTTAATTATCCGGCTGTGACGCAAAAACGTTTTTAACTTTTCAACTAATGAAGGAGTTTGCCTTGAACTACTTACGAAAGTATCTGTTTCATTTTTTTAGACAGTCAAAAATTAATTAAGGTAGAAAATGTCTTTTTTTTCTAAAAAAAGCACAGTGAAGAAAAAGTTTGTAAAAAAGGGGAGGTAATTAGAAAGGGGATCTCGGAAAAGCTTGATAAAAGATAAAACTGCTAAAGTTGGAAGTATGTTTAAGGACAAAAAGCAAAACTGGGTGAATCACAACTTTAGGATTGCAATGAAGCCAACTGTGGAATGAGAAAAACATATTTCTGGAGTCAAGAGGCATTGAAGGTTTGCTCCACTATCCTGTAACAATTTTTTCCAAACTTAATAACACATTGCTCTCTCCTCCTGCTCCTCTCTCTGCTTTCCTCTCCTCCTCCTGCTCTTCTCCCTGCTCTCCTCTGTCCTCATTCCTCTTTCTGCCCCCTTCTCTTCTCCTCCTGCTGCTGCTCTCCCTGCTCTCCTCTATTCTCCTGCCTCCTTCTGCTCCCCTCCCTGCTCTCTTCTCTCATCCTCTTAATCCTCTCCCTGCTGTCCTCCTGCTTCATCTGCTCTTCCACCTGCTCTCCTCTCTCCTCCTCCTGCTCTTACCCCTGCTCTCCTCTCTCTTCCTCCTGCCCCCTTCCTGCTCCCCTCCTCCTCCATCTTCTCTTCTTGCTATCCTCTTTCCTCCTGCTCTTCTCTCTGCTCTTCTCTTTCCATCTGCTCTTCCCCCTGCTCTCCTATCTCCTCCTCATGCTCTTCACCCTGCTTTCCTCTCTTCTCCTGCTCTTCCCCCTGCTCTCCTCTCTTTTCTCCTGCTCCTCTCCCTGCTCTTCTCTCTCCACCTGCTCTTCCTCCTGCTCTCCTCTCTCTTTCTCCTGCCTTCTCCTTGCTCCCCTCCTCCTCCTTCTTCTTTCCCTGCTCTTTTCTCCTGCTCCTCCTCCTGCTCTCCTCCAGCTCCTCTCCCTGCTCTCCTCTCTCCTCATCCCTGCTCTCCTCCCCTCTTCCTCCCTGCTCTCCTCTCTCCACCTGCTCTTCCCCCTGTTTTCCTCCTCCTGCTCCTCTCCCTGCTCTCTTCTCCCCACCTGCCTACATCTGCTCCCCTTCCATAACACATTCTTACACTGTCAACATAAAAACAATCTCATCTCTAATGCTATCTTGACCTATTTCTGCTCTCCCCTGTGCTTACTCGTTTGTGCTTTTTAATTCATACATTCCTTTTGACACATTCCTTATTAATGAGCCCAATGTCCTTGAATGAAGTAGCTGCTCTACGGAAAGCAATATCCCCCTGTGGGATCAATAAAGCACTATACTTAACTATACCGCACTGCCACATCCCCTCAGGCTGTGGATAATCAGAAAATCGAATAAAAACAGGCACCAGAGTATTGTGAGTGATACGGTGTTCAAAAGGACTCATGTAAGAGGTTTTGGGCTCGGCTGTTGGCTTCATCAGAAAGTCATCTGTGAAAGTAGTGACGTGCTCAAGGCTGAGAAATTATGCAAGAGATTACTTCTGAGGTTACGGGTTGTTAGGAGTATAAGTTACCTCAAAATGTGCATGATACAGTGCAACTTCTCAACTGGAAAATGTTACATTGAGCGTGTTAAGCGACACACACAGCGGCACAGAGTGAGGTTTTGTCTGTTAATCCGCCAGTCCGGATGGTAAACGAACAGAGCATCTTGTTCCTTTCACTCTGCTTCTGGATGTTAATGGAAGTGGGCTGACTGACAGACACAGACAGAGCGAGTGAGTCAGCACAGTTCCAAACAAGTTGGAGCTATTGTGATTCAGAAAAACCCCAGAGAAGGTGAAGGAATCCACAGCAGCCGCCTGAACGCTGCAAACACGAGCAAGTCACACCTGAATGTGCAGGGAGGGAAATATTCATTTGCATGGATTAACTTATATCGTCTTAAACACACTTTTGGTGACAGTAGCGCAATAATCTTAACAAGAAACTGAACTTGATCCCTCAGCTAAGCAGTGTAGCTTTTTCCAGACAGATATGAACAGTTATTACCTTTTTTTTCAGCTCAGCTTTACAATGTTGGGTTTCAAGCAGCTTTGAGACACTTGTCTCGGTGATGTTAATATGTATTTATGTGCAGGAAAATGAATAATGACGATCTTTAAAATGCCTCAGCTATAAAAAATAAAATCTTTACCGTATGACAAAGAAACACAGGAAATAGAGACCTTAGTCAGAGCTGAGGCAGAGGAAGCAGCGAGAGCAGGCAGGCAAAAGCAGTTTGAATGGAGCACCCATTATGGCATTTACAAAAGAGGATTGACTGAGCTGTCACCTGACATGACCTGGTGTTAAGATTCAGCTGATCTTGATGTTATGTCCTGCCTAAACTTGTTCTATTCTCTATTTTAATGCCTGCATCAGGGTTTAGTTTATTAAAGACCCACTCCGACGAAAATCATGTTTTTCTTGTTGTCTACATGTTCATACAGCATTTTTCTGATGCTACAGGACATATTACGAAAAGACTAAATTCGAAATTGCTTTTCCGAGTATGTCTTCATTCAAATCACTGTGAATCTCTGGCAGACCCAAACGGCAGGATACTCATAGGAAAGCTAATTATGATATTAATGTTCATCATGTTCCTAAAGACATTAGTATCCAAGAGCTGAATAGCTCCTATGTTAACTGCCACTTCTACTACACCGGCAATGTTAGGCTGTAAGCTAACGTGATTGTGCAGCTAACGGGTGTGCAGAGAAGCGCTGTCTCCGCCCATGACTCAGAGATGACTCGCTAATGAGCAACTGGTGCTCTGCAGAAGAAAAGTCCTTGGAAATGACACAGGTAATATGATTTTTGTTAAAAACTTCATAATCATAATTTAAAGACCACTGAGAACACTTTAAGTAGTAAAAAAAAAATTAACAGATTGGGACTTTAATCCATTATGAATACAGTAGCTGTCATTAACTGCTTTCAACCACATCTTACTGTGTATTTCATTAAAATAAGACATTTTATTTAATTGTATGAGAAACTGACAGCAAAGATAGGGTCAGTTGCAAAGCTGGTGAGGCCACCCCACCCGCTAGCTAGCATCAATAACTAGATAAAGTCAAGTCATTAAAACGAGGGCTTTGCTTAATATAGTATAAATCTCTTTTTTAAATTCACACAGACTGTCTGGCGTGCCTCTGTAGGTCATATAGAGTATCAGTATTGAATTGATTCTGTTTCAGAAGCGGTAAAAAGCCCTCAGTCTGTTTAAGTTACGCTGCAGTCTCTACTCTACCTCAGCCTGAGCTGAAAACTGAAGAAAGCTTTTCACTTCGGAGGAGTTTCTTCAATCTCTTCGCTACTCGTCTCACTTGTTATGATGTCAGTTCTTCATAAATACAGAAATACTCTTGCTCTCTTACACACACACATGCTCATACACACACATATATGCACACAGGCCAGCATGTCTCTGTCTTATCCACAGAAATCCTTTCATCAGCTTTTCAGCGCAGGGTAATCAAAGTATGGAGAGCCATGTCAGTCTGCTGCTGCCAGGAGCTTAAATGTGTGCGTGTGTGTGTGTATGTGGTCACCAGGTGTTAATCCCACGCCATGTGCTCCCCGCTGATGACAAGTAACATGGGAGAAAAAATACCAATCTCACCTCAGGCCGAATGTGTGAGACTGCTCGTGGTGGAAGAGGGAATGAATCTTTGCATCTGAATTCACAGCGATCAGCCTGTCAATCAAATCCTGTGGAGTAAAAGAGGAGCTTTTTGAAAGAACGACAACGCCGATGAAGTGTGAAAAGACAAGCGTGTGAGTATTTACAGTGTGTTGGGTGAGAAATGTACATCAGCTTAAGTGCACGGGGAGTTTAAACAGAGGAGGAGGAGGAGGCTTCCGAGAGGTAAAGCAAATGAGTGGGCGGTGGATGTTAAACAGCAAAATAAAAAGTGCAAACATGCCCTCAAGTGGCTGAAAGAGGTACTGCGTGTCTGGGGACAGCAGTGGGTGAAAAACACTCACAGGGATGGAAGTTGGCATCTCTCTCAGGGTGTATTCACTCTTGTTGGCAAGCGGCTGTCGGCCCAGCAGCTCCCACACCGAGTGAGAGGAGGAGAGCAGGTTGACCAAGGACAGGAAGGACTGGAAACACAGGAGGTGTAAAAAAGACAAATCATGTCAAACCCTAGGTGAAATTTTTGGTTATGGAGTCCCTACTGACGAAAACATCCTGCAAAAAGATACTGGTCCACAATTGAACACCTTCATTGGGAAAGGACGTCCAAACATTCAAGTATAGAAACAACCTGAGAACAATAAACCAATAAAGTCGTCCCGCTTTCATCATTTAATTGAAGAGAACTGAGAAATACAAGGGAATCAGAGGACAAGCCTGAAGAATGCACATGAACACACTCACGTCAGTTTAAAAGTCAGTTTTCAATTCAATTTACCAGCTTAAAAGAAAGAATAAAGCCTTGAACTGCTGCGCTGATTGTGAAATATATAAAGGTGTGTTTTTCTAAGTCTGTCTCTTTTGATCTGCTCCAGCTTGTTTGATCATTCAAAAGGTTTATTACAGACTCTGACATGTTTTATTCTCTGTCTGCCTGTGTTTTTTTTTCTGATGTACTCCAGCATACAAATCCCCTAACCTCGCCTCCATGCATACAGCAGAGTTGATTCTCTGCGCTGCATGTTGAGTTTGTTTAAGGCGCCAAACGTGATCACAGGTATTTCCGACTTTACGTTTTATCTCTTCAACACAAACTCAGCTCTGGGGCCAGGCTGGCAGGGATGGGCTTGAAGGTTCTGACTTTAAGTATGTAACCTGGCAGCTGACCCTCTGATAAGGGAGCTTTACAGTCACCAGTGGCAGGGCACAGGTCACACTTCAGCGACTGTTCATATTCACTTGGATAGTTTCTCAGAGAGAGGAGACTTGGCGCCTGTCAGAGGCCAGAATCAGACACACGCAGACACTCTCAGGCTTCAAATGAAGGTTTCATACTGTCCTGGACTGAACCGGAAGATTCTGCCAAAACTTCTGCTAGTTCTCTGCCAGTAGGGCTCATTCTCAACTTCACTCTTAGCTAATAACTGTGCGCATCAATAAAAGCTCTTTCACAAATGAACTCCTGAAACTTTCTCTCTATTTCAATTAAGACTGATCACGATATGATAATCAAGACCTTTACGCTTCCCCTAAGACAGCTCTCACTTTCAGGGGCGCGCAGATGACCAAGTGGGTTCACGCGCCCCATGTTTGGGGACCATGGTCCCAGCAGCGGTCATGGGTTTGAGTCCCGACCATGTGCTGCCCCCATCTCCCCACATTTCACTCTGTACTATCAATAAAAAAAGGCAAATTCGCCCAAAAAATACTTCAAAAAACTTCATCTTCATCAGCTCAGATCTGTGCATAACAAAGTTTGGGTGCACGAGAATGTCACAGATTATGGACCTTTGTCTTCTACACAGGAGAGCCGGGAGAGGAGCAGGAACGGCATGTTCTGCAGACAGAACTGAATAATTGTCAGGCATAAATATGGAGCACCCAGCATTTGAAAAACCACATGATGATATTTGAGCTATTTTAAGTTTTTTTATTTTTGTGAGCATATTCTCTGAAACAGGTTTTCGATCCCCCTCGATAAACTGTAAAACAGCCCTAGTGGATTATTTGAAGTTTTGTAGAAGTCTACTTCAATTTCAGACTGAAAATGATGGCTCATGTTTCCATGTCTACTCTTAAATACCTTGAGGCAGCTCCTGTCTATGGGGTCCATGGGCGTTGGCTTGGGGCGGACCACCCTTATATCTTCAGTGCCGCACTCCAGAGCGGACCACAGCTCTAGCACCAGCGCACGGACAAAACCTGGAACAGGACATCAGACCGGAGGTTTGAATTAGCACTTTAAAGATTATAAAATGCATGATTTGACGAATTTAGAAGCTGATGTGTATCATGCAAACTGATAGCTGCTTTTTGATATGCATCTGCAAGAAAACAGAGAAGGCGTCATATATCTCCCTGTATGATCAACATCCAAACCACTTCGCTCAATACATCAGAGTTTCTAAGTCCCACATCAACAATTTAATTTCACACTTGCACCCTCACAAATTGAATGCTTCTATGCACGTCTCCACACTCATGCAAATGTATAAGCCTCCTTTCCATCTCACATTAATGTGCCGCTGACATCTAGAATTCATTCAGGTATGATTTACTACCGCTACATGGTATATAAATATGACTCTGAGACATATATTAAGATCTGATTTACATTTCTTCACTGATGGCGGCTCGCAGTATGAATCAAATTGATGGCTCAGAAGGTTTTTCACATACAAGGACATTTCCTTTGGGTGTAAGTGCACAATAATAAATGTACAAAACAAGGAAAATTAAATCACATCAGGGTAAGGCTGCAGAATTTGCAATAGCTAAACTCAGTTGTTGGAGCACATTCTTACTATTGACTTACATTATAAATGTTAGACTGTACAGTTTTCTCTATTTCTACATAAAACAGGTAACAAGACAGCTCCATAACAGTGAAGTCAGAACAATAAGAGCTCCCCCTACTGACTGCTAACAGTAGCATCATCTAAATTAGCTAAATTGGCATCTGTCTTGCTTTTCTGGGCGCACCCTGGTCAGAAGTTTAGTAAAGTGCAATAAAGTCTGAACTGTCTTCTCATTAAGGTGCAGAGCTCTGGATGATAATTCTGCTGCTCACAACCTCTGGCACTTCTTCAGAGATCCTCACAGTACCCGTTTGACATGTTTTCAAAGAGGCTTGGAACCCCTGACTCAGTACATTTTGATTTTACAAATCGTGGCCCAATCTTACACCATTTTGTTTATATTTATTAACTTTTCATTCTTTCAGTGCCAATTCTCCATAAATGTCAAAAAAAGATTCACATGGTGTTTACTAGAAGACTTGCAACTACTAGCTGTCAATACAAGCAAGTCACTGCAAGGAAACTATAACAGGTTTTGGCTTTATCATCAATCCTGATCATGCTGATTTATGTGTAAGAGTTCTTTTTGCTGAGGAGCTTAATTTTAGTCAGGTATTTGACACTAACTACAACAGCTCGGTTGACAGATGAGATTCCCACAGCGCTGTGTGAGTTTCGAGGAGGGTGACAGGAGACATCACAAATATACAACACTCTTTAAACTTTCCAAAACTGTGAGTTTCCACTTCAGACAGAGGTCAGAATCTCTGCTGTTCTTTGTGGTTTGGTCTAGCAGAGGTGTGGCCTCAGTGACACACATCTGAATCGATAGTACTTTGAACAGATTGTGCAGAAATGTTGTGTTCCCAAAATGTATTCACACTTCTTTAAGTACTCCACAAATGAAGTTCCTTCAAACTGCATGAAATTTTATGCGATATAGAAGCATTTTTGGACTTCACTGGGGATGTAGACCTTAGTATGATAATACAACCACTTTTCTGTAATTTAAAGGAATATTCCGGAATAAATTTAAGTTATGGTCAAACACACCATGGGCTCTATTTTCGTTCATCGCTGGAGGCAAGGTGTGGCGTAGGCACGGTGTAAGTCAGGTCCACCACCACGCCTCGCTGCCCAAGCACATTTTGGTATATTGGTGAGCGGCGCAGCCCGACGTAAGTTTCCCCCCTCCCTAACTCAGCTCCTCCCAGTGGCATAAGTCGTAGAGAGGGCGTGGAGTGGGTTTAACACAGCCGGGACCTGTTTTCGCCAATCAAATTAGCTCATCTCCTCACCTTTAAATCCGCCACCGGCGAGGCGTATTACAGTTTTTGTGAAGTAGTCAAAGAGATCAAGAGATGTCTGAAGACAGTAATGCCACACGATGGCGACAGAAGGCAGCCCCTCAACAAGTGTCACTGTAAACGCTGCAGAGGGCGTCCTCCACACTCTCTCATATAAGTACAGAGGGATTTGGTGAGTGTAAGGTTGGACCCACTGGTGAGACAAACACCCTTTTCCACAAATAAAGACACTCACATAAAGTTGCATATATGTTTCGTTGCACGAAAATAGAGCCCCATAACACAGAGTTAGACACCCCCTTGAGAGATGAATGTTGCCGACTGCTTGCTTCTCTAGTTATACCAACTTTAGTAACGACTGCACAATAGCAATACACAGCAGTCTACAAGTGCAGCGCATAATTTCCTCGAAGTAGTAATCATCATATTAATCCTCTTGCTCTGCAGATGCGGTAGTTATTTGGCCTTAGTATCTCGGTGCATTTCCATGAAGTAATAATCATAAATGTTCTTCCTTGGCTTTGTTTTTTTAACAACAGGAGCAGGTGGAGATCCATCCAGCCATCTACATGCAAGTCAATGACCTCTAATCATTAACAACAAAGTGTCACCGGGAGTTTGCTTTACGCCAACAGGGCAAAAACAACCTCGCAGCCCTGGAGCATCACACCTGTCGAGCGTTTTTGTGTTAGTTAGTTCAAGCCTACCTGAGCTGTGCAGAGCCACCACCCCTGGAGCGGTCGCAGCCACCTGAGTCACCATCACACCGTATCCAAACTTCTCGCAGCGGCTCACCTGCAGGAAACACAAACGCCATAATTCCCCAGATGTCTGGCTTGATTTGAAAGGCCAAGGAGAGAGAGTGAAGCAGAGGATTGGTAAAAAAAAAAAAAAAAAAGGCAACACCTGCTTCATTTTAAAAATGGGAGGATTGAAGGTGGCGCATTTGTGATTCAGTCTGCAAACTCTGCTGTGACGCTGCTAGAATCCTGACGAGGCCTGACACAATGTGGTTAGTGCACTGAGAAGAAATCAAACAGCAAATTGATTTCCTCCTGCTGAGGCCCTCTATTTATTACTACACATTGTCATGGCTAAAAATAAACAAAATATAATTACATTCAATAATTAATGTGAAATACTAAATGAGAGACGCAATTATAGCAGTGTGTAAACAATGGCAGTAAATTAAGTCCAGGGAGGATTAGCTAAGGTTTGCTCTAAGACTGAAAGCGTGTGACTGCAATATGAATCCCAGATAATATTCTGTATGTACGGCATATGTGTGGTCCAGAGATTAATAAATTAAATCCAGTGTGGGGGTAGCAGCATGTAACAGCTTCCAGGCTGACTGTGAATACAAAACAGTCTCCAGGAAATAGGACTGTAGCTACATAATCACATTCTCTGCAGAATGTATTAGGGAGACGCCTGATGGAGGCCAAGAGAGTAAATGAAGGGTTAATGATGGATTATTTCATGCAGGGTAGGATATTGTAGAAAACAAAAGCAAGAGTGCATGCATGATTCATCGAGGCATATACTGAGCTGATGCAGGAGTGGCATCAATTCAAAATATGAATGCAGATGATTTTCAGATTCTGATATGCTGTTACTATCATTTTTCAGAGATTAAGAACTCACAAATTACTATTACAACCCAAGTTTAACCTTAAAACTGAAAAACGTGAAATATAGTCTCATTTTATTATTCAGGACAGATAGAACAGGGGCACCAAAACCCTAAAAAAGCTGTTTTAAGCTTCAAAACACCTGGAGGAACATCTTCAGAGAGGCTGAGTCTCTCACAAGTAAAAACAGGAAGAGTTTCTGCTTCTTTTCACCAGAAATGAAAGAAGCTCATCACTGAATTTGTCAAATTTCTCTGGAAATTCTCGACCTGTTATCTGTTTATTCTGTTATCTGAATTAAAAAGGCCCAAGAAAGAGGAAATCCACTCTGTTCTATAGAGGACTGCACAGTCCTGTATTCACAGTTCTTCAATAGTAGACACAGGTTTAGTAATTCAAAGCTTTCATCCCTCCAAAGTCAGGCTTGCTACGTTTAACTCCTCTGTGTCTGCAGAGTGTGTTAAATATAAATCAAAGGATGGTTCATCTGTATTTCTCTGGTATTTATCAGAGGACTCTTCCTCCTGACAGAGACACAGCTTAAAGTCCCAATCCGTTTTTTTTTTTATTACTTAAAGTGTAAGTAAGTTGTAATTATTAGGCTTTTAGCCAAAAATCGCATTACCTGTGTCATTTCCAAGCACTTTTCTTCTGTAGCGCTCCAGTAGCTCATTAGCAATTTGCCTCTGAGTTGTGGACGGTGACAGTGCTGCTCTGCACACTCCTCTTCACGTAGCCTAACTTCACTCAGCTTGTAGCCTAACATTGTCATTGTAGTAGAAGTAGCAGGTAACAAAGGAGCTATTCAACTCTTTGACATGAATGTCTTTAGGGACATGCTGAAAGTTAATATCATAATTAGCTTTCTTACAAGTATTGCAATCCACTACCGCACACACTTGTTCCGTGATAGTCCTCTGTATTTCTCCGAGTCTGGCCTGCATAGCGGGGCTCCGGGGGCGGAGCTTGGATTTGCTACGTAGGAAATCTCACGGTATCTGAACCTGCTGTTTGGGTCTGCCAGAGATTCCCAGCGAGTTAAATGCAGAAATACTCAGAAATGCAAATTCTCACTAATTTTTCTCATGATATGTCCTGTACCATCAGAAAAATGCCATATGAACATGTAGACAACAAGAAAAACGTTATTTTCATTAGAGTGGGTCTTTAAGACTCAATATGATCAAGCTTTGAGGCCATAACTTCAAACCTCTTGAACTCTCTTTCTCTATCGCTGCATTCTGTTGTGAGACTTTTAAAGTACAGCTGAAAACATATCTTTACAGACAGGCTCATAAGTTATGAGTAAGCCTTTTGTATGATTTTTATTCATTTATTATTATTTGATTTTATGTATAGCACTTTGTGGCAGTTGTTTGTGAAAAGTGCGGTGAAAATCAAATTTACTTTACTTATGTACACTGGCAGCTGCCAGTGTGTGATGCCTGACTTCTTTCTTAGTCCTGCTGTGGTTTCAGGTTTGACTGTAACTCAGATTAATGTTGCATAGAATCCCCTGACGCAGCATAATATACATTTGCACCCTGTTAATACCAAGAGAGGGTTAAAACTGGAGGCACTGCCAAAGTCTAATCTTTGTCTTGCACAGAGGATGCTTTTACCTGCAGTTTTTTAGTGAAGCGGGAGAACATGTAGGAGACGCACTCATTGATGGCTCCAGTCTGCTGGAGCAGCAGCAGGCCTTTAGGGGTTGCAGCAAAGTTCAGCAGGCTATCCAATAAAGTTTCCTCCCAGATGACCCTGAATCAAAGAGAAGGAAAGAGAGGCAGAGTGAGCTGCAGAATGAATTCACACGGCAAGAATCACTGGCTTACTGCTAAAGTTCAGGTGGTGAAGAACCTCTCAGCGCACAAACTTTGACTGCATCTTAAGTACATATGCTTTGAAGTTTGTTTTTTTGCAAGATTTTTCTCAGTTTGAACCTGAGGGTTTTATTACAAGCTCAAAACATACATCTTTGTCTGTTGTTAGATGGCCTTGTTACAAGAAGGTAACATGTATAATACTAATGCATGTGAATGAAACACATTCGCAAAAACCTTCAAATCAGACAGGAGCTACATCTGAAGCCACACGGAGTCAAGTCTGCTCTGTATCTACAGTACATATTCAGGGTTCTCATATCAAAGCTGTAGAAGTGACATATCTCATAGTAGTGAATGTGAACAACACTTTTGTTTCAATAAAAAGTCTGTGCTTAAGCAAACTTCTCCAAGTTCAGATTTATCAGTTTTGACTGTGTCGTGAGTGCCAGGGGCGGATTCAGGGTATAGTTGGGGGTGCCCCAGCACCAGAGGTGAGGTGTCCCGCTCCCCTTTTATCAAACACCCCCAAATCCTAAACCATGATTGGCTTTTAGCCTAAACGTGGATAGGGCTGTAATAAACCAAAGAAATTCTTGGTCGACCGAAACCGTAAAATTTTAAGCAAAAATCGACTAACCCAAGGGGGGGGGGCATACTGATATCAGCATAAGAAGGCAATTAAACCCAAAAGGCTAAAATAGAAATATTCAGCAAACCCCCGGACGTTGATTAACATGGACGCTCTACAATCCTCCTGTCTCCAGCCGGTCTCCAGTGGGTTGGTCGAATCCAAAATGGTGAAAACAAGGGGGGTGTTCTGAGACAGGCTGTTACCTGTGAAACAGGGATGCTCTGAAAACCCCCCCATTAGCACTTGGTACGTTCCTCATGATGACATTAATCATAGACTGTAAATTGACGCTGAAAAAAAATTGAATAGACCAATCAGAATTTTGGCCGACTCAGCACATGTTGACCAATAAGTCGATCAGTTGACTAGGATTTAACAGCCCTAAACGTAGACTGAACTTCCGTTTTGATGAACAATTTGACTATTGCCTTGATTTGATGCCCTTTGTTTCTTTGCCATTTGGTGTGGTCAGCACAGGGGGGTTTAAACAGCATACTCAAATCGTGTCTGTGTAAAACTGTGTGTTTTTTGGCCTCACATGTTCCTCTGCTCGTGGGCTGATGCTTCAGTGGTGGCTCCAGGTACTGGTGTTGGAACTCTTTCAGACAAGGAACTGGTCTAGAAATAAAGGACAATAGCAGAACTTAAAGCCAGTCACACCTTTAACCCTCCCATGGACTTTGGGGGCCATGAGCTGTAAACAGTGGGTGGATCAAGGTTAATATTGTTGTTAGGTTACATAACATCAAGACAAAAGGACTGATTAAGATTAGATACTTGATGTGATTTGAGTCCACAGAAAAGACAGAATGTCCCATGCTGTCTGACGGTGCTGAACACACTCACTGATCTTTAATGTTTAACGCAAAGCGAGTAGAGTCAGCAGGAAGTGAGAGGGGAAATGTTGCAGACCAATGCCTTCACTCCTTCAGCAGTTAATTTTTTACACGTTAATTTAGATAACAATAGATGTGAGAGGTGAATTGATCGCTGTATTTACAAACATGTTCTGAGAGATTATAAGTTTGTACCATTATTACTGCTTATCTTCCCTTTTTTTACACATGATGCAAAAGGAGCCATTGTAAGTTTATGGTTTTTGTTGCACATTTGACCGAGCCAGTTCTTATTTTCAGTTTTATTTATCAGTTTTGTTTTTCAGTTCTGACTGTCCTGCTGCTGGTAGAGTGATTTACAACTCTGTTGTGATACAAGAAGCAGTCTGAAAGTAAAATGAAGCAAAAAAACATTATTTTTTTAAATTCACTACATTTAAGAGCAGCATTTGTTTCTGGTTTGGTTTACAAAATCAATTCAATCCCATAATTCACTGAAACTACTGCAAAACAGATCATTTTAATTGCTTTATTTAAAAAATGGAAAATATAAGGCCATTTCATATCCAATTTCAAAAAGTTGGAACAGTGACAACAAAGCACTGAAAAAGTTATGTTCAAAAACCTGGAGAAACAACTCTAACCAACAGGGTTCATCCAAAGAGGGATGACTCATCTTAGAGGGGCTGAGTCCCTCAGAAGTCGATCTGGGCTAGAGTTTCACCACTCTGTGAGAGACTGCGTGAGCAACCAGTTCAACAATTTCTTAATAATGTTCCCGTGTTGAAAACAGACATGACTCTGTACTAGATATCACTGCATAAGCTCAAAATCCCTTGAACAGACCACAGTCACTGCGTCCCCAAAACAGGTTAAAACTGCACCATGCAAAGAGTAAACCGTATGTACACATGATCCACAAATGCCAGTAGTGTCTCCTGAGCAACTTGTCCTCTGGGTTAGTAGAGGAGAGGGGCCCTTGAGTTCAAAAACCAGCATCCCTAATGGTATGGAGATGTAAAACTGCCTGTGGTATGAGCTTTTTACACACCTGGGAAGGCTTCATCAATGATAAAGGTCATTCAGATCATGACTTTTTCAGGGAAGACCTTGTATATTTAAGCATGACTATGCCAAACCACATTCTACACATACTACAACAACATGGCTCTGCATTAAAAGAGTCCCACTACTAAACTGGTCTGTCTAAAGGCCTGATTCACCACCCATTTAAAAGTTTTTCATCAGCATTTATTCCAAATTCTTCCCCTAAAAGCCTAAAAAACTTTTAAAACTATATCGTTCGATCGCAGAAACTTGAAGGGGAACTTTTGAAGAAAAAAAAAAGTCCTGTCAGGGTTGTTTTGTTGTACCTCTTTCCATGCAGCAGCTACGGCCTTGTGGAGTCCGTAAGGTCGGAGCACCTGCAAACCCTCACAGGTGTTGTATATTTGCCTGCAGACGAAGATAAAGGCTCCACATAATGCATGGGAGCCGTCGGGATCACTTAGTGATGACAGCTCTTTATCCAGCAGCCTGAGGGCGAACCGAACAATAACATGAGCAGCCGAGGCTCTGCAGAGGAAAAGGGAGACAGATATAGAGACATATATAATACAAGGGATTAAAGGAGACGGATTTTCATGCATGCGATGTGAAGCGTTGTGCAGCTCGGGCAAAGACACACAGACTGTGAAGTGTTCAGACTGAAATCAGACTTTTCTGTGACAACATAGTAGAAAACTAAGTATTCTTTAAGTTCCTGTAACATTTATAACTCCTTAGATTGATACTGTGGTTTATAAAGCCCCTGGCCAGACTGTTAAAAAACAATACAGAGCTACATCTGGGCTCACAGTGGACTGAAGTTTTTAATAAAACATAACTTTCTGTTTTTCTGCTGTAAGAAACCTGACTACCTCAAAGATTTAATCCCAGCAGCTGACAAACCGACCACATCCTCAGCTCTAATCTGCTCTCTGTACAGGGCGTGGAGGATTTGTTCTGCAAACTTAACTCAGAATTGAAAACGTCTTGCTAAGTCAGAAGAATGTAATTTATTCATGACAATGAAAGATACAGAATGAAACTGTGTATCTAATAATTATTCAGTCATGCTGCCTCACCTCTCACTGTCGGCCACCACTAGATTCATCTCGTATAAGAAGAGAGCTAATCCCCTGTTGGTGTTTGCGATGCGAGCGAGAACATCAGCAATGAGCGTCAGAGTTGCTGCGGGAGATTTTAATTCAGCCTGAAAACCGCAGAGAACAAACACACAGAATTACAAACTTATTTGTGAAGAAGTAGAATCCCAGGAGGGCTCGAGGGATAATGGAAACTGAAATAACATTATTAAATATGACAAAGATAGAACAAACAACAAGCGGAGCACAATTTTTAACAGTTTTTGGAAGGCTGACAGATGGAAAAATGACCTGCTGAGACAACAAAACTCTTGATGCACTCAATATTCAGACAGCAGAGTCAAGGCCGGGGAAGAGAAAAAGTTTGGAATGATTTTGTTGATGCAGATCTCGCCTAAGTAATAAGTAAGTAATGATACGCAAGCTGAGGGTTGAAATTTGAGCTTCAGGATCAGGAATAAATCAGTGCAAAGAGCAGAAAGGTGTCAAGACCATCCTATATTTAAAGTTTGAAGAGGGGGTGTTATAGACTTTTCAAATGCCCCCGATCTTCCCACTGGCCAGCTCTCCAGAAGCCTCCTCCACTGTTGCCATGCTGCAAATTTGTGTTATTATGCCATTAACTGGTGTTTCTCTTTGCAAAATCACAAATAATGAAACTTGTGGGAAATTTATTCAAAATTACAGCATAAAGTGAATAAGATATTAATTCACATCAATATAACTGTATGACCCTTTATTAAAATCATAACTCACATTTCATTTTGTGTGGAATCTCCATTTTAAGAACTCACTGAAATCTCAACTACTTAAAGACCATTTATTTACTGAAAGTAGATGTTATAAACATGAATAAGACAACAAGGGGTTCATATTAATGCCTCGTAAGGATTAATAAATGCTTTATGTATGTGTATGTGAGTATTTGACCTGCTGTCCATTGAGCAGAGCTATGACTGGATTCAACAGCGTCTCTATCACAGGGGTCTGGTAGAGACACTCGGCAGCACACTCTGTCCTCTCACACAGCATCCACAGCACCTCCATGGCCAGACAGCTGGGAGACAGGGAGTCTAAACAGACATGATCTGTTATTTTACATATTAACACCCACTTTATGTACACTGCATTTGGACTCCTACAGCTCCAAAAGAATCATCATTTGCATGCAATAAGTTATATTTGGCGGCACTGCTCTGATAATTATTTAACCACTAAAAACTTCAGAGGAAAACTTGTTAATTGCTCAAATAGATAGTTGGACTTGAGGTTTTCTTGAAAGATGTTTCTCTTTGAAATGATGTGTTTTTTCCTTGAGCACAATTAAAAAAACACAGAGCAACATCCAAACATAATTTAAATCTGTTCTTACACAGATGAAAATGTTGGTCTTGTAATACTTATTCTATCTATAAGAGAAGGAAAAAAGAAAAATCTTGTCTGGTCTGCATCCTGCTGCATCATGAAATTGTCTGAAAATGCTCTCACAAGTGATGCAGGTGTTTGTCATAAGACTGTAGATAAAATATTGCCCAACCTGTGTGCCAACAGCAGCCAGTCAAGGTGGGGAACACTATTGATCACCGACAGTAAGGCTGCTGCAGCATAATTCATGTGAATGAATGATGCAATAAAAGGAAGGTCTTCCAGGGAGACTCGACACAAAGTTAAGAGATAAAAGTTATGGGTGTGCTCCACGCATACACAGTCATTATAGAAACCAGGAGGAGGAGGAAGCCGAAACTCAGGACGTTGTTTATTTCCTTGTGTGAGTATGTAAAGACTCACCTGTGTGTGAGGTGTCACTGTGCACGGGTTCAGGGTGTTGGTACATGATGTTTATCAGGAGAACGATTAGGTCTGTGAGGCTGACTGGATCTGAAATGACATGACTCAGTGTCTGAGCAAGGAGAGTAAAACCAGAGAGATTCTGCAGAGAAGGAAATAGTTTGTGTTTTTAAGTGTTTCCTGAATAAATAATATGTGTAAATATCATATTATATCCTAGTACTGTATGTATCATGACAAACATCCTAAGGCTCTCTATATCTATTCATACGTGAGATCATTTACATCAGTGTTAAAGCTCCTTTTAGGAGTTTTAAATGGTTGTGAACCAGACTTGAGTGTTATGATGCCACTGCATGACCAACAAAATCCACTATCACAGTTAGAAACACAATGGACTAATTTCATACTGTAATATTCAAAGGCTGAAACTTCTATGAGGTGGTCCAAACCATTAAAAAAAACTGCATTAAAAAAAATTTTTCATGCTTAAAATAAAAACATTTCTTACATACTAAACTGAAAACATTCACAATGCACAACACATTTAATGTAAGTAGGATAGAAACATTTGTTAGAAAATCCTGCCTTAATACACAAAGGTCAAGATCAGCAAAATGATAAAATGAACATTTTTTAACGGAATACGATGAGAATAAAACAATACCTAAAACTTGTGAATTTACAACTTAATATTCTTTAAATGTACACATTTAGTCTTGTGAATTAAAAACCTGATTCTTGAAAAATTTCGACTTTCATATAGATTTACAAGATCATTTTACAGGCTATCCTTTAATTTTTTTTTCATAATTCCATTCATTTTAACTTAACTACTTGTTCCTCATTCTCTTACAACTTGATACTTAATCATTTAAAACTTTCATGCTTTTTCATGCTTTTACCTATTCATTCTCATGAATTTGAAACTTTATTTTTGTAAATTAACAACTTGGATTTTGTCAATTTGCACCTTTTTTTTCATAAATTCACAACTTGTATCTTGTAAATTCACAGCTTAATTCCCATAGTATTACAGCTTTCTTCTTTTAAATTTTGTAGGTCAACCTCAATAATTTAAGACTTTTCTCCGACAACTTTATTCTTAAAAAAATTATGACTAAATTCTTGTGAATTTATCTAAAAAATTGTAATCCTTGATGTGGCCTTAATCCTTCAATTACAAAACACCTGATCATAAAAAAGGATCTCTGGTAAATTGCAGTACTAACTAGGGCTACAATGTTCCTGTTTTTCACCAATGAGAATTTGCAAAAAATCTGAATTCTTCACAGAAATACAAAAGTTAATAACTATGTGTGAAAAAACAGGACAGGAATCATGAAAAACGACACTGATTGCCTGCTCTGTCTGTGCGTGTGAGGAATCTTCCTCTTGATCATAAAGTCAGAAAGATCTCAATTGCAATGACAAAAACAGGTTTAGGGAAATCTAAAACAGGTGTTGCCATAGAAACTTATAAATAAGTCTGACACATGAACCCCAAGAGCGAGCATTACCACCAACATAAACCCCTCTCACTTCAGTTATCTGATCGCCTCTGCCTTACTCAGAGGAGGAGGAGTGATCAATGGTTGTATAAAACATTCCTTAAAGCTTCGACAGCAGACAGTGAGTCTATCTTTATCTATGTCTCACTCACGCTGTGACATAACTTAGTAATTAAGGAAAGGGAGGAGAAAAACTCATTACCTGGAGCAGATTGTTTTAGATGATCAGACACATTCCTGTGTGAGATTATCTGTTGTAAAGATTATATAAGTTGTTTCGTGGTGGCTTGTCAAAAGAAGAGATTAAGGTCTGCCACAGGTCGTAAACTATCATCATCAAAGTGTCTGTTTTTCTCTTTATCTTAAAGCTGCTCCTTTCAGACGGTTATTTTACCCCCAAATATTTACTTTGTACTATTTTTCTTTCTGAACGGTTTCAGACAGCGAGGCCAAACAATATACTCTGCAGGCCTTTTAACAGATCATGTAATCTACCTTTGTGCTTCTTGACTTTGACGGGGAACAGCTTTCTGCCGTTAGTGTAGATGAGCAGTTTCCCCAAGACACACAGTGAGTGGACAAAGAAGGCGTATTCGAGCTCTTGTCCAGTGTAAACACTCCTCTGGACTGAACCTGAAATACATAAAGAAAACAAGAACTTTTTTTAGACTATCTAGACTCATGCAGTAACAACAGTTCCAGGTTTTTATGTTGTTAAAAAATTCATGATATTCAAAAAAAACTCAGCAAGCCGCTAAGGTAAGAGGGAGAGTTTGAGAAAAGTAAGAAAAAGTTAGAGAAGTAACTTTATTTTTCTGCTGAGGAAAAAAAACTCTTCAATCAACATGCATGAAGTAAATCCCAATTTAACAAAGAAACACGTGATTTCATGTGTAAACAAACAAAAAACTGCAGGATTGACATGTGCAAACTTAGCAGTCCTGCAGAAAGTCATAGGTGCAGAGAATCCAAAAAAGGCAGAGCTCAGCTAAACCCTTCTTCCCTCATAAAGAGTGTACCACTGAAAGAGGAGTCAGTATATCAGCACTCACCAAAGACAAGGTCAAAATGTTCAGTCTGGAGGAGCCAGCTGGTTTTCAGGAGATAACACACACAGACACTCAACTCACTTTCACCTGACCTCCCACTCTGCTCCATCTCAGATATTAAATTTTGGACATTTTATATTTAAAAGCTTCAATCTGATGCATTTTGTGAGAAAAATCAAGCAGAGTTACAGGACAGTATAAATGTTTAATAATAAAGTATCTTACATATTCACATTTTGCCTTAAAAGAAGTAAGACAAGTGAATGATTTTCATGCATGGATATAACTTATACAGGCTACTTTGGGAGGTGGATTGAAAAGTCCTGAGGAACAAACAATAAAATAGAATAGAGTGCAAAATCCTGAAATAGAATAGATTAGAATAGAATAGAGTGCAAAATTGTTGAATAGAATAGAATAAAAAGAATAGAACATACTGCAAAATGGTAGAATAGATTAGAGTGCAAAATTGTAGAATAGAACAGAGTAAAAGAATAGGATATACTGTAAAATGGTAGAACAGAATAGAATAGAACAGAACAGAGTGCAAAATTGTAGAAAAGAATACAATAAAAGAATTGAATATACTGCAAAATGGTAGAATAGAATAGAGTGCAAAATTGTACAACAGGATAGAATAGAATAGAATAGAATAGAAAATTGTAGAATAGAATAGAATAGAATAGAATAGAATAGAGTGCAAAATTGTAAAGTAGAATAAAACAGAGTAAAAGAATAGAATATACTGTAAAATGGTAGAACAGAATGGAATAGAATAGAATGGAAAAGAATAGAATGGAATAGAATAGAATAGAATAGAATAGAGTGCAAAATTGTAGAATAGAATAGAATAGAATAGAATAGAGTGCAAAATAGTAGAATAGAATAGAGTGCAAAATTGTAGAATAGAATAGATAGAATAGAATAGAATAGAATAGAATAGAATAGAATAGAATGACAATATTGTAGAATAGAATAGAATACAGTGCAAAATTCTAGAATAGAATAGAATAGAATAGAATAGAGTGCAAAATTGTTAAATATCACAGAATGAAAGGATAGAATATGCTGCTAAATGTTAGAATAGAATAGAGTGCAAATTGTAGAATAGAATAGAATAGAATAGAGTTGAGTGCAAAATTATAGAATAGAATAGAATAGATTAGAATAGAATAGAATAGAATAGAAGACCCAGATAACAGGCCTTCAAATTCTGTCAAGCTTATGACCATTTGTATATTTTTACCATATACTGGGATAAATATGTTTTCTGAAACAGCCTGGTGAATATCTAAACAGATGAGTCAATTCTCCATTACAATGGTCTGTTATTTCTCATCAGCACACATGGCTTCAATATCTAGTGGACAAAGTAAAGTCATTGCAGTCCCCTGAAAAGAAAAGTCCAGTGAATATCTGTTTAAGGTTGGAGAGAAGAAAAGAGGCAGAAACAGCAGGGGGAAAGCAGGGGAGGTTAAAGATTTAAACGCTGAAGGCTACAACAGAGAGATCTACAAAGCTGACAATGTGACATTCCTGAAAAGCTCAGGCACTGTCCTGATTCATGCAGTGCGGTTCCCTGAGTTCTACTTCACCACCATTAAAAAAGATCACTTTAATGTGAGGTCAAACAGCTACAGCATGTACTTTTAACTGGTTCCTGGCTGATCTATCTTCACTCTCTCTTTTGTTCTTGTTTCCTTTTTTCTGGTGTTCATCTCTGCACCACTCTGCGAGGTTTAGACTTACAGTAGCAGGATGGTTTTGGCACATGAAGCACAGTGGATAAACGAAGGCTGCAAACTCAGGGTAAAAAGACATTGAACACCCACAGGCCCTAAATGAAGCATTCATTTCTCATTAGGGGCTGCGACGGTGGCTCTGTGTGTATTCTTTATTTGTTTCACAGGACACATTAAACCAGCATTAAAGCTAATGTGCTGATGTTTACCACATGGAGTGAAACTCAGAGTGAGGACTGGAATTCAAAATAACTTCAGGAGACATCATAGCTCTTGTACTAACTTGTGTTCTGTGGCTCTGTTGATTGGGGATCTGAGGCCTCGTTTGTGAGACGACGACAGGACTCGTTGTAATGGATGCACTGCTGGAGGGCTGCTACGATCTGAAAGTAGAAATGCCAAACAATGAAGCAGAAACACACCTGTATGAGTGAACTGCTTCAAGCTCAAGTCCAGAAAGTTGGAGTGCTTTGTAAAATCTCATAAAATCAGGATTTGATGGTTTGTTTACTAGCGTGTTGCATCATCTCTTCTTTTAACGGTTCTGTAAACTGATCTGCGTTAAACTGTTGACCTCTATTTACATGTTTAGGTGAGGCCATGTATAAAAGACAAAAATCCTCCACAGCAGGCCAATGAAGAAGTCTTTCAAAGAGTCAAAGCGACCTCCTCTTATTGAACTTCAAAATCAACAGTTTAATGACCAGATCTGTTCGTTTGAATCTCAATTCGAGCACTTGAAGGAATATTAATGCACTTGGTTGCAGGAGTGGTTTAGTCTGACAGTGTTCTGAGAGCGTTATTGACATTTCCTTCAGATAAAGTTCCACATTAATCCTCTCTAAAGTCAGAGTCGGAGATGAGAGGGAGGTTTGGATTAAATAATCAATTCCAAAATGTCGAAATGACACTCGGCTCTTATGCCTCATTGGCTCAAAGACTCTATCGGCAAAAAAGAATCTCACAGACGGCCTCAGTTAAATGCAGAATCCCTAAACTCTTCACTATCTGTTTGATTCAACCATAAACTTCTAATACAGAAAATGTAGGACCTAGATGAGCATATTCAGCTTTCTTCTGAGGCTGAATAATAAAATATTAAATTTGTACTTTTGTAGTTCTACCTAAGGTTTCTTCGACATTCTTCAAAGAGCAGGAATTGTTGTGCCTCTTTGCCACCAGGTCCCTCAGAAGTACAAAGAACTCAGTGAGAGATATTGATTACCGAGTGAATCACTCACCATAGACTTGTATTTTCGCTCCAGGAGTCTGAGAACTACAGTCCTGCTGTAGTATCCATGCTGGGAGAAGGAGAGTGAGAGAGAGAGAAGAGAAAGACATAAATAACATGAAAGTGAATGCATTAATTCAAAAGTATTTGTTCGTTTGACATACACACCATCCACTTTTTAAACCAGGTAGCTTTAACGTCCAGTAAAGCCATGAGGTGAATAGGTTCGAGGGATTTCTCCGCTCTTGGTGAGGCAGATCCATGTTCATGATGGAAGGACAGGAGAGAGAAGGTGCTCTCTATAACTTCCTCCATGTACCTAAAGCAGAGCAGGAAGGAAAGCAGAACAAACGCACGGAATGAAAACTGTAGACGTGATTAAAGAAAGAAAAGTCAAAAGCTGGATTCCGATTGGTCGAACTCCACTGCAAGGGTAAGAGTTCTGAATGCTGACTCATACTAATACTGGCCGTTAAAAAGATCTCTCACTGTACATTGTGTGCAGGTAAAGAAATAAGCTTGCTGCTGTATTTGTGTTTTCTTTTGATGCACACTTGAGAAACTGACATTTTTAGCACCTTTGCTCTGAAGGTTGCCACCTGTTTTCCTCTGAGCTGCTCATGCAGGCTGTGTGGTTGTTCTTTTCCGTTAACACAACGAAAAGGAGGAGGCTCCACAACTGACACCTACAGCCCGGATGTGCACCATGGACCACACAGAACAACAGAAATCCATGTCTTCTCTTCCTATACATTATATTACACTTACTTCTCAGGGTGGCGGATCCAGAAGGTGGTCACCTCCTTTTGAAAATCGTTCATCAATCGAATCTGAGGCAACAGAGACAAGAGTGTGAAAGAAACAGCGAGGGTGTAACTGGATTATGGTGAAATTCAATGGGAATTAGGGCTGGGCGATAAAACAATTACGATATATATCAAAAATTAATTTCCCTCAATATCAATGCCATGTTTTGGTAGACTATACAAATAGCCAATCAAAAGGGGAGCTGCTTTGGGTCTGCTCCACGCTGAACCAATCATGTCCCGAATCAGAACCAAGTAGCAAACAACTGAGTAGTAGCAGGCTGCAGCTACACACAACCATTACACTTTAACACGTGAAGCCGACAGCGCTGTTAGTGAGAAAAAAAGAAAATGAGTGCTTCCCCCCGACAGAAATGCAGATAAAGGCTCAACAGATGACAGCATTTCGATAACACTGGCACAAAATGTCAGTGGTGTGGAGGTATTTTGTTTTTTATCGTGATAAACTTTTTCCCATATCGCCCAGCCCTAATGGGAATTTTAAAAAAAGGTGTGGTACCTGTTTGAGCAGACGGCTGATCTCAGGTCTGCTGATGTCCATGTGGGCTGTGGCAGTGGGAAAGCTTAGTTTGTGGGACAGAAAACTGGACTCCACGCTTTTAGCTGCACATTAAAGAAAAATATGCATCACACTTAAGATGCTGCAAATATACAATAAAATGATAGCACACAGATTTTAAACGTAATACAGTAAGAGAATTTAAACCACGACAGTAAAAATGCAATAAAAGTTGTCCCCATTGAGGTCTTTGGAGTATTTATTAAGCACTAAAACCTCAGCTGGACTTGAGTGCATGCATAAAGCCAAAAGGTGGATATCTTCTGTAAATAAAATCAAAACTTCATTATCTGCATGGCTGCGTAATACAAGCAGTGAGCAGGAAAAGTGCCTATTCTCCATTTTGAACAGTAAATAAAAGGGAGCCGCCCTCTTAGAATTCAATTCCCATAGAATAAAAACACACTTTCACTTCTGCTTTGCAGCTCACCCAAACTGGTGTAGATCTCTCGTGTCACGTTCAGCGGAGAGGAGGAGAAGCTTTTAGCGAAGAACTGCAGAACGTTATCCTGATGGATGTGAGAGGGAGAGACTTGAGCGTCAGGGTGCACACTGACACGCCATAGCAAGGCTAATCAATCAATCAATAGCGGCTTCATCTTAATTTATGTGAAATATAATGAGAGGAAATTAAATAAGATTAGCACAAAAACATTTTCAGCCTACATGTAGCTACCAATTATCTTTCAATTATTCAGCGCTGTTATCTTGTTTTTCCCTCAATTAGGCAGGTTGACAGGATTTTAGAAAGTGTTTTATGTTATAATATTATCGTTAATCACAAAGCCTGAAATTATCCATAAAGATGACATGATTACTATTAATGATTCACTCGTAAAGGAGTTTGTAAAACCCATAATTCTTAATAGATGAGGCAACTCAGGACTCACACTGAGGTCGGGGTCGCTCAGGGCTGCGCAGAGGTTTCTGCGTAAGCTGCTCCAGCTCTCGCAGCTCAGAACGTCGGACGGAGGAGCGCAGCAAAGGGCCCGGAGAGCCTCCCAGCGCACCTGCACGAATACATTCAGCAATGGAAGAAGCAAACAACAACCACTCAGCTGCACAAGTTGTAAACTTAAATAACTCTGGAGTTGAAAAAGTTATTCACTCTTGGTATGAACTGTAAATTAAAGTAACAGTGAGTGAAATTTTGTCTAGAGCTAGTTCAGGCAGGTCACAAAGTCAAGCTCAGCTCACAGTACACCAGCTGATCCTAACAACAGCCCACATGTGCTAAATTGGCGAATGTAAATGGGTGCCATCTTTAAACTGCTTTGCATCCCACCTTCTCATCTGTGTCATATTTATTGCTCTGTTCTGCATCCCAGAAGTCTTTGCTGCTGCTCTCCCTCTCTTGCCTTTCCATGTATTCTTATAGAAGGGTAGGGAGCTCTCAGAACAGAGCTACACCACCATATATAACTTATTATATGCAACTTATACTCCCCTCTGACTTAAGTGATCCTGGCAGAGATTTGAAATCACTTCTCAGTTGCACATAGAAACAGAAGGGATGTAGAATAACATGAAAGTCTGTGATGAAATGAGTCTTTCTACCTCTTTGGGACTGCTGGAGTCGAGCTTTTCAGCCAAAACTTGCAGCTGCTCTTTTCTGATGAAGGCATAACTCTAGAGAAAGGGAAAAAAATGTCCACCATAAACCAATTCTCTGGAACATCTTTTATTGCTTCATGCGAAAGTCTGCGTGATCCATGTGTCACTGGGTGGATGCCACTCTTTGCCCTACATTTAGTCTTAAAACAAGCCATTTGAGTCATTCAAGAATTACTGCTGAGATACGATCTTTATATGTGACGTTAAATGCTATAAAGGCATAAAAGAATATTTTAACCATCAGCCTTCAGGGTGTGTCCAATTCAAATTCAAATTCAAATTCAACTTTATTTGTATGGCAATTTTAAGACATAAATGTAGTTCAATGTAGTTCAGCTTTCCCACCCCACATACCCACCCACACACACACACACACACACACAAACCTGATGGATTAAGACAAGAATATAAAATGAACAGATAAGTTAGAGCTCTTTATCATGTAAAAGAGGTAAAAGAAGTAAAACCTCATTGGAGGTAATTAAGAAAAAGACTAAAAGCAGAGATAGTTAATCAAAAATACATAAAATAAACATTAAGAACTCAGATTAAAATGAACAGTAGTAGAACAGTGAATTGCAGTAAGAGAAATAAGAAGGCTATCATTGAAAACTGGGGTTATATGCTCCCGCCCTCTGGCCCTCGTCAGCACTCTTGCAGCTGAATTTTGTAATAGCTGAAGGGTATGTAAGTCTAACCTGATTGAAGGAGGAGTCACTGTCTGAGCAGTTGTCAGCATATTGACTGTTGGACTGACTGAGGGGAGACGCATGCTAAAACTGAGGTTATATGCTCCCGCCCTCTGGCCCTCGTCAGCACTCTTGCAGCTGAATTTTGTAATAGCTGAAGGGTATGTAAGTCTAACCTGATTGAAGGAGGAGTCACTGTCTGAGCAGTTGTCAGCATATTGACTGTTGGACTGACTGTGCTGCTTTTGTATTTCCTCCTTCTTCATCTGGTCCTCTTCAAACTTGTTGATCAAAGACTCCACCACAATGATCATGGAGCTTTTCAGCGTCTGCATCATCTGCTGGTACCTGTACATGACATTTGTACATCAGAGAGTTGTTACCATCACCTAGTATCAGAGTCTTTCAGCCAAACCTTTTTCAGAAACACACATGTGTTCAAATCTGTTTATCTACAATTATCTTTGTAGGAGACACCATCATCTATACACAAATTTCTGTATTTCTTTGCAATTTCTCCACAAGGAATATTTGATCAACTCCACCATAAAAGTGAAGAAAATTCAAGAAAATGTTTCACATTCACTCACTCAGCAGAATCTCTGGTCCTCCTGGTGACAGCATGGACCAAAGTGTCGTGGCCCGAGCCTATTGCATGTTGCTCATCTCCTCTGGTCAAGTTCTTGGTTTCTTCTTCCACCACAGTCCCAAGTGAACTCTCCACATACTGACGAAGGTACTTAACAAACTCATAACTGGGAACAGAAGGTAGACATATGATACTTAATATCACTTGTAACCTTCATGATAGTCTTTAAAAGTAGAAGCATGAACCTTATTGTTTAAGAATATAGGCATGATATTAAAGTTTCACACACTTACTTGTGGAAGTTCTTGTCAGTCTCCTCCAGGTGAAGCAGAATCTCTTCAGCACATTCAGTTGATGGAGCATCTGAGATCTTGTCATTGATGCTCCTCAGAAGCTGCCTGAGCAGTGACTGCAGCTCCACCTCATCTTCAGCGGATAACTGAGACATCTCCGCAGCCGGCCGATCAGACTGGAATAAATAGAGCAATGTGTTTTTTAGGCTTATAATGTGCAAATGTACATCTACAAACTTAAAACATTAATATGCGTGACTAAATAACATAACTGGGAATGAAAATGGCATCTGTAAACATTGGAGGAGGTTCACCAACCTGTGAGAAGCTAAATCAGCTCTGTGTTTTAACATTTCAAGACTCATAACATTACTTAAGTTTTGAGATTTCATGATCTACAGTGAGGGAGAGTGGGGTACAATGAGCCATTTTGATGATTGCCTTCATCAAGGCAATCATAGTTTTGTCTCCAACTAGTGTATCTGCATATATTTCAAGATGTTGTGCATCCCTGCAAACCAACAGAATGAGTGTAAACATAACTGTCTTGATAATATAGTATGCCGGAAAAGAGTGGTCTCCTATGGTCAACTTACACCATGTATGGGGTAAGCTGACCATAGGAGCGGGGTAAGTTGAGCCGTATCCCTACTACCCCCTCACTCTTGTCAGGTTCAAAAACATATCAGGGATATGTTAGGTCTAGGACATATTAAACCCCACCAAAACAAGAAGAGTGAAATCACAAACTCAGAACAGACCGCAATTGCATTTTCTTGTGCACAAGGGAGAGAGCAGGCTGAGGAGAACTTCCTGTGTCTAAGTCAGACTCTCTTCTCAGAGATACTCTTCCCCGTTGCTTCTTGACAGTTTCAGTGGTTATACAATCACAGTACTTCCCTATTTGATGATGTGTTAGTAGCATTTGCTCATATGAGTGTTTTGTAAGCGGAGTGTTTTGCAAGGGCCAACTGAGTTGAGTGATAGGACATGGCAGGGGGGGAAGATAAATCAGGAACTGGATAGTTTCAGTTGAACCAGTACATAGTTCCTGAACCACACAGAACTGGTTCCTTTAACAATTCATTTTGCAAGATGCACAGTGGATAAATACTGAGGCATGAGATACATTCTTTGTAAGCTTAATTTCTTCAAGTGATTAAACAATACATTTCAATAGATGAGAAGCTTAACATAATAATTTTCCAACACTCTCCACCCCAGTCCTCCCTAACCTTCTCTTTCCCTAAATAACAGTCACTTCTTCACATTCATGTGTATTTTTATCTATTATACACTATTTATCTGGTACAATAATTGTTTTATTATTATTGCATATAACTGCTAAAAAGCTGTTTTGTAAAAAGTCCTTTTAACATGCGAATGTCTTTAAGTGATTCAGAACATTCACAGCTGTATTTTTGAAAAGAAAAAGTAACACATTTCAACAATCTGAACTGAAACTCTTATCCTCTCATCAGACTTCTTTACTTTCTCAGTCGAGCCACTGGCTCAGCTTACCCCAGAACTACTATTCTGACTTTATTAGTCCTCTAAACTAAAATGGTGGACTTTTATGCTAAGTTTTTGACCTCATGTTGTAGCTCACAGATACCAAAATTTATGTATAAAACAAATTTAAAATGATCTTTTTTTGGTCTGAACACAATTCTAATCGAACTTATGACAGACTAAATTCACTTTCAAGAGTGAAAAATGATCTTCTGTAAATAAATGTCGAACTCCTTCACTCATGTGCTTCTAACCTTCACAGACTCCATGAATTGATGCCCATCTCCTAAATATTTGGTGACATGATGAATTTTCTTTTACCATTTCCAAGCAACAGTGGGTGGCTCAACTTACCCCACTCTCCTCTACATTATTTCATTAAAAGACTCAGAGAAATGTCTGTGCAAAAGCGGCAAGGCCAGTAGCTTGTACTAGGAGGCTGTGATCTTGGGTCTTCAGCCTGCATTGCACTAAATACAGACATGACTCTGCAGTGGCAACCACCGCATGGCCTGGAAATCACATTTATAATCCAGTCTCTGAGGACAAAGTTTGCCACTGTATCCACAAAGAATGATCAAAACATGCAAAAAGGAAACCTTATATACGGTAAATTTGGTATAAATATGATCAGAAATGCTGGCAATTTGGAAGACAAACCCTCCATCTTAATACATCCAGCTCAGAGAAAACCGCCAGAACCGCTCAATACTGAAGCAACAAAATCCCCTAAATTGCACAAACCAAACCCCCAACTAAAGGAGATCTAGCGCAAAATATCTTACAGCTGTCACGTTGTGTGAGTACCTGCAAAGGCTTTCTTATCCGGGCAGCATTTAGGGGGAAACTAGCAAGCGGCTCCTTCGTATCTATGGAAACGTCCACTTTGCAATAACCGCGGTGCACTGTGGGAATGGAGAAACCAAATGGTGCCTCGCATAAACCTCGGAAAGAGTGGCTTCAAAATAAAACATACACTAAAAGGTAGTGAATTGTTGGATTTTGCGACAAAAATAGAGGGATAAAATATAATTATGTATTAATTACCATAGTTTTGACTTTTGACGTGAAAAAACTCCGTATTTTATAGTTTCTTTAACCTTGAAACGTAGTTTTTATTTTTTCGTGTCTTCCTGAAAGCAGCACCAGTGAGGCACATGGTCACGTGACACAATGTTTTGCTCTTTCTGCCGGGTGCATGACATTTGTTGTCTCTGCTCACAGACACGTCCGTTTAACCTACTTCTTTTGTTATAAATTAGATCGACGGGAACAGAGACGTGTCTTGTTAATACATCTAGTTTACTAGCTAACCTTACGATAAGAAATAAAGACATTTAATCAGCGGAAAAGCAGCACCTGTGCGCCATGGCGGCTGTAGACAGCTTTCAGCTGCTCTACAGAGAACTTTCTCGATCATGCAGTGTTTACTTCGAAACCCTGGCTCTGGTCGGTGCTTTATACACAGCCAGCAAGGCGGTGATCCTGCTGAGGGACTGCTGCATGCTGGTTAGGGTGCATTTCCTGCCGAGAATGATCCCCACCAAGAAGCTGACCCAGAGGTTTGGAGACTGGGCTGTGATTTATGGTAAGAGGGATGCTGCAGGGGGGGTCAGTGCATCATGCCGTGGATCTGTAGGCAGTCCATTAAAATTTGGGGTGTTTTTATAAGGCAATATATGCCATCACTATTGATGCCACAAAATAGAAAGTTGTATCAGCTTGGGACATTGAATCTCCTGATCCTTTTACAATCCATAAACTGAGACAAAAACTCACATGTGCACACCCTTGAATGAAACTAATGGAAAGAAAATCAAAGGAAACTCTCAAATAATCAAAGAAAAACCAATAAAACCTCCACAGACTGATAATAGGATAAAACAAAGTACAACAGATCCAGTTAGATCCTCATACACTCACTTGCCACACACTCACTGGTCTGCCAAGAACACTTAATTGTTTAATCTTATCAGTGTCTCCTTTTGTTGTGGTATTGTCTCCCTGAATTGCCTTCAATGACCCTCATTGGCGCATTTTGTCTTGTCTTTTGTCAGGTGCATCAGAGCCTTTAGCCACAGCCTATGCAGAGGAGCTGGCCCGGCACGGTGTCAGCATCATCTTTGTCACTCAGGACCAAACGTCTATCAGAGACACGGCTGCATCCCTCTCCCACAGTTACGGAGTGGAGAGCATCGTCGTCCTGGCCGACTTCTCTCTGGACCATGCTGCCAGTAAGCCCATCAAAGAGGCCATAAGGGGGAAAGATATCGGCTTCCTGGTGAACTGCCTGGATGAGTCTTTGGCCTCCCCGCAGAGCCTGATTGAGATACCTGAGCAGGGCCTGTTGGATTTGGTGAATAAGAACGTCGCGGTGGCTACTCTGATTACTCGGTTGGTGCTTCCAGGGATGGTGGAGCGCTGCAGAGGAGCTGTGGTCAATTTATCATCGGGAGCTTGCTGTAGACCTTTTCCTGGAAGAGTGGCACTTACTGCATCCACTGTGAGACAAAACACTGAGAAGATCTGCCTCTTGTTCATGCACACACACACACTGAAACTCACACCTTTAACATGCATGAAGTCTTTTGGCTGCAGTACTTTTCATAGTACAGAATAGTTGTGAAAGTTTTCAGTACTTGGTTACAATTTCATTACCACAAGGCTGAAAATTAATAATAACAAATTCAGATTCAGGATTTAGTAGATACTGCTCTGTCCACAACATCAAAACAATCTGAAAGTGACTCACAGTAAAGATGGGGGATTAATCAGACCTTATATTCAATTACAAACATGACTCCCTAGATCAAGACTGACATAACACATCTTTGTATGCAGATGATAACCAACTTCTCCCTCTTCTTCTGACACTTCAGGGCTACATGGATCATTTCTCAAGAGCTCTTCATCTGGAGTACAGCAGCAAGGGGATCTTTGTCCAAAGTCTGGTTCCTTTCCAGGTAAATATCATGTCAGGTGATGTACAACCAGTTTTAAATGTGATGCCTTCGACAGATTAAAAAATATTAATAAAACAGGCAATTTCAGAACGACTTTAACCTTAACTAACTCCTCTCAAGTGAAAATAAAAACATAAAAAATGGCAGTTATCATTGCAGGACAGTTTTCTTAAACCGTTTTATTACAGAAAGATAAGTCTTGTGAATCAGAAAGTAAATGTGGAAAAACACGGAGAAGTAATTACATTATTTAATAACAGATTTGCTGTCTTGGAATGCATAGGGAAAATAGAATTTATAGTTGAGTATTTTCAACCCAGCAGTCATGAGGTAACACCCTATATGAAGGCCCCTGTAGTAAGGTGAAATTAACAGTTATAATACCTTATAAGATGCCTGTAAACATAAATTTGTCAATAAATGTCAACAAAAGCAAAATCAACATATTTGTAGTTGTTTATAGGACACTTGAAGGCCCCTCATTAAACATGCATTAAAAGTTCACTAACCTTTCACAACATCAATAAGATGTTATAAACATCAAGAAGCCCTTATAATCACTGGCTTGTAGCACACTTGTGGGGAATTTATTACAAAATTGTCAGGGTTTATAGAGTTTATATTTTATATGTTATAAGATGTATATAACCATTAATATAACTAATATCTTTGTTAAAATCACAACTACCCTTTATTATTGCTTTGAGCCCCGCTGTAAGAACTTCATTAACTTTGTTCACAATTTATAGACCATTTATCAACTTAAATTGTTGATTAAGACTATAACAGGTTAAGATAAATATCTTGTTAATAAATCCTTTCTAATATTCATATTAAAATTAAAAATGGCCCTTTTGGGGAACAGTGTCTTATTAAGCTAATGAATTCTCTATTGAGAGCCAATAAGCGTCTAATAAGCAATGATATGTGTGTAAATAAAGCTTTTATTGACACCTTTAAAGATGTATTTATGCTTATAAGCACATTATACTGTCTTGTGGGTGACCTATGCACTCAGTATTACAGAAAAGCAAAGGACAGGACTTTAAAATCCAGCTGCAGCTAAATAACAATAATAGATAGCTGAGAACAGATATGCATGTAAGTGCAGCTGACAGTCCGGTCCTGGGCATTGTCTCTTAATTTCTCCCCATTTTTTCATTCTGAGGATGTAAACAATGGCAGCACATGGGGAAGAAGTCCTGGCGTAGGCATATATTGTCATCAGAGTCAGAGCATGGGTCTTAAAAGAAGCTTAAAGGTTGTTTTTAGGAGCTCATACAGGTGTATTCCAGACTTGTGGGGTTGTTTCAGTTTGTATTTTTGTGTGTGAACAGATCGCCTCAAGTGGACGACGGCCATCATCATCATCGTCATCATCATCACCACCACCACCACCACAGTCAACAGAGGGCTGGTTTGTACCAAAGCCAGACGTTTATGCTCGCCACGCCATCTCCACCCTGGGCGTCTCCAACAGGACCACTGGCTACTGGCCTCACACTCTGCAGGTAAAAACAAAACATTCTTTTCTGAATTCTCCAAATGCTTGCAGATATAATCGCAGATTTATTTGCAGTGTTTGTGATCTGAAACATTTTGCTCTGTCGTTTTTCCTCCGCAGTACGGACTGATGAGGTGCATCCCAGAGTGGATTTGGGTCCTGGGGTCACGTGTGTTCATCAGTCTGAGCTGAATGCTCACTTCCTCACAGTCTTTTAACTAAAGACTATCTGGATCTTTGTTACTGCAGAATTTATCATCCTCCATTGTTAAACTGTCGGGCTGAGGCTCATTCATGTTGAGGGTTGTAGTTTAATCATTGTCCTTTACTGATATCAAAACAACTTCTAGGGAACCTGCAGTTTGATTCTCCCTGAGATAACAAGTACACCTAACACACAGAGCACACGTTGCTGGACTATGATCTGCCAGTCCGGTAACTTAAAAATAAACAAAAAAATCTGGCTGTGGCTGAGAGTGAGTATCATCTTCATGTACGACGTGAGCTTTGATACAGAAGTAAAAGTATGGCAGACTATTTTACAGCCGAGATGGATCAGAGAGACCTGTTTCACTGAGGTGAAATTATCCTTAAAAGAGTTGAATGTAAAATGATTTTATTTTTCTACATGGATAATAAAAATTCGCACATGAAAATACTTGTACACTTCAAGCCAAGCTGAGTACATTACAGAATGTAAGTGCAAATGTAAGTCTCGATCCAATAGTGACATAAAAAAGCATTTTGCACTAAAACTGACATCAACAAAATAATTTAAAATAAATATAATACATAGAGCAGATAGTCATAAATGTGCGCTCTGATTTCTGACATTCTGCATAATTCAGAAAGTCTTTCCTCCTCTTTATTTAGACTATCCGACTTTCTGGTTTAACCTGCTTTTACCTGCATTTACCACACCTTTATGGCACTGGGACAAAAAGAGAAAGGAGTTTGCCCCTAAACTGACATCATTTATAGTTTAAGAGACAGATATGCTTTATTTGGAGTGAGGAAGAAAATGAATTGTGCAATGCTATATTAGTAAAAAGTCTTATTTTGATAGCTGCAACTCAATCTCAACATGTTAATTCTGGGTGTATTTAACCCAAACTCTTGGCTGTTTGTTATTTTAGATCCTAACACGAGCTTAGCAAGAGAGGTTAGATAAATGGTGAAGCAAGTCTTTGAAAGTGTGTTTACAACCAAAAACAGTGAGTGCTCGGTGGGGAATGGGAAAGCTTTTGCTCAGGGTTAAAGTTTGAAGCATATCCAGGAGTGACTTTGAAATGCACTGAGGATGTATGGGGTGTGATGTTGTGTTTTTTTCGAGAGAGAAGATTTGAGCTGCAGTTTATTTAATGTTGGTGTTACTTTAATACAAGTATTTGTATTTGCAAAATAAGCATATTCATATGTGTTGTGCAGAGTGATTGCAAAATACTGTACATGCCAGCTAAATATGGACCACGAGTTACGAATTAGACCAATAAAAGTCTTTCTTCATTACCATGATGTCCTGTCTTGTATTTGTTAAGAATTTAAGGGAGAGTAAGAAGTAGTTGTGTTAGTAGTATTAGATGTAGAAGTGGTAGTAGTGATATTACTAGGTGGTTTGGTTTTAAGCATATGTGCATACATCAAATGTTGACTGATCTTTGAGCTGAAGGCCACAAACCCTCCGTTTTCCCCTCAAAACATCAGGTTTGTGTAAATCATTGACGTCAATGAACAGACACTAGGCCAACATACAGAGTTTACCCTGTGAACCCTCAGATCAGACAGGTCAGAGGCTGTGGAGCCGCACGTGAGTGAAAGATCTGCTGTAAAAACACACGGTGAGGGGCGAACCTGACCTGCTTTTAAGGGGAATAAGACCTAAAACCAGAGTGAGAGAAGATGCTGTAGGAGTAAATATCAATGACAGATACTGTTCCATTTCATCCAGTACTTAACACACTTTCTTTATTCACCCATGTACCTAGTCTGGAAGCAGCTGCAGGTTCAAAACTTCACATTTCCATTTTTACTTTTGTCCTAACTTGTGAACATTTTGGAATAAAAAGTAAACACAAGAAACTATGAACCATGTGCAAGTAAATGATGCATTTTTGCCTCCTGTCTTAAAAATGGGATGTAAGGGGAACAATTTCAGAGTCAAAGTGTGAATTTTACAACAGTCCTGTCCTCTGAAACATTCCTTATTAAGACTGGAGTTCGGCTGTTGTGGGTAGGATGGTGTCCTTCAAGATAAGATGCCAAAGACACAATGAGAATACAGCTTCTTCGTCACTTTCTCTCTTCTTCCTTCTTCTGAAACATCGCTCTCTTCACCCAGCTTTTTTCTCTGTGGATTTGTACAACTGGTAAGTGGATTTTAGTGTTAATTTCTAATTGCTTCTCTTCTCTGATTCATCAACAAAGACAAAAAAGGGTTAGTTGATAGACATGAAAGACCTTTCTCTGACCTTTTCTGGCAAAAAAAGGTCCAAGATTTTTGTACGTGGACCAGAAAAAATGTATAAAAAGTAAGTTATTTTGGTACGTTTTCAATTGGAGCTTCAAAAATTTAGTGGATGTGGCCAATTTTGGGTAGTAAATTTGATATTCTCATTTTAGATAATACAAAATTTGGACTTTATGACATGATGTGAGTAAAAATTTACTTTCCAATGGCAACCCTCAACCAAGACAGGGTCAAACGAGATTTTCTTAAGAACGCTTTGAATAATATCATTCTAACTCATGTAAAAGACATTCTATGTGTAGAGACAGTCTGCTATGGTTGAGATTCACCAAGGTTAAGGTCTCGGTTTCCAGCAGATAAGTTTGTTTTGGGGACTTTGAATCAGCAGATGCGGGGTCTATCAGCAAGAGGCTGCAAGAAATGATGATAAAGTTTGGCCTTGTGAGGAAAAAGATTTCAGTGCTAACTTTTCTAATAGCCAAAATGAATGAGGTCCGATCAATTATGGCTAATAAATCTTTAAAAACAAGTAAAGAGAGCTCCATGTAATCTGTACAGTGGCCCTGAAGTTCAGAAACACATTTATTTTAATGACTTCAAAAGGCATTTCTATAAATGCAAGAGACACAAACTCACTGCAAACAAACACCAAAAAATTCATAAATGCATTAAAAAAAAAATGTTGGGGAACTCACAGTAAAAAAATTCAAGAAATACAAAAAAAGTTTCAGAAACACAATGTAAAAAGTAGGCTAGTTCAAAAAATATGAACTAAAATATGAATGAAAAACTATATTAGAATTTATTGAATGCAAAAATAAAACTGCATTAAAAATTTACAAAATAAAAATATTTTATAAACACCAAAACATCTCTAAAAATAAAATAATTCACAAAATATTAAAATTGATACAAGTTGAAGACTTTATTCAAATCCTATTTAATACCTCATGAAAAAAATGATGTCACACAAATATGTTTTGAAACAAAAAAAAAATTCTCCAAAAATATTTCATGAAACACAAAAAGAATTGGGTTTGCAAAATATTTTTCTGGCTCATGAAATTTTTTGTTTGATGAAACATATTTTCTAATTTAATTTTGGTTGAACCATCAAATATTTTTGTATTGTGTCAGGTATTTTTTGCCGTCTAATTAAATATTTTGTTTTCCTTGGCTATCTTGTGTTTCATTATATATTCATGTTTGTGAAAATGTTTTTGATGCTACAAGTACAAGTTTTTTTTGTTTTGTTTTGTGTTGTTTTGTTCCTTATTTATTTATTTATTTTTTGCCTCACGAAATGTTTATGCAGTTACGGGCCAGGGCCTCTGAATTTTAGGCCATAGACTTTGACCCAGAAATCACAGGCTCAACCTTTCCTAGCTGTGACCTTTTGCTGCAGGTGAACACCCGTTCTCTACCTGCCATGTTTCTTCTCGATTTTCAGCTGTCCAACCCTAAAAAAGGAACTTGGATAACATGAGGCTTCTCTAAGGCCTGGCCTCACTAAAACCCAAACAGTGCAAACACTGTCCATAATGAAGTGGTGGATGTCTGTGAAGTCTTGATGGACTATTTCTGTCATTTCATAGACAGCAGGACAACTGGCGACTGAAATGGGCGAATGGGATCTTCTGGGCCGCCTGCTGGATAAAGTGCAGAGCCACTCCACAGTGATAGGCAAGGTCTGGCTCACGGTGCTGTTTGTCTTCCGTATCCTGGTCCTGGGAACCGGCGCTGAAAGGGTCTGGACACAATTTTACATCAACATCATATAGATACAAGGAGTTAGCTACAATGATAGTGTTAATCCTTAGTTTGGTTTGGACATGGTCAACAGTCTAGATTTTGAATGTCTCAAAATTGAGGTCAGAAAGGCCAGAGATACTAACGCCTGAGAATTCAAATCACTTTGTAGTTCCAAGACAATGATTCATTCCCTATAAAACACTAAACTACTTTAAGTTTATGATTTTCTGCATCATCTTTTTTTTTCTTTCAGGTGTGGGGTGATGAACAATCTGACTTTGTCTGCAACACCCAGCAGCCTGGCTGTGAAAACGTCTGCTACGACCAAGCCTTCCCAATCTCTCATGTGCGCTTCTGGGTCTTCCAGATTATCGCTGTCGCTACTCCCAAACTGCTTTATCTTGGCTACGTGCTCCATGTCATCCATGCTGAGAAGAAGGTGTGTAACTCAGTGAGTGTAGTCTGCCAGCAAGAGAGGTCAAGGTGTGAATCATCAGACTTAACACACCTGTAGTTGGCGTGTTTTCAAGGCCTATCTGGAGGTTTGCCCCAGTCATTTATAACCATAAGACAGTAGCTGATCACAGGGCTGCCAATTTTCAAAAAATTACAGGAGTGACGCTTTAGCTTTACGACCTGTGGTCAGCGGCGAAAAAAATGTGGCCTTTTTATAACGTCAATTCATACTGCACTGTGGCCTTGTAATGCTGATAAATTTTGAATGTTGGCGCTGAAAGATAGTTCGAGACCTTACGTTGCCTCTGATTGGTTTATATTGCATGGAGTTTTCAGTGGTTGGTTAGATTCTGGCACAGAGGACTAATGGATTGGTCTGGGATCGGTTATCTCAGTCAGTCAGTATTGAATGGGGAAATATAAGTGTGAGAAATGTCAAGTCAAAATGCGTGACCGTCACACTCAACGCGTAGAACTTGGCAGCTCTGAGATCATCATACATGATCATTTGCAAGACTCATGACCACATGATTCAACATCTACGTAATCTTTTATAACCTGACAAGAAAGCCACATTCAGCAATTTTTCTGCTCAGCAAAAATTCTTCATTCAGAGACACATAAAGGTTTTTGCTGGTCTACACAGTGGTCCTTTGTTCAGCAGAGTTACAAAAAATCATGATGAAATTTTACTTTTTTTTTTTTTTTTTAACCTTTATTTACTTTTAGACTAGTTTTTTAAAATTAAAATTTCTGTTTCAACAACTCAGAAATGAACACTACAGAACATCTTTTCCACTCTCAGTTGTGGCGTCAAAACAATTTCTGTGGCATCAGATAAAAAATAGAAACTTAATATCTCCAACATATGGACACTTGGATATAAATAAGCAGGATCAGTTCGATGGTCTCACAATATACCAGTACTGAGGATAACTGTCTTTAAAAAGAAGAAAGCATGACAAAATTGTGCTAAAAATAAGCATAGAGTAATACATGAGTTCAAAGAAGTGTTTCTTTTACACTGGCGGCCACCACTGACCATATAATATACGTACATAGTCATACATTTGTGTCTGAAGCAGACTTTTGAAGCCTATTAGCAAACGTCACCTTATAGGAAATGCTGACTCAACCGAAGTTTCAGTTGACCCACCAGACGAGGGTCTTTAACCTCTGTAAAAATGGCCACACAGTGCCCACCCATCAGTCAAGTCAGCCATTCCTCTGATTTGCCAGACTTGTAAACAAAAGAATTCACCCCCCGCACAGTCTGTACCATTGGACGAAGAAGAGGTTGCTAGCAAGGTAGCTGTAGCAGCCCCTTGAGAGATGACTCAGCACTTTTAAAAAGCTGGTGCCTCTTGGGTTGCCGATCAACTTCATGTTTACATGATTTTTTAAACTGTTTTCATTTAGTCAGTAACCTTAAAGCAGCCAAAAGAAATAAACTTCAAAATAAAAGCATAGTTTGACTGAGTAACTGGCTTGGGAAGTTGGACCTCTTCTCGGTTAATGAAAAATTAGGCGATCTTTACAGCGAAAAACTGTTCTTTGTCATGTCTATTTCACAAACTTTTACAATTAAAAAGTCAACAGACTTTGAGAGGTTTATTGAAGATCTCTAACTCTGTTTCCCTGTTTTTCTAAATCAAGATGAAGGAGAGGATGAAGAAGCAGTCTGATGTGGATGACCCAGCCAGCCTGTTCCTGAGGAGGGCCTATAAAGTCCCTAAATACACCAAGAGCACCGGCAAGATCAGCATCCGTGGCCGTCTCCTCCGCAGCTACGTCCTCCATCTTGTGGCGAAGATTGTCCTTGAAGTTGTTTTCATCGCAGGCCAGTACCTTCTGTACGGTTTCACCCTCCAGACTCGTTATGTCTGTGTCAGCTTCCCCTGCCCACATAAGGTGGACTGCTTCCTGTCTAGGCCCACAGAGAAGTCGGTCATCATCTGGTTCATGCTGGTGGCGGCGTGCGTTTCCCTCGTTCTTAGCGTGGTTGAGCTGGTCTACCTATGCGTAAAGGCTGTGAAGGAGTGCATGGCGAGACGGCAGGACTACACCGTGACCCCAGTGACGCCCCCGCTCACGGAGAGGAAGGCTTTTAAACTCAGAGATGACACTGTGTTGCAAAATTGCGTCAACCTGGAGTTGGAGCGCCAAGGCCGAAAGTTAGGGGTAAACGGGGTCAACGAGGCTCCGAAGAACGTGGCGCCTGAGAACAACAACATGGGAGAGGTTCATATCTGAGGCATGGAGGAGGGGAAAGGTTGTAAGTGTCCAAAGCTGCTCACATCCAGTCAGTGTGTGTTTTGGCTTTATGTAGAAAAAAGGAGGGGGTGATTGGGGGAGAGAATAACCAGCTTGGGTAAACAGGACTCTGTCACATGGAAATGTTGCTCAAAAAACTTCTAGTAACTCTGTGAAACAGTTAAGAAACTTGGACCAGAAATAATTACAATTTTACTTAAATAAACCTCTCAAATACAGCTTGTTCAATGTGTAAGTTGTCCTTTTTTTCCCATGTAATGAATTTTTGCAACATCAACTAAAAGCTCCTGTGGGTAATTTGAGGTTGTGTTGATTTCGGTGCCACCTTTGGACAAATCAGTGTTTCTTATCTTGTTTTACCTCCCTCTGATTAAAAAACAAACAAACAAACAAAACCGACTTACTTAACACTGAAGTTTGAAAAAAAAAAAAAGACTATCAGAAAGATTGCAGTTGATTTCTTGGACGAACACCTACCCCCACCAGTGGTTTTAGACAGTATATATAAATATATAGAGAAATAAACAGTCTTGTTTCCTTTCGCAGGTCAAATAGAAGCATTGATATTTATTTTTGTCTTTAACACATACAGGTAAAACTCACAGGAGCTTAAATTTATATGATGAAATCTTAGTATTCTTAAGCTGTAGTAACATTTAGACCCCTTAAATATACAAAACAGTACAACTTATATGAATATTAAAATGTTTCAAAAAAATGTTTTGACAAAAACATTAGTATTAAATCTCTTTTGAGGGTTTTTACCTGGTTGTGAAACAGACTGAAAATAATAGTCAACATATCCTGAGTTACTTATTATTTACAGGAGTCACTTTTTCTTTTATTAACCATTAACATGGGTGTTTATTTGAATGATTATCAAAACTTTTACATTCCATTAAATTTTGTTTCTTATGGCATCGTCATTTTCATGTTATACAATTTCTGTGGATCCAAAAGCAGTCTTCAGATTTCTATGGTGATCACATACTGTATTTAGAATCAATCTGTTATGGACTTGGATAGTGGGAACCCTTTGTGGTACAGAAGGAGACTTTAAGCAGATTTTAACGTTAACAGAAAATTACTCACAGTAGCTTTAACACTTAACATTTTTCCTATTGTCATAAAAACTTTGTCACTTTCTTTACATTTCTCTCATTAAGATAACAGTTTTCTTTCATAGATTTAGTTGATTTGCTGAGATCCCCACTGGTGTCATGTAATCATCCCAAGATAACAAATCTTGTTTTGTCTTGATAAAAGGTGATCCTAATAAAAGCTGGATTGTGTATTTAACCAGACCCTGCATGACTTGCTGCCATTGCTTACACTATGAGGTCAATTAGATTAGATTAGATGAGATTAGATACAACTTTATTTGGAAAGGTGTCCCTCAAGGACATTAAACCCATTTTAGTGTTTGTTTTGTGTTTTTGCAACTCAAGGGGTACAAGTTAGGATCATCTAAAGTTGGGTCAAGACAACAGAGCAAGAAAACAGCTCAAATTAATTTAACCCTGGGAATAAAATGTTTAGATGCATGTCCATTTAAGGCTTCCATACAACTTTAATGATTATGATTGGTTATTGCCTCCAGGGACTTACTAAACGACTTATTTTTCGTCTTGAGTATGCAAATATTTTCACCCAGAGCCTTCAGAGATTCGTAAGAGTGATATTTAAACTGCACACCCTTCCTGTTACCTTTAAACAGTTCAAACTGTTCAAATGTAGAAAGATCCAGCCTCTCTGATACAAGCGGCTGTCAATTATTACACATCTGTTCTCTAACTCTCACCTTTATCCAGTTTCTTTTTTTTTTTTCTGTCACGTACTGCCAGATGTTGCATAATGGCTTGGACTCTCTCATTGGCGTCCTCAGTCATGAAGCACTGAAACTCAAAGGTCCCAGTTGTAAGCTGGTAGCGAGTCACAGTCAGAGGCAGTCCTCGCTGACAGGTCAGCAGGTAAGATGCAGACGCTCTTGCTCTCAGCTACACAGAAGTGATTAAGTGAGGGATTTACAAAGGATGGCTGTTTATGATTGGGAGTATTTGCCATAACAGATTTTTTATTTTGTGTCTTTGTTGTTGATTATTTTGTGGGGGAAAAAAAAGCTTTAGAAGTTTTATCTGGAAAGTTAGAGAGATACAGACATGCCTGTTGTGCTTTCCTCTTAAATTTTCATCATAATATATTTGCTGTTTTGAATCAGTTGCCTTCATTTATATCGTATTTCAAAAAATGACAGTTTTAGAATAATAATACTTGAAAACAGGTGAGTCTTTTTTCTTCTTTTGTCATCCATGCATCATTACGACACCTCTGAGTCATCAGTTTTCCTGTCCAAATTTCTCATTAATGATTATTTCAGGAGGTTACTGACCAACCAGCTCAGGGTTCAAGGGGCTCTGATATTTTTTTACTTCTCAAGAAACCAGACTCAGGTGTGGAGGTGATGACTTATCTCTCTGTAAAGAACAATGAGCGCCTTTATTTCAGCAGCAGTTCATTGATTTGATTCTGGGCTGTGCTTAATCTTGGTGTTGATAAGTGTGGTTTTCTATCACTGCTCTTACTTCTATTTTTGTACCTTTTTTGCTACAGATCACGAACTAAAGATCAACAACAACAATGGGAGATTTGGGATTTCTGTCAAAGTTGCTGGACAAGGTCCAGTCCCACTCCACTGTCATAGGGAAGATCTGGATGAGCGTCCTCTTCTTGTTCAGGATCATGGTTCTGGGTGCAGGTGCTGAGAGCGTATGGGGCGACGAGCAGTCGGGTTTCATCTGCAACACTCAACAACCTGGTTGTGAGAACGTTTGCTACGACTGGACCTTTCCCATCTCGCATATCCGCTTCTGGGTCCTGCAGATCATCTTTGTCTCCACACCGACGCTGGTCTACCTGGGTCACGCCTTGCATGTCATCCACAAAGAGAACAAGTTGAGGGAGAAGCTGTCAAGTCCAGGTGGAAGCCGGCTGCTCAAACTGCCCAAATACACAGACGAAAAAGGGAAAGTGAAGATTAAGGGGAACCTGCTGGGAAGCTACCTGACCCAGCTCGTTTTCAAGATCATCATTGAGGCCGCCTTCATCGTGGGCCAGTACTACCTCTATGGCTTTGTCATGGTCCCCATGTTCCCCTGCTCCAGAAAGCCCTGTCCCTTCACTGTGGAGTGCTACATGTCCCGTCCCACAGAGAAGACCATCTTTATCATCTTCATGCTGGTCGTGGCCTGCGTCTCCCTGCTGCTCAACTTCATCGAGGTCTTCTACCTGCTCTGCACCAGGGTCAGGTGTGGCTCCAAGCGTAACACTCACAAAATCGGCTCAGCACAAAACCCTGCCACCCTGCCAGCTCCAAGGTGGCCGACCACAGAGGAGACTCTCAAACAAAACAAGCTGAACATGGATCTAGAGAGCAGTGAGAGTATCGGCGGTAATCTGGACGGGGCGAAAGAGGAGAAGCTGCTGTTGAGTGGTCATTCGTAATGTCTTTGCATTGTCTCCAACCCTTTTCACATTTTCAAGACTGTAACAAGAGATTTTTATTACAGAGCAGCAAGTTAAAGGCTCATCACTTTTATATTGGGTTGCAAAGTGAAATTCATTCCAAAGTTTGCCAATACCCCCCTTTTGGGGCTTGTTTATCTTTGTACTGAAACTCGAAATCTATAAATGGAAACAGTGCAATATTAATGATTTATTTATGTTTTTCATTCACCAATCTGTGAGTGACAAAAGTTTGGTCTTGCCCAGTTATTGAATGTTTTCTTTAACTTATTGCCAAGTTCATTGAGTAAGACTTGAAATTCTTGTCTGATGGACTGATGTTGATGACTGTTGTGACGTCATCTGTATATGAGTGTGCATTGTAAATGAATATTTGTAATATTTACTGTTTTAATATGTGATTAAAGTTGGTGAAAAGAAAAGAAAAACAATGTTTCTTTGCAGTATTCATTATAAAAGAATGACTGGATGACAAAAAGTACAGTAGTTTAATTTCAAAATGCACTTAGCAGGTAACACACCATTTCTTCCTATCTGACACCAAAGCTCCAGTGAGGAATGTAAAGTTTACATTAATTTGAGCAGCTTTTGTGTATCTTTACCTGCTGCTTTTCATTAAAAAGTTTCACTTATTGAGAATATTTTCCCAAGAAAGTGTAAAAAGAATCTGTTCCTGGGAAGTGCTGTCGTTCATTTTGCTTGACATCTACTCCCCGAATGCAATTTTTAAACTTTAAAAAATATGAATATAGAGACAATATATTTCTATTCTGACAGTTTCATTTGCTTTTCTAGCTCATAAGGAGGCATTGGTTTTGAATCTCAGTCTGTTTTGAAACCGGTGAAAAACTCCTCACATGATCTTTAAATGAATCAGTGTGTGGTTTATACAGGAAATTGTCAGCAAATTTTGTCAACTGTCAATCACAGCTCCCTATATCCTAGATTTGATTATTCACAAATCACAGAAGAGGGAACAAAACTAAAATATTCATATCTGAGGACCAAAAACAGGGATATTTTTGGGGCTTTTTCAGCATAAAATTAAAAAGAAAATAATCACTTTGTTCCTGTAAATTTCCTGGAGATTAACTTATCCAAATATCTTGCAGATTTGCAGATCTCTTATTAATACTTTGAACCAGGGGGTGGTTAATGAATGGGCAGATCCAAGCCACATACACTGATAGCATGATCATTTCAGTAGGTTTATATAAGGGGAAGAACATTATATCAAATGGACAGAGTGTGACTTATGCTCATATCAAATAGGTCCATAAAAATAATCATAAGAACTTACGCAACCAAAGTATTTTCCTGAGGCATATCTGCTCAGATTGTGTGAGAATTACTCAAAATGTTTTGTTGACACAATCAGAACAAGATGTGAACCTGGCTGCTCCTGTGTCACGTACCATTCATAGTAGAGTTATTGCACCGGGTTGCATTCGTCTGCACAGGTGTTGGTGCAGATATGGTTAACAGTACCTGAATCTGTGCTTACCTCGCAGAATATCACTTCACAGATACAACTGACAAAGCTCATGAGATAAAAAAGTGCCAATAGGGTCATATCCTGAGGGATATCACTTTCTTTGGCATGTTAACCACACACTGATAAAAGTGAAAAATTACATAAGATCTATAACAAAACTCATGAGAATTTTATCATTTTTACACTGCTGCCAATCATTAACTGGTACATTCTTGGTAGAGCTGTGCCCAAAAAATGTCAAGTTCTGCCTTTTCCAGATGTCATGACAACGTGACAGCTCACACTGTTGTGCAATTTCATCTTTAGATCTAAAGTTCAAGGCAGCACTGACAGTCTGATTCACTTCACTGGGCTCCCTATCATTCACGCTCAGACAGCTGGCGGCTGCACCGAGGACTCTTACTCTCAAAGGTAAGATCAACAAATTAAATGTTTTTATTTTGAAGTTTGAACAAAACATGTGAGATATTCAACTTTTGAACTACTATACTACTACTACTCATTGCGAACAAAGTGCACTTTCTGCTGTTTTGATTAACCCGTTAGTCATTTTAATCAATAATTGTGGGTAAAAGCACCAGGAAATATCAGTGACTGTCAGAGACCAAGCATAAATTTTTCATTCATTATGCATATATTTATAAATACAATATATATGTATGTATATATGTGTATGTGTGTGTGTGTGTGTGTGTGTGTGTGTGTGTGTGTGTGTGTGTGTGTGTGTGTGTGTATATATATATATATATATATCAAGCTGTGCTACCCAAATAAAATGCGCTTAAATATATATAATATATATATATATATATATATATATATATATATATATATATATATATGTATATATATTTAAGCGCATTTTATTTGGGTAGCACAGCTTGATTATGTCCCCTTAATGAGTTTTAAAACTTTTTTTAGATAACTCATAACTGAGTCTGTCCTTGAATGACATGCAGGATGATAATATGATGCACTGTAAATGATCAAAAGGCCCACTTTTAACTTATTTTCAACCAAAATATTTCCTCATGCAGTCCTTCAGAGAAGTGAAGCTCTCCCTGTCTTTGCTTCTGAAGGACTCTCTCTCTTGCTGAAATTCCCTTTTCGTTCCCAGTTATTGACTTCATTTTCTATTCCATCAAATTTTGTAAATTGTCTATTAGGGTGGAGGGTTTTAGCATAATGCAACTTTTTTAGAAACAACTCACTAATGTATGTTTTTCTTATACATTTGTACGGTGGTAGAATTTTTAAATGCCATTGGTTTTTTTGTTTTTGTTCCCCGACTAATTTGATCGTGAATTTGCTTCTCTTTAGATCAGGCACCATGGGCGATTGGGGTTTTCTGTCCTCATTGCTGGACAAGGTCCAGTCTCACTCCACTGTCATCGGGAAGGTCTGGCTCAGTGTGCTTTTCATCTTCAGGATCATGGTCCTGGGAGCGGGAGCAGAAAAGGTCAACATCCCCTTTTCTTTTTTGTTTCTTTGAGCAGGTATCACTAGAGCAGCTTATGATTTTTAGATGAAATATCACCCCCTAGTGGCCATTGGAGAGGCCTAAAAAGCACACCCATAAAGTCTTGGCTAAAACTTGTGATATAATTTTTGTGATATAAATATAGTGCTGTTATTTAACTTCACAGGTGTGGGGTGACGAACAATCGAATATGATCTGTAACACCAAACAGCCTGGTTGTAAGAACGTCTGCTATGACCACGCTTTCCCCATCTCTCACATCCGATTCTGGGTCCTCCAGATTATCTTCGTCTCAACACCAACACTGATCTACCTTGGTCATGTCCTCCACGTCATCCACAAAGAAAATAAACTGAGAGAGCACATGAAGAACAACTGTGGTGAAATGATCAAACACCCCAAGTACTCAGATGAGAAGGGTCACGTCCAGATTAAGGGGAACCTGCTGGGAAACTACATGACCTCCATATTCTTCAGAATCATCCTGGAGATCGCATTCATTGTGGGGCAGTATTACCTGTACGGCTTTGTCATGAACCCACAAATCGTCTGCGCCAGAGCCCCATGCCCCTTCACTGTGGAGTGCTACATGTCTCGTCCCACAGAGAAGACCATCTTCATCATCTTCATGCTGGTTGTGTCCTGCGTCTCTCTTTTGCTGAACCTGGCCGAGATCTTCTACTTGGCCTGTTCTCGCTCAGCCAGGCGCAGGGCTCGATTGGTGCCAGCCTCTGCTATCGCCATGCACCCACGTTTAGACGGTGGCAGTCTGATGAAAAACGAGAAGCTCAGCCTCCATGATGCCAGTCACAGCACGGCATAAAAAAAACATCATGACCTCCAAAGTGTAAATTTAAACAGTCAAATGGTTACAGAGGATGTGGGAGGTTGGATTAAGATGTGACTCCTGGTTCTCAATTTGCAAGAAACCATGGCTTACTGAGAGTTACTTATTTATGTGGCACTTAAATATGGTTCCTAACACGCTTGTTAGAAATTGTAATTCAAATAAAAAAAGAAAAATGCAGAATAATATTGTACAGTTTTACTGGCACTAACCAAAAAATGTATTTGTGGCTTTATTCTAAGTCTTGGTTTGGCTTGTGTTTCTCCTGTAAATATAATGTGAGTATTGGCACCTTGTTTGTTCTGATTAAAAAGTTTGGCTGCAAGTGTTCAGGTTTAAGCTTTGAGCTGACAGATAGGATGACCCAACTTGGGCAGCCTGAACTCTAACAGCCAATAAATCTGTTTCCTGGTGTTAGTTTGCAATGGTTAAAAGCTATTTAAAAATTATGTTGTCAAAATGTGTGCAAGAATTGAAGTGCTTTTTTGCTGTCTCAGGCGTGTAAAAATATGAATAAAAAAGTTATTTTAAACATTTTGTGTCATGTATTTTTTATGCAGATTAATTCATGTCAGAGGGTAAGTCTACTAACATTACTATTCTCTTTAAATCATTACTCATTCAGTCTATTGTTGCCCACTCAGTTGATGCAAAGCAGGAAACAGCCTTCTGAAAAAATACAGGTTATTTAGTTTGATATCACAATGATCGCAGCACATGCAAAATCTTAATTGGATCGAGTGGGAATTAAATTCTGGGGCATGGTTCAGTTATTGGTAATTTTATTCTTTCTGTTTTATTTACAAATTTTCCCTACCTGTAACCTGGCTGGGTCAACTATTTAGCTAAGAAACGATAAAACAGTATTATCTGAAAATGTCTGTCTTACAGTTTTTTTCAGTCACTAACAAGCACTTACCCATGCTTCAGATACTTTTTCTAAACTCTTAAAACAGACTCACACCTACAAAACACAATTGGCCAAATTGATTATTTTCTTCTTAAAAACATATTTTGTTAAATATATACTAACTCTTCATTTCAAAATAGAAGCATCTTTCTCTGTATGCACTAACTTTACCAAGACACTGGACATCTGACTCAAAATGAAATTATTCTGTCGAAGAATAACACTTATTTTCACTTCACAAGGTACATGCAGTCAGTCAAAGTACACCAGGTTTTAAAATACTGGCTATTGCTGACATTAAAAAATCTACATAGACTATTATGTTTCAGTTTCACAGGTATTTGCATGCAATACATGCAATCCACCATTTTTACACTAAATTTCTCGGTTGGAAACTGTATGTCCACATGTAATGTTCGCATTCAAAAGCATTTCAGTAAAAAGCAAATCTTTTTTTTTTCCTTTACTGTTTACTACAGGAGGTACAGTAGAAATACTGCTTACGATATGATGATAGAACAGAAAAAGTTTTACAGTATTGCTTACATTACTTATTCAATTGTTTGTTTACAGTTTTTCTCAATTGCTAAAACACTAAACCCTATTGTCTGAACCAAATGCGCCACTGTCTGAACCCACCGATTCAATTAGTCACTATTTTGGCAAAACCATAAGCACTTTTCACCTGTTTAGACACAACTTGCCAACACATTTTCATTGTAATACACCTGTGTTGCATAATGGTGAGCACAGGTGGCAAAAGTCAAACACAAGTAAAGCACAAGTGTCACTCATTGAACACAGCAACTCAAAACTGACCACACTTGTGGCTAATGATGTGAGGGAACATATATAAGCCAGTTCAGAGAGCATTGCTTTGTAAGGGCACTACAATGGATGGAAATCTGAGAGGGGGAGGTCGTGTAAGAGGTGGTCGAAGAGGTTGAGGTAGTCAGCGAAGACAAAGAACAGTAAGATCTGGTGAAATCAGAGCTACTGTGATTGAGCATGTTCTTGTCCATGGTATGAGCATGAGGGAGGCCGGACACATGGTACACCCAAACATCAGTAGATTCACTGTGTCTACCATAGTCTGAAGACTTAGAGAACGGGTAATTACCTTTTTTGACATTATAGAATGTTAATGTTGACAGCAATTTCTGTATGACTGTGTTCTCTATTTTTTTTTCTAACTATCTACAAGTGCTAAATGCACAGGTTTTTTGCTTTGGAACATCCATTTAGCCTACAGCGAACAATGAATATTTATTTCTACAGCCTCATGTCCTGGCATTGTATTTTCTACTTTTCTATGTAGCATTTAGTGACTGTAGTCGTGTTTTTAATTTTGATTGATTCGGGGCACAATTTGACAACATAGCTCAGTTTTGAGCACAGATTGAACTGTTTTGAGGTGAAAGTTTGGTTTTGCAAGAGGAGTTTGAGTTTTGTGAATAAAGCTTGAAAATTGGGTTATGTGTTCACTGTTAAGAGAAAAGGAGAGCAACCTTGGAGAAATGTGTCTTAGCAATCGAGAAAAACTGTATTATCAGCTGAGATATATTGTTTTTGAACTCGTATCATTACAAAAACAGAGCTTTTTATACAATATTTAAGGTTTGCAATTTTGTTTTATCTATTGTGGGATGTTGTGTGTTAACATTTGTAAATAATACAAAAACTATCCATAGTTTTGTTGGAAGGTATAGCTTGTCTGTTAAGCAAATGTAAGCATTGTGGAAATGTGTTTACTGACTGCATATTGTGTGAAAACAACATGAAAAGTGTGAATGATATGGCCACAAAAGACCGATGCTGTGCTAAGTGTGTTAAGAGTTTTGAAAATGCGACAACTGTTCGGACAAACGCTTGTCAGTGGCTAAAATAAAATTGTAATAGTATCTGACGCCGGGTCCATTTTTCCGTAGAGACCCCAAGATGGCGCCATTGTCGTTTAACATTAAACTGAACACCGACCCTTTGGCACAAGCCCCGCCCCCGCCCCGCCCACACAGTGACGAACACCGGCTTCCTCTCCCTCCACACAATAACAACAGCTGATAGCAGCTAAAGATGGCCGCCGCAACCATGGCGGGGCCCGACGCCCACAGGATGGAGGAGAAGAAGTTCGAGTATTTCTCCTCCATCAACTCCATGGCAAGGAAAATAATGCAGGAACGGGAGAAAATCAAAGCCCAGCACGGCTCGTCTTGGGAGAAAATGACCCCGCAAGAGCAGGACACCGCTATCGACAACGAGATGATGGACCCACATATTCGAGCCCGATACGGTATGCACAGAGTTGACCGTGAAGAAGTGGTCTGTTACCCGAAACTGCTCATTCAGACGGGTCAGAAGATCGTTCATTTCGGAGAGGAGGTACTTTGAATACATTTTCAATCGTATTATGTGGTTTTAAAGGCGTTTTAGAGATCATTTTAAGCTGTGTTTTCATGGCTGCGTACTAGCCACGTAGCTGTTAAAATATGCTGGCGTACGTCATTGGACTGATGCGTTACCTAGCGACAGATACATATTTCAGCCATTATTCCTAATAAGTGAATTCACACATTAAAAGATGAGTTAAATTATGATAGCTGGTTTCGTTTTATAGACCTCAGGGCTATTAGTCTTCTATAACACAGCTCAGTTTATCTAAATGTCGAAAACCCTGTGTCAATAACATTGTTTCTTTTTAGGATATCACCTGGCAGGATGAGCACTCGGCCCCTTTCTCATGGGAAACAAAGGTATGTTTATTGAGGTTAGGCTCAAGTGCGACACACTACACTGGATTGTTGCAGCCAACTTTTGTTTATATCATTGTCATAATGACTATTACAAAGTTATTAAGCCTGTTATGAACAAGCTGATGTCAAGATTGATGCCTCTGTGTGACCTCTAAAAGCAAAGTAGGAACAAGATTGATATCTATATTGATTGAGTCAAAGCACAGCTGTTTTATCTATGAAACTCTTTAAAAATCCCTGTTTTATGTAAGCGCTGCTAATAAGGTTATAGGGGAGAGTGGGGTAAGTTGAGCCAAAGGGTAAGTTGTTGCTTGGAAATGGTAAAAGAAATTGATCATGTGATCAAATATTAGGAGATGGGCATCAATTCATGGAGTCTGTGAAGGTTAGAAGCACATGGGTGAAGGGGTTAGACATTTATTTCTAAAAAAAAAAAAACATTTTTCACTCTTGAAAGTGAATTTAGTCTGTCACTCAATTTTATTAGAATTGTGTTCAGACCAAAAAAAGATCATTTTAATTTTGTTTTATCCATCAATTGTGGTATCTATGAGCTACAACATGAGGTCAAAAATTTAGCATAAAAGTCCACCATTTTAGCTTCAAGGACTAATAAAGTCATAAAAGTAGTTCTGGGGTAAGTTGAGCCAGTGGTTCAACATATGAATGTGAAGAAGTGACTGTTATTTAGGTACAGAGGTGAGGGAGACTTTTTTTGGCATGCTGTATTACCAAGACACTTATGTTTACACTAATTCTGTTGGTTTGCAGGAATGCACAACATCTTGAAATATATGCAGATACACTAGTTAAAGACATCATCCTACCCCACTTTCCCCTAATTAATACTCATATTTAGTATCTTGCCTTTCAAGGGCTGTATATGAATGCAAAAGTTCTGTTTTTTGTTTTGTGAACTTTGTGTCTTTTTTTCAGAGCCAGCTGGATTTCAGCTTGACACCAGGCTCTTCAGAGCAAGGGGTCTCAGCCTCACAGGCAGACTCAAAGGCTGCAAAGGCATCTGGACAGCTGGGAAAGAGTACACCGGGAGTTAAGGTATGGCAAGGAGTGCACTCTGGCTTTTTAAATGTGTTACGGTATGGTTAACGTATAACAAAAATATTTAGCTCAACATCACACCATTTGAGAACATGTAACTTTCCAGTAATTATGTAATCCTCGTGGGCTAACATGACCCATTTATGCATGCAGCTCTGGTCGTGTTGATCGAAAACAGCTTAATCATCTCGAGGTCTTTAAGCACATTGTAATGTTGTTCGGAAGGTGTCTGTCAGCGAGGGACGCCGGCCAGATGAAGAGTCATCTTTCTGGAAGATCACCTCTGAGAGGTCCCGACTGGAGGGAGAAAAAGCAGACTTCCAGTCCCTCACCCCCAGCCAGATCAAATCCCTGGAAAAAGGAGAGAAGTCCTTGCCCTCCTACCTTCGACAGGTAAGCGCAGAACTCCCTGAATGTTTCTTATTAGCTATAAAGAATTAAACTAACTGCTGTAGGAAAAGTTTGGTGTATTTCACAAGCTGTGTAACCTAAAATTGATTTGAGCCTGATGTATTCACAAGCATGAGATGTGAAAGATGTTAAAAGCAGTGATAAAAGTATACTTTAGCTATAGTAACAGTGTGTTTATTATGATGAATCCAACTTTAAGGATGAACAACTATTACGTTATTTTTCTGCAGGAGTCCTCCAAGGAGCCTGAGACAGTAGACTCCCACCCTCCAGCACCAGCACCAGCACCTGCACCTGCAAGGTCTACCAAACAGCGAGCGCCCAAACCTCCTGCTCCCCCTCCCCCTATCCCTGTTGCTGTCAGTGCAACACCGGCATCCATCTCCATTTCTCCAAACCCAGCCCCTCCAGTGAGCGTGTCCTCATCAGTCGCAGGCTGGGAGCGATCTCAGAGCACCCTGCCATCAGTCAGCAACACTGTGGATGAAGTGTTTTCCTCCAGCCTGATGTCCAAGTCCCCCAGCCAACCCAAAAGTGGAGAGAAAGAGAGAGGGGATGACGGTTCAGCCTCAAGTCCCACTTTTGCTCAGGTGAGTCTGAAACAGATATGAGGTCCATTTTACAGGCACATTAGAAGAAGTAGGAATTTGAAGGTGCTGTTTTGTGAGATGACAGGGAGTGAAAGCAGAACAGTCATTTTGAGATTGTTTTGTGGAAAGGTTTATTTTCTAAAAGACAAACATTGTCACTTTGCGGTGCAACCCTGCAGAAGGGCGCCATTCTGTTGGATTCTGTGTAAAAACAGCCAACAGATACCTTCTATGTGTGTGTAAGCATAACACAGACAGAGAGCAGAGCTCTCCGTGATCTAACTTAGTCGCTGCATTTTTAAAGCCTCACTAGAATTAAACCAAACCAAACTTTTCAGATTCTGTCTGCATTATGGCTTTCTAAGACAGCCTGAATAAACAAAAATTGACTGTGTGCAAGCATCTTAGAAAAAACAAATAAAAATCCGTCAGAAGGCCTTTGCATTAAAGAGGAAATGCAGAGAGAGGCTATTTAAACAAGGAGAACCACCTCTTCTCTGTGGATCAGTTTGAAGTAAGGAAAGTGAATCAAGAAAAAGAAGGTAGATATTCACTAAAAAGCAGAGATTCAGTCACTGGCCCTCCTGGAATGTTTTTACATATTGTTTCCTCTGGGACAGTTATAATCAGCATTTTCTGATACAGCAACAAACTGTGTTGAGACAGTTGTTTTGGGGAAAGTATTTGCTGTTTTACACTTCAAATAGTATTGTGATAACGCGCAACCATTTCCTCTACCAATCTTTCACAGATGTAAATGATTTGCAGACCATTAAATTCTATTTTGTCTCAGTTGCAAGAAAACTGTACAGCCTTTAAACCAAGATGTTAAAAATCCAATTACTTTAACCAATTAAGTGACTAAAGCAAACCTGCTTACATTATCAAATATCAGCACCTCAACTACAGGGAGTACAAAATTTGTCTCACAGCAGATCAGATTACATCCTGGTTAATAGCTTGTTGCTACCTAGACAGAAGGTAATAGTCTCTTTCTCTCTGTCTCCTCTACCCCACAGTTCAACACAAGCAGCAGCATCCTGAAGACCGGATTCGACTTCCTAGACAACTGGTAACCCACAGCCTAGACCGGCCACCACTCTGGATGAATCATTATCATCATCATTCACCCTAAAGAAGGACCACACTGCCATGACCACAGAAAATCATGTCTAGATTTTAACCACCAGTCATTAAGTAGACCACGATAAGTTCTTGTAATTATCTTCTGTGGCTTGTTAAGACATTATCTCACCGACTGTGTTCTAGTGCCCCCTACCCACCCACTAGAAAGCTCCCTTTACTCTCTGATTAGGGTTGAATGTCTTTATTTGCTTGCCAAACACCCCCTTCCCGCCAAGTATAGATAGCAGGGTTTGAACCTCAGAGACTTTGTGTGTGTTTGCTCCCTGACTGTGCATTTATTCTGCTATCAGCTTGGTTGAAAGGTTGGACCACTCAGACCCCTGTCTTTGATCCTTGTGAATGAAACCAGATCACTTCCAGCACATTTAAGGGGCCATTATATACCATAAAGCTAATGTAAAGGCAACCATGAAACACTCAAGGCTGATTTAAATGCATCAGAACTTGATTTTAGTTTCTGACAAAACTTGGAAGGACGTTTTAAGACATAAAAAAATCCTTCCGCATTATAATAAGAGCAAATGAGGAATTTATTTTATCTGTTTTATTAAATTCATATAGTTTATAAGTTTATAGTCATAACGGTACGATGGTTCATTTTTCCGTAGGAGTTAAGAGTTCATCATCACAAAGAGGCTGCTGTTTTGACAAGAGTGAAGTGCAGCTGAAAATCAGTTTCTCGCTTCACATCTTGTTGCCCATGTGTTGGAAAAAAACGGGTTAAGATTTACACTCAAATACCTGTCACATCACCACGATTTTAAAAACTGTTTTGGTCACTATAGCTACATTGTTTTGATGCCGTAAATCTGAATCCATCAATGAATCTGACCATGGGACCACACTATTAAGAGCTATTGCACACTTAAGTTCTTTAAACTCCTATTACCACAGAACGATGTGGAAATACAGTAATGAGTTTTGGCCAGTTCTGATTCAAAACAATAATTTAGCTGCTTTTTCTGAGGAGAACTTTGATATCACGCCTGCAGCCTGTTGATAAGTAGCTTACAGCATGAATGCACAGTCATGGTGAAAGTCGGATGCCTTCTTGTACAATCTTTAGACACTACAATAGCAAGCAGTTATTTATTTTGTACTATTAGCATGTTGAACTTTTCCTCTGTGCGACACTAGACCCTCTTCTATTTTTGATGTTTATTTTTGTTATGAAGAACTTGCTCTCTATTGTGCTTTTATTTATACTTCGTTATATATTCCTATAAGTCTAAGAATCATTCAGCTTAAGTAGAGCTCAGTCTTGCATTCCTGGCCTTCATAGATAGATAAAGCTCTTTGACTCTCTTGTTTTTTTTCCCCATTGCATCGTCTTACAAAAATATAGAAGAATGTATTCCATTTTTATACACATTCATTGAATTAGATTGTGGTTTTTAGATGGTGGAAACCAGGCTGTTGGCGCATTAAAAAGGAATGGGAGGGGAAAAAAAAGAAAAACAACAGCAGCCATAGAAGTGCTTAGACTTCTTCATGGAAAACTCATGGCCGCCATATGAAACTGTTACAGATGTCCTGTGTGGATTTAGCTGCTTGCCAACACTTCCTCACTGAAGTCACCCCTTTCCAGAACTGTCACCTTTGACCTCAAACTTGTGCTGAGCAAATGTGTGCATTTATAATGAAATTAAAAGGTGTTTTAGATAAACAGGCAGGCACGTAGTGATTTACACCATTTGTGTCATAGATTAAAAATCCAGTTTACATGACTAGAGGACTATTTTACTGAATTTTATATTTATCTGCTGATTGTATCTTATTCTATACATGTATGCACTCTGCATTTTTGGGGTCACAATTTAAAAGGAAGTGAATAAAAAATAAAAGTCAAACAGCCTTGTTACTTTTTTTTTCCCTATTTAACCCAAACACAAAGCACTTTTTACTACACTTTCAATCTCTTTAGGCACCAGTACAAAAATATCTATTCAATAATAATCTACCCAAAAATATAGCTTTACTCTATACCTTTTATTTTTGCCTCTGTTTGGTCTGTTTTTTTTTTCAGTTTGCATGTTTTTTGACCTCCCTCTCTGTACCATGACATCAATTCTTCCAGCTGTAATTTCTACCAGATCCAAGCTGCCGTTTCAAAAAAGAAGGAGGGGAAGATGCCGTGTTTCAGATTAAAACCAGCAGACCTCCTTCCACTGTCTCCCTCGAGTATAATAGCTGCTCCATATTATGTATTTTTAGGAAAGAAGAGCATAACTGCTTCACACATCGGCTGCGCTACAGCTAGACAGTATAATGGAAACAACCTGAGCAATGTCAACTTCTTAAGAGGATGATCATGTTTTATTGAAGCCTTTAAGTTCTTAGGTCTATCTATGCTTTGTTCAGCGCTCTTGGATCCAAGCTTGAGTAGCCCAAGATTTTGGCTTCAGTTTTTGATGTTCAAGCCACAACATATCTAAAAGTAGCTAGTACATAAGTCTGATAAACTAAGATTGTTTTCTACTTAAAGGGATATTCTGGCTTGAATTTAAGTTAAGGTCAAACACACTGTAACACTGAGTTAGACACCCCCTCGAGAGATAAATGTTGCCGACCACTTCCTTCTCTAGTTATACCAACTTTAGTAACGACCGCACGATAGCAATACACAGCGGTCCCAGGGGCCACACACCAAAACACCACTCTATAGCCACAAATAATGCTCAGAACAGCACCTAACTTCATCAACAGTACATATAAAGTCCCAGCCATAGTACTAGCCACCAAACATCTTTTTAGCTTTGCCTGGTTTCTTTTGCAAAGAGACTAAACACAACTTACCCACTCTCTTCCAGCAGCTGCTTGTTTGTACAGAGACCTCAGGCGAGTCCATTACCGAAGCAGGGTGGAATGTTCAAGGAAGAACATTTATGATCATTTCTTTATCATTTCCTTGAAGTAATAATCATCATATTAATCATTTTGCATTGCAGACGCAGTAGTTCTTCTGCCTTAGCGTCTCAGTCTGATTTCATTCCCATAAAGAAATAATTAATTTTACGCTGGAATATCCCTTTAACTTCATTTTTTATTTTTAACCTGTTGCACCAAATTCTGAACTACAGAAACTTTCAGATTTCTCTTGGACCCCTACTCCTCCCAAAAACCTGAAAGTGTACTTTGAATTCTTGAATAATCAAAGGTTGTCAGTTGAAGTTTGATGAGAATTTAGTCTAATGTGGCCCGAGCTCAGAATATGAGTAAAGTTGGAGTTGTCAGAGGCAGCATTTCACATTAGAGCTGTACACATTGAAATTAAATCATCCATCGGAGGTGGTCCTCAGGTACAGTATGTTTGTGTTCTTCGTCCCTGGTAACACTGAGGCTCCTCTGTGTAGTCCACTGGCCTCCTTGCAGCACCACCCTGCGCACTTGCAGCCTCTCAATGACTGCTTTGTGCTCGCTCTCAGCTATTTTCTGCAACAAATGTTTGGGTGAATGAAAATCCTTGCACAGTATTGAACTTGGAGCAAAAATAGAAACAGGAACATTATTGAGGAACAGTTACACAAAGACTGGTCCCAGTATAAGCAGGCTGTAGAGGTCTGGAGCTCTGAATGTGACTGGTCTATACCCACCAGAGTATGTCACTTTCATGCATCACAGCATAGATGACAGACGGTATCTCATAGTTCAGCTCAGTTTTGCAGTATTATGGTATAATCTGAGCAGCCGGCACAGGCATGTAGACACACAGCTGCAAGGAGGTTCAAAGGCTGGTGGTGCTGGCTCTGCTGGTTGTAGACACTTTAGTATACATGTCTACCCTTTCACTGTGGTCCTATTTTACCAAATTTAGATAAACCATGCTCAATTTTACTGTTTTTGGATGGTTGGCTTATCACAATGAAATTTCTATTTCAACAACAACAAAATGTGACACTTGCACAAGCGTGTTTACCAGTAATCTATTAAAGAACTGCCAAGGCTGAAACAAAGTCTTTGACTCGTCTTTATGAGTCTAGGCCGAACTTTGAAAGACTTTAGAGTCCATGTGTACTGCAGCAGCTGTTGTATGTACAGACATCCTGTAGACTCACACACATCTGTCTCTTTTTCCCTGAAAGCAGCTTTGCCCTCACAGCCCCAGTTTCTGTCGGAGCTCCTCCCAGTCTCCTGTTCCCAGAGCCTCAGACGCTTCTCCTGGAAACTCAGCTGGATTCTTGTGGCATTTTAACTGGCATACCTCCTACATCCACACACACACACACACACACACACACACACACACACACACACACACACCGGCATTCACATGTAGTTTTTCCCCTTTTCTTTTTACGTCATCATTTCCCCAGAACAGATTCAAACCCTCATAATTCTTCCACCACTGACTTATATCATTTTTCAAACCAAGTTTGGCAGGCAGGTCTGATATTCAGCCTGATCATTAGACAGGCTGTGCTTATTAGCCTTCGAGTTTATGGTGTGTTTATTGCCTTGGTTTGTGCTTGTGTACAAACAGACTCTGTTTTCTACTGGCAACAGAATTTAAAGCTGACAAAATAATGTTCAGGCTTCCCTGACCTCAGAAACAGTTCAGACAGCTGACAGTGAGGTCAAACTACATTTTTGGCAGGCCAAGAATAACTTTTTGTGATAGCCAATAATGCAACACAGACACGATTTCCTTAGAATGCCGTAACTCAAACAACAGACTGAGAGCTGGCATGTAAACAGATTTATTTCCATGGCAACTGCACAAACTCTAACCGGAGATGAAGACAGTACCAGACCTCTGAAGGCTAAAAAGGATCTTCAGCTGCGTTTATTTAATCATATCTATGAGTATTACACTGATACTTGAAGTGTATGTTTCACTTGCAGTATATTACAGTAAAGTGAGTGTTTTCTGAGCATGTGTGAAACCTCCAGACCAGTTGCTCTTGTGTTCTCAAATCCAGCAGAGAATAGTCTTTTATAGTAGACAAGACTCCCCTTTTTCCACAGCTCAAATACATCATTAAAAAAAAGCTTTGAACAAGCCTGTTTTCCTTTACTCTTGAAATTTTAAGGATCTCCGTCCACGTTGTTTCCACAGGACAGAGACCTGTGATGTTATCCGCCCCTGCATAAAACTGCAGGTTTACACAAAGAGTGGAAATGGGAGGTGGGAGCACAAACAAAGAGCTTTCCTGTTGTTTGGCAAAAAGGCGAGACGTCCTGAGTGTGGCAGAGACAGAAGAGGAGACAGCAGGCGGACTACTGGGATGTGATTTTGATTTATTTCCAAACACCTGGGAGTTCAGTTCCTGGGTTGTTTTTTTTTTTTTTTTCTCTTGTAAAAGGAGATGTAGAGCAGGTCTCATTCATAGAACAGGAGACTCCCGCTCTGCTGAGTCGTGGATCACATCTCTGAGGGCAGAAGGAGGGAGAGAGGAGTGAAAGAGAGGGAAGGGAGAGAGACTCAGAGGTGCAGAGGGAGTTTAGCTGCTGAAGCAGGAGCAGAAAATGGGACCGGCTGCCACCTCGCTCGCTCTGCTGTGTTTATGTTCCCTGAGGGTTCCTACAGGGACAGTAGACGCTTCTCCAACTCAGGTCAGTGGTGCATTGACTCAATCAGCTTTAATCTACATTTGCAATGGGAGATGATGCAGTTACACTGCTGTCTTGGATAAAACACTGTATCCATTCATAGTGCTCTGAAGGTGTATTTACTGTACAAGTGTGCAGGAGGACTGAAGTTTTACTAAGATTTTATGATAAAACCTTTGTGACAGGACTGTGACAGGAATGACTTCATCTAATATTTATTCACAAGAGTTTTAATATGCCTGAAGAGCGAGTTTCTACCCCTCAAAAGAGATAAAAACGTGTGTATGGTGCTTGTGGGTCAATCTACATTTACTAATGATGCCATGGATGGTTGACACACTTAAGTATTTTTGGTGATGTGCCATAAAGTGCAAATTTTCCTCTGTCAGGTGTGTTGTGTTTTAAGAAAAATCTCCATAACTGTAGGATTTGGGTCGTTACGTAATTAGATAATTATGAACAGAGTTACAAGTTTCTGTTCTATGCTGCAGCTTATCTGGGGATATGCACCTTTGGTTGAAGACAATGAATCGGAGTCACCCCGGCTGGCCCACGCTAAAATTACTACTTGGTTAAACTTTTTATTTTTTTATAATTGCCTGAAATGCTTGTCATATACAGAAATGAGCACAGTTAATCAAATATGTAAGATATCAAAGTTGCTCTTGCTCAAGTTGTCTTTGATCCATCTTACCCCGACGAGCAGGTTTTGGATCCTTCTTCTTTTCTTTGTCTTTTTGGTAGACCTGGTACATCTTCACTATTGCACCAGCTCCTACAATGCTTTTGGCAGCACACTGGTGTAACAAAGTGGCAAGTTTTAACATCGTTCAGAAATCTTTGCCATAGTGCCACAATGTTGGAAAACCTGGATGTAAACCAGCAGAGATGACACAGTCATAGCAGAATTTCGATCTAGAAAATGGAGATAAAGTTGTACAATGATTGTCCCCTGGTTAAAGTAGCATAAACCCATTATTCTTTTCTTTCTCTTTTTCATTTCTTTTCTGTAAATATGATGCTGGTGGAATTTTAATTTCCTTGAGGGAAACTTCCCCAAAAAAAATTGATCAAATTGTATATAATCTAATCTCTAATCCAATCCAATCTAATATGCAACCAACACAGGCATGTGGGAGTTAACCAGCAGGGAGGTGGTGCTAGCTCTACTAGTGTTAGTCACTCAAATCCATTTGACAACATCCCTATCCTTAACCAATAGTTGTGGCTGTAGTTGTGCATAAGTAATAAAAATCTGATAATTGAATATAAAAATTGTACAGCTCTAAGAGGGGACAGTTTTCTGCTTTTACTTTCAATACTTTCACATACCTCAACTATAAGCTTCTATGATGAAACTATTGGTTAGCTTTGATTTTGGTGCCCCCTGTAGACTAAATGGCACCTCTTATTTCTGTGCTGATTTTATCTTGGACAGTTATAAGTAGTGTTGGTGAATAATCCCGGCAGTTTCAGGCTTTAAAAATTACGATGTAGGAGGAATCAGTCCATTGGCTCATGGTTTTGTTTGCTTTAGTTAGTCATAAAGAGGTTTGTCTGTCTGTTTTACAAACAGCTAAAATGCCTCAAAGGAGCTTTAACCAACATTTTAAAGCCGGACTTCTTTGCTTCCACAGTGAGTGGTATTAATATTTTTGTCTTACGTAATTGATCTGAATACTTCCTCACCCTTGGAAATAGTTTTCTTCCTTAGCACTTAAAGTGAGTAGAAGACTGCTAACAGTTCATCTGGAACACAATTAAGATGGTTGAGGTTTAGGACACAGTAAACTAAACATTTACTCCAATCTGTTTCTTGTTAGAGAGGAGAAGGTTATGTAACAATCGTTTCATCACAAAAACGGATGGCTGACCTGGAATTTGAAAATAAGCCAGGTCCAGATGTACACGGGGGGCAATTTGTGTTTTGGAACAAAAGTTCTAATGAGCCTGTTTTGAGCATCAAATGCTATTTTTCAAGAAGTTGTGGTGAAGCTGGGTTTGATTTGAGTCCAATCTCCTGGAGCAAAGGCAGAACTGACACATAAGTGGAGCAGTATTGAAGAAATGTTGACATTTTGATTTTTAATTTCCATGTTCCAGACATCTCCGCAAGAGATGAAGAGGGCAAGAGGAGACGTTCCTGATAGTCTTCCAGAGCCTGAACCAGAGCCAACGAGTCCAGTGTCAGACTTTGAAAACTCATACAACTATGTCTGTGAGTCTACATACTCATATCCGCATCAGATAACTGAATTCATGCATCTTATTTTTATATCCTTCCTGCTATTGGCCTTTCTTCCGTTCTTTACTCCTTATCCTCTGTTGTAATATGTTCTGTTGTATTCCTCAGTGTCCAGACTTGCTGGTATGGACCAGGCAATCCACAAGCTGAATGTTGGTCATTACACCCTGGATGTCAAAGTCAGTCAGCTGATGGACCGTCTGTCCAGGATGGATGGTAAAACTATCATTTACTCCCATAAATCCACTGCTGATGTCTCCATTTCTCTTTCAACAACACTTACTTTCCGCCCCATAAAGTATACAATCCCTAATAAATGTTTTAAAATACAGCACATGTTCTTAAACGTTTCCACTGGGTCAGAGTAATATTTCTGTCACAATGTGTTTTCCGATATAACAGCAATGAAAAGTAATGTATTTGTCTCATTGTCATCAAGCAAAAGTGCCTGGCGCCAGAATTTTAATCTGTGGAGTATGTGATCTGCTTAACTGCTGTCAAGGTATTTTGATCAATCAGAATCAGTAAAAATACTGATACTGGTACAAATACTGATTCTGACTGGCTCAAAGATTAGTTAAGAAGTTTCAACGCTGTGGATCTGTGTAACGTTTATCTGGTTGAAACCTACGGCTATGTTCCAAGTGGATATCCGGAACAGCCGAATGGTGAAAATTGGACAAATCTATCCTCGCTTTGACAGGGCCGTTACTTTTTTATTAAAAGGAGGATAGTTCAAACTTTAGGGAAAGTTTGCATTCAAACTGTAATAAGACCTTCACTGTTACCCGCACATTGCATGGCGCCGTTGACCTCAGTGAATTTATACAATGATGACCTTCTTCAGAAAAGAACTTGTGCTTCATTCAAAGCCATCCTGATTGGACAGCCGTAAACAACCCCCTTGAAAACGAGATGCTGCATCTCAAGGGGCTAGCCTGAATAAATTGAAATTGACTTGATTTGAAAATATCTGAGAAGCACCTTATAGAAGTTTATTGGGTTTTACCCCACAGATGGAACATATTTGGACATCAGCATGTCAAGTCTGATGTTAAAGGTATAAGGGTAGTGTTAAAGGTAAAATGGTTAAAGGTAGTGTCAATCAAGTGTCTATTAATTCGTAAAGAAATGCAATTCCTTTGGTTGGACACTAGAGGCATAATCTGTATCACTCATGTACACACAACTGTAGTGAGTGGAAAAGAGGCATTAATGGTGACACCTCAAGAGCGCAAGTTGTTTGTGTTCTTCTAGACTTCTGTTGTCTCCTTATAATGTCAACCTTAATGTAGATTTTGCCCAAAGTGAAAATTTAAAGAGTATGGGATCAACTGTGCTGGGCACATAGATTGCAATGGCACATTCAACAAGAGGCAGCAAATTTGTTTGTGTCAAGAGAAATTTACCCTGTACTGACTGTTCTCGACTCTTTATTTCTGCTCTTCCCATCATTCAAATTGTCAGCCAAAGTTGGTGAACTAGAGGACAACATCCGGGAGGTTTACCAGCACAGCAAAGACAACCGCAAGGAGATGGGAAGACTGGAAGGTATCAAAGTTATTTTACTTCATTTTTCTTTGCTACAGTGTGTCTGCTGAAGAGTGAGCTCTAAAAGTAACAGAGATAACAGATAAAGTGGTGTTTGTAGATTTGAGTTACAGTCCAAAATGACTGAATCTCATCATAAAATTTTGCGTTTTGCCTCACAGGCTGCCAGAAAGGTCGTAGGTTGGGATACAAATGCTACCTTGTGTATAACAACCTTGAGGACTACGCAGGAGCATCCAGGAAGTGTCTGGAACGAGGCGGTCGAATGGCGATGCCTCGTGATCGCAAGGAGCAGGAAGCCCTTGCTGACTACGTCAAATCCTTCTTCCACCCCGGAAACTGGCCCGTCTGGTTGGGCATCAATGACCTGCGATCAGAGGGCTTGTACCTTTTCGAAGACGGGACACGGGTTTCTTACTTCCAGTGGCGTAAACATTTCCTGTCCAGCCAGCCGGATGGAGGCAGGAGAGAGAACTGTGTGGCCATGTCGTCAGACGATGGCGACTGGTGGGACCACTACTGTGACCGGACCATGAACTACATTTGCGAGTTTGATGACAGGGTGGCGCTGTAAAATGAACACTTTTCCAGAAAACTGTACAATTTTATGATCCTGAACTTTGACCTTTGAGCATTTCAGCGAGTTGTATAAAAAGATGATAGCTTCCTATAAGTGAAGACAAAAAAATCTGGAGCCCCCCCCCTACTGACAGCAGCATAGTTTTTATAGCCAGCTCCCCTCCATGTAAACAGATGGAACATGGGTCAAACTGTCAAATCAAGCTACATGAAAATAATTTTATTTTCAATAATGTCTCTGTCATTATGGTTTGTTTTCATCATAAAAATTTCAGTCTGTCTGTTTTTCTGGGAATTGTAGTTTTAATTTGATGCTTGAAGACAAGTACATGTCTTGATATTATTGTAGATATATAAAGCTTCACCAGGTCTGTTGAGGGATCTTTGCATTTTATGAGTTTTGGTTGAAGGTGGTGATAAAATATGTCACTAACAAAATGTCAGTGTCTAATGCAGGAGTATTTTGGCTTCACTTTTGTATAAGAGGGTGGAAGTGCACCATCGATCATTATATTAAGTCATAAGAGCAAAAAGACCCATCAAATTCTTAACTTATTGTCCCTTAAAAAGACACTTTAAAATACATAGAATGGTTGTATTCAAGGCCAATAAAAGAGTAGCATCATCAAGGACAAAGACATTTTCTATAAACTATTTCTATGCTATTTTCAAGGAAAATATACTTTATAATTGTAGTACGCACAAAATCATTGAAGTACTCAATAAGACTTCAGAAGTTTATGTTAGTATTATAAATATTGATATTCATGCAGCTACAGCAATATGAAGGTAAACTAGTCTGGACTCTACTGTGATTTTACGCCTGGATTTCTAAATATTTGTTCTTAGTTTCAAAAAGAGGAAAACAAGAAAAGCTGGGGGGGATTTTTTTTCTCCAAATCAGCACACACTGACCTGCTGGAAGATATAAATCAGTGTGTGCTCAGGCTTTACAGGGATTAGGCAATGTCTCTCTGTTATTTCTCGGCTTCAGAGGTATTTTGACAAAGTCTGGTACCAGATGGGACTTCTCTGTTAAACTGCTGATTGTTTAACATTTCTGGCCAGAAGATTTTCTGAAGTTTTGGACTCTTACACCCCTCAGCAACAAAACAATGTTGAGAACAATATTGGATTTTATTTCTTATCTTTAAGAGACATTGTGCTTTGAGTAATTAAATGAAATCCCAACACTGAACACTGAGTGGAGTTTTTGCTTATTGGGCATAAACTTAAGGTTCTCAAGGTGGTGTTTTGCAGTACTTCAAGTCTGGTTTCAGTGTATCTACTTAACGTTTAGGGTTAGTTTAGTTTTCTCTGAAGATACCAGCTGATTGCATGGGTTATTAAAATCCTGATAATGCACATAAAATAAACAGATACTTTACTCAAGGTGGACCTGGACCTAAGTTTTATTTGCTTTGCGAAAACAACATTCAGACCAAGCCGCAACTTACTTTGGGCAGCTGGCTCTTACAGCCCTAAGAGTCCCATTAACACTAAATTAATTTTCATATTCACTGCAAAGTATTAAATGGATACAAAAAAAACAGTTGTGGTCTGAATAGCCTTTTCTGTCTATTTTTACACGTTAAAAAAGGTGGTTTAAAAAAAAAAAAAGTTTTTCTAACACTTCATTATGAGCGTTTGCTTTATCGGGCATGGCTAAGTAACAAGTGACGACATAGTAGCTGTTTGCTGGACCACCTTCACTCTACCCCTTTGATCCCTTTTTGACCATGTTTTTCCTCTCTGCTTGTGTCTTAAAATGCCTCATTAGGTCAACCGAAGGTCAGGTTCAGTTGGTGTTTCCAGTATGGCTACCACCATTGATAGCTTCAGAAAGTAACAGCTGGCACCACAGACGTCTATATTTGACACATTAATGACCAAAACTAGCTGCAAAATTCACCATTCAGTGAATCATAGAAACAAATGTCACATTCGCTGAAAAATGTCTGCACCGTTTTAGTGGGTAAATAACTTTATAGCGTTCAAAGCCTTCGTTTTATGCTCACCATAAGCCTGGGCTCCACCTAGCGTCCAAAATTGGGATAGCATAAAATATTTCTATAAAGCGCCACTGTCTTAAAAAAATTAAATAAAGCAAAATAATCCCCAATTTCGGCTCCTGATAGTTCTATGTGTTAATGTATCATGAGTCCCGCATTGTGTTACACAAGAAAGAGAGACATAAAACTCTGATTGTAAATATTTATTATAAATCTGTACTAAGAGTTGACAGTTTGCAAAATCATTTTTGATCTCTTGACACATTTTCATCAGAAATGAGATTAAATTTTTCCTCACATGGACTAGGTAATGAATATCAGACAAAACAGTATGTGTTTTGTAACTGTGCTTTGAGAATTAAAACATACTTTCAGCCTTTTTCTAAAAAAGATTGTCATTTAAAACAGACCCAAAACTTAATGAGACCTTTGTCTACACACAAAGTCTCAAATTAACCGATTTTTGTTTCCAGACATTTTTAGGCACTTTGTGCTTCTGACTAATTTTCCTTAGTAACAAAATAGCATTTAAGTTTGATACCCAGCCCTGCTCCACATTAACATCTTTGCAACTTCAGTTATTTCATCACACACTTCATGGAAAATCATTTATGGTGCTCGTTTTAATTAAAGATATAAAAAGAGTAGATCTACAGTAAAGTGTCAATTACAATAATCTCATTAAAAATCTCTCAAAGCATTGTCTTACAGTGAAATGTGACTATTTTAAAGGATGTAGCAGCAATATATATTTCCTTGACCTCGTTTCAAACCAGGCACATGAAGGAAATGAGTTTTATCAGTAGTCATGATGCATTCAAAGGGTGTGGGAATACCTGAAATCAAGTAAAATATCCAACCATATCTGTCTTACCTTTGAGCCAGGACTAGAAAAGCCTGTAAAATTACAATGTCTGTTGACTTCACATTGTGGTAAAATTTGGTGACTCATTATCCACAGAGTAATAGATTGATCATTTCTAATCTAACATCATTCTGAATTACTTTTTTTTTGTTTCTTTTATTCAAAAATGCCCAAACTGCAGCATTGACACGACAAAGAAGAGCAGTTTTCTTTGCTTCACGGTATACATCAGCCACCTCTCTTCATGTCATGAGTGCGAGTCGTGGCGTCATTATCGTGACTCAAAGAGCTGCCCTTCCTCTGTGGTGTCAGCACCGTGTCTGAAAGGATAACTCAGGGCTCAGCGTCTCCAGAGTTTGCTGATCTTCTACAGCTTTCCTAGCATCACGGCCTGCAGGATCTTGTCCACATTCGGACGGTCATGAGGGTTTTTAGATGGATGAGAGAGAAGAACTTTCCCTGTTCCATCAAGCAGAAAATCGCCTCCCATCTGCAAAAATAACAACATATTATTACAACTACTTTTCTCAGGATCACTGCACTACCTAATATCCAAAGTACGCCTGAAAGAAGATAACAAGCATATCACGTAGGTGGCGTGGAAATTCTAAAAAAGCAGCAAGAAAAGCCCACACACTCAGTCAATGCCAAACCAGTTTGATAATCACAATGTTTAGACCCTTAATGGTTTTATCTGGCAGTAGTTATGTCTGTAGGATCGTGACAACAAACCTTTTCCTGGTATTACTTTAGCGTGCAGGCCTGACCTTAACACAGAAGTATGCACTGCAGGAGCAAAATTACATGAGGAAATAAAAGCCTGAATGTAAAATTCAGGACTTCAAACATAAAATTTCAGGTATTTTTTATTCTGCATGAGTCGTATTCCTAAATTAAATTATGCTAAACAACCAACTACACGGCAATCCATAACTGGTGGTGAGATATATGACAAATAGTTCAATATTCAATATTCAATAATAATATTGATATTAATAATAATATTCAATATCAAATTCAATATTTTTCGGAGTGAGACTCAGGCCGAGGTGCAATTTCTACTGCTCTCACTAAGGCTTTTCATACAACTGGTTTGAATCAAAATAATCTGCTTTGGTTCAACACCTATCCTCTTAACAGACACCATTGTGTTTAAATGAATAGTTTTAGCTTGAAAATTAATAGTTTCATTTTCAAGCTTTTTTAATTGTTATTTACTGTGAGTACACACACAGGAATCATTTTCCTCCAGCCCACAGTGCAAAAATACTGAGAATAATTTAAAAAATATTCAAAAACAGAGAAGAGGATTATTCAGTAGGAGAGGGGTATATGTACACACTCCTGTACACATGCACCATACATACACTTGCAAACCTAATGACCAGAAAATATGATTTCTGCTGTACATATCGACACATGACCTAAAGTGCAGGGGGTGGTTACAATCTGGAGTATGTCTTTGATACAAAGAGCATGTGAACAGTTAGCATTCATGTGACGTGTCATGTGGAGTTGTAGCACAAAAAAAAAAATGTACAGTGGAGCAAAACACAGAACCAGGTGATTCTGTACCAGCAGCAGCAGCAACACAGCAAATACTATGTGTCCAGTAAGGGTTGGGCGGGGGTTCAGAGTCCAGCATTTCTGGAGGCATAGGGGGAGGTGTCAGGGAGGCGAGAAAGTTCTGCTTTTCGACAAGCGCAGTTGTTAAAAAAAGGTGTTCCACAAGGCGCCGGCTTAGGGCCACTTATTTTTGTATTTTCATTGATGATTTGCAAATGTGTTAAACTCACTGTAACTTATTATCTCTATGCTGATGATACTGTTGGTTATCTTGCTGACTCTGATGTATCACAAATCTTAAGCTTGTTTTATAAGATCGAGCTTGTACTGAATAAGGCATGGCCTGTCATATTCCTTCAGATTTGTTGATTATTAACGATAGGCTTACCCCTGAGAGTCATAATGTTTAAATGTTTGGGACTTTGGATCGACTACGTGTGCTTTTTAAAGCCACATTTCGTTTTTTTTTATTTCCTTGACTTTTATCCCATCAGATACAATAGCTTGAGAAATCCAGGAAATATGAGGAGAGATAGGGAAGTTAGTCCTCCTTTCTATAGAGCTTATTTCCGTGTCCCGTTATGGAAATTCAAAATCTGACTTAACCTACTAAATTGCAGGTATGACGCTCAAGAAATGGTCAACACAGTGCACTAGGCTCCCAACAGCTAGTGTTGACCCCCGGCTCTCCAAACATCCTAATCCGCTCCAGCAGATTTTTCCCTGGTTTACGTCAATGCTTCAGTCTATTACACAAGAACAAACTCAGTTTAAGCATGTCAGCTATTTGTACCTGATAGAGATCCTCCATGAGGCGAGGGGGGACGTCAGGGAAGTCTATACCCACAGCACCGTACCCTGAGTACTGCAGAAGGCAGCGGAATTTCATCACTTTAGCGTAGGACGAGCCGAGGCCAAAACTCCTGTATATCTGTGGAAAGAAGGACAAATTCTGTATTAGGAGCAATATATTAGGAGTATTAGGAGAAAAGTAAAACATCCGCTTTGGATTGAGCATTATGAAAGTACTTGCTGAATGACCTCATCGTGGTCATTACACACACGTCATGATTGACTTTGTGGGGTGTGGAAAGTTTTTACAGTCGGTTGATTGTCCTTGTTTCCACCCCACATGTGCTGGTTGACTTTTTCAGAATGAAGGTTTAGAGGCTCAGCTTACTGAGAAATTTATGACACATCCTCAAACCACCTCTCTTTCCCTTGGGGTGTTTTTTGCTGAGTCACAGGCGCTGAAAATTACAGTCGCTACTTGAACTGTCATGCACCTGCCAAAATGCGCTTCACTCGAGTAGAAAGACAAAATAACAGTACAGGAAGATTTAATCCGTGTAAGCCAACTACATAAATAACCCTTCTTACCTCTAAATAAATCTTGGTTTAGTCTTTCCTCAGAGGTTAAATAAAGTGCGAAGCATCATGTCAACAAACTGATAAATCCCACTCTGACCTTTCTTTGTGGATCCAGCAGCATGTCGTAGGCACATCCAGTCTGCTCCATCCACAGTTTAGCCCCCTCCAAACCTCCAAAAGAGACCACCAAGACCTTCACTGACCGAGCATCCAGGAGAGCCTGCAGAGAAATGACCAAAAACAGAGACATTTAAAGCTCCAGTGAGGAACTATTATTTTGTGTCAACTTTGGTGCCCTCCTGTGGACAAAAGTCTATACTTATCTTCTCCTTTACATGCTCAAGAAGTGTTATCTGACAAAGAATCTAATCCTGTTGACTTTGGACAGTCAAGTGTATCATTTATTGTGAATATTTTATGTTAGTATGATAAAAATAACGCTGTTTGGACTGATGCCTATCCCCTCACACGGGTGTAAGACAGTAAAGATTACAAAATAAAAGTCGCTGATTGTGTCATTTATTATCTTGTTATGCTCAAAATCATCACACTAAGAGTTGATTTCTCAATGATCTGTCTGATCTGTTAAAGCATTTTTTGAAGCATGCTGTAAAAATGTTAATGCTTAGTCATAAAGTCATATATTTGCATGAGTAAATTTGTTCATTTTTAAGAATAATTTACAGGATTAAAGTCATACACTTAAGGGGTTAAAGTTGCAAATGTACAAAAACAAGATTGTAAATTTATTAAATCAAAACTGGATATTTACAAGAATAAAGTTAGAAATTTGGGAGATTTAAGTCATATATTTACAAAGTAGAAGTTTTTTTTTTTATGGGGTGGTGATGGTGTAGTGGCCTACGCTTGGATCCTACAGAGAGGTCAGGCCTCATATGGGGAACAGGGGTTCAGTTCTGTTGGTCTCTCCCTGTTTGCTGCCTTGTCTTTTGTCCTGTCCTCTCCAAATAAACACAATCCCCACGAAATAATCTCAAAATGATCTTCACAAATCTCTTAACACAAGAGGTAATAATTTACGAGGACGGTTGTAAATGTATGAAATCAAAGTCAAGGTTTATAAGACTAGAGTTGTAAATTTACAAGAGTAAGGCTGTAGGTACAGAAGGAAGTTGTTTGGTTACCTGACTGAAAAAGTAAATTTACCAGAGTAGAGTCACACATTTACAAGAATCAGCTTACTGAATGTGAATGTGTTTAAACAGGGCACAGAGATGCAGAGCCAAATAACAGCTGCTGAATTTAACTTGACAGGACGATGACATGGATCCATGTTCTTCATTTTAGTGCAGGTGGCCAGCAGCTCTTTAGATACCATGTTGTATGTAATTTTACATACATATAACACAGCCTGTAACTACAACTTCTATCTTATAAAAATACAACTTTTTTTGTAAAATTTCAATTTATCTTAGTAAATTTTTTAAATAAAGATGCTAATCTTATCAGTCTGTTACTCTCGTCATTATTCTCTTTTTATTTCGTAAATGTTTCAGTTTGTTCTTGCAAATTAATGACTTTTTTTTCCCTTACAGCTTTATTCTTAAAAAATACTACTTACTATTTATTTATTTATTTATTTATTTTTTGCAGTAAGCAGTAAGAAAACAATAAAACGCATCAAAAACATAAAAACTGTGAAAACATTCACCCAAACGAGATTGTGACAACGGGAGGGATTTTGACACAATTGCAGACACTTGCCTGACAGGGGTAGGGGTTCTGAAAGTTATCCCAAGGGATGACCACCACTGCCAAGCAGCTGAACAGAAACTAAATAGGAGACCCTCCTTATAAGGAAAAAACTTAAATGATCAGGTAAGTTAAAGACAAAGAGCTGGGTTATAAAACTAGGACTAGAAACTACTACTCTGAATTTATGGACATTAAACACTGGAAACATTCACATAACCTCTCACTATGTGATGGTGAGACAATAGTCAGTACTGGGAGCTGGAGCTCAAGAGTACATATACGCTTCCCCCACCTGCTCCAAATCAGGGCAATCAGGCACACACGCACGCACGCACGCACGCACGCACACACACGCACACCTGGTCCTGCTCTGTGATGATCACCTCACCAGAGTTAGAGAAGCAAAACTGAACCCCCCTGACACAAGACAGTAGATAAAAAACTAAAAGACTAGAGACTGAGACAAGTTGAAGAATGAGCATTAAACCAGTTATTTAAAAAGGAATATTTAAATTGTAGAATTATAGCTCTACTTGAGAATAGTTCAATCTTATAAAGTGTCATTAATTGTAAATATATCATTTTCTCCTTGCAATTCAATGACCTTTTGTGTAATTTATGACCTTTTTGTATAATTTTATGATTTTTTTCTTGCTAATTCATAAGTTTATTCTTGTAGTTATGATTTTATTCTTGTAAAATTGCAGCTTTATTCTCTTAAATTTACAACTTTTCTTGATATCTAAGTATTTTTTAGCCAACAGTGTGTCCTGAATCCTCTGTTGTATGCAAAAATCTGGTCTGAGTTTACAGCAGGCACAGTGCTGACAGTATTGTTGTCAATCAAACACAGACTGCAGTTGTTGAGATTAATGTACACACACAATAACAGATAGAACAAACTGAAGGATGTTGTTTTTTTCAGCATAAATAAGGCATTACTGTCAGACTGAAGGTAAACTGACCTGACTCTCCTCCAGCTCGGCCACGTGGTCTCGTCATGGCAGTCATCCAAAATGTCGGATGAGAACCAGCAGCACGTTCAGACCCTGACCCAGGTACTGGCCCAGAGTCACACTCCTGTGAACACGCACCACAGAAACAACAATGACACAACAAAACCTGATCAGATGTAAAAGCGAATGGTTGAACTTTTACATTCAGTCATTACATTTTAATTTCCCCCTGATTTTAAAGGACAGGCTGGTAAAAACTGCTTTGCTGCTCAGTTTTTGGTCCAACATCAGGAACTCTAAAGGCTAATATCATTGAGGAGAGGTGCAGAGATGTAGAGCTAGGTATCATTCACATAGAAATTATAGTTAATATTATGACAACTTATTTTGCCCTAGGAGAGCATGTTAAGAGAAAAGAGAAGTGGGATTGAAACGCTGCCCTGAGGGACACCATATTCAATATTATATTCTGATGAAACAGGATCACAGGAAATTTTCTGTCTTATTGGTAAAGGTGAAACAAATTGGGATCTGTGCCTGGGGAGACCAACCCATTTTCAACCCTACCAGTTTTTGTGGTGTTCATCCAGCTCTTTCAGGGTTGTGTTTTAAGTTTAAAGCATGTTTCAACACAAACTAACAGGATAAAGGTGTTGCGCTCACCAAAGATGCTTTATCCCTGCAGTGTGATTTTTAATTAGTCACATTAATAATGTAAATGTGGTGGAGGTTTAAAGATACCAAAATTTGGATACAGCCCAAATCTAGTCAAAAGGGGTCTGAACACTCTTCACAAACACTCAAGATCACATTGTGAACTCACTTTCCACTGCGTGCATCGGTGAGCTCAGTATCAGGGCTCAGTCTGTCTACTGTCTGCTTTCCAGACAGCTGTCTGTCTGTGGTCTGCAGACCTCTGTCCACATCCTCAAGGAAGGAGTCCCACTCAGTCTGCACACATAAGAGACATTAATCCCAGTTCAATAGCAAACTTGATACAAAATCAATAATAAAATTATATACAAATGCACAATTGAAGAAAACTCCAGCAGACTTTTTGTGGGCCCCTGGATATCTTCACTTCAGTCGTAAGTAATGCTTGTCTGACCAATGTTTGGGTTACCACCTGCAGAACTGTACATAATTCTTTAAGAAAACTCATCCCAGGTACAGACCTCCAGCTGCAGAAGCTCCTCCACCTGCTCTCTCACTCCTGCATGTCTGAGAGAAAATAACGAAGTTAATTCAAAACATTTAAGTTCTATAAATAAATACATTCATAGAAATTTATATACACAAATACATCTTTTTTTTCACTGTAGGGATTTTGTCTTTTTGCTCTGTACTAATGCTCTTATTATAACTAACTATCATTACCAAGCCTGGATCTGTGACAGCTGGCATTGCTGTCTAGGGTGCAACAACCTCTGAGGTATTTGGTGAGCTTTGTAACGTTATAAAGAGGCAAAACTCAACATGTCACACTATCTTAGCTGAACCACACTTTAAGCATATTTTCCTGCAGATTTAGCTAAATAAAACTAATCTATGAATATGTTTATTAATCTTATAATAATTTCCGTCTCTATATGCTGATACTCACTGGTAAGACTTTTGCCACAGCGCCTCTGCTTCACTCAATTTCTTCACTCCAAGGCTGCACAGCACAGCAATAAAACTCTCATATAATTCACAGTTATAAAAGAATAATGATCAAAACTTGGATGAAACTGACACCAACTTTAAGCAGTTCGGCAGGTGTACCTTTTATAGAAGTCTGCTCCGGCTGTGATCAAGCCAAACAAAGTGCTGATTTTGTGTGGGACAAAATCCTCCAGGGATCCTGTGTGGGGGAACAAAGAGCCACAGTTATTGGTCGAAAGGATTTGTGCAATATCATTGTGTTGGCAATAGGCATGACAGGGATTAAATAACAGCACTCTCATGCCAGCAGGTTTTAAATCTAGGAGTTTGGTTTCACTGATTTACTTTTACAACCCACAAAAACATGTTATATTTGAAGTATTTAGAGGCAGACTTCTATATTTTATCTCTATTACATGTAACTTCATGGTCTATCTGCACATACAGCCATTAAAAAGTGCTGTTGAGCTGGGTTTGCTGGTTTTTCATCCGATCAGAATGGCACAACGAACCCCGATAAGATTAAGTCTATTTTATGCTGTTTTTCTTAATTAAAAAACCTAATGTTTTAAAACGCTATTAAATTAAAAAATACAAGTTTCAGAGACGTGATTTTTAATTCGGCATGAATATATTTTAAGTTAAAAACACGGATTGGAGTAAAACTGTAACCAACAATAAGGAGCTATCTATATTATTCTACAAGTTTCTCTTTTAAGTACGAACTAACGTTGACATCTTTCATCATTTAAGAACGTAAAATGAGGAGCAACTTTAAATTTTATCTATGCCGAATTTCTATATAGCATAAAATAAATTCAGGCATCATTAAAAGGACAACCTAACATATGTCAATATTCCCCGACAACAAAACACAATAAAAGCATAGTATTTTCAATGAGGTCCGTTATTACTAATGCATCTCTCGCATTACGTCGTCATACCTTCTGCGTCCTTTTTGGCTTCCTTCAGGAGGACTTTGCTCCAGTTTACCAAAAGAGTCAGACTGTGTATTAAGGTGTCTTCTGACACAGCCACATCTTCAGCCATGATTCCCAGCTCCGCTCTCTCATCTGACAGCTAAACTGAGAGACATGTGGACTACTGTGCATATTGATCACGTGACTCAATCATGTGGCGGTTAAACCCACTGAGGTTTCAGTTCCAACACCTAGCGGTGACCAATGGCAAGATAAAACACAAACACACTATTACAAGTGAAACTTTTTAGCTCTGAATTAACTTTATTCTCCGAAATAAGCAAATAATAAGGCTCAATGCAGCCATTTCCCACTGCATGGTCTCCTTTTTAAACAAAAATCAATAACTTTTCAATCATATCATCTCCTGATTGACTATTGTTCATTTGACCATTACATGCATTATGACATGAGTTGTGTTAAAAAAGCTGTATCAATCATGAATGGCTTCCTTTAGACAAAACAAATAGGTCGATTAAACCCGAGGCTGATTAAAGGCTGATCAGGTTGATTTACCTAGGTTGATTAATCATCTTCTAAATTTAACCTGGCAAAAGCCATAGGTTTGCAACCTCTGTTATCTTCTTTTCTGCTGATTGGCTACGTGGCAACTTTCAATTCATTAAAAACAAACAAAATGACAACAGAGGCAGTTAAAATCGTCAACCAGTTTTATTGACTGCTTAACATTCGTTCACTCACTCAATAAAACATTCCCTCCTTCAAGTTTGAAGCTCTAAGATAGGTTGTGCACTCCCTGTTCTACAGCCCAACAAAGCACTTTAAGACTAGATCACCCAGTGCAAAAAAAAAGAAAGAAAGAAAATTACAACCCGTTGGCACAATCTTTGATATGAAAGAAAAAAAGACAAAGTGAAACAGAATAAGACTGTTAACAAAGGGATAAAGATATGTCTTTAACTGAACCATTTTGCTTTTATTTTGTGGAAATGTTTTTTTCAATTCAAGAACTGTTGTAGGATTAATGAGCAATGAAGGACCCGAATCTGAACTCGTTTTTGAAATTTATTTCTAAGACTGAATACTTCAAGATCATTTCAGGTGAGCTTCTTCTTTTCTTTTCTTTGTGCTTAAAACAACATTTTTATTACCAAGGAAAAAACACGAGCAGCAGCTTTTCCAAAAGGTGGCTGCATGTAAACATCATCACTCTGATCGCAATAATCACATATCATCCCTTACAGGAGTGCTTTATGGTTAAAACTAAGGATGTGAGCTCTAATCCTGAGCTGTTATTGGTCAGGACAAATTTCATCTTTAAGGTCAGAAAGTGTGAAGAATGAAAAGTAAAGGAATGATGACAGAGAAAATAGAAATGTAAGTGGTGTGCTTTTCCCCCCACCTTTTACTGATTACAGCAGTCAGAGACTTGAGAGAATATTCAGATTTTTCAGCTTCAATTTGATTAGAAAAGTTCTGCCCGAAATTCATTATTTTAAATACAAAATAAAAACAAAATCCAAATGTAGAAAATATAAAAGATTGTCTATCAAATATCTGAAAACCTTGGATTTCAAGCCATAAAACCTGCAGGTATTTACTGTATATCTATTTACTTTATCTCCTAATTCTGACAATCTTGTGTGTTTTTCTGCTTGTTGAGATCAAAATACACTGCAAAGACGAGGTCATGAAATACTTAATCCTCCTTTTTATTTTGTCCAAAATACTAATCTTACTCTGAACATTCTCTCAAATCTCTGACTGTTGTTTTCCTCTAAGCTCAGCAGCCAACCCATCTTAAAACCAACCCTTTATTGGTCACATTAAAAGAAAAGCAGGGGTTTAAATACCCGAAAAGAGAAGAGACACTTTGTCCGGTTAAAAAACAAAATACAAGAGACTGCTTCAAGTATCCCAAGAAGTGGAATTCAAAAGCCCTGAAAGTTTTTGTTTCATAGTTTCATAATCCCAAAACTTCTTCTCTGCTGATAGGCTGGACTCTGCATCTGTGAGTGTGTGTCTTCAGTGGTGCTTAAAAATCAAGTTAAAGTGCCAATTATAATCCTGATTTCTTCGAAATTAAGATCCAATTCAAAATAATCCAAATCTAAATGTTCACTATGACTGAGCAGCATAGAACTGTTGATGCTGACGACTCATGGGATGGTCTTTGTGCTTTGAGTGTTTCAATTTGAGGCCTAAAAATCATTTGTGCATCCCAAACTGTTGCGCCAAAGGTCTCTGTTATCTTCCCAAAACAGGTCAAGTGTGAAAAGAATAAAACAAACAAGGTTGGAGGTAAGACTTTGATATTTTGTGCTGGATTTCAGCTTGCATAAGCAACAGATTATTTTGCATCTGTTACTACATATTACAAGAAACACAAATTGGAAGGAGTCTATCTTTGGAGTGTACATTTAGGGCCTGTGTCCATTCAGAACATTTTTTGTGTGTGTGTGTGTGGTGGCACCATCTGCAACTTTGTATTCGAGTCATCTTACAGAGCAGCGACCAGAACACCTTTGATGTTGAGGGTTGAGCTGTGAAAATGCTGCCCTGCATTGCTTTTCTTATAAAGTATACACTGCCAGTGTGAATAAATGCCGTCAGTGGACACAGGCCCTAACATGCTTACAAATACAAGATGACAGCTAGTGTTTCAAAGCCAATCATGCTGTTTTGTGACAATTTGTGGCATTTGCACTCAAAATTTAAGAGTCAAAGTGGTGAAAGAGTGGAAAAGGACTGAAAAAGGTTAGAGTCCTGAGTAGGGGGGTATGCCAGGGAAGATGACAGAGAACATAGTAAAAAATTTAGAGGTGTTATGCTGCCAAAATTAGATCAGGTTGCGTTTTTGCAAATTACATAATGGCCATGATTTGATTTAAATGAGGAGAGACCACCTGCTCTCCAGACTTCAACTCTCCCTCTTTAAATTTACGCAGTTGTCCGTCAAACTAAAAATACTACCAGAGAACTCGGTCCGATTTCATTTGGGTTGCAGAAGCAGACAGTCCCTTTGTTCAGCCCGGTGCAGAAGCTCCATTATTAAGACTTTTATTAAACAGACTCCCTCCCCCCCTGTGCTGAAGTCATGTTAGGACTTCTTTGGACAGTGTGAGGACGAGTCTGTGTTGAGGACCTCTATCATTGTTCTTGATGACGGAAAGGTTTCTGCTACAGAAGGAAGACTCTGGTACCAACTCGGCAGACTGTCAATGACAGAAAAATATCAGGTAAACATCTCTGTGAAACACAGACAAACAAGAACAAATTAAAGGACTTTTCTCCTCCTACCTTTTCAGATTCATCCAACTTTTCGCTGTTTTACTGAAGCTGTCTGGACTGGGTGTGGTCATGGCTTCAAAATCCACCAGCTGTAACAAAGTAACATGACAGTTTGTGACCTGTTTGGCTTGACGAATTAACACTCATCATGCAGGATGCACAGCTACATTATTATTAAATGCTTCACAAAGGAACAGACTGACAGATAATATGCACTTTGTGTCTAAGGGTGGGGCTGCGCCTTATGCAGTATAGAGGACATAAACCATGATTCAAAAGTAGTTCTCTAATAGCAATGATGTATCTGAGGCTGTGTTCTCGAACATTAAGGTAACTTCACACCACAAACAAAAGACAAGATAGAACAAGAGGATCATCTGTGACTGACTAAACCACAAGGGCGGGACAACCCATCAAATGTTATTTATCAGGACATTCCTTAGTGTCATTATGAACAAAATCAACCAAGTTCCCAGTTCGTCAATAAGCTGAATTCCCACAGACCTCAGCTTTCCAAGTCTTGATCTGTTTTCTGTACTGCTCTGTTCCCGTCAGAGGTGAAGTTGTTACAGGAAAAATATGTCCGTTTGGCAGGTCCCACACAGGCTGGAGTTTCATCCAAATATCCTCAAAAGGTTGGAATAAGTGATTCTTGTTTCATATTTGAGTCCCTCAGCAGCACCGATGGCTGGTTCTTATGTAACACACACCTCCTCTTTTCTTCACATTTGAGTTACTCAAGTTACTGACCCCAGACTGAACCTGTAACTGACTTGGCCTGGTAATGGTTCAGGAATCCCCTGGAAACTGGGGAGGGGGATGTCTGGTCGATTGGAGGTGCTAAACAATGAAATAAAAGCAAAGGCCCTGAGCTAGTGATTTGGAGTATTGGAGGGCTAGACTTGAGTCAATGAAAAATGACCTGAGTTGGATTGGTCAGGACCTTTTATCACCACAGACATGAGCGAGAAAGACAGAGTCAGAGAGTGTCAGAGAGATGGAGACAGGGAGAGCAAAGGAGCTGAAATAAGGTTTACCTTTCCTTTGGGGATCCTACCGACGACTTCCTTCCCACTGGCCATCAGCGCCCCCATCACCACTGAATACGCCACCACACTGAGGAGGAGCAGAGCAAACTTGTAAACTAACAGGTTTTACCCCTCAGAAGTTCACACGCCATAGATATACCCACCTAATCCTCATTATCCTGTGAACCGTCCCATGTAGGACATTTTAATGACTTTGCTAAGGGCGATCTGCCTCAAAAACTGCAATAATTATGTTCATCTGACTGTCACTCAACCTATCTGAGCATCAGTGTGACACTTAGTTATTATCACACTGAAGCGTCAACGACTGGTGCCTCCAGGTCGCTCTGAGAGACGTTACCTTGATCCTCTGGAGAGTGGCATGAGGTTGCAGAAGTAATACACCAAGGACAGGATAAGGTTACAGACAGCATCTGCATCCTAAAAAACAACATAAAAGAGTTTTAGCATCCATTCGGTGAATAATTCTTCCAAACCATCACTAAAAATCAGGTTAACACGTATTTAAAGCTGAACCATCAGAGTCAATTTCTCTGGGAGGCAACAGCTGGAAAATACATCCTGAAAGCTGATCGTTCCACCAAATATTTGTCATATTCTCCTGAGAGTTGATAGATTCCTTTCATAGATTGACTGTCTAGAAAAGTTAAATCTGTGACTTTTCCAGGACTGATACAAGGAGCGAGAAGACGGGATGTTGATGACAGAGTCTAATGCTGAGACATGCTGTTACTTCTTCTATATGCAGCCGTGCAGTCTGACAATTGGACTTTCTAGTCAAACACAGACATAAATCTCACCCCGAGTTCAGTGGAGAGCATTAAAGCTTTCCCTTTGGCTGTGAGGTCTTTGTAAATGGACTCTATCTCTGACTGGTACTGCTGCGTGCGCTCCTCTGTCGTCTGTGTTTCCACTGAGAATAGCATGTTCCCCACCCTGAAAAACAGAAAAACAATCAGACACACCATATATCTGCTCTTCAAATTTGCTTTGGATAACAAAGGATCAAAGCCAGATAGTGCATCACATGACTATAAGCTGTACCTGTCTCCTGTGATAGTGATGGTGAAACCGTCGTACTCTTTCCCAGCATCCTTCATGCTTGGCACCTTGGAGTTGACCGTGAAGCCATCTCTGGTTTTACTGTTGAACTGCTTCAGAAAACAAACACGGAAACAAAGAAACCAGCAAACCTGGTTTTTACTGCTGAAGTGACATCAATTATTCACAGAGAAACAAGATTATTTTAAACTCTAGAGGACTTTGTCATATTTACACTAGATAAAGTCGTTTCAGTCTCTCTTTCATGTCTTTATGATTATGGATGTGTCATTGTTGTGCTGCAGGATGAGAAATTGATAAGTCCCTGAAATTTCCTTCAAAATAATATACAAATAAAATCAACACGTTCAGAGAAAAAAGTATTTAAATGATTATAGTGAGGGAACTGAGGTTAAAAATCCTGATGTTCACAGCAAGAAAATCACACAGAGTCGTAGGTATCGTATAAGTGGCTTTTACGCTACTATGATGTTAAAGAACTCAACTTAACTTTATTTATATAGCACCTTTTACACAGAACAGCACACAGCCCAAAGAGCTCCACAACAAAGGGAAGGTAAAAAGAGACTGACAGCAGGATTTAAAACAATTAAAGATTTTAGGTAAAAAAAAAGGTGAATATGGATTCAAAGAAGAAAAAATAAGGGGAAATAATTATCAATCAATAGAGTAATATCAGTAAGACAAATAGAACTCATAACAACCAATTAAAATAATTTAAACGAAATTGGTGCAAAACATCTGTTGTACAATCCATTAAAATTCTGACCCAAACTGCCATAACTCTGAGTTGAAAGCTAAATTAAAGATAGGACTTAAGATTCCTTTGAAAAAAAACAGTGAGAGAGTTTCAGGGAGCCGACTGAACATTTTAAAAAAAGTATATAAGGACCTGAGTGACCGAGCTGTAGGATAAAAAGAGAGTTACGATCTGTAACATATAGAGGAGCGAGGCTGTGAAGAGCTTTAAAAACAGTTCTAGAAGAAACAGGGAGGCACTGCAGAATTTTAAAAACGGGAGTTAATTTTCTTTTTGTGGGTTCAAACTTGGTCCTGAATGAGCTGGAGTTTTTTGAGACCTTTTTGGGAGACAAGTGATAAGGGAGTCGCAGCAATCATTGTGACTGGTCATAAAAGTATGAATCAAAATTTCTGCATTTTTCTGGGATAAATATTTTTCTCGGATGACAACATGAAGTACAGATCTAAAACCGCCCCTGAGTTTGTAACAACAGTTTTTATTTGCTTGTTTAAAACCTCCCAATATTTTTCTCTGGCTGCTTTGGTTCCTAATCAAAAAATCTCAGTCTTTGCCTTGTGTAGTTTCCAAAAGTTTTTGCAACACTGATGTCTGTCAGACAGGACAGAGGAGATTGAAGTGCACTCAGATCGTGTTTTAAGGCAGACAGATACAGTTGAGTGTCGTCAGCATAAAAATGATAACTGATGTGGTGGTATTTTAAAGTAAAATCATGAGCAGTGAAAATAAAAAAGGCTCAAGAATGCTTCCCTGAGGAACACCATATTTAAAATCACATGTCTCTGGGACATAAGCAACAAGGCTGTTTCAGAGATTTGAACTGAACCAGGCTAAAACATGTTAGAGAAACTCTATTTCTCAAGTCTGATAATTCAAAGGTCTGGGTCTTAGAAAAATACTGCTACATAATTTTAATCTAAAATCAATCTGATGGCATTTACAACCTGCAATTATTTTGTACTTAGGTCAGTTCACTTATCTCTGTTTTATTTTCTCCACACCAACTTTCCCTTTTTCGTCCTTACCTTCATTATAGGAAGCAGATCTTCTACTTTATTCACATTTTCAAGAGCCTGTCGGACCTCCAGGAGTCCTCTGGGGTTATACGCCCTGAGACACAAACAAAACACAGTGAGTCAAAGATGCCGCAAAAAAAAAAAACAGCAGATAAATATTTATTCATTTTTGCATGAGTCACCCAACATGTTGATGCAAAATGATTCAAGACTGGAGGAAAAGATGATTTATGTAAGTCTGCTTTGATGGCAGAAAAACATGACTGCTGTCAGATAATTTTGTGAAGATGAGCAGATGCCAACCATGATAAAACAGTTATTAGAGGGCGAAGGTTAGGCTCATTTGTGTTAGCGTTTAGGAACAATTAGGAGCCTCATCCAAGTGTGATTTTGTCAGTGAATTGATGATAGAGAGAGAAGCAGAGACAGTGCACAATCCTATGATATGAAGACAGGAAGTGAACAAGTTTCAGTGCATATTCACCCATGATACACCAGTATTCTGTCTTTAATGAAGTCCAGGATGTTGTCAAAGTAGGCCAGGTATCTGATGTTGATAATCTGTCCCCTGAAGAAACACACAAAGATCAGAAGGATTTTCATACACTTTCAAAATCAACTTCTTCTGCAGCTTTGAAGACAAAACACTCTAAGTGGGTTTGTCAGAGCCGAGGCTGCGCTGGATTAAAAATCTCAGTCAACTGGGTCGAGTTTCAAAGAACATGAACAAATGTTTTTGAGAAAACCCCGAGCATTGAGAAGGAAGCAAGGAGATTTAGGAGGCTCAAGGATTAGATTTAGAGCACCAAACAGTGGAGGGTGGAGCTGTTACCTGATGAGATTGATGTGGTTGTTGAAGCCTCGACTAAGACTTCTGGCGGGCATCTGGTCTAACCACAGGACTGGCTGGTCTGGATCTGCGATCCTGAAGGACAAAAGAAACCTTTTCAGTCTGACAATTCAAAACTTTGGTTGGCTAAGGATGAAGGAAAGCTGAAAAGTTCACCTCATTTGTTAAACTGAAGCTACAGTCAAACCATGAGATGTAATTCGTTTAGCGTATTGAGAACTTGTGAGCTTTCACTTGAGGTCTTGATGACCTTTGAATCTTAAAAATGTCACTCTCTGTGTCTGCTACTTAAATCTGACACTATGATCAAGTGTTTAACTTCTACTGCTGTCTTAGGTGAAGAACCAACTTACCTCGATGTGAATAAAAAATGCTTTAAATTAAATGTTCTTCAATGTTTAAATTAAACAAACCGATGCACACAACCAGTGCACAGTAAGAGCTAAGGCTGCGTTGGAACTTAATAACCTTTATGATTTCTGCAGGACTAACACTGTACGCAGTAGTTTCATATTTACAAATTTTGACTATAAAATAAAATTTTACCAGAGATTCTATCCAGCAGACATTGATTTTATTGCATTTTTGTTAATTTTGTGGATGAAATTTGAATAATTAAGAGTCAACAACCTTCAACTGTGTTTCATGATTCTCTATGCTTCTATAAATTTAACATGTCAGAGTGACAACTTAGGTAAAATAGTTTTTTTTTTTTTTTTTTTTTTTTTTTTTGGGGGGGGGGGGTTATTATCATCTTGAGATGTATGATGTATAATGGCTAAAACGAGGTAGCAAAAACATCCCGAGGGCTGGTCCAGGTCCTACTTGACTTTGACTTCAAGTTTTTAAATGAAACGACGTTTATTGACTAAAACTAGAGTAAAATATCTTACACCCCAAACTCGTTTCAGCTGGTTTTCAATCCTCACCTTCTCCATTTAACTGCTATATCAAACATGTCTCTCCACTGCATTTGTCTGGTCTTGCCGTTGACTCGCACTTTAGAGTTGCTCCACGTTCGATGCATCGCCTGCATCACCTCCAGGGTGGCTAACCCCATGGCTGGGAGAGTGCAGAAACAGAATTAGCGGAACGAATCACACGTGTCATTTACTATCAGGGTGTGTTTGTGAGCCGTACCTCTGTGTATTCTTCTGTTTGGTAGGAATCCAGGAGTGTCGTACTGCATTAGCGCCCCTAAGTGGTCAGCTGTGCATATTAACTTCTGGACTTCATTGCTGTAGCTTTCAAAGTTCTGCGGCAGCACGTCCCTAAAAACCAGAAACACAAGCACACATATTCATTATCTTTTATGAGGTTTCAGTTTTATGTTTTTTGGACTGCATTGTGGGAACCTGTCACATCTTTATTACACAGAGGAAGCAAGTTTGTGCCTGCTGACAGGTTTGGTTAACATCCACCTGAGAAACAATAAAACCTTCTAGTCCACATGTTCATGACAGGTCCCTTCAATCAACCACATGATAGATCTGATTGAAGTAGTAGCACATTAAACACTCAAATAAAACCAGAAAAACAGACACAGTCCGACACGTATGAAGGCCAAAAACAGTAAATCCTGACAGATTGTGGTTGTAATCGAAGGGTTTAATCAGATTTAACTAAACAACCAGACTCACTTAATATGTGGCTGCAGGCCCGGCTGTTCTTCGTAGTCCTCTATCAAAAACGGCAAGTTCTTGGCCCAGTGGTTTTTAAAGTTCCCTGGTAGGTCCTGGTCCACGTTGTACTCTGCTACTGGGATGTCGAGGTGAGAGTGCAGGTAGCGAGAGTACTCTAGAGGGGTAAAAAAACCAGGAGGGTCAGATCAGGAAGAATCAAGACTGGATGATGTTGCGCCCCCTGCTGTATGGACATGCCGGGTGAACCAACCTCTGAGGTATTTCACTTTGAGGTATTCTGAGCTGGCTTTCTGTCCCAGCAGCGGGTCATTTAACATGACTTTAGTCTGAGCCTTGATCCCCTCGTAGAACTGGCCCATCGCCACGTGACTTAACCCCTTCATGTACTGACACACCTCGTTGTACGGCTCCAACTGTAGACACCTCTGGAGGAAGGGAGACCAAACAGAAAACTTTGTGTTGAAGGCTGGAGATACAATGGTATATTTTCTCATTAGAGGAAATATATCCAACTTAAAGTGGACTCTTCCCACCTTAAAGTTGCCTATAGCCTCTTGTAGGGAGCCGTGGTGGTACAGCATCATGCCTCGGAGCTGTAGAGACTGGATGTGGTTCTGGTTCAGCATGAGGGCTTTCTGGAAGCTCTCCATTGCTGACTCAAAATCACCCAGCTCCCTGAAAAGAGGAAGAGCAAAACACCAAGAGTGAGCTCATGTTTGGTGAGGCAAAGGGGAAATGTAAATCTCTTATTTCCTTAAAAACAGAAACTGTATTCAATGTTGAACCAAACTATGAGGAGCACAGAGCGGGCTTTACCTGTAGGCCTGTCCGAGACTTTTATAGGCATCTATGAAATCTGCCTTCAACTTCAGAGCCTCTTTAAATGTCTCAATGGCTTCCTGATAAGATAAGAAACAAAACAACGATTTACACTCAGATCAACATCAGGAAACATGAAACTTTTGTTTGCAGCTGATGATTCATCCGCCGCTTGTGTTATTAAAGCATGTGGAGTCATAAAGTGGGCATTAAAGATTAGAGCGGTTTTTGTATCTCCTCCCTTTCTCTCTGATTGTTCTCATTTAGAGCCATATACACGGTAACTTCTGCATTTTTGTCCTCCTCTCTAACAGTGCGCTCAAAAAAGCTCAACAGATGTCGCTCATGGAGAAAGTTGGGGGAGCAGCCAGAATGCGAAAAACAAAGATGGCACTCTTATATTTGGACCAGCACAATATTTCCCTTAAAACGAGCCGTCAGGGCGTTTACCTTGAGCATCCCTCTGTGGAAGAAGGTGAGGCCTTTATATAACATGGCGATGGGCTGATTCTTCTTCAGCTCTAAAGACTGCTGGAAGTCCTCCATAGCTGCCACATAGTCCTGACGGAGGAAAACAAGCACAGGATCAGAATAAAGACATACACTTACAGATTCACAAACAGAATATCTTCACAGATCAAACCTCTGAAATGAAGAGCAGCGTTCCTCTGTGCCTGTAGAGACGCGCTGAGGGCTGCAGCTGGATGGCTTTGGTGAGATCAGCCAGAGCTTCACTGATACGACCCAGAGGAGACAGGATCTAAAGAAACACGGGTGCATTTATGAATGACAGCAAATTACACTGATAAACAGCAGATGTGGTGAATGGTCCTGACTTTGACCTGTCTATTCACACATCAGCTTGTCCTGATGCATTGTGAGATTTTTACGAAGAAAAAGTCTGGACAAAATCACATTTAGGACAAAGACGAGGGCGTGAAAATGTCCTTCTATGATGTGTTGGTGAGATTGATTGTGGGATGTAAGGTCAAAAAGTGGAAACAAGATGATAACAATACACTTATAGTAATAAACGGCTGTGTAGCGGGTCAGGCTCACCTCTGCTCTCTGCTCGTAGACCTCCGGCCAGTTCGGCTCGAGGGTGATGACTCTGTTGAGCTCGTACAACGCCAAGTCAGCATTCTTTATGTCCTGAAACAAGAGGCTGTTAGCTTTAGCTGACATAAACCTTCATTTAAAGCCAAAAGAATGAACAGCAAAGGCACGTGAAAGAGTTAGACCGTCCTTCAGCCTGTTTTCTGGAGGGCACACTGCTGTGATAACCACAGAGTCCAAGCAGACCGGATTAGTATTCAATAGACGCCACACTGAGTCATTCTGTGTTTACCTGAAACTGCTGCTGTCACCAAAATCCTGCAGGCTCCTTATTTATTTCATTTTTTTCAAATAGGACCAAAGGCATCAAAAAAAGCACAACTCACTGTGCTGCCAGATACCAGTGTGGTCTTGAGAAAGGTAATGTAAGGTGAGGCGAGGCTTTTGAAATCAGCTGTGGGGGAATTTTGACCTCAAATAAAGGAAACTTTTAATACAAATAAAGGCAGGCCGTTGATACTTAAACATTCACAGTGCAGCATTAACAAAAACTTATAAGGTCTGAGTCATCTGCTTTTAATAAGTTTTAGACCTTTGCTGCAGATAAAGCACACCCTGAATTCGAGATGTAGAGGTTGACCGATATCGTTTTTTCAACAGTCAGACTGACATATGCTTTTCTTTTTACCTTCTAAATCATCTTTAATACTTTTTACCTCCTGAACTGTTTTTTTATGTAGATGTATTTTATTTTATTTATTTATTTTTATGATGTATGGCAGTGTTTTAAATGTCTTAGCCTGCTGCAACCTGATTTGCCCATTTTTGGGACATAATTAAGTTGAAGTGAAGTGAAGTGAAGCTGACGGTCGATATATTGTTGTTGTGTCAGATTTCAAATGCTGATTTTCATTTAGGAAGTTAAAAAATGTTCATTTCAGGGGACATTATTTTGTAATAGCCCTTCTCTCTGTCTGTCGATAAAAAAAACAAACACTCAGGCAACATTTCTACCTCCACGCTTAGATACAAGGCAGTAGTGGTAGCTTTGCTTTAGTGATAGCTTTATGACAGTGTTTTCTTAAGGACCTGTAGTGGCTATTAATGATTAACAAGAAAAGCACAACACACCAGGAGGAGAGGTGCAAAGAGGAAAAGCACTGCAGGTAAAAATCTAATAAAGGAAGTAAGAAAATATTCAAAAGCTACAAATAAAGGCCACAATAGATGTTGGTGTTTTTCTTTGTTAAATATTATTGACTGGAAATAAAGAAAACCCTCAAACAGCTGATGAAAATGACCTTAAATCAGACTGATTCGTGTCTATAATTCTGTCTCCTCCTCTGGGCTCCTGGATCAGCACTTTCTTTTAAAAACTGTTACATTGAAACGCAGTTACACAAAGGAGGATACGCCCCATACTGCATATCATTCTGGCAAATCCTTCTCCAGTCCTGGCTCATTTTTCTGCAGATGGTGTCAGTTTGAAGAGGTTTTTACACATGCAAACTTCAGTATATCAGGCCCTTACTACTGGCGAGTGCTTCATGCATGATAAGTATATTATCTACAGAAAACTAAGTATATTATCTACAGAAAAAGAGAGAAATAGCGAGACAGTGAGAGCGAGAGAGAGAGAGAGAGAGAGGAAGAGAAGAGAAGCCATAATATCAGATTTTGACCTCATGTTTATTGTGGCCATAAAATATCAGGATAGCAATATTGTCCTGATATTCATGGAAATTTGGATTTTAAAACCACTCGTGAAGTACAATCGAGAAAAGACAAAAGAAAGGTAAAGCAACATATGTGTTCATAAATATCAGAGGTCTATATATTTGTCTGCTTTGCATTTAGGTCGCTTTATTTCTGCCATCGTAAAACCATGCTTTCATTATGAAGTATAAGATACTTAGGGTTGATAGTAAGACACTAAAAAAGACTGAAAACAGTTTTAAGAAAAGTTTGAAAGTATAAAAGTACCGAGACAGGAGCTTTAATGTTGTATTAGCATTTACAAAAATCCTGAAATTTCTGTTTCATGTCAGTTCACTGACAGTCTGTTGCTGCTACGGATCTCAGCTGTGAACTCACTGTATATCATTTGTTTAATTTGAGCAAGAAATCAATATCTCATGTTTTAATAAATTAAGTTACCACCAATGCAGATTTATGTATATTAATATAGATATATACATCTATCCCTTTAAAGGAACTAGAGGCCTATCTCACATCTTTTACTCACCTGTAAACTTTTCTTCCCATAAGCGATCCCTCTCCCGTAGATGGCGCTGACCAGCTCAGGATCACCCTTTAATCACGACAGAACATGTCAGGATTAGAGGACTGGTTTGGGATAGTTTTGGAAGTATTTAGAATAGGGAGTGGATTCAGCTTATGACCCAAAACTGTGCAAATTTTGTAAGACTCCACCAACTGTTTACTCCAGTGGTGATTAATATGTGTGTGAGGATATACGTTTAAAATGCTGCAGTCGTGTAATATGTGGTTTTTCAGTTGCAACTATACCTGTAATAATAGTGAGAAATGTTTGATGGCTTCATCATAAAGACCGTTGGCTATCAGAACATAGCCAATAGCTGCAAAGACAGAAAAAGCAATCATTGATTTTATATCAAACTGTTCAGCCTGAAAAGGGTCTGAATTTGATCCACATGCAAACTCACCCAGTTCTTCGTTTATGTTGTGGTTTTCTACAGGGAAGGGGATTTTCTTCTGCTCTATAAACAACTTAGCCTGATTCTGTGGAAACATGAACAACACAAGAACACAAATAACATGTAGAAGCAGCGCCACTGTCACACAGGAAACTACATGTTTGGTTTCCTGTGTGAAAACTGGTGTTTTAATAAGAGATCATTTGGAGAATAAAGAGAGTATGCACACAAAGCAGAAGAAAGAGTTTGTTAAATCTCTTTAAGACACTGGTGGGTTAAAAAGAGTTTGAACAAGCTTTCAAGGTCACTTAGAAGAGAGAAAACATCCTCTCAAACATCAAGAACTCTTATCAATGCAAAGCAGAGTCCTGCATGGTGAGAAACACTCAGCGTCTTCTATCTGAAGTGTTCTCTCCTTCTCTCTGTGTCTCAATGTATTTCCTGTATAATCCCAAATGAAGAGAAGCAGGGGGCATACTGCAAACATCATTACAAGATGCAAATTTAACAGCATGCAAACAACGCCATGGATGCACTCGGGGTTTGTAAAACAGCCAGTCAGAAAGTGACAGCACAAATATGAGTCGCAGCTGTACGTCTCAAAGAGAGGCAGCATCCTCCTTACAAAAAGTGCAAAAGTTTGCGCAATAAACGGTTCATAACACGGGGAACTGATTCTGGTATTAAGATCTATTTACAGCAGAAATGAGGAGGTGTCATTGAGTGTAGTAACACGTGCAGCCACACCTAAAAGTGAGTGTGGTCTGAGGCTCTGACACCAGCACATTTTTATTCAAGAGAACCTTGAAACACAAAAACAGCTCATGCCCATATGAGTAATTACAGCACTTTGTGTTTTCATACTTTACGGTAATCTTGTCTTCTGTTACTTTGAGGTGAAATTATCAGTAGCTACAAGAATCTGCTTTTTTTTTTTCTCCATGGCCTGCTACAGACTGTCCTTTTTTTTTCAGATCAGATAAAGGGTGTGGGTCTATGTGTGCGTGGGCGTGCTCTTCTGATCTTACCAGGATCTTCTCTGCATTGAGTGAGAATACTGACTCGCAGGGTGGATTGCTGCCCTCCTCACAGTCCGGGTCATCCAGCTGTAAGATCGAGGACTCTAAAGAGACAAATATTCAGAATAAAATCATTAGAGAAAGAGTTTCAGACCACTTTGGATGCACTTTGTTGGCTTAAAACTTTAGTAACTTCATTGCCTTTAACTCCAAAGGAAAAATGTCTGACATGTCAGGCAGATCTGAAACCACTCGTACTGGATTCCAGGTCTACGAGTCATGTAAGCACAGACGCTACACAGTTTTCCACACACCAAACTCCTTTCAAATTTTGACATATTTTAAATTTAGCCAGGTCAAAGGGCTTTGCATTTAATTATGTGAGAAGAATGGTATAAAGAATCAACGTGGACTGATTTATAAAAGATTTACAGCATTGCCACACAAAGCCGACTTTGATAGCCGCAGTAGCTGGCTCAACACTCACTGAGAGGGATTTAACTGAACCTGCAGCCAGACCACCTGAAGGCTTAGAAATATAGGAAGAGGAAAGGTCCGACCTCGGGTTACACTTGGACTAAAACAACGGAACACTGATTCTGGTGCCTTAAAAAAATCACTCTAACTATCTCCACACATGCATTGGAACAACAGGAGCAAATCTTAGTAGTGTATCAACCTGTACAACCAGTTTACTCTGTCATTGTCTACTCAAACAAAATACAAGGTGGGGCACGCTATTGTCTACGGAAGTCCAAAAAGGACATGCATCACCACCAGCAAATCAATGTATGATAAAGTGATAGGTTTGTGTATTATTCGTCAATTCAATTATTCTATTCAATCTAGTAAATGAAAAATGAAAAAACAAAATAAATTTTCTTTTTATTTTTTTTTCGATATAACCACAAAATAAAAGATCAGTGTTTGTTTTCGTATTTTCAGTTCAAAACATAATATATAATAGAGATGGAAACGAAAGCAAAATAATAAATCTACTTTTCGTTCTCGGGTTATTGATGTCCCCATTGTTCGCACACGCGCATTACGCAACAAAGTAGCCAACAACGTGGACCAAAAACTCCAGGCCAGAGCGGTAGAGAAAGGATAACCCGTTGTCATGGAGATGGACACCAGGAGGGTCACGCTGAAGGAGGATGACATGACTGTAGAAAAAATGACAACCAGAGCTTTGTCATAACGTAAGATTTTGGCGCTTGAACTGCTCTTTCGCCATGGTAACTACCGCTGAGGATCATGGGAAGGCCAATGTAGCCTCCATGCACGTATGCTCAAAACAGGCACACTCAAAATCAATTATTGCAAATAAGATTTATTATTTAGTTTTCGTTTTCATCTCTATTATATATTCTAATTTGAGCTGAAAATACGTAAACAAACACTAATCTTTTTTTTTTGTTATATAGAAAATAAATAAACAAAATATTGACTCATTTCTTCTTTTTTCGTTTACAAGATTAGATGGAATAATTTAATGGACGGAAAAACACGGACCGTGATCCTATGTGAGCTAAAAGTTGCTTCAAGAAAAGCTAAGTTGGTCAGGAATTAAATTGAGGGTAGTGCTAGTCCAGGCAGGCCCACACTTTGCAGGCTCATATCTTCTGGCCACTCTGCAGCTACATAGTGTCCTCTTCCGTTTTATACTGTTTTTGATTTGCTGCTGTTCTCCCTGCCTTGGCTTTTGCATCCCACGTGCACATGAGAGGGAGCCCTCCTTACAGGGACATATCATCAAATATAAGACATAATATGCAAAAAATATATCAATATTTTTTATGAAAGTGGTCCGGTGGAAGTACAAACCCAAAGCCTTGTTGGCAGTTCATTTTGGTTTTTAATGTGGTTTTGTTCAGTAAGTATGTTGTGAAATGAAAGCACAATGAAATTAAGAGTAGCATACAGATAACTGTGAAACTGTGCTGATCACCTAGGCTGTGATGCTGCCGTCAAACTAGGAAACAGCAACAAAATCAGCTCGATTTACACTCGTTCTTTTGGGGAACCGCAGTAGAAAACATTTGACTGCTTGTCCGTTTAGCTGTGGACAGCGCAGCTATCCGGGGTCACACACTGACAGCTGATCTGAGGAGGACGTGGCAAACTAACAGCGAGAACAGATACTTTACCGCAGTCCGCCGCGTACTCTTCCCACTCGGACAGCGAGCTACATCCCTGCTTGTGGAGCTCGTTGTTGAACAAAGTCAGCGTGGAGAAATACTCGGAGGAGAAGATTGCCCGACTCAGGTACACGACTGAGAGCGCTACCACAACAATCGCCCGGCTGGAGGGGGCCATGTTGCGCTACATGTGTGACGCCAGAGAGCGGAAGCTGCAATTCGAACAAGCCCTACAAACGGACACGCCCCCCTCACGCGCACGACTCCGAGCAAGGAAGACCGCAGCGCTTGAATGTAAAGCCAGAAAGAGGGATAAAACTACAACTCCCAGGGTACATCGCGCCACTAACCTTCACTGAAATTGTGTCCGGTACAACTGTCAAAATAAAAAAGACACCACATGAAAAAGCGCTGACCTATTTACCTAAATCTGACAGGTTTTTTTTTAAATCTCAAGATATTTATAAACAATCTGTCTTAAAGCTTCAGAAACCTCAACTCATTTAACCCTTTAATTTAACTTTGATTTATTTTGGCTCTCAGGATTTTTCAGTTTGCTTCGTTTTATTTATCTATCTTTCGTTTTTTCGTTCATTTGTTTATTTTTATATTTTTGCAGTTTTTTGTTTCGCTTGCTTTCTGTGTTATTATTATTATTATTATTATTATTATTATTATTATTATTATTATTATTGAATATACAGTATAATTAATTGGTAATACTGATCTGTAAGATACAGCTTCATTAGTTAAAGCCCTGAATTGGGTTGCCCTCATAGTGTAAAATGACAATGACATCAACCACAATGAAAGCACTAACAAATATTAAACAAAGTAAGCTTTACATTGTTGATCATGTGCAAAACTGGAAAAAAAATGTACAGACTTGCATCAGAGAATGTTATAAACGCATGACACTGTATTTCTTGATGAGTAAAAATAACTTAATGGGAGTGCTGAAAGGGGGCTGTATCTTATATGCAGTATAACGCATATAAGTATGTAAATCATAAAGCAAAGGTATGGGGTTGTCACTTGGAAAATTAAGAAAATGGCAGCTGGATAGCTATTTCTGGATTTTTTTTTTTAAATGTGTAAAGTGCATTTTCGCTTCACAAAATGCACACCCTTACGACATCGTTCAGACCTTCAGTAATACTCTTATTTTGAAGGCGGAACTTCGGGATTCTGTGTTTTGCTTCCGCTGTATTTGTCTTCCATGCTAGTTTCCTGTTGCAGTTTGCAGTGTGAAGAATGGATAAAAATGAGTTTAGGTGTATTGAGTGTAACGAAAAAGCTGCGGAGTTACACAGGGATTATAGAAACGGGATTCTGAAGATAACAATATGTGTAAGTTTGCTGTTTTTCTCTTATATTTATGCTAACTGACATGGTGCCAGGAAGTTGACACCTTCCCCTGGCTCTGAGTACACCACAGTCTGTGTTTTGCTGCTACACATGATTTAGTGAAAGGTGAATTAATTAAACAATAAAGGCTTTTACAGAAATTGCTATGTCTTGTCAGCAGCCTTATTAGAGTTATCCGTGTGTTTTTACACTGTGTGTTCATATTTTTTTTTTTTCAGGACTCTTGTCAGAAACCAGTGGACAAATACATTGAATATGACCCTGTTATCATCCTCATTGATGCCATACTGTGCAAAACACAGGCTATCAGGCACATTTTGTTCAACACTAGCTTGAATGTAAGTACACGACTGTTTTTAATCTTCCTCCCATCTAAACAAACAACAATAGATCCAGTTTAAGCAGGTACAATGACTCACTGCTATTATAACATATGTTTTAATTTGCTTATGTCTTCTGAAAAGTATTGTCTTCCTCTTGTGTATGTTTAAAATATTCTCCTCCGCCTGTGTAGATCCACTGGAAGTTATGTGTCTTCTGCCTACTGTGTGAGGCATACCTGCGGTGGTCTTTGCTGCATGGTTCAGAGCCGAGCAGTGACCCAGCTGATTTCATCAGGTACACTAGAGAGTGGGACTTCTACGGCAAGTTTGGACTGGCCGCTCTTGGTAAGATCTTGACAAAGAAACTCCAATAAGATCATATAAGCAGATCAGTACTGATTTGATGTTTGTTTCTTGTTTGTGCAGAGTTGTGTGCTTTTTTCTGCGGCGTGCTGTTGTTCCTCTGGGCGGTGGTGGGTTGTCTCCAGGGTGGGACCCTCCAGTTGAGCCTCCTCCTCAGAGCCCTGCTGCTGTCCTGCTATGGGAAAGTCCTCCTCATCCCTGCCGTGATCTGGGAGCATGACTTCTCGCCACTCTGCTTGGGTCTAATCAAGCTGTTTGTGCTGGTCTCCAACTCTCAGGCTATCAGAGGTGAGAGAAAACAGTTCATCTGTTTAAACTTATGAGATGACCAGATTAACTTCAAAGACCGCTTAACTCAGATGATATAGTCACTGTCAAATAATCCAAGAGTTACTTAAGTAAAGCATTAACAGTTTTCACTTTTAAAGGAGCTTTTGGTTACATCAGAAAAGTTTTGTTTTATTCACCAAACGCCAACAGGTGGCAGCTAACGCTTGAGTGTATCTTGAGAAATCCCCATCTCCTGGGCTCTGGACTACATGAACCTACAGACACTTTGAACATAAAACCATTACATAACATGCATAACAAAGGATTTCATCATTAGCAGCTTTAGAAACATAAATGTGTTCGTTGTGTTTGGCTACAGGCCCGTGAGCTGAGAATAGTGTTATGTTGTAGAGGAATTTTTGCTCCATTGTTCCGAGGAGTTTCTGCACGTCATTTAAATGAGGGACAAATTACAGACTAGCTGAAGCCAAGTGCAACAAAGGAATGAATTAAAAGTGTTTTGTTTTGTTAAATTGCCTTTTTTAATGTGATGTTGCGTTTGTTTTTGCCAAAACTCACTTGCTTTGATTTTCAAGCCAAAATTTACTCCACTAAAGATGTCCATATTCATAATTTTCTTAATCTTTTCTCTTCGTCCTCTGCAGTGATCCTGAACAGCAGCAGACGCCTCTCTCTGATGGCTGTGTGTTTAGGCCTGCTGTCAGAGACCTGCGTGGCTCAGGCCTGTAAGAAGCTGCCGTGGAGCATCCAGGACATGATAACATTTGAGTGAAAATCACAGCAGGGTGACACGAACATCAGGAATCTCAGAGGAATAGAAGAGATTGTTGATGTTAACCTGTGCCACAGTTGATGCCAGGTTTGATGAACATTTTGCACACGAGTTTAGAGGAGGAGTTGAACTGTGGACAAAAAGCCTCAAAAGAGACATTATTCTTATTTTTATTCTCTTTATGGAGAAAAAACTCTCTTCATTTTGGAAGAACATTGAGGAGGACCTTGCTCTTGTTTTTGGTTCTCAGGGAGACATTAAGCTGTCTTGTTTGTTTCCAACTGAGTGAAAAAATGTCACAGCATGACCCAAATTAGTCCCCAACAGGCTCTTACCCAAAGGAGCCTTTTTCCCCTCTCACAAACACGAAGGCAGTAGTCTCTGTTTGGATAGAAAATGGTCTACGCTCTTCACATTGTTGGGCTCGTAAGTGAGATGCTCATACTAACTCACACCTTTGGATGAAACTGTCAGATTCTCACAGGGATAGGTTGAGTCTCCAATTCTCTGTCACTATATTTAAAGCTCCTGCATAGAGTTCCTAACTGGTTGTGAAACTGATGCCTGAAACCATCAGAGGGGGTAGATGTCAGACCAGATGATCGAAAGCAGCCGGAAGAAACAGCTTTTCTACATATTTTCATCTTCAATTATTCACAATGGCTGACACATTTGACGGTTTAAGGATAGTAGGATGAGATTTTTGTCAGTAAATACAACTTCACCGTGTACAGAACAAGACCAGCAAAGCTATTAAATGTACATGTTTGCTCACAAGGAAGGGCAAAATCAGCACAAACCAAAAAGTTCCTCACAGCAGCTTTAAATGTATTAACATAAGATTGAAAAAGGATGAATTTTATCTCTTGAGAAACTGTGAGAAACTTGACTAGGACTGTAAACTTGACTTGGACTTGCAAAAAGTGACTTGTTCTTATGTCTGTGTTATTAATGTTTGCTATATTTTATGGCTCATACCACTCCAGCATATGAAAGTTATTTATATAGACATAATGTACCTAAATCTGAGATACCTCCACCTGAGGTAGAATAAAGCACAACCATGTTTTTTCATAACTTCAACATGTCTCTAGTTTATCAAATGATGGTTGTATGAAAGGATTTAATGGCACAATTACTTTTTTGTTGTTGTTTTACATGCCCCCCCCCCAAAAAAAAAAAATAAAATAAAAAAAAAAATAAAAAAATAAAACTAAAATACAGGCCTATTCAAAAGAGAGAGCATCTGCTTTATCACATGTTCCTCTGAAACATAAGCTCAGAATAACAGCAAATTTGGGCTGAATATTCACATACAGTTAATTATAACAATAAAGCAATGTTTTTATTAGTACAGTATCACTTAAACACACACAAAGAATAGGTGAAAATTGGAAATTGAGTGAAAAATTCAAAATATAGTCATACAAAAGTGTCCTTTTTTTACAAAAAGAAGACCAACCATCAAAACATGTTATTTATATATCCTGGAGATGGTTATCTCATCATAACAGTAGGCTACTTGACTTTTCAAAATAAATTTACTGATTAAGCTAACTTTTACCTTTTCAAAGCTTTTGAGTTGATTACAATAATTATTTCACTGAATCCTTGAAAGTTAATAGCGATAGTTGGTAAAAATTCTTCATTCTAAGTATTTGGATTTAGCTTTTGGTTTTACTCAGAGATGTCTTGACCCAAACGACTTAAAATGGCAGAAATTTTCTGATTTTTTGGGGGACAAACTGTGAAAATTGCTAACAAAAGTGTGTGCTGGTATGAAAACACTTGAATTTACTCATAGTTTGATCTAAAGATATCATTTTTTCGAGTTATTCGTCAACATTAAATGAAACAAGATGGTGCCTGGGCCAGTTTTGGAATGATATTTGAATCATGCAACTTTCAGAGATTAATAAAACATAATACCAACATCATCATCATCATGATACAATTATAGTAATTATTTATTTTAATTGCAAAGAGAAGAAGTGGGTATAAGATCATAATATATGTTTTCAAACCACCTATGTTGACTAAAAAGGAAAAATTGCAAAATAGTGTCATTTAATGTTGTAGAAAAAAGACAAATACAGCTTCTATTCCTGATCTGAAAAACAGATACAAGATATAAAGCCTTAACTTAAGATACCATAAGAACCTTAACTCAAGGTAGAAGTAAATTTCATCATCCTCCATTCTCTACTTTTCCATCCTGTAAGACTTAAAAGTCACCACTTCAACAGAAACTTGTAAGATAACTTCATGGAAAATTTGTTTCAGTCTGGCTCTGACCATCTATCCAGAAGCAATCATTAACATGTCAAATGTAGCTGTAGTGGCCTTTATTCAAACAAACTTCCTCTTACTGACCCTTAAACCTGAGTGCCCGTAAACAGGACAATGTCCAACCAGCTAAACAAACGTCCAAAATGGACCAAGAGTCCATGGAATGAAAGGAATTTATTCTGTACTCCTACCTACAGTAAAAAAAAGGGGGACAGCTGATCCTACTCCAGCCTCGGGGATTTTCACCAGAGTCTCGTCTATATTTTAACTGTTTCGGAGACAAACCCATGATGAGTGGAGGGAGAATACTCTGAACAAAACCATCTGTTGACAGAGGACTCACCTCACCAGATCATGTGGTATCCTCCCAAACTAGATCACAGATAATATGATTCAAAACAGATGCACAGGGCTGCAGTTTGGCATCAAATTTAAAGTGACACCGTCTTCTGCCGTGAAGGTAAACTCTGGACTCCGTGCTTGAAGAGAAGTGCCATTTTTTGCTGCGGTTAGTTTGCAGGTTGAAAAACAAAGACTCTTTTTGCTGTTAAAGGCCAAGATCAGCACAAACTAAAAGCTGCCATAACACTCACAGGAGGGAAACACACATCATTCTTGTTCTCTTGATGGTGATATTGCTGCACAAACATTCTTTATAAGGTATTTTGTGTTTTATCCGTGAAACTGTGGAAGATTCAAAGCAAATCTTCACAGTTCGGAGTTTGCGTCTGTGAAGGGAACACTGTTGCAATAGCTGTGGCTTTCTGTTACAGTCAAACCTGAAATCTGGCAGGCGCTCCCGCCTCAGCTTAGATGACATAAATTAAGCCTGAAGAGCGAGTTTGTCCTGAGCCACAGAAGAACACTCTAAAGGTAAATGTTACAACATGTGCTCTCTTAACTCTCTATCATAGGAGGGTATGAAAACAGAAAATAAAGGATTACGTTTCTGAAACAAAAACTTGGACGTGTATGTGATGGTTTGACTTGGCCTGGGAGTGTGTGTTTGTGTTTGTGTGTGCTGACCTGGCACGTGGCTGCGTGTTGTTACAGGACTGTGAATATCTGAGGAGACAGCACACCAGAGAGGAATGTTGAGTGAGGTGTCCTCACCCCTGGGTGGATCTGTGCTCTGGTGTCTGTGGAGGAAAACACAGCCTGGATCCTTACAGGCTTTCAACACCGACATGTCAAAATCAGCCCAACTAACACAAATCATCTCCACTCTGATGGAAATAATTTGCTCTTTTTTGTGCATCCAGATAGAAGACTTACAGTTTTACAGTTTAAACACAGAGAATAATGACTCTGTTTTCTTCTTCAATCTGTGGCCTCTAATCTGAAAATCAGTATCATTTTTTTAAACACTTTTTATTAAACTTTATGTTTATCCAAAAAGCCATCTTTCATTTATTTATGATCTTCGTTAAAGTTGTCCTGTATTTTCTGTTTAGCTCCTTTTTTTATCTTCGGATCACTGTATATTTTATACATAGTAAAGCGTTTTGAAAGATTAGTTGTTGGGTTTAAATCCTAAGAAACAATCAAAACACGATCATGCATTATTGACCCGAGTTTTCTTCATGCCCAAAAATGTGTTGTTGTAGACAGCATTCACAAACCAGGACAATCAAAGCTATTAAAGAGGGACTAGTAGAGTGTCAGAGAAGTTTATTCACACATTCACACATCAGGTCAGGGGATCCCAAACTTTTCAGCCCAGGACCTCTAAAATAATGGTGTCAGAGACTGGCTCCCAGAAGGACCCCAACCTCCAATTTGGGAAACTGTATAACATAAAACATTTCATCTAACACACTCTGAGGAGATTTTAGTTTGTTTTGAAAAAGTGTCCCTCCTGTACTGATGCCTCTTCCTAGCCATCACTAAAATGAGATTATCAGCTACAGGACAGGCTGTTATTTATAATGAACTTTAGTGCCTGTGTTCAGGTCAGGATTCCCACTTAAAAGTTGAGCCAAAATTCGACTTTTACCTTTTAAAGTCCATGTTCAGAACTGAAATGGTGAAGTTTGACATTGAGAAGTAAGATAGCCAGCAGGAGGGATCTATTTTCCTTTAATTTCTGTTAAAATCTTTTTTTTTTTCTTTCATGGCTAGTATGCACAAACAGGATTAGCCAAAATATCTACAAATTTTTAGGATGGAAAGTTATCCAGCCGGGTCTATGCTACAAAATAGATCAAAATGTCTAAGAGTAGGATTTAATGTCTGTGCCAACATGTCAGTATTCACTCTTCATTAAAGACAAAATATTAATCCTAGACAAACATTACTAATCAATCATTAATCTTGATCAAGTTAGTGACTAATTCCTGCCTTTTCTGAGCATTTGGGACTTCATTTCTCCTTCAAATATGTCTGTAATCTGCATCTATTACAATTATAAGTTTAATTTTGCATGAATTGTCAAAATTCAAGACAGTAGAAGCATTTCTATTCTGTTATTCTTGTTTGTAAGTCAGAGCAGCACCTCTGGTCTTGATATAAAACTATAAAATGATGTAAGAAGTTTTTTAAAATCCTTTTAGATGATAAAATTCCCTAATGAAATGCACACATATCAAAAAAAGCAGACTTTTTTAAATCTGAGACCTCATTTCAAATGTATAAACACCTCCTTAGGTCTCTCATACCTGTCTTTATGTCTACCTTATTTCTTACATAGATGTAACAACAACCACACTGCACGTCTTCATAACCTGTTGACTCACTCTGTTTGTTCTGGTCCAAATTTGTCTGACCAAATCCCCCTGACAGAGAGAGAGTTTCTAAAAGTGAAGTTAAAAAAAACTGTGGGTCAATTACTGAGGCATGCAGAGGTTTAATCTGAGTCTGACTAATCAGATTACTGGGGCAGCAGTCACCACTCAGCGGTTTATTGGGTCTGGTCAAGTTTGTAAAGCAAAGTCTGGAGCTGGAGTATAAATCCAACCTGAAGTCAGTTCTCACCCCTGGTATGATAAGCTCGGATAAACAACTCTGCCAGGCCTGCAAACGCTTTGGAGAGCTATTTTGTACAGTGAGTGGCGACTGTAGGTCCGAGTGAGCGTTAACTCTTGTTGAAAATCCCGTCATCTATGTTTGAATAACAGCTGAGCAACCGTCATTTAGTTTTTTCTGAAACAATATGATATCCTATACGATATACACAGTGTCTCTGCTCTATATTTGTTGCTGCTGAGTTTCCCCACAGCTCAGCTCTAAAGTGAAAATCTGTCCCAGAACTCCCCGTAGAGAGAGTGATGCGCACCTTGGATTTACTCTCTCTGTCAAGATTATGTTAATCCGCTATAATCTCCTAACAGACGCTCAGAGAGGCAGCACGAGACCCGAGCACAGAGCAGAGAGAGAAGAAACACCGGCTCCAAATGATGCACAACTGTGTGTGCAGAGGAGTGTTTACTGATCTGAAGAGAGATATTTTATCTTTTATTTAGAGCAGAATTAATTTATTGATTTCATTTGATTTATTGATTGATTTTCAGAATTTATTTATTGATTATTTAGATTTAGTTGGAGTTGAATTTATTAATGTCAACAGTGGACAAAGCAACCAAAGTGTCTGAAATCCTCAGACTTTTAAAGTCTGTTTAATTATTCATATGATTTTTGATGTTTTCTTAGAATGACAGAAAGATTTGAGGTGCTTAATACATACCTTTCGTCACATTATATTCACTTCGATCACAATATATTGGGCCCAGACACAAAAAAATACAATTGCAGAATATAGAATAAGAATAAAGCACCAAATATTATCATAAAACATCACAAAATACCATTTAAAAGAATGCATCTTTTATTGAAAGCCTTTGTAATAGGACTTTAATAGTAAATTTTACTCTAGTTTTTGCAGAGGTGTAATTTGGCCAACCTGAAATCACTGTTTCTCACATTTTTAGGCTTTGTCCACCTTATCTTATTATTATTATAAGACATGAATAACAAAAACGGTAATTGTATTACGATGATGTTATCTGCCTTCCTTTGGAGCTCATGCTTCACTGATTTACATCCCCAATTCTCTAGAGGTTTGGTTGCCCTGATAATGTTAATGAAAAAAAAAATTGATGGTTTGGAAACATTTAGAAACCATATTTTGTGGAAAAAAAAAGAGTGAAAACACAAGATATCTAATGTTGAAACTTAAAAGTGTTATAGTTTCATGAAGTATGTATGCATGCCAGCAAGATGTTTCAAAAAATTGGGACAGGGACAACAAAACATTGAAAACTTTGTGTAAAAAAACACGTAAAGGGATATTTTCAATCCACAAGGTCAATTTGTAACATGACAGGGTATAAAAGAGCAATCCTGAGATTCCTAAGTGTCTCAGATATAACATTAGGAAGAGGTTCACCATTTTGTAAGAGACTGTGTGAGCTAATCGTTCAAAACTTTCAGAATAATGTTGCAAGAAAAATTATGAGTTATCATTAAAAGAGTTAGAGAATTTGGAGAAAGGGTCATGGTACGACTGATACTGGACAGTCATGATCTTTTGGGCCCCGACTGCATTAAAAACAAACGTGACTCTGTAGTGGAAGTAACTGCATGGATGAAATATTGCCTCCAAAAACCGCAGTCTATGAACTTTAGTTGTCACTGCATCTACAAACGCAAATTAAAATGTACCATGCAAAAAGGAAACCATGGATAAACATGATCTGAAACACATGCATCTTCTCTTAGTCCAAGCCTGTTTGAGATGAATCAAGATGAAATAAGATTTGACATTCTTTTTGGAAATCATGGACACAGCATCCTTTGTTCTGACCTGGAGTTGTATTATACGTTAAAGAAATACAGTCTCAGTATTGCACACTCTGCCTGACTCATAATTCATAAAGTGGTGACACCAAACCACCAAAAATTTTGCACATTTGGAGTTAAATTGATTGCAGCGTGACCTATTTCTCCAGTTTCAGGAGGAGGTTTGTGGGAATTTAATTTGAGTCTCAGAGTATGAAAATATAAACAGTGTTATCATCATCAGTAATTCATCTGAAGCTCCCAGCATGAGGAGCTGTTACATCAAAGCCAGCACATTCTGCTGCAGTAATGATCAATTAAAGCAGAACCGCACCGGCAGAGCAGCCAGCTTTACTCAAGACCAAATTGCAGATCGGTGCATTTAAATGCAGGTCAGAGAGAGATGCATTCAGAAAGGAGAAAGAAGTAGGGCAGCCGAGGGAGGATAAAGACTGCAGTTTGGTCACAGGGAGCTGAGTCTATTTCAGTTTTGCCAGGGTTAGCAGGGATTTGAAACTGAAGAGGATAGTTTTTGTCTATCAATATTTATTCTAACCATGTTTTCTGTGTGACTGTATGGATGGAAGAACTTAAACCAAACATCTCAACAAGCACAAAATAGATTTGCACCACACTTTAATGGTTTATGTATGGTGAACAGGTGGTTATGCAAACTGGAATCCTGACAGATTAAGGATTTAGATGCTAAAACTGAACATTTCCATCAACGTTAACATTCAACAGGATGTACAGGACGAATGCAAATGTAACAACTTTTAATATTGTTGCAACTCCTGATTGCCACCTTAAGAGATGCTCTAAGCAGCTCTCCTGCCATTGTCTGGGTCGTGGGACAAGATGTTGCTCCACTATTCCCTACCTGCAGTATTAAGACTGCTCACATATCTGTACCAGGTGACCTACTTTATTTGCCCCTAGGTTTACTGATGTTTTTTCCAGTGTTAATAGGCAGAGGTAAAAATTTTGTGTGATTTAATACCAAGTGTGTGGTACACTTATCCATAGTATTGCTATTGCTGCTGAGATTTAACATTGAGAGGCATGTTTTGAACATAGTTAGGTGATTAAAGATATCAAAGTACTCAACTCAGACTCAAATTTATGTTTTTCAACTCAGGGGTTTGGTGCTTTTTGTGCAGACTATCCAATCCTGTGCTACAAGCCAAATTTATAAGCCGAACAATGTCATTTAATTTACTAAATTTATGTTTTGTGATGTAAATATGATCTGTAAGAACTAAAAACTCACTCACACCTCAGAAGTATTGAAATCACTTTATTAAATACATACCAGCATAATAACTGTTACAAGATAAGAGATTAAATGTCCAAAGAAACGACAGTATGGTCATTCATGGATTAGAGAACAGACGTAATGATGGATGGTAATACAGCTTGCATCAAGGTCTTTAACTTTTGCATATTATGAAATACAAAATACATTAAAATCCTTCTTTCCTTGTTTAGTGATTTAATGAATGATGACGAACATTAGAGTTATTTCACTTTTCTGGTTTTTCACAATGACATTTGGCAACCAAATAACTGGCAAGAAATTCAGGAGGAAAAGGTGGATGATGATCTCAGTCGAATAAATCAGATTTTTTAGCAGAAAACCCAAATTTTCGTCATTTGGAGACTTCTTCAGGTCACAAACACTTAGATTTTTTTTGTGATTGTTTAAATTTGGTGCAAAAATGGCGTCTTTAGAGAAAGCTCTGACAGCAACATACAAATACATCCACTGAATTTACTCTAAGTACTTCAGCACATTTGGCCTCTTACTTTTGTGGACACAAACAACACCAAATCACACAGTGTCACTTTACAATCGTGTTCAGATATTTAAGGATACTTTTGTCCCTCCAGGGCGAAGGAGTCACATGTTTACCCTGAGATGACATTACCATACTACACATCCAATAATCATATGAAAAAAGGGGTTTAAAAGCAGAAACACTCATTTTTTGTCATAAGTTGCTGGTTTTCATCCTCAGCTCATCAAACTCTCTTGTGCTGGATTTAGTTACAGCGTCGTCACTGTTAAAAGCACTGTGCGCTTGTGTTAGGAACATCTCAGTGAGGATCAGGTAGTTTTAGTTTTTCAGGATTCAACACAGAAGGACCACAAACAAGTGCAAAATTACGCTTGCAGCACTCGCAGTGTTTAAGCGAGTGAAGAGTGCACCGTGTCGCTTTTGAATAACATGACAGATTTTAAGGCTGGTGCGAGGTTTGGAAGTCAAAGCTGCAACATGGAAAGAGGAAACTGACTTTGAGGGAACGCATGTCAAAGAGTTATTTTTGTATATGTTGTGGTAAATGTTTGATGTGAGCAGTTTCTGGAAAGCAAGACAGGAAGAATCCTGCTCATCTTTGAAAGAAGAGCCTGGAGCGACTCGAGTTTCAGAGGGAGGAAGCATCAGATATGCACCACTCCCAACAGCTGCATCCTCTTAAAACCAAAAAAGAAGCCTTTGATTTTAAATATAGATTAAAGAAATACCAATGTACAACTACTTTCTGCAGCTTCTCCAAGAACTGTTTAAGTATTAGTGATTAAATACATGCAGCAGCTTTGACATCCAAGTGCGTGTCAAGCAGGTTTGCAGTTTGTGTTAAACCCTCGTCTCCATCTTCAGTAGGCCACAGGTCTGACACCCGAAGCTCCACAAAGGCACTCATTGTGTAGACATCCAATAAAATGTTGGGGGGTCAGGTTTTGAAATAAAACAGTTTAAATCGGTTACATTTTAATCAGATGTGCTTTGAGTTTGGTGACAGGGGGGGTTAACTGCCCCTAAATTTGGTTGGCAATGTTCATAGCATTCAATGAAGATTGAAAATACAGACAAAATGAACATACTGTTAAAAATAACAGAGAAAACATTCAACTCAGGTTATTTCATAACAATGGAGTAAGTACTGAAACTCTTTTTTTTAGACTCATTGACGATGTCTTTTTTTGTTCTTTAACTTGAATCCTTTCACTGGGATATTAAACAAAGTGGAGTTTACAGTTTTGATGGTGTATGAGAGAGCTGAATACCCTTTAACGGTAATTTCAACTCGTTTTAGCAGAGACAGAGGAACACATACCAAGCTTGAAATGTACTCTTGGCTGTTAAAGGAATAGCTTCTATATTTTAGAAATACAGATTATTTTTTTTATCTCGCTGTTTTCTACAGTTTTTATTGCTTTTTTTACACACCACCTCATAAAACTACTTTATATTAAACAAAAGACATAAGAGTGTATTTGGGGCTTCAGAGGTGCTTGGATAAAGGTTGCAGCTGCTTCATGTTCCCCCACTGAAAACTTCAGGCTACAGTCCAGTTGACTTCTGCTTATCTACTGCAGTCAGTCTTCTTGTTCTTAAATAAAATGTATTTGACTTTGTTACTCAAAATTTTGACAGCCTGTAATTCAATACAGAATTTGATATACATAAAACACAGTTAATATTGTAGATAAGCAGAAACCCATGGTATTATGACCAGCAATTTTCAATGGTGTAATGTGTAGTACTATGCAGCTCTAAAATGTCCTAAAAAGTGTCACTATTCCTTTAAAGTCACACCCTGTCAAGTCCAGTATGACTCCTGTAATCAGGGGTTTCAAAAGTGATGACAGACTTTATACTTTAATCTCAAGGTGGTGTTTAGGGTTCACAAAGCTGCTGAGACTTTCACTCGTCAGTCTGTGAAACCAGTTTTTACAAAAACAATGAAATTAAACCTCATGTCAATCATTTCTTTTAAGACGGCGTGACTATCACTGCAATGCAATTCAACCACTACTTCTTAAGAGGACAGAGAAAATATAGAAGTATTTCAGTCCATTCATTTGCAGAGCGATTAGATTAGACATTCTTCAGGACACCAGGTGTAATGATGTACCTTATAAGTAAAGAAGAACCATTCAAGAGGAGTTGATCGGGTCTTTTAAGCACCTTAAACCTTAAACATTAAGAGTGCCGGCCCCTTCTTTGGTTTGTGTTCGACAGACTCACAGATGATAGAATTCCATCTGATTGAAGACTGAAACTCTCCACACCTTCTTGGTGCTGACAGCGTGGTGTCATGTTGAGTGAGCGGAGTCAGCTGCTGTGATGGGAGCTGTGGTGTGGCATGCTACAGGTTTCAGGTGAAACCTCTGATATCGGTTTATAAGGAAGACCGCACAGACCATTAGTGACCAGTCCTTGTCTAGTTGTGGGTATAAGTCCTTCTTTAGAAGAGACTCAGGTAGTTAAACAGCCACTGTAAAGTCTGCAGATATGTCAAAACACTGATAAGACTTACTCATATTACTATTCAGTATTTAGGCTGGTATTGGGCCTGTATTGTATACCTACAGGTCGGGTTACGCAGAGCACGTGTTTCTAAAAAAGCTCAGATAAGGATACAAAGCAGTAGAAAGTACCCTGTATTATTTCGATAGCTTTTATCAGGTTAACAGCTTCGTGTTTACTCTGTGAGCAACATCTGAAGGCCACAGGGACCAAGGTAAACAAGTCTCTAACACCAAAACTGAACCCTCCAAACACGGTGGCCTTCACAATCCAACTGCAGAGTGCAAACAATGTGAGATTATGTGTTTACAGCCAGTCACAGTCTATCAAATCTGGCAGCAATTACCGTAAAATTTAGAGTATAAGACACACTTTCAACACCTCTTTTGTCATATAAAAAGCAAGCTTAAAGAAATACACTGGTGCAACCAACGACAAGACAGGTATGTTATCACGTTCGGGCATATTACCCAGTAGATGGCGCTGGAAAAAGCTAGCAACTGCTTTGCTAGTGGCGCCACTATCTAATCAGCTTGTTCTTATCAATCATGAAACATTGGTATTCTGTCAAGTAAATTGTGGACTTTGATTTCACCAGGATACTTAAACCGAAGAGTCCTTAAAATCAAAAGATAGTGAGGACAGCCTTATGCTGCATCCGAGTTACCTCGGGAGTTAGATGTCGTAGCCGAAAATGACGTCACACCTGAGTTACCAGCGTTTCAGTTGCCTTGTCCTTGTTACATTTGGACAAGGCAAGCACTAAAATAACTTTCATAGACGTAGCTATCTTGTTTCAGGCCTCCGATTTTGTCTTTTTCCAACTTAGTAACTGAAACACTGGTAACTCAGGTGAGATGTTATTTTCAGCTCCGACATCTGACTTCCGAGGTAACTCGAATGCAGCATTAATGTTTTTCCCCCAAAACTGAGTGCACCTCATACACCTTACATTCCAGACTTAACAGTAATTCTTTAGAGCGTATCAAAGATTAAGGTTTCAAAGCTCGTTATATGGATAAAGCTAAATAAGTCATTTTATCCCGATCATTTTCAGACAGTGCCGGCTAATACACACCTGCTACTTGGATAAGTGTTGAAATGCTGAAGTTAATTTGCACCTTTAAAAAAAATGACTTGTGTTACTTGCACTGTTAAACGCTTTTTTAGCTGTCAGATATGCATACAAGTGTTATATCTAGAGGAATATTGTGTACAGCTACAACAAAGCCCGAGTCGATTTATAATGCATCGCCTGCCAGATACGAACAATCTGGGCCTTTTCCACCACCCAGTCAGATAAAAGTCATGTCCAAGTTAACGCAAGGCTTCTTCCAGCCCACTATCCTCAGTCTGGTACCCTGCACTGCCAGGTTTTGTATGACCTCTGCAAACAATTAACATTATTTCCAGCACTCTTGAGTGTTTCACATTTTCTGAGCAAACATCTGTTTTCTCCAAAACGGAAAAGAAAGTGAAGCCCTCACTCGTCTTTTGCAACATTTTCACACTGTAAACAGGTTTAGGGATTTCACCTCTTCTTCTTGATTCATGTCAATGAGGGATTTCACCATTTAAAGTAAAACACACACACCATCTTTGTCCTCCAGTATGTCCATAAAGTCTATCGTGTCTTTGCACCAACACTGATTGTGAAGTACAGACGTCTCATTCACTGTATTCAGTTGTGAAGTCCTGATTTAGAGGGTCTGTACATGCTGCACTCTTGTACCTGGTAGAGCTGCAGTACGAAACGTCCACAGAGAGTAACTGGAAAGTGAATATTTTGATATTTATATTATATAATAAATAATACAACTTTGTTCATAGATCTTTTTAAATGTAGAAAAAAAAGAAAGTTCTGCAAAAAGGGATAACTGGTTTGCAAAAACGCTTGAAAGAGAAGCAGCGGCAGAGCTGTTTATAAAAAGATATCAAATCATATTGCCTAATTTTGAGTATATGGAGTCTTGGAGTACAATCCATCTCAACTCCTGAGTTCTGGTCAAAGCACCGAGTCTTTAAGCTCCTGCAAAATATCCCTCTGCAGCACAAGCAGGGGAGTGTTTCACCTGAGGAGGGATTGGACTTCTGCTGGAGCTTTGTTTTAGTGTCTATTATCGTGCAGAGATACCATGATCTGCTACCTCTAACAAAACAGTTCTTTCTTGAAGTGAAAAAAAGTTTTCAGACAGGGCTCAACTTAGTCTTTAAACCCTCAAAAATGCACCATGATGTGCATCTCTCTGTAGAAGAACGAGGCCTCAGATAGTAACATGAAAGGAGTCCCAGCTGTCGTCTTTGCCAATGCCACTCCCGTTCTTTGCCGCTGTCCCGTCCCCGACCTCTCCATCTGGCTGTTCTCCGGTGGGAGTGGCGCCAGGCTCAGGATAATACTCATCATCTTCGTCGAAGTAGCCGTTCTCCATCATGCTGAGGCTGGAGGCGGCGCTCAGGTCCTGGCAGCTGCCCTTGTACTCCTGGATGGACTCGTGCAACGACCACAGCTGGCACAGCAGGGACATGTCCTGCTGACGCAAACCCACCTGGAAGGAACCGGACAGAACAGAAGAAGACGGGGTTCAGATTACGTACAGTTTTGACACTGCAGATTCCAGCTCACATGCTTACTCACAAAGCACCAAAAATATCTGAAACAAACTTAATACTGCTTAAGGTAATTTATGCAACATATTTCTGGTGAAAATCCCGGATTAATGTTCTCAAGACTCAGACAAGGCCTCCTTAGACTCTAAGTACTAAACTCTAAAAATAGCCCCAAATGACTTATGATTTTTTTCTTAAAAACCTAAGACTGGATATTTTGTACTCAACATCACTCAAGACTATAAATGCAACAAGGGGTTATTGGTGGTTCATGAGAGTGATAATATATGAAAGTAGCTCGCTTTTAATTAATTGATTTTATCAGCAATCTGCAGATGAAATACAGATAACTGGTCAAATGTTAAATATTAACTCTGATTTGTCAAGTAGGTCAATAATCAGTTGGCCCTAAGTTGCAGCATATCAAATATCAACTGATTACTTCCAGGTTATTGGTTCGTCAGAAAATAACTGAGTATCGCTTTAAAAGAACAATCATATATTCTCTCTTTGGTGCTGCAACCATACAATGGCAAGCGTCAGTGCTAAAACAGTCAGTTAACACGTTGATTATTTGATTTGATGACAATCTCTTGACAAAAAAAGGCTGATCATAGATTTATCTTTTAAGTCGTTTACTTAAGAGTAATGCCAAAACACTCCCTTTAAAATGCAAAAGGTATGTTGGTAGTAAATCAGCACTACACATGGGTGGGTCAGCAGCATTATGTCACAGCCACTGGTATGCCATTGGTTAGCCAATGGCATGTGCCAGTCCCTTCACTGGTATGCCACCAGTGGTTGACAAATATCAGCTTTTCACAGCAGAAACCAATGATCACAGAGCACTAAGTAATGAAAACAGGCAAATTCCCACAAACATTACATTATAACTGGTATATAATTCTCTTCTCCGATTATCCAAATGCCATTATTTGGGCAGATTTATCTCTCTATATATATATATATATACGCTACTAAACATCTTTTGTTTTTATTGATAACCTAAGTGCAACAAAGCGAGAGAATTGATAGAAAATGTGTGTTTCTGAGACTAGACCTTTTGCATCTATGAACTCCACCATAGTAGTATGGTTGTTGAGTGCCAATTACCAGCATTTTTTACCTCTTTAAGTTTTTGAGGTGTTTGTCAGACAAATTAACAAAGAGTGATTCTTTTTCCTATATTTTTAGTTTTTTTAATCCGTCAAAAGGAGATGAAAATAATCCTTTGTTTGGCCTCTATTTCACATTATGAGGCTTTTAAACTCAACACCAAATGAAGTCAACCGCAGGGTTAAAAGGGGAATTTCGACTGCATAGCACTGAGCTGACAGTGCAGTTTGAACTCAGGGTCACTGCATTGTCTTTCAAACAAATTACAGTGGGCAGACAGACATGCAAGTCACAGTCAGTTCAAACAGCTGAGAGCCAGCTCTGCAGACTGAGGAGTGGCTTACAGACTCTCAAATATAGGACACTGTCAACTTATTTTACAATCCCAACTACAAACTCAAAGCAATACATTAACAGCCACAAAGCAATCAAGCTGGAGTATCCTGGAGTTTGCTGCAGGGAGGGTAAAGCACGTGAAGTGCACATAGGATTTAGGTAAGCATGTGACAATAACCAAAAGGGGTAAAGTTTCAAAAACAGTTTGACCTTTTCCATTTAAACCTCTTCATATGAGGAGGCAGGCTATTGTTATGCGGAGGAGTAAACCTTAATAATGTAACCTAGTCTGGCTTTGGTTATGAAAATCCCTGCTGCTGGCAAGGGAGTGAACAGGGTGTGTATTAAGTGTTTCATTCTATTCACTCCTCAGGGAATTAAATAACATGTATTAATTCACCTAGCCTTGCCCCTCCTACGCTAAAAGGTATTAAATTCAGCTTACAATGAAAATCACTACAAGCCTAATGCTTTAATTTGTGTCATCCACTGCAAAGCTGCTCCTGATCCTGCTTTCTTTTGAAAAAAAAAAAAAGGGAGTTCAATGCCAGATCCCATTTATAAAATTGTGTGTTATTTTCTATTGATGAAAAAAAAAACAATGTCCAAAAGGTGGAGCTACAGTGGTGAAATATATGAACTAACACAGTCTATTCCTACTTTCGGCGTGCCTAGAGCTGTAATAAAAGCTGTAATAAACTTGACAGGTTTGATTAGAAATGCGAAAATGCTCTCATTTTAGGGCTTTCTCGGTACAATCAACATCAGTTAGTGTCTGCTGCGAGAAAAGCACTATGAACCTCAAAGTGGACATTTTATCTACGTTATGCTGTTTAAAGTAAATGCCGAATCAATAAAAAGCATTGTAAAACTTAGTAGAAACTTTAAAAAAGAATTAAGAGATGGGTTAATTTGGCCAAAAGCGAGGAAACGTCAAACTACTACAGTTTCATTAGGGAGTCCGGCTGGATAGGGACGACGCGTCAGGATTACCCAGCCTCCGATAAACCAATGCTGAAAAGCGGAGCACTTTCCTCTCGCCAGCTCATTTGAATACTTACCATTTCTTTGCGCAGAAGAGCCAGAGCAGCATCGAGGTTAGCCGGCTTATTGGCCAGCAGGTTGTCGGTGTTGTTCCTGCCTCGGCTTAGGTCGTCCTGGATCATGGTTTTCTTTACGTACATCCTCTCCATTTCTCTCCAGGAGCCGCCGCTTGAGTTCAGCAAGCCGCTCAGGCTCTTCGGCAGCGGGGGTAGACCCTCGATACAGGCCATACCCCCCAACGAACCATTCGTTGATTTACCATTCATTGTCTTCTGAGAAACTGTGCGAAAATGAGCGAGAAATAAGACACAAACTGACCGTTAAGTCCCTAAATGCCCCCTATGTTCGGAATAAACAGTCGTCTCGCGTACTAAACAACCAGAGCAACAGCCGTGGTTTTCTCTGCCCAGGGCGGCCAGCGACGCCACATTAAGCTACATATATACTTAGTAGTAGCATTTCCGGTTTGATTTTCAACATAAAAGCACGTTGGTGAAGTGGATTTTTAAACACATTGCAAAATTAAAAAATCAATCATGTTTTTACATAGACTGTGAAAAGAATAAATATAATATCTATATAGAATAGTATATACAGTCTATGTACTTTCATCTTGAATAAAAATAAAATAAACATTGTCAATCTTACATCTGTGTCTTCCCAATACTTTAAATTGAATGGCTATAAACTGGTCATTTATTATACATAAATTTTAGATGGATAGTACGAGATATACATTATAGTAAGTGCAATGCTAACATTTGTATTTGACTGTTCTTTTTTTGTTTTTTGGACCAACATTGGCTTTATGTAATTTATTTAATTTTGGAGATGAGTGTTTCTACTTTTATATTGTATGTGCAAGCCATTAAGGTGAGCTACACAAATTTGTTGTACACCTGTGCAGTAGCAGTAATAATTTTCTGAATTGCTCTGTATTTGCCTGTCTATTGATCAAATGCAGTGCACAATACTACCAACAAATAGCAAAAGGTCACATTAAAAACTATTCATATTTAAGAAGTATAAATCATTCTGCTGTTTTAAAATGAAAACTAAAAAGTCACTTTTGCAGGGTTTACACTTATTGTTGACTAAAACATCCAAACAGTAACAATCCTCTCAATAAATTCTGGGTTTATTATGACATATTTCTTATGACAAATGAAATTGGCCTTCAATTCGGTGGCCTTGTTTTTAACTGAGCTTTTGTTTTTTTATTTGATTTTATTTCCATGTGCTGGTGCTTTCACCTGTTTGTCAAAGCACTTTGTAAACTTGTTATGCTATAAAAATAAAGTTATTATAAATTCAGTTTGTGTTATTTTTTTCTTTTATTTTGGTAACAGTTTTAAGCCCTTATGAATATTAAATTATGTGAACTTGACAATGTTGGATTGTGGGTGAGTAGTTAAATCCGCTTCCTGTCCTTTTAACGTTGTGGATGCTGGGCGTCTCCCTACAAACACTTGAAGGGATGAAAACAGTGTCTTTTTTCTTCTTTTTTAAAGTAAACTACCTAAGCGGGAATATTAAAAAGTACCTAAGAATTTCCCAGACCTTTTTACATTTTCAACTAAAGAAAACAAGTATGTTCTTGTGCAAACAAAGTGCAATTTTGGTCAAAATATAATACTGTTCATTCAAGCTCATGGGGAAAAAAAGACAATTCAATTTTTGATCTTTAGTTATCAATACTGTATAGTTAGATTTTTCCATAAGAGTGTACACACGCAGAGCATGAGGTCATAAAGGGAGTGTGTGTGCAAGACAATAGTCTGAGCATGAAGGACAGATGGTGGGCTTCACTTCCCGGCCCCCCAGCCTGCAGCCCCGTCACAACAATAACACAACAATAACCTTGAGACCAACACACAAAAGCATCACACACTCTTCAGTAAAAGAGCAGCATGTGCTGTACCACACACACACACACCAGAGTCAGACAGATGGATGAAGCCTGAAGCCTGATATTCCTGATCGCTCCACAGACATGAGTTAAACTTGACTCTTTTACAGGCTGTTAGGATATCACTGAAGCAGGTGGCATCTAAAGCTCCCAGAAAAGAGAGTTTCCTTTATTATGCTATGCTGTTTTTTTCTGCAAAAGTGCTGCTCCTTCATGACTGACAAGAGGATATACTTACACTTATTTTATGTGGGAAATTAACTCCAAAAGATAGACACTGCACTTGTACATGATAAATAACAAAAATACTGACAAAAAGTAAGCCTAACTTTATTTTTTGAGTCTGTGTTTTCTGTTTAGATGCTCTGAGATGTCACCTGGAAGCAGGACCAGTATTTTGTTTGTGTCCAGGTGGTGCAGAAGTGGTCCTAATATATCCCACATCTGGCTGGTGGGGCTGAACACTGGAAATTTAGTAGGATAATCTTGTTAAACTTAACTAAATAAACTTTGTTACATTGGAAAGAAGTAAATTGTATGTTGCTATGTATTTTTTAAGGGGGAAAATGTGTTTTTGATCGTATAAAGGTATAAATGCATATTATAACATTTATCCTGGCTTTGGATTTGTTATTTCACAATATTTTAAATGTTAAATTAAAGTTTTCTACCACTTTGTTTATACTCAGCTTGCTTCCATACACATAATCAGGCGATTAAGTGAAACTGATATTTAACTGTGCCACCTTTTATTTCACCATAGAGCTTACGTCTTAGTGAGAGTTTCATCCTAACAGATATAAAACAACTGTTATGTGTCTCATAGTGTTAATCATATTTGACCGCTTTAATACCATCCTATCAGGGAACCATGTGACTAATATGCCCTTGAAAACCACATCCCTTCTATTCCATGTAATCTAGCTATTAAAACAATTAGCCATCAGCTGGCAGTCCACAGCTGCATGGTTTTAAAAGGACTAATGAAGGACAATCTGTTCAGTTCAGGGTATTTATGAGCAGACGAAGCTTTCACCACCACCACCATCATCGTCATCGTCACAGCCTCCTGAGATCAGGGGATCTGGCGTATGATGGCACCCCCTGGGGTTACATGTAACTCTAGCGTGCTGGTGTTAATCTGCCATGCTGAAAAGCACAATGGAATTACATCACTCAGCATAGGCCTTCTAATAACGGCATCAAGATCTGCTTATGGCTCTGCTGGAAGGCAATATCTTGCTTTAGAATCTGAAATGACTTTAATTACTTATGTTCTCATAAAGAGGCCAATCCTTCCTCACCATGAAGTCTCTTGATTGTTTTGTTGGATGTTATTATAAGAGCTCAGATAAATATTCTACTACTATGAACATATTTAACATTTATTTGGGTTAAAATCATGTCATCTGTAGCTGCTGCCTCGCCCAGCTAAATGTATAAAACCACTTTGAACCTGAAGCCTGTCTCTGGGATGCATCACTGTCAGAGAGGGACAAAAGAGAGCAAGTGTGTAAGGTCAGGAAAGAGGGGTGGCTACTTAGAGCAGCTGCTGTCACTAACATGAGGTTTTCCTCCTCTGAGGGGCCTCCAGGGGGGCCAAGGATGACATCATGGTCATTGTAGTAGAGTAGTGGTCGTAGTAGTGACAGAAGCTGTGTGCAGAACAATAAATGTATCAATGTAGGAGCTGTTTCTATAATAAAAATCAGAGCAAACCTTTGTAAGTGGATCTCGTGAGAACATATAGTGTACATTTTCCTGTTTTGGAGCCACTGGATGGAAAAACTGCTTCCTCCTTTAGGCTTCCTTCCTTCCTCTGACAGGAAACAAGAAGTCATTTCCCACTGTGAGACTGTGACAGTTTTGTGTCCTTCAACAAGTCTGTGTACATGAGAAAATAACGATGATAGAGAGCATCATCTCAAGCTCTAAACTTTAATCTCTGCGGTATACTCTTCAAATATTCAAAGATTTATTTTCAAGGGTCATGATTTGACCTTTCATTCTCAAACCACTGAACTCGACTTTCTATTAAAACTGAAATAAGTCAAACTAGGAATGCTACAAGAGTGATTGTAATTGTCATATCAAAATCCATCTTTTCGTCCCAGATGTACGATTAACTTCACAGGCGGATGCTCGTGTTGCCAGATGGTACCAAAGATGTGCAGAAGCAGCAGCACACAGAGGTAATTGTAATGGGATGGGTGTTTGCACTGTGTGCTTACACGCTCGGCCTTCAGTGCAGTCTGGCCTGCACAGACAGGAGGGTGTGGTCCTGACCAGCAGCTGGCCTCATGCTGTCCGACCCCTGACCTCCCCCTCCTCCCCTTTTCTGCTCGCCCACCAGCCCCGTTCCCGCTGCTGTGTCCTCTCCCTGTCACCGTAACAACTCCATTCATGAGTAGTGAAGTGCTGTCTTTGTGCACACTTTACATGACTATTGATCAGGCCTGTTTATGTTTCCTTGAGGCAACAATGACCATCATGTTGTTAGAGCTGAAGAAGACACAAACCGCTGATTATGTACTCATGAGGGGGGGTGGATCTAAAGGTGGCCATAGCACAACAATGACTCCATTAAATGTATGAAACGCTGGACTTTCTTATTGGTGATCTACCCATTAATTAAAAGTCACTCTTCCAGCAGGTAGAGGATACAATTAGCAAAAACAGTTTTGTCCACAGGGGGCGCCAAATCAGACAAGAACTAAAGGTTCCTGATAGGAGCTCTAATTCTGCGTTCTAGTTGTACTTGGAAGTCAAAACTTCTGAGCTCAGAGTCCGAAATTTACCTGGAACGCACCCCTGAAGTCGTATTCCTGACTTGGAGCGTCGGACTATCATTAACAAAACACGACTTGTCGACAATGTCATAATCCAAGATGGCAGCGCAGTGCATCAAGAGCAAAGAGTAACAGTGAAAGCTCTCATAATGTATTATTCATAAGCACTAGTTTTATTTTTGTGAAATTAAATAAGTGGTATATGTTGTAATACCAATATCTAACTGTGAACACGGTGCTATGGTGTTTGTAAGAGTAAAATACTGTCTTTTGCATTGTTTACAACTGGTATAGCTAACAACTAACAACAGTTGACAACCGCTAACAACAGCCGACAGCTAACAACGGCTAACTGTAGGTGTCCATCTTGGTTTTCTGACATGTTAACTGGAACATCGTCAATTCAGGTGTAGTGTCATTCCCAGCTCTGATATCCGACTTCCGAGGTAACTCGATTTGAGGTAACAGCATTAATCTGTTATTGTCCCTTTACTTTTCTTACAGCTCCCAACACTTCGAACAGGTTGGTTGCTCCACAAAAAAGTCAAGGCAATACAACAGTGAAAACTTTTATTTGGCAACAAAATTTAAACATGAAAATTTACTTTAAGACAACAGTAACATGTAAAACCCGAACATACAGGTATAAAACTCCCACATTGTAGCAGCACATGTTGTATTTTCCACAGTTACCATAAAACACAACCGTTCTAAAAATGTCTACATCATGTCTGAATGTTAAAATACATCAGCAGAATTACCCCTCAGAAAAAGGCACATCCAGACACTTCACTGTCCTCCCTGACCGTGCAGCATAAATGGTGCAGGAAATAAATAGCTTGAAATTGTGAAACCTGACTCCTACAGATCTGCAAAGGTCAGTCAGCGTCTCCTGCAGCCTGAAGGGCGGAGGATGTAGAAATCAGACGACTCATCCACCCTCAGAGGAGGCAAAAATAACCCTTTTAGAGGGAGAACACAGCAGCTCCTGAATTCAAACTCTCATTATTGCCTTCACTGCAAACCTGCTTTAAAGCCTTTAAAAAATAAATGTGATTCTTCGCTGAATGACAGAAGATATTACTGGAATGTCATCCTTAAAATATCCAACATTGTTAAAATCAAAATACTTAAGTGTGTGGTTCAAACTTTTGCAGCTTTTGACAAATGAAGCTGAACATTGCTTGTTTTCCTGGTGAAAACAGCAACCAAATAACACTTAATCATGCGACAGTAAATCAGCTTCCTGAACTTGCCAAACCCTGACTTTCTCCTGGCATAATAAGGCAGAAAATGTCAAACAGGCACTTATGAGAGGGGGATTTTCACTTTTACAGCAAGAACACAACCCAAACTCTGTTATAAAACTCCAGTTGGATCACTAAATCTTTCAAATCTCCAAACTCAGAGGGAGTCTGAGTGCAACTTCAAGTCAAAATCTTAAAAAGTGAAACTCCTGCAGACCTTTCAGAGGTTGCTTTTTATTGCAGTATCTCCTCTGTTCATTCAGGAGAGGCAGGAGTCAAGATGCTGATTAATTTTTGACTCCTGCACCTTCGCCTGGCACACAGGACAGCTGACCATCACTGCAGAGGAGGAAGAAGCAGCAGCAGAGGAGGAGGAGGAGGAGATGGAGGTAGTAGGTGTACTTGTTCCTTGCTGCAGTGCAGGTGATTTTGTCTTTGCTGGCTCCCTGGAGGCTGCTGAATCGCTTCCTAATGTCTTCTGGAAGAGGTCGAGGATGCTGGCCGAGCTGCCGCGCTCGTCCCACGGCCTCTTTCTTGAAACAGCTCCTGATGCAGCGTCACTGTTAGAGCTGTTGAAATACTTGGATTGTGTCGGTTTTACAGGGCTGCCTTTGAGTCCTGATGAAGAAAAGCTAGAACTGCTGGGTTTAGTGGGGCTAGATTTGAGTATGTTTGGAGAAGCAGCTGAATTGTTACTTTGCTGTTTCGTGAAGAAGGACGGAGCTGAGGTAGCACTTTTAGAACTGTTTGCTGAGTCTGTTTTAGTGTGCGTGATTGAGTTGGAGGTCTGACTAAGTGAAGAAAACAGGTCTTCAATAGACGTCTGTTTGATTTTGTTTGCTTCTTGATTCCCGCTGCTTCTGCTACTGGACTTAGAAATCCTCACAGGTGAGCCGTTGATGTTCACAAAAACCTTCGTGTTGCTAACAGACCTCTTTATAGGTGGTTTTGGTCCTGTAGAGGAGGCAGGTCTGACAGGGGGTAAAGGTTTAGAGATTGTGTGGCTGTCTGCACCAAAACGAACTGGAGAATTCAGAATTTTAGTGGGAGGTGAAGGGGTGAAGGGTTTCTTTGGAGAGGGGACAGGAGGGTTGAAGGAGGTTTTAGGGACAGGCACTGCTGGTTTTGGAGATGAGGAGGAAGACGTGGAAGGCTGTGACTTCCCTCCAAGAAGGAAGCCTTTGCCACTGAAGGGGATAATGTTCCTGATGTCCTGCAGTCCAGAACCTGCAAGGGGGGACAATAGACTTTTAAAGGCTGGCATGAAGCAGTTTCAGGGGGTTCAAATTAAAGATAATACCCAAGCTGTGATTTACAGTAAGTTACTCTCCTGATCAGGGGTCTCTTTTATAAACAGTGTATAGAATCTGTATTTAAGTGTGTGTTCACCAAAATCACAGAAATTAAATACTTGAAACAGTGTGTCTACGTCAATCAGCAACCTCTCCCACTCCCTCAGAAAACAGCCCCTTATTAAACCTTTATTAAAACTACAAATAGACCCCGACTCTACGATAAACTACTGCTACAGAGCATGATGAAGGAAGAAGCTCATCACCTGCAGTAATACCCGAAGGCTTTCCATTTCCTGGGCCTTTCTTCTCCAATGACTTCCCATCCTTCTTGCCTTTCTTGCCGTATCCCTCAGGCTCCTTCACCTTGGTGTAGGTCCCTCCACATGTTCTCTGATGGTCGCCCCACCAGGGGTCAAGTGAGGAGGGAGCCCGGTTCATGGCCCTCTTCACGTAGCCAAAGTAGGGCTTGCGGTTCTGGCAGGGGCCGTCACATCTCCACCAGTGCTGCCGGTACACATCCACCTCATCATGGAAACTGTGGTAGATCTGATGTGAGGATGGAGGGAGGAGAACATCTTAGAGTATCTGTTTGATTTCTTATTCTGTGTAAAAAGAAGCTGATTTGTGTGACTAAAGAAAACCTACAGAAATCTTAGTCCCCGTGGCGTCATTTATCCGGTTCATGTGTTTACAGAACTCAGGCCCGTGACCATCTCGGTCTCTGTTGTTCTGGGTCACAAACAGCAGCGCATGGATCATTTCATGAAGGAGGGTCTAAAGAGGAAACAAAAAGGTAACTTTTTAGTATTCTTCAAGAACGGGAAATATTGTAGCCTGGAAACATAAGACCCATTATTCTTTTTTGCTTGTATGTGGATCTGGGATCACTGTCATTCTTAAAGTGTCGGATAAACCAGACCAATCACAGTCGTTTATGTTAGAGGACAACACAGGAGAACTGCTTCAGGGTATTTGCAAACAACCAAGTGTTTATTGTTAAGAAAGGTACATTCCTGCTCGCCGTATGCCGGTATCTGTTTACATGACAGTGATACTGCGACAGCTCTTTTTATCCACAAGTTAAAGGAATATAGAAATATAACATATCAAAGTAACAATAATTGAAAGGAGTGAACCTCAACCTCACCTCTACAAGGTCTTTTCTTGGTCTGAGCTTGAGTAGAGGTTCACTGAGTCTGATTGAACACAGCCCACCTCGGCCCTCATAAGAACAAACACCAGCACACCTACAAGACAAATACAGAGAAAGCACAGGTTAGAGGAGCACGAGATAATTGAGACTGGAAACACACGCAGCACAAAAAAAGGTCTTAAAGGGATATTCCGTCGTAAAATTAAGTTAGGGTCAAACACACCGTAACACTGAGTTAGACAACCCCTCGTGGAGTGAATGTTGCCGACTGCTTGCCTCTCTAGTTGTACCAACTGTAGTAACGACCGCACGATAGCAATACACAGCGGTCTGAGGAGCCACACACAAACCTCAACCAAAAAGCCACTCTACAGCCATAAATAATGCTCAGAACAGCACCTAACTTCATCAACAGTACATATAGGGTCCCAGCCATAGTACTAGCCACCAAACATCTGTTTAACTTTGCCTAATGTCTTTAACAAAGAGACTTAACACAACTCACCTACTCTCTTCCAGCAGCTGCTTGTTTGTAGCGAGACCTCGGGTGAGTCCATTGATTGCAGCGGGGTTACACAGCTCAAGGAAGAACATTTATGATCATTTCTTTATCATTCCCTTAAAGTAATAATCACCATATTAATCATTTTGCAGTGCAGATGTGGTAGTTCTTCTGCCTTAGTGTCTCAGTCTGATTGCATTTCCATGAAGAAATGACTATAAATGTTCTTCCTGGTGCTGTGTCACCCCGCTGCAGTCGATGCTGGACTGGTCAAGGTCTCGCTACAAACAAGCGGCTGCTGGAAGAGAGTAGATGAGCTGTGTTTAATCTCTTTACGAAAGAAATTAGGCAAAGTTAAAAAGAATTCATGGTGATGTCTGTGACAAGTGTTAAACCAAGGGAGGAAGGTGCTAGTGGAGTTCCTGTTTACAGAGTCACAAACAATTTAACATGTTTAATATCAATAAGTCACCAGGATGAGAATTTTTTTCTGCAAGAGGCAATACTTCAGTGTGTAGAAGACAAGATATTAGCTAATTTAAAAAAAGCAAAAGTTCCTTAAAGAAGCTGTAAAGTATCAAATTAACATGTCACAACAACAGTAGCATCAATAGTAAGTGACCTACAGTGTCATTCGTGGGCTCCATTTCACTTCAACTCCACTCAGTTTCCCCCAGAAGAACATGTCATTAAACTCCAGAAACATGGCCCTGACATCGGGGTTGGGGTCCAGCATCTCCCAGGTCTCGTCCACGATGGACAGCGGCCTCTCAGGCTGAGCTGTCGGCTTCCAGTAGGGGACAAGATCGCTGCCTCCACCTCCTGCTACCTCCACCTTTCGTTTCTTGCTGCTCTGTCCCGGGTCTTCAAAACTGTTCGACAGCAATGAAGTCTCGTATTCATTGTCAAACTGCTCCTGAAGCTGGATGGCGAGCAGAAAATCTCCATCCATCCCAAACAGTGAGTCTGAAAACCTGGAGGTGATGTAAGTTTACGAAGCTAACAGGCTAACGGAGCTGGACCAAGGCTGATAAACACCAAATAACGGTGTCGCCGGGGATACATAACAGTCCACCTGAAGCGGATTAACACCTAAGTATCCAGATTTATGTCATAATTTTATCAAGTGCGTTGACATCTCAATTTTGCACCTAATCGTTATCTAGCTGTCAGACCCCGGGTAGCGCCAACGGTTGTTTTGTCCCGTCTTTGAAGAACAACAACATAACAGCCGGAAAGAACTTCAAAATAAAAGTCACATGATACCAGCTTGTCAATTCACTCAAGTAAAAGTAAAAGATATTTGAATAGGAAGGACATCAAATTACTTCAGACCAGTGGCACTGGTGGTTAAGTGAATAAAAAAACTCATCAAGCCACTTATGACTATATTTTCCCAAATTAATTGTTTTAATATAACTGACAAGATCAAAGTATGAAGTTATTTTCAGGAAGAAATCTGTACCTTTTTTTTGCAGCATTTTAGTTGGCATTAAACTGATTTGATGTTTCAAGTCATGTAAGATTGTGTGAAGAGGCTTTTCATTACAATTAAAGAGGTTAATTAAATGTAAGGAGAGAAAAAAATAGCATGCACCATTTTATTGATAAGTGCAATGAAAGGTGAAACATGATATAATATCTCAAGAACTAATCAAGAATAATTGGACCTGGATATATCTTAAAATATGACTTCATTTTGGATCTCTCAGATTAGTGTAGTTTAAAGTAAGTGTAATAAGATATTTTGACTGAAATTAGATAAATGATTTAGGTGATTTTTGAGGGTTTTTTTTCTAGTGTGTACCTGTTATCCAATCGTCGGGATGTTGGATATTTTTCTTAGATATAAATTGTTCCAATGTGCAAAAAAAAAATCACACAAAAAAGGCTTATAAAAGTAAAATCATTTATTTTGAAAAAAACAACCCGAAAAATAGAGGGGTACACATAAGCTTTTCAGTTACATTTCCATTAGCAAATGAAATTACTTTCAACTTTTGTTCCAAACAGCGCCAGAGTTTTTAATATTGATACATTTGAATAATAAAAGATTTAAAACTGATTGATTTCGATACTTAAAACCTTTTTATGAATCATTGCCGTGTTGCTTGTTTCTGCTTTTAATCTGAAAAAATAAATCACGATTCATTTTACGTCCGTGTCTTTGAAACGACTTTAACAGATTTCTGGGAGTTGTAGTCCTGTTTTTTTTGAGCGGATGTTCAACAAAAAACGTAGTATACTTGGGCTTTTTATGTTAACGAATTAAATGGTATGACACTTTAGAAAAAAATATTTTAAAAAAATAATATATTTAGCGGTACTTTATTTTACATCTGTGAAAAACAAATGTAGTTTTTGTGGCCATCCGGTTTTCTGAATCTCGTGACGTTTAGGGAGTCAACCAGAGTACAACTTCCTGTTTAGGTTCTCAGCGGCTATGAACGAAGGGGACTCGATGAACTGTCCTTCTTTGTACGTTTTTAGTTAATTTTTTGACATTTTTGTGTTAATAAGTTGACGTGAACAACATACAAGATGTCGGAAACGGGGAACAGACTGCGGAAGTTGCTCGAATCGCCCAATTTTGACCCGCAGAATTACGTCAAGCAGCTGTCCCAGCAGTCCGATGGCGACAGGGACCTGCAGGAGCACCGTCAGAAAATCCAAAACCTGGCCGACGAAACGGCTCAAAACCTGAAGAAAAATGTCTACAAGAACTACAGACAGTTTATTGAAACGGCCAAAGAGATTTCATACCTGGAGAGTGAGATGTACCAGCTGAGCCACATCCTGACGGAGCAGAAGAGCATCATGGAGAGCATCACTCAGGCCCTGCTGTCCACAGACAAAGATGAGACCTCCAAAGAGATGCAGGCTGCTTTCCCTAAAGAAACAGAGGAGGTGAAGCAGAGGACGCTCACTTCACTGCTGGAGAAAGTGGAGGGAGGTAAAAACATCATGGACACCCCAGGGAGACACTTAGTCTACAATGGGGACCTTGTGGAGTTTGATGTGGATAACATGTCCCAGATCCAGAAGGTGCACGCTTTCCTCATGAACGACTGCCTGTTGATCTCCACCTGGCTGCCAAACCGCAGAGGAGCTGTGAAGTACAAATACAACGCTCTGTATGATCTGGAGAGCTTCGCCGTGGTCAACGTGAAGGACAACCCCCCCATGAAGGACATGTTCAAGATCCTCATGTTCCCAGACAGCCGCATCTTCCAGGCGGAGAACAGCAAAATCAAGAAAGAGTGGCTGGAGATCTTAGATGAGACCAAGAAGAACAAAGCCTCCAAAGACAAGCACACGAAAGAAGAGGTGGTCCCCACTTCTCCTGTCAGAGCAGAGGTGTCCACAAACCCTTTCGACGTGGACGATGACGAGCCGGCAGGCGCTGAGGAAAACGTGGACCTCAGCATGGAGTGGATCCAGGAGCTGCCGGAGGATCTGGATGTCTGTATCGCTCAAAGAGACTTTGAGGGTGCTGTGGACCTGCTGGACAAGCTAAATGAGTACCTCAAAGACCAGCCGGTCACACCGAGGGTGAAAGAGCTGAGGGCAAAGGTGGATGAGCGTGTGAGGCAGCTGACGGAGGTTCTGGTGTTCGAGTTGTCCCCGGATCGGTCACTTCGAGGGGGACCCAAGGCCACAAGGAGGGCTGTGTCGCAGCTGATCAGACTAGGTCCTACTTTATTATTTTGCTTTAATTTGGTGATAATCACAAAGTTAAATGCCAGATTTCGTTTGTCGTGAAGTATTTCTGTACATTTCATCACAGGCTGCAGATCTTAAAAAATCATCCAGACTTTTTCAAGAGTTTATGTCACTTCCTTTATTCTTTTCTCTAAATTTTTCTGTAAACGTTTCATCATCAAATTCCTTCAGGTACAATATTTAACTAGAAAATATCAGTCTCCAAAATGATACCCAGGCGATATCCATTCTTTCTACCACATTACAGTGTCTGCAGTATGTTTCATTATTTTTCCGTGTGTTTCAGGCCAGTCCACCAAAGCCTGTGAGCTATTCCTGAAGAACCGAGCGGCCGCGGTCCAAACAGCCATACGTCAGCTCCGAATAGAAGGTGCAACTCTGCTCTACATCCACAAACTCTGCAACATCTTCTTCACCAGCCTGCTGGAGACTGCCAAAGAGTTCGAGATGGACTTTGCAGGAAACACGGGCTGCTACTCCGCCTTCGTGGTCTGGTCCAGATCAGCCATGAGGATGTTTGTGGATGCTTTTAGCAAGCAGGTGGGTGGAGGTCAAGACCTATGAGGCCAGACTGAGGAGAAAAAGCCTGTTATAAATGGGACGTCTTCGACTTTGCAAGATTTTACAGTAGCTACTGGTTTGCACCTGTTTAGTATGAATGTGCAGTTTTTGAGTGGGCAGATACTCAACACTTTCAGAATGATGTTCCTCTGTGTAAAGAATTTGAGGATTTAGTTTAGATTTCATCATCCTATAGATAGATAGATAGATAGATAGATAGATAGATAGATAGATAGATAGATAGATAGATAGACGACTTTATTAATCTCCAAAGGGAAATTAAGTTGTTGTACCAGTCCAGCACAATACAATTACATGAAATACTAAAAAGACAACAGAATGAAAAAAAAACACAACAACAGCATATAAACAATATATACACATGAAACCTTCAATATAATTCTTATGTATAATGAATCTTAAATAGAATACTTAAAAATAGAATACTTGGTATGGACTTACAGTACATAATATCGTTAACACATTGAGAAAATCTGGAGAAATCTCTGTAAAAAAAAAAAGGCGACAAAGGCCAAAAACCAACACTGGAAGGCCGGGATTTTTAGGCCCTAAGACAGCATTGTATTCAAAACAGACATAACTCTGTAGTGCAAATCACCGCATAGGCTCAAAATCACCCCAAAACCCTTAATCTGTGAAGATAATTCTTTGCCAGAAAACAATATTAGAGACAGGTTTTAGACCAGATGATGCCTTTTTCAAGGAAGAGCTAGAATATTTTAGCTACACAATACAAGACCACATTCTGTTAGTATCTCAACAGCATTGGCTCAGTAGTAGAAGAGTCCAGGTGCTTTACTGGCCTGCCTTTGGTCCTGACTTGTCACTTACTGAAAATGAGAAAATAAAGGCGATCCGAAACTTTGAGCAGCTTGAAGTCGTATATCAAGCTCAAATTGACCAACATTTACTTTTCCTCCCAGAAAAAAAGTTTTAAAAATCTCAAATTAAATGGTGCGCTTTTCTTCTCCAGGTATTTGACAGTAAGGAGAGCCTGTCCACAGCTGCAGAGTGTGTGAAAGTGGCTAAGGAGCACTGTCAACAGCTGACAGAGATCGGCCTGGACCTGACCTTCACTCTGCAGTCGCTGCTGGTCAAAGACATCAAGGCGGCTCTGCTCAGCTACAAAGACATCATCATGGAGGCCACCAAGCACCGGAACTCAGAGGAGATGTGGAGGAGGATGAACCTCATGACCCCCGAGGCTCTGGCTAAACTCAAAGTATGTTTCAGTCTTCAATTGGTTTTCATGATTGATCTTTTCTCTGGAGGTTTATGTGTTAAAACATTACTGAGTGTATCTTTCTCTCTGCAGGATGAGATGCGTAGCTGTGGCATGGGCAGCTTCGAGCAGTACACGGGCGATGACTGCTGGGTGAACCTAAGCTACACAGTCGTGGCCTTCACCAAGCAGATGATGAGCTTCCTGGAGGAGGGCTTGAAGCTCTACTTCCCCGAGCTGCACATGGTGTTATTGGAGAGCCTGAGGGAGATCATCCTAGTGGCCGTGCAGCACGTGGACTACAGCCTGCGCTGCGAGCAGGACCCTGAGAAGAAGACCTTCATCATGCAGAACGCCACCTTCCTTCACGACACCGTGCTCCCTGTGGTGGAGCGGAGGTTCGAGGAAGGGGTAGGGAAGCCCGCCAAACAGCTACAGGACCTGAGGAAGAGCACCAGACCTGTCAGGGTCAACCCGGAGAGCACCACATCTCTGGTCTGAGACTAATAAGGAACTTTAATTACTAAAAAGTAAAAGACTGATTTACACGGAAATGTCCTTTAGATGGCTGTTCTGGAAATTTCAACCCTGATTAGGAAATAATTGCTGGATTTTTGGGACAAGAAATTACAGGATGCATCACACAAAGCTGAAGCTGCTGTGCACCAACGCAACAAATATAGTCCCACAAAATGATCAGATACCTCCATTACTGTCTGTCATATTTACTCTTGAGGACAGAATAGTAAAAAGAAAAAAAAGGAAGTGCATTTTGTGCACAGATTTGTGCAATAAATTACTGATTTTAAAAACACATTTCAGACAGGTAATTTGTCATCAGACAGAAAATGTATCATTTAGTTTTTTGTACATGTGAGCCTGTTCTCTTGGAGATTTCTTTTAGAGATGAACGTGTCAGACTTACTGAAATCTTATCAAAATCAAACTGTGGATGAAACATGAAAATGACTCATTATGCTGTGTGAAAGTCTGGAGGCTCACTGCAAAAAACTCAAATCCAGCCAAGTTTATTTGTTTAATGTCTTGCCAGAAAAAAACATCATTACACTTAAAACATCTGACAAGTCCAGATATAAATCCTATTTCTTGTTGTGATACCCCAAATATCTGGACTCGAGTCAAAGTGGCTGCTGATGCAGTGAGCAAGCTTTTCCTGATAAGTCACTACATCTTGTCTTGAAAAGCTATTTCTATCCAGGCTTGTCAGGCTAATGTGGCTCATTTAAGTGCAATGATTTATTTGGGCTTCTGGATGAACTCTGAGTTTTTACACTGTGTTGATATATGATATTCAATTCAAACACACAGCTGTGATTCTGCAGCCACACACACTAAACTAAACTAGTACTGAACTAGTGATTAAAAGGGATGACTGAGATGCAAATGCACTTGTTAATGTTCACTGCTGTTATAGTGAATGATGATGTTTTAGAAAACACATGAATCTAATAAAGATTGTTATGGACCAGAGAAATGTTGCTGTTGTTTTTCTATGTTATAGTAGCATCTGTGTTCCTTATTTAAAGGGTGCAGTGCGCTGTATTTATTGTATTTTGATTTTTGTCCCTTACTTTGATTTTTCCCCAAATCTCTCAGAAACAGGGATATTAAAGTACTTAATAATTTATTTTAAATCCTATCAGATGGAATAAAGAGACTTTACTCTGCAGCTGTGCAGAATAAAAATGCTGCAGTTCAGTCAAAACAGCTTGCAACTTGTTCTAAATGCTGATAAAACAAAACTTACATTTTTTTTTTTACTAATTCTGAATCAGCAAGATCAAGTCAGTCTGTCATTGTCACCAGTAATGGTCAACAAATTGAACTTGTATCTACTTTTGAATATCTGGGGTTCTTGATTGATGACCACCTGTCTTTTAAGGCACATATTCAGTATACTGTCAAGAAACTGAAGCTTTTACTTGGATTTTATTTTAGAAATAAGTCTTGCTTTTCTTTTAGGGTGAAACAGAAACTAATGGAGTCAACCTTTCTTCTGATTATTTCTTATGATGATGTGTTATATATGAATGCCTCTGTTCAATGCCTCCACATGCTGGATAGTGTGTATCATGGTGCTCTGAGTTTTATTACAAACTGTGGAGCTCTAACACATCACTGTATCTTATACAGTGAAGTAAATTGGCCATCTTTATATGTGTGCTGGCTCAGCCATTGGTACGTGTTGATTTATAAGGCCTTCAGTCTCTGCTCCCAGGACTTTTGTCATTTTACTGTTCCTAAGGTATGAACAGAAATGGGGAAGAAAGCTTTTAGATTTTCTGCCCCAAGTACATGGAACATCTTGCAATCAGACCTGAAACTCCAAAGTCTGTTATCTCTGAATGTATTCATAATCCATTATAAATTCCATTACATCCAGGCTTCAGGAGTGCAAATGTTTGACTAGTCTCGTAAACTCTTTTAATTAATTTTGAAAATTCAATTATTTGTATTCTTTGTATTCTTTATGATTAATGTGTATTGAATTTGTATGTGCAGCCATTCTTGGCCAGGTCTCTCCAGCAAAAGAGATCTTGGATATTAATGGGACAAACCTGGTCAAATAAAGATTTTAATAATAATAATAATAATAATAATAATAATAATAATAAACAGTATACTGTGCTACATTTACTAACTCTGGTTGAAGGAAAATGTCGCCCTCCTGTGGAGAGCATAATTTTAAAAATACAGAATATAGTTGTTCGTGGGCCTGATTGATGTTACAACAGGCCTGTTTCACACATCAAAATACACATTATAATCCTCCAGTAATATTATGAGCATTTCATTCATTTTGACAGGGACAGAAAAATTTCCATGGTTCTTGTTCAAAGTGTGCACATGAGGAGAACTAGATCCCCTCATGCATAACCTGATTCAAAATAACAACAAAATACCAAATTAAGTGAATTGTTGCTGCAGTGAAACCAAGTTTGCAGCATGAAAACAGTCACTCATCTCTGCGTCAAATGCATTCCCCAGCAGCTGAACGTGCAGCGATGTCAGATTTGGATATTTTTAGAGCCCCGCTCGTGATTCCACACATGATTGTTCTCTCTGCTCCACAGCTCATCCCATTATAAGTGCTGATGTGATTGAGGGCTGGAGGAAAGCCTCCGGAGAAGTTATCAGCTTATCCTCAGAGAAGAAGCATCAGGCTGGTGGGATTATTCCAGAGGAGTTCATTCAGGCAAAACCCCCAGAGGAAGCTGGGTAAAGTCCTCGCGTGATGAAGAGATGGTAGTTTTGATTCTTCATCAGAGGAGGATAAGAGCAGAGGGAACATGGTTTTGGGGGTGTTTTATCTATAAATCTTGATCTGTGGTGGGGGATTGGACAGATTTAACAAGAGAAAGGAACATGTTCGTTTTCCTCTAAAGAGATATTTTCATGAGTAGGACTGCAAGTTTACAGCAAAGACAACCTGCCAGAGGTTTATCCATGTGAGCCAAAGTAAAAGACAAAAAAAATGGCTTAATGCATGTGAAACTTTTCCCCTGAGAAGTATTTACGAGCCAATCAAAAAAATCTTTAAAGCTCCTGTTAGGAGTTTCTGGCTCCTCATAAAACAGGCTGAAATTAATACTGATGCCTCTTTATGACTCTTAAAAGCAAATGAGGCCAATAAAATCATATCTGAGTCTTTCTATATTTGTTTTTAATGTGTGAAACCTCTGGTGTAGGGTTGGTGTCAGTCTGACAAAACATTTTTTATGGCTAACCCCTAATTTCCACCACATCTGGAACGGCCATGAAAAGGCCGTATCTGCTGATTGTAGCTGATTGTAACCAATCAAGTTAATGTGTCATTTCGACCGGCTTCCTTCCATTCCGCTGCGGATCGCCGGACTCCACAGTTTATTGCAACAGTTGTGTTTTTTCTGGATGCTGGTGCATGCCGGATAAATTCAGCACAGATTAACCCGTGCTGGTAAGGAAGTCGGGTACAGTCACAAAATAAAACATCAGGCTTCTTTTCAAAATAAAACACTCCATGTTTCAGGCTTTCAGGCCGTATATCAGGAGTGGGGATGAACAAGTGAAAGGTTTTTAGACAGCATTTCACCCCGATGAAACCATGGATGAGGAGTTCCTGATTTTAGAAGTCTAGAGGTGGATTTCCTCCTCTGGAAGGACACAATCTAGTGCTTTCATGGTTAGCCTCTGTGGCTGTCTTTATACAGACAACTCGTTTCTGGGTGATTGCAAGTGAATCTGCAGGTTCTTGTGAGTTCTCGCAATTACCGCTGTCTGCCACGAAATTCACCTCACAAACAGATCCGGTAGGAATTGGTGGATGGCAAAAATCGCAGCCGTTCCAGATCGGAGCCGTTCCGGATGTGGTGGAAATTCGGGGTCAGAGATTCATTGAGTTTGTCTGGTTATAAAGCAGGATGAGTTTCTTGTTTGTTAAAAATCACTATTTACACAAAGGCAGGGCAAACTCAGCAAAAAAGGAGGAGCTGTTTTGTCCATAGGTGGCGCCAGACTTAACACAAAGTGAAAGTTCCTCAGTGGAGCTTAAAGCCAGAGAATTTTTGTAGCATACTTGCTTCAGAGAAGGAAATGCTGTGTTTATGGTGGGAAACTTTCATTTGTGGTGTATTAATTTAATCACTGCATCCTTGCTGTCCTTGTTTCTGCTGGATTGTACTCCTGTAAGCAGCCTCCTAAATCATAAACAACTCTCTTTTGGCTGTTTTTTTAAGGGGACAGTACTGTTGGACATCTGGATTCTCTGGATTCCGTAGCATCTTTGAAGATTGTTTCACTTTCAGAAACCATTTAAACCCCTGAATCTGTCAAAATGATCATTTCACCAAAGCTTACATCTCTGGCTGTCACACTGAGCTGTCTCTGAGACGTTCAGCCCTGCCTGAAATTTTCATGAGTGCATATTCTCGAATGGCTGAAACAAGAGATTCAGATTCTGTTTAAAGTTGGGTTACATGATTAAAGAGATTGTTCAAAGTTGGTGTGAAAGTTTTCCCTTCATTTGTGTTAGTATATTTACATTTTAGAGGCTGTTTTTGATGTGCACGCTCGCTTCACCAGGACAGATGTGCAGCTGAGTAATAGGATGCTAACAGGGCTAATAAATGGTAAGCTGTCCCAGTGGGTGGGATTAGTGTGGCACCCTGTGGGGCCTCAGTCACGGCTGCTGTCTGGTCAATTAAACATTTAGCTAACACTGAGGGATAATGTCACACCACATAAAGGGAACAGGATCAAACTGATGACAAATATTCACACCGTTTGAGGGTTTATCCTCTCCAGGATGTTTGATATGAAAATATGAAGTCTTCATCGATGTGCACTCAGAGTTTCACCTTTGATTAATTATCTTTTTTATGATATATGAGCTTGTTTTTCCTTCCATGTTCATTTGTCTTAGACTGACAGGCAGAACAAATGCAGAGCATCAGGCAGTCATAATAAATGATCATCATAATCACCACCATTACGGCTGACACCATGATCGACAATCGTGACTTTTCTGCCCCCACCCCCCCACCCACCGAAGTTGGGTGAAAGATATAATCATTAAATTAATTCAGATAATCAGATTTTTACAGTTTAAACCAACCTCACATGTATAGAGTAATTAAAATGATCTTATTTAAGCCAGTTTGAGTTAATAATGTCAGTTTTCCTACCATTTTATAAATAAACTAGCAGAAAATTACTCACTGACTGTATAAAACAAACATAATCTTAGCAATCTCACCTGTTGGTTTCTGTGTCAGTGTGTCCACAATCACTTCCTCCAACTAAATTCTGGCTTATTACCAGGGGCATGTCCAGTAGGATAGCCAGGGGTGGCTCCAAAATATGGTTGGCCACCCCAAATCCTCAACTAGAATTTTCTTCTCTTTATAAATTTTGTTTAAGACATCTCAGGGGCATGCAAAATTCACACCCAAATAATACCTCCAAATTCAGCCCAAGCAAGATGCCAAACAAAAACTCATTTCACGGTTAAGAGGCATACGGAGGGGCCTGTTAGTGAAACTTCTTGAGAAGTCTTTTCAAAATCAGTCATCTGCAGTTTTAAACATTGATTGGTACCATATTTTTCAGTCTTATTTTGAAAAATTACAGAGGCCTAGACCCTGGCAACGACATAGATTTTTAAGACGTTTGAGGCCAGACTTGTGTCAAAATCAACTTTTTAGTCTATCTGAGTCATACAGGCTAGCAAGGAATTTCTTTTTCTCACCTTTCCTAAATGCAGCACAGATAATTGATTGGTGGACAAACATCTTCATTTAGAGCCTCTGTGTGTCGCCTCTCTGTGGTGTTTTCTGTACATCTTAAAAAAGGAACATGAACATAACAAATGTAAAATAGATCTGTATGATACTTCAATTATATTATTTAAAGGGATATTCCAATGTAAAATTAATTTAGGGTCAAACACACTGTAACACTGAGTTAGACACCCCCTTGAGAGATGAATGTTGCCGACCGCTTGCTTCTCTAGTTATACCAACTTTAGTAATGACCGCACGCTAGCAATACACAGGAGGAGCCATAAACAAACCACAAAGCCATTCTATAGCCACAAATAATGCTCAAACCACCACCTAACTTCATCAACAGTACATATCAACAGCCACAGCACTAGCCACCAAACATCTTTTTAACTTTGCCTAAGAACATTTATGATAATTTCTTTATCATTTCCTTGAAGTAATAATCATCATATTAATCATTTTGCACTGCAGATGCTGTAGTTCTTCTGCATTAGCATCTCTGTCTGATTGCATTTCCATGAAGAAATGACCATAAATGTTCTCCTTTGAGCTGCGTCACCCCGCTGCAGTCCGTAATGGACTGGCCCGAGGTCTCTCTACAAACAAGCAGCCGCCGGAAGAGAGTAGATGAGTTGTGTTTAGTCTCTTTGCTAAAGAAATTAGGCAAAGTTAAAAATATCTTTGGTGGCTAGTGCTATGGCTGGGACCCTATATGTATTGTTGATGAAGTTAGCTGCTGTTCTGAGCATTATTTGTGGCTATAGAGTGGCTTTTTGGTTGAGGTTTGTTTATAGCTCCTCAGACTGCTATCCTGCAGTCGTTACTAAAGTTGGTATAACTAGAGAAGCAAGCGGTTGGCAACATTCATCTCTCGAGGGGCTGTCTAACTCGGTGTTATGGTGTGTTTGACCCTATATTAATTTTACGCTGGAATATCCCTTTAATACAACAGATGTAAAAAAGATCTGTATGATACTTAAATGATAGTAGTTAAAGTACAGTATATGGTGAAGACAGAGGGGATAAAGCTTTTATTTGTGTTTGTGTGTATGTATACCTCGGCCACCCTTGTCTGGGTTGGTGCCCCTGTTGGTTCACCCCAATCAAAAAAAGTCTGGACACAGCCCTGCATGATATCAATAAAGATATGAGCTTAGTATTTTTGCATGAGGCTGTAAACAAGTTAAACTCTGCTACATAGATTATGAATCAAAACACTGGTCTATTTCATGAACATCAAAAAGCTCCCCACAGGAGCTTTAATGACACCAAAGTAGACCTATAAATAATGGCTTCTCTTCTCCTGAATATTTCACCATGTGATAAGGATTTTGCAGATGATGCATGTCCACATACAAAAGAAAAAAAAATTAACATTCATTTATGCAGTCATCGAATATCGGGGATGTGCTTGGGTCCAAACATCTGTTTTTTTCAGACCCATGTAAATTATCCCGATCAATCAAGCTCCCCAATCCCCGCCCCTCGTCGCGCCTGCGCAGAGCCTCTCGGAGAGCTGTCCCTGCCAGTCAGTGCTGGAGTGTTTTCACTGAAGCTTCTTCTCCTCCGCCGGTCCACACAAACAGACGGCAGCGATGGAGGAAGAGTTAAAATGCCCCGTTTGCGGTTCCCTCTTCAAAGAGCCTATCCTCCTGCCCTGCTCCCACAATGTCTGCCTGGCCTGCGCCCGGAACATCACCGTACAGACCCCCGAGGGTGAGACCCCGGTGCAGAGCCGAGCCTCGGGGAGCTCTGATTACGACTACCTGGACATGGACAAGATGAGTCTGTACAGCGAGACGGACAGCGGATACGGCTCCTACACACCGTGCCAGATCAAGTCCCCAAACGGGGTGCGAGTGTTTCCTCCATCCATCGCTCACCGACACTGCTCCCTCACCTGCCCACTGTGTCACCGGAGCGTCTCTCTGGATGAGCGGGGGCTCCGGGGTTTCCCTCGGAACCGGCTTCTAGAGGCCATAGTGGCGCGGTACCAGCAGAACCGCGCCGCCTCCGCCTCCTCCGCTTCCACGGCGGTGAAGTGCCAGCTGTGCGACCGTAACCCCGTGGACGCGACGGTGATGTGCGAGCAGTGCGACGTCTACTACTGTAACGCTTGTCAGCAGCGGTGCCACCCGTCCCGTGGTCCGCTGGCCAAACACCGCCTGGTACCACCGAGGAGCCAAGCGGCAGGAGGAGGTGCGGCGGGCGGAGGGACAGGTGGTAGCGGCAGCAGCGGCGGCGGAGGTGGTGGCAGTGGTGGTGGTAGTGGGGGAGGCGGCGAGGGGCAGCAGCCGCCCGCTACCGCGCGGAAACCTGCGACTTGCGTGGATCATGAAGCGGAAAACTTCAGCATGTACTGCTATAGCTGCAAGATCCCAGTGTGTATGAAGTGTCTACAAGAAGGGAAACACGCCAAACACGACGTGAGGACGCTGGCCATGATGTGGAAACAACACAAGGTGGGCAAACACACACCAAAACACACACTCTGGGATTCCCCCAAGAGATCCTTACACGGGGCCCACAAGATTATAGTTTGCTCAACAAGAAAGTCAACTTGGACCCACTAGACAACATTATGGGGAGTATGAGCGCAAGATAGTAATTTGTACAATTTGTTTTCACAGTTGTTCTCTTGAAATAAGCCAGAGTCCAATGTAAGTATCTTGAGGGAACCTTGTGAGCAAGATAATACCTTCTACCTGCAAGATAGAGGTTCATATGCATAGGTTACTGACAGGATATCGAAGTGTTAGCATAAGATGTTATCTAAAGGAAACAAGTTATCTTGTGCGCTCATGAAACTAACTTGTGCCTTCAGAATAATATCTTGTTCTCATGTGCTTGTAGGATCATTGCATTGTCTGTGCAAGATATTACTCCAGGTGTTGTTACAAATTCTGCACTCATAACCATTTGTTGCTGAATTATCATTCAATTTGTGCACAAGATTGTAACGTCTTCACGCAAGATAACAGATATTAAACTGTGAGCGCAAGATAATGATTTGAACACATTGTTTAATATCTTAATGGAAAAGGTAATCAGTTTGAGTCCAAAGAGATATCAATATGAAGCACAAGGGATAAACCTGTGCACACAAGATAATGTCTTGTGCGGACAAGATCATCATCACTTCTTGAGTGAACCAGTAATAAACTTATGTGCACAAGATATCAGTTTGTGGAAAGAAAGCAAGTTGTGCACCCATGATACTCATTTGCACACAATTTGAATATCATGAAGGAAGAAGTAATTATCTTGAGTGCACAAGATATCAATTTGTGTGCACAAGGGGTAAACAAACTGTATGTACATGTTTTACCCAAGCTTTGTTACTTGTGTGCACAAGATGAACATATGCACAAGAAAATTTACTTGTGCAAGATAGCAATTTGTGTGCACAAGAGTTGAATTTGTGCACTTGACATACAAACCTGTTTCCACAATATACTAACTAGTTCTAACAAGATATTTCTATCGCATGCACATGTCTTATTTTTCTGTGTGCACAAGATGAAAAAAGTGGACTCCATACACCCTCAAACTGCATTTATTAGGGCACAAATAAAACAGACTCTTAAGTCAGACCTGTATTTGTAGGAAGCTGATAGTGTTAAAGTCAGCTTTGTGATACCAGGACTATAGATCTTTCTCTTTCTTTCTTTCTTTCTTTCTTTCTCTCTCACCCACTCACACCCACATACAATTTGTTGGCCTGAAGTCCTATTAAACACCATTTCCTCAAGAACCAACGCTCAAACACTCCTGTGATTCATCAAAAACAACACCACCATTATAGGATTTAAAATACACCACATCAGATGCAAACTCTTCATTTTTTTGCACAAAACAGAGTAAAACATCACTGCTCTCTTTCACACTTAAACTCAATAACACTTGCATAAATACAGACACACTTCAGGGACACACAATCCCCCAAAAGGCCTTAAGCCATTTAGCTATTTGTGTCTCCATATGCAGAAAAAACACCCACACATAGAAACAAACTGTAACTGCCTGATGGGCCTTCACCAGCTCTCTGTGGCTGCTATCTTAACTTTAAATGTGAGTTTTTTTTATCTTCATCGTGCTGCATCTTTTGAATCCCTCCTCATCTGATATAAAGTCAGCTGTGATAAAGCTGCTGGTGAATACTTTGGTGTGTCACGTTTGGGGGAGTTAACAGTGCAGAGAGGAGCCCACAGTATGTTAGTCACAGAAAATGGAGCGAGTGTTTATCCGTGAGTGTTGCGTTTACTGTATGTGGGGCAAATGGTACATTAGAGCAGCCTGACTGATTCATCAGGATTTGCACATAATGAAATAATTACTGCAGGGAGAAAAGCTTGGTGTGTGAGCATTTGTTTTATTTGTGTGTGTGTGTGTGTGTGTGTTGTGAGTCATGTCTTATGGGTCACACTGCTTTGTGCTGATATTTAGTTGATTTCCGGCTCCTGTTTGTATGATTGGTAATTGATTGTCTTGTGTTTTCGTGTCATGCACAGGAAATAAACCCCTGCAAGTGTGTGTAGTGACTGCAGTGTGGGGAAAGGATTTCTGTGGTTTATTTAAAGGACATAAATCTTGTTAATTGGTGTTTTTACGTCACTACATCTCAGAGGGACAGTGCATTTTATCATGTTTTGATTGGAGGATGACTTTAAAACATGGGTATAGGGGTAAACTGGCCTCTTGGCTACCTAACTCATCTGCATTTGTGTTTATTAGTGGAAACAAGTCAAAATCAGAGGGAAAAAAGCCAAGAGCGACTCAACCTGTGCTTTTATGTTGTGGAGCTGTGCACTTACTGTCACATTTGTCACAGTGTTCACTGATATTGATGGCTCCATGGGAAGAACCACTTGATACAACAAAAACAGGGAAATATCAAACATGGTCAGTACTTAAAATCAGAAACTTCACATGTGGGGGGATTCCTGAGAATGCTATCTATTGCCACAAGAGCCAGTTTGTTAGAAAGCTAAATGAAGAAGTAAGCAACACATGCAGCCGTGGCAACAGTTAGCTCCTGTAGTCTTCCACGTTTGTTTACGCTAAAGTCACGTTTGACCACGAGAGATTTCAACAGTCAGGACTCTGAGTCTTCATGTGTGGTAGGGGATGAATAAGGGTTGCATCTCCCTCTATCCCCTCTCTAAATCTAGTGCAAGATAGCTATCTAACATGAGTCTGGTTCTGCTCAAGGTTTCTGCCTATTCAAGAAAACTTGCAATATTACACTGGTGTAGATGAAGATGGGATAAGAGGGGGTCTAATCTTACAGAACGGGACTTAATTTTGTCTTTATGTTGGGTTTGCTCATATCATGAAGAGAGTGGTCTAGACCAGAGTCCTGAGATAACACACTCCTGGTCGTGGTTTAGATGATTCAATTTGTCACTGAGACCCCTCCAAACTTGTGGTCTGAATTTAACTTTATCAAATGTTTCTCAACAAAACTCAGTCCAAGAGACATAATAAATTTGTAACATATAATCTGTGGTAATTTTGTGCCCTTCATAATTTACCAGAAAAACATTACTTTAAGAGTTGGATTAACTCTGATGGTGTTTAAATGCTGCCCTAAAACTGGTGAATCATTGATGGTTTTTAGTAATAAATAGATAAATGGGGACACTCTTGATAATGGGTATTTTCTATAAAATCTTAATTTTTTGCAGAGACTTTCGTACTTTAACTTAAGTAAATCTGATCACTAAATATCTAACAAACAAGTGAACAATATGTTTTTAATCTTAATCACATAAAAGCAAAAAAATCTGGAGTTCTCCCTCTGACTATTGAGGACAGCAGATTAAAAACACTCAGGATATAAAATGAATAAGCTGTGGAAGTTTAAATGAATAGGAAGTTTCTTCTGCATTGCAAAAAGTACCATTACAAGGTGATTTTTTAACAAAACTTTGACAGTTTCTGGTGTGTAAATGATCAGAAAGGCTTTGGTTTGACACTGGTGCGTCTAAGTTTGCCCAGAATTGAGTTTTTAGTTTGATTTGTTTTTATTCCTCCACCATATTTTCTCAAAGGTTTACGAGATGGTAGAAGGTGTCAAATTAACGCTGAATAGCACACCCTGCAGCATTTAAATGCATCCCTCAGGATCTGGCTTACATTTTTAATCTGGAGCACGGTGAAAAAGATAAACAAAACCGAAAGTAAAATCATGCATTCACCACTCTGTGGGTAGTATTTGTCTAAAACCAGATAATAACACCGTTCCCTGCCACCATCTCTCCTGTACTCTGCCAAAAATGACCCGCCAGCATCATTAAAGGATGATTAAAGTGATTTACGGTTTAATTCATTTTTCCACGAGTCTTTCATTAATTTAAAAGAGGGCTCGAGGGCCGAGGTCAGCTGGAGTTCATGTCCCGCAGGTTTAAGGGCATGCTGACTTTGCTGCTAAAATTTTAAACACAGAGAGATCCTTCTTAGTTTTATTGGTTTTATGTAACATTTGCATTTATTTTGCCAACCTTAAATGCATTACCCTTAGGAAACCCCACAGAGGGTGGCTGCACTAGGGGTTCGTTTTTCAGCATTCAGACTGTTTTTTAGTGGTTTAAGAGGTCATTACCATATTAATCATGAGATTTGGTGAAAAAGAGCCTGCAGGGAAGGAATTAAAGGGGTTTAAGGGGAATTTAATACTGCTAATACCAGTATTTAAGAGGCCAGTCTTTAATTTGCACAGGCGCATCCTTCACCCAGTCCATTTTTAAGGCCACCCTCATCAAAATCTTCATCACCCACTTCTTATGAGTCCAAATTAAAAGCCACTTTTGCATATGTCCTGCTAAATGGGTCATTGGTCCTAATCTCCCTCTTGGTTTTTTTGAGTCTCTCCATTCATCATTTATCTCTTTTCAGCCTCTTCCCTTGCCATTCATCCTTCTCCTCTTCATCCCTGTATCTTATTTACCTCCTCACCTCCCCCCTCTTCATTTACCTCCCCTCCCTTCAGCCCTTCCTCCATCTTCCCCTCCGCCACCCTGTCCCATAAATGGACCGTGAAAATCCCATCAGAGTACACAGGAATGAGAGGGCGTTGATAAGTAATGAGCGGCGTATGAATAAGAGATGGCTGCCACTTAGTTAATATGGTGTCCTTCACGTTGAGGGAGATCGATGACTGGCTGTCTCCTCCAGCCTCGAGTGCATCTCTGAGACGGCTGCTGGGGTTTTGAAGTGTCACTCAGCGAGGTCGGATCTGCAGAGTGTGATTTTATTTTGGTGGGGGGTGCTCCAGCTCTCCATTGTTTATTCTGATTTAGTGAGTAAAGCTTCTCTACACTTTGTCCTTTCATACCCTCTCTCTAAACTTCTTATTTCCCTGTATACTAAGTGAGTTTTCAAGATGTAGCCAGATTTTTAGCAGTTTTGGAAAGCTTAAGTGGAGACTCAACCTCAGAACTTATTGGCTGCTGTCTGACAGCACTATACTGTATGCCTCTGAGAGCCAAGTACAGCCGGCAGTTAGTGATGAACCACTTCCAAGTGAGATATCCTTTACTGTGCGCCAAAGTCCCATTAGCAACTCGAGAAGCTCCCGTTCAAATCAATCTGAATCCACTGTAGTGGCCTGCTGTCTCCAACTGGTGCTAATCGGACAAGGATTCAGTTACTGCGATAAACAGATATTATCAAGTGCAGCTAACAATAATGTTGTTAGTCTGGCGAACTTAAAGCTACTATAAGGAGTTTTATCATGTTTACGAAATAGACTGCAATTCATATTTATACTTTTGTATGATAAAAAAAACAAACAAACAACATTTAATGACTCTGAAAACTAGTTTTTATTTTCTAGCGCCTGAAACTAGTGTGAAGGGGTGATGTCAGCAAAGCAGCTAAAGAAACAGCCCTGTCTTTATGTTTAGCACATAGATTTTCACAATGACTGAGACATTTGACTGTCAGAAATCAGCAGGGTGACATTTTTTGTGAAAAGTCACCACTTAGGAATGTTAAGGACAAGTCAAAGAAAGTCTGCTTTGTCCCCACGGGGTGCCAAGTGAATGTTTCTTATTGCATAACAGGAATTTACTGCATCTACATAACTGTCAGGTCCTATCTTGTTAGACAAATTACGCTTAAATTGAAATAGGGTGCAGAGTCCAGTGGAGCAATGACTCGTGTGAAACAGGTATGGTTGGCGGGCGTGCGTGCTCTAAGTAGCACTTTAGCCACACCCACAATTTTCTGGAATTCAGCCCCTCCAACACGTTGGACCTTGAACAATGAGGTTTGCTGGGCTTATGTACTAAAAAGACCTATACACAACTACACCTTGGACTTGGATATTGTAAAATCAATAGAAAGACAACAATCAGGCTATTTTCCAGGGATTCCTTTGGGGTTTACAGCCTCTAAAGAAGTCCTCCCATAGACTGTATATAGAATGGACATCGTCTGCCTCCTCACTTGGTGAAGCCACCCCGAGAACAGCACCCTCTGGTGACGGGGTGCAGTATAGGTCATTAATCCCACCTCCTCCAGCAATCCCTATGGAGCTGTGGACAAACTTTAGAAATTTAGTACACAGAACATGAATTTTTCTCCCCTCTGCTTGTGATGTTGACATGTAGTTACTGTAAGACTGGTTTGTGCTCAAGTCCTTTTTTTTCTGTGAAGCTCCTTTTTTAAAAGTTATTGGGGGTTTATGTTTTCTATGATTGACACTTGATACAGCCTATGGGTGTGCGAAGATTGTATAGCTCACCAAATGTGTACAATACTACTGCACAAGTGGTGGAGTGCGTACAACGCTACTGCGCAATGTTGGTTTCAGGAAGTGGAGAAAAACCGCAGAAATACAGAGAGCTTTTCGGCTTCAAATCCATATACTGGCAGAAGGCAGAACCAAGTTGTCCATGGTACAGTCTATGAGTCCTCCAAACCACCTCATATTTGCTTGACAGGAAGAAGAAAAGGTTAGTTTTTAGTTTTAGTGTTAATCTGCAGCTCGGTGTCTCGCCCCTTTTACCCAAATATGAAGCGTCCAAATCTTCCTTCATCTTTACCCCTAAGATTAGACTCTGTTCATGTAAGAGCGAGTTTTTCACAGCACAGGCAGCAAGGCATCTGCAGCAGCAAACCTGTGGCATGATGGAGTTCAGGGGCTCTCAAAAAAGACTGTGTATCAGTGACTCTAATGGGACATGATGATTCAAAGTTAATGATGCAGAGAGAAAGAGGATGGAGACGGAGAAAAGGTGCTCGATGTGCCAGGACCCGACAGTCTGAACCTATAGCAGCATCACTAAGCGCTGGTCCAGGCTCTAACTATGAGCTTCGTGTTGGTAATTTGGCTGCGACACTTGTAAATGTTGTCCTGTGAAATTAAATATTCATGCATTTGACTTTGGGCTGCAGATTCATGAATAAACATGACGCTGTGCCTCCAAATCACAGCGGTGAAGGTCTTGCATGAATCAGCAAAAGACCATTTGCGTGTGAGTGTGAGTGTGTGTTACCTGGGGTTATAGACTGTGAATAACATTATGTCTCATATGTCTAGCTGTCAATCAGGTTCTTTCAAGAGTGGTAATGTGTTTAAGCTGTGCTTTTACATTGAAAGTTACACTGTGCAGAAATAATTTGCTTTGTTTTTACCATTTTTGTGGTTTTATTTGGAGCTCCGTGTTTGAGAATGGTCTGATCCAGCGAGGCGTCAAGGGGAAACATTTGGTTTGTCAGTAAATTTGGTGTAAATCAAACACTGGGTACACAACAGTGAAGCCTGAGGGTGACTTTCCCACTACTACACACGCTAATAAACACACACACGGGCTCACACACACTATCTGAAGGCATAAATATGCGTTAGTGAAGCGGATGAACTTTCGCTGAGGGACTGCAGCGGAAGACACACTGATCCAGTTTCCTCTGATCAGTCGAGCAGAAAACACACTGTCTATTTAAAGCACTCACACATACGAGGCTTCACATGTGCATTTCAGAGTGTGTGTGTGTGTGTGTGTGAGAGAGAGAGAGACCCAGCTCACTCCAGTGAAGAGCAACTCACTGTGGCACTGCTTCCAGTTAAAAATTAAAAACCACAAGTGCACAGTTGCACTTTCTGCTGCTGTCAGGATTTCATTGTTTGCACCGTCATCTTAAGATCATTTTATTCTTTCAAATGGGACAGATTGGATTCTTCCCCATTAATATTAATAACTCTGTATTTTAGCTTGGAAAGAGCTGTTTGTGAAGTGAGGCTGATAATTAATGTTTTCTGCCATTACCATATAAAAGAAAACAGACTTAAAAAAGGCAATTTGTGTTTCCTCTAAAGCTTAATTTTCACTAGGTCGGATTAGCCCCCAAGCTACAGCGCGAGCAGACGTTTAACTCTTAATCCTGCAAAGTGGGATGCCTGAGTGGAAGTGTAATGAGATGCAGATTGACCTGCTATCTCGCACATACCTTCACTCTTCTTTTAAAGCTATAATTTATATTTAGCTTTGAGTTAAAGGTTTTTTTTCACCGCCACAACCCAATCTCCCAGAAAATTAGGTTATACACCATTACATTGGTAGAGCTAACATGTTTCCACAGAGTATAATGCTGCCTGGACTGTGTTTGATATCAAAGGAACACTTAAATGAAAAATACAACCCAGGAATTTTCTTCCTTATTCCTATTTTTATCACGTTTTCTCTCTTAATTTGCCCTTTCAATACAGTATCCACATAAAAGACACTGAAACATACTTATCAGAGTTAGTTGTGTGTAGTAAACTGAAGGAGTACATTTCTCAGTATGTGCCATCTCTGCTTTGGGAAACTGTGCCAGCAGTGCCCACATTTACAAGGATGCATTGTGAGCAAGCGGAGGAAGCCTCAGGCTTGGCCTTGTTTCGCAAAGTGTTGTTTGGATATCTGAATCAGCTCGTCTCTACAAAATAAATCCTCATCCTTAAAATCCCCCTCAATATGTGTGCAGAGTGTTGTGGCTAATTCATCATCTGGAACAATATGATACGATTTGGTACGAATGCAACAGGTAACGACACAATACAATACAACATGAAACAGCATAGTATGATTCAATACAACAAGATAAGACAAAGTATGACAATAACAGGGTCCAATATCATATAACCACAAAAATACCACACAGTACTACACATTATTACCAGATATGATATGGTGCAACATAGCATGACACAGTCCATTATGGTGAAATACAAGAAGACATTGTACACTACAGCATGACACAATACAATACAATACACCATGAAACAATGCTACATGATAGAATCTGATACGATAAGATACAATAAATAAAAATGTGATATGATGCAACATGATACAATAAATAAAAATGTGATATGATGCAACATGATTTTATATGATGTTGTTATATACTATTAACAAGATATAATACCATATGATGCAATACGGTTTGCTTTGATAAAACACAATACAATATGACATGATAAGATTCGGTACAACATGCTACAATACAATGCAATATGCCATGACATATTACAATTTTATATAATACAAATAATTTAATATGATATAATACATTACATTAAAATACATACAATACTATATGATTATATGATATTATAATATATGATTAGATACAAAAAAATACAATACTTTATGTTACAGTGTGATACAATACAGTATGGTAGAATACCTTATGATGCATTATGTTACATTCAGATATGATAAGATACATGATGTGACGCAATGTAAAGCTGTAGGGTAGGATAAGTTACTGGATGATACAATATATAATGTTGCTCTACTTTATGTTATAGTATGTATGTAAAATTACATTTTATTACGTCAAGTTATATCGGCATGCATTAATTTACCATACCACTCCATACAACACAATATTAAATTATATGATGGGATACAATGGGATTTGATAAGGTAGAGTATATACCGTATGATTAGATTACACACTTTATTGTCCGTATGGAGGGATTTGTCTTAGTAGCTCCCCACAAAATGAAAAACAATGAAAAAGCAACAATTTACAAGAGGTTCATGCAAATAACAGCTTCTAATAGTAAAGTGTTTATTACAATCCAAGTCAAGACACAGATTATTAAACCATTATGAAATAGGGTGCAGATTTTTGTGGTAAAAAAATTGTGTTAATATTCAACACGATAATTCTTCTCACCTACCTGCAATAAAGTTGACACCAATTTCCCGCTTTTAAAAGCCTGTCAATTTTTCTGACACCTTTTGTAACATCCCTGTCTCTCCTGTAATTGCATTTTTCCAGGTGTGGATTTGTGCCTCTCTGTGTATTAGCAGATAAACTTTGATCAAAATATATCCTTTTTCCCAAGATGCTCGGCTTTCTGTTTCGTTTGCCCAGGTGGCTTTTTAAGATTTTCTGTGTGCTTCTTTAAAGATCGGACCATTACTGTGTGAAGAATGATGTGAGATCCGTACACAGCTCCAAAATGTAATTGCTCCCCTCGGTATTGTAAGCTGCTCTTAGAAAGCCTGAAACGCTTCTTCCTCTGTCACCTGATTTCTTTGTGCTGTTGTTGTTGTCTTCTGCTTTGGACTGCAAAACAAAGAAGCTGTTTTAGCAGAAGTTTGTTCTCTTATTTTCAAAATAAGAGCTGACATTCTGCCTCCCATATTACATTTCCTCCACTGACATTAAGTCTCTTTTCCCCACTGTCAGATACTGTAAGTCATGTGTTATTTCCTGCATGCTTTGGATCTACATTTCTGTTAGTGATTGTGGATGTTTTGGATTATTCAGCCTTCATGTTAGGGATTTCTATTTAAGGATTATCTCCATTAGCGTCACTCATTTCTGTCTTTGAAAGCAAGTAACACATCTATTTTCAGGTTTATTCCAGTCCTCAATTTTCCTTTTTTAAACACCACAACATGACCATGCAGAGTAATGAAATGTTTTTGGGTTATATGCATCACTGAAGCACAACATATCGGGATTAATCTTTAACCAAAAGACAGTCAAGACTAATGCTGTCTTAGCATTAACGTTTTCTTTCCCAGACTGGTTAGAAATCATGTTCTTGCTTTGGGTTTCAAAATCTGGAGGTTTTTTTTTTTTGACAAGCTTACCTGACTGGCAGTCCCCAGAAACTGATTTTTTTTTTTTTAAACACAGTGTTATCGGCTTCTTTAACACACTTTATAAACAATTTAAATCTTATCTTACCAATAGTATCAAGAGATTTTTAAGTCTGTATGTGTGAATGTTCATCTAGAGGCTATAACATGAATTATGGTGTTCCTCAGGGTTCAATTTTAGGTCCTCTACTTTTTTATTTTTTGATGCTACATCTTGGAAATGTCATCAGGGGGCATGGCATCAACCTCCATAGCTATGCAGATGACACACAGCTATATGTTGCCATGCTTGAAAATGACCCAGGGCCAGTTAATACCCGTTTTAACTGTATAGTCTAAATGGCACCAAACTTTTACAGCTTAACCAGGACAAATCTCAGATACAGACAAATCTCAGGTACGGCCTTGCTCTGAGTTAGTGGTCAGATTTGTTACAAGAACCCGTAAGAGCCCTCAAGTGTCTAATTATGCCAAAAGTCCAAACAAAGACTGTTTACAGCCCACATCTGTGGAACAGTCTACCAAAAGACCTGAGGGTTTTGTCTATCCCATGTATGGGTTATGGGGTGGGGGGTCTTTTTGTCTATACTTATTTTGTTATTTGTAGTACTTTGTGCAACAGTATGCTGTTACAAATACGATCTGAATTAAAGTTTAAGATTATAATGTCTTTTTGTGAGGTTGTGAGTCATCTGCATAGAGTTGTTACAATTTGTTTGCTGTAAGCTGCTTGTACCATCTTTCCTCGGATAAGTCAAATTTCAGCTCACATGCCCGCTACCAGGCAACAAGTCTTTTAATCCTTGATCTATCTTGAAATAGGAGTCTTCCACCTTAAATATTGAGGATTAAATGGCAGATGTAGTTGACTACAGTAAAGCTCTGCATCCTGCTCTGGGTGCTTTGGATTAAAGCTTATAAAGGCCATTTAATGGGTGACTTACATCCCAAATGGTTGGCTCTCAATTGTATTTTTTGTCTCTCCAAGCTAGTATGAATCAGAAGGGGATGCACTCTCAAATTGATGAACAACTTAAGTGCTCAGTTAGATGTTCATCAAAGCGTGCTTGGTTGATTTGTCAGCAAGTTCACAGATAGGTCAGCTCCTTTTTCAGTCCCTCCAGGGTTTTACGGGCTTTGTCTGGGATTGTTGCAGCCCTCCATGTCCAATGTGAATTTTTCTATTAAAAATATGATTAAAGGATATCCATGGTCACCATCAAAAAGCCATTTAAAGATGATTGGGCACAGTCATTGATTTATTGTTAAAGTGTACTGATCATTTGAACTTTTAGATTTTCTCGCCTGTCTTTGGGCTGCTCTACAACTTTATAACCCACCAGAAGTTGCTTAAAAGTAAGACAAAAACATTAAAATAAAAGCAAAAGCCCAAATTGGATGGGGATTGGTTAAATTTCAACATCATCACGTACTAGAACGAGTAACACAGAGCGCAAATGGCAAAGTTTTCATAAATTTACACTAAAAATCTTCATCAAACTTTCCTTTCAACTGGAAATGTGGTATCAGCAAGTGCGTGGTGGTGAGAAAGAAAGAGAGAGCACCAGATGGCTGGTGGGAGTGCTTTTTGAGGCTGAAGATGATGCAGCTCTATTCCAGTACAGTAAAATGATTGTTGCTCACGCAGTCAGGGGTTTGCAGGGAGGCTGATTTGTTCAGGCTATAGCAAAGCCTCGGAAACACAGAGGATTCCCTGTCTTAAAACCTGTGACATGGAAAATCAAGACAAAGATAATGTTGTACTTCCCCTTCCTGAGTTGACACATGAGCCGTGCTTTGATTAATCTGCAGTAATCATTCCTCTGCTCTCTAGTTTACATACATTCAGACATCTAACTGTTCCCACTTGCTTCCACTTGTGTTACATCATTTTATATTGACAATAAATAATTTGTCCTGCTTGTTTTCTCTTCCCCCAGGACTAAGACAAACCACTCTGACATGCATGTTACAATCTGAGCCGCCTGTGTGCTTGCAATCTCTGATTTGGTTTATTCCTGTTCATGCGTGGATTGAAATACGAAAGCACTTACAGTCATTCTGCTTAGGCTGGAACCTTTCTTATTCCCCTCAGCTTTAGTAGATCGAGTTTGGCTTCACGGGGGAAAAGACTGGTCTGTTTAAATATTAGGGGAGTGGTGCTTTTCTGGAGGAACAGTGGAGGAAGATTGTGGTTAAAAGGAAAAGTAGCAGTGTTAGAATAGAGGTCAGAAAGTGAGATGTAAAAGCCGTGAGCATCAGCAGCTGTTTAAGAAATTACCAGAGGACGCATATGGATACATAACTCATCAATTGCTTTTCTTAAGAAACTGGTTATTCTGATCATTTTATGCTGAGAAGTATGCAGACTCTAAAAGTCTCAACATGTTTCAGCTTTATTGATGACATGGAAACCTTTTGGATGTAGATGAAAACGCTGCGCATATTTCCTGGCTGCAAAGTGGAGAACATCCTTTGAAATTGAATTTACTGCTTCAGGCCCTGTTACAACAAATTACAGCAATTTTATCACAAAAAATAGCGGCTTTCATCTCTCCAAGACACTGTTACTGAGCTAATTTAAAAGCTCCAGCGCTGAAGTGTGCCGACCGGCCCTGCCTGAGTAACCTCATTCCAGATGGCAGCTCGCTGATCATGCCAGGTCAGCCTCACTCGCCTTTTACCTCAGGCCTAGACACACACGGAAACACACACTAATATTAAGAACCTATGAAGATGTGCTGTTGAATTAAATGCAATCCAGGAATCTGTGAGAAGCCTTGAAACATTGATTAAAACCTCAGTTGAAAATTAATCGAAGGAAATGAATCAAGTTGACATAGTAATGAGTCGGGACAAAGCTCAGCGTGGCATTACCAGACTTAATATAACAATGTAAATCAAGACAACACAATCCAACTCAGCATAGTGTTACTATATGCAATATAACGCAGCGGAATGCAACCTAATGTACTTTTATGTTATGTGTTGTAAAATCACATGGAGTAATGAAACATTATGTAACATAATGTGACATTTCAAGTTACAAGATAAAACATGACATAACTGAAGGTGATATAATATAACATAGCGCAACATCACATAATGTAATGATACATAAAGTTACATGAAATAACTGGGTGCAACATACCGTTTTATATCCAAATAAATTGGTATACTATCAACCATATTTATACAGTATTGCGTAGTAACAAAGTATTGCATTGTATTGTGTTGTGCTGTATAGTAGTATTTATTTTGGTGTCATATCTAACTGCATATAATTTTGCCATTTTATCTCATACTTAGTAAAGTAACGCAACATGTGTTCAGTGTTGTTTTTGGCAGGCATTTTAGATTTAGTTTTAGTCTTAGTCATTTTGACGAAATGCTTCTTCGTTTTAGTCCCATTTTAGTCATTTCTATCCTTGATAGTTTTCGTCTAGTTTTAGTCCGACCAAAACTCAAAAGGTTTTCGTCTAGTTTTAGTCGACGTAAAGGTGCCTTTTGAGGTTCGTGGTGTTCTTTCCCGACAGTTTGAAGCATGAGGAAGCTTTGGCTCCACAACTGTCGTCTGTCTCGTCTCCCCGTCCCGTGTTTTATTGTCACTTTTATTTTATTGTCACTTGAACTGTATCTGAAGTAGGACCAAAAATCATCCCTCTTTTTTCGGCCACCGGGCACCGCTGCTGTGCCTGCCGCCACGGTGTGTGTGTGTGCGCGCCTCGTCCACCTGCCGCTCTGTGTATGTGAATGAGTGTGTGCGCGCAGCTGTGCGCGAGCGAGGTTTTTGGTGCGTGTGTGATGGGGGCGTGACTGTTAGGACAAAAAAAAGCATGTTTTGAAACTTTGTCCGTCCACCTAATAACAATTTAGTCTCGTCTCGTTCTCGTCTGACGAAAATGAATATAATTTTCGTCACATTTTAGTCTTTACAGAGCTTTGGTGGCGTTCGTCTTAGTCTCATTTTCGTCAAGGAAAAAAGGGGTCTGACGTCGTCATTTAAGTTTTCGTCCTGCCTGACGAAAACAACACTGCATGTGTTGTAGCATAACCTAAAGTAACATGACTAATGTAATGTAACAAAACACAACACAATGTAACAACATAACACAACTTATCCCAACAATACGCAGTATAACAATATTTTACGGGATGTAAAAAGAATTAATGAAACATAATGTGATGTGACGTGACTTTGCGAGACATAACTTAATGTAACATAACATGTCATGATGTAAAGTAACTTAGAGTGGCGTGATGTCAAGTAGCATAGAGTGGCGTAACGTAAAGTGACAGAGAGTGGCATGACAAAGTGACATAGAATAGCGTGATGTAAAGTGGCATAGAGTGGCGTGACGTAAAGTGACATAGAGTGGCGTGACATAGAGTGGCATGACATAGAGTAGCGTGACATAAAGTGGCATAGAGTGGCGTGTTGTAAAGTGATATAGAATAGCATGACGTATAGTGGCATAGAGTGGTGTGACATAGAGTAGAGTGACATAAAGTTGCATGTAGTGGCATGATGTAAAGTGAAATAGCGTGGCCTGACATAGAATAGCATGACCTAAAGTGGCATAGAGTGGCGTGACATAAAGTGGCGTGATGTAAAGTTAGACGATGTGAAGTGATGTGACGTAAGTGACAAAATGTAATCAAAATTATTAGCGTCAACAGCTTGGTGGTACACTATTAGAAGGAGCATGTTGAAGTTATTCCTCAGAAATATATCAGGTGATGACTTGCAGAACTGATTGCATGTCAGTTTCCCAGCATTCCCTCTTAAATGTCCAAAAGTTTGTGTTCTTGACCCCAACTCCTCAGTCTTTGTCTGTCCAAGTGTTCCCAAGATTCCTCCAAAGGCAAATTGTACATTTTTTATGAATGAATGTGATTGTTGGGTGCTTTCCGATCTGTGTTTGAATGTGTATAAAGCTTGCTTTGAGAGTAGGAAAGTGGTTCATAAGTTCGTCAGTGTACAGATTTGTTTCATGTTTGTGCTTGGGCTGACCCTAATCAGGTCAGACGGACTTTTGTTACAGCAACAGGGAGCCAAATACATCTGTCTGAACAAATAAAACCCAAGCTTACAGATTCTTCAGAGGAAAACTGCTGCAGATAAAAAAAAATAGTCATAAAATTCCTTCTGTGGCTTCAGGGAGAGCTGAACTAAATCTGAAAATGCCTCAAGTAGGGCCACATGAGAGCAGAGGCAGCTTGAGGCTTCTGCTGCTGCTGGCACAACACACTAACATCTCAAACTCTGCAGTCAAACGTGCAAGTGTATTGTAAGCCATATATGTTTTCCAGAGAGAAAATAGTGTATTTTTCCAGTTACTAATAAAGTCTTTCAGTATCAATGTCACTACTTCAGCTTTTTAAGAGGATTTAGGATGCAGAGTCTAATCTTTATACTGACCTTGAACCTAAAACCGAGTATTAACCCTGAAATAAATGTTTCACCTTTCAAGAGACGGATTTTTGTCCACACATGGGAGCTCAGCGACCATAATATGACTGCGTTAACAGATTTCTGCCTCACAAAGTCATGACATGTAGCACACACACACGTGCACACACACACTGGCGACGTAGTAACTCAAGGCTGTGCTGCAGGACTTTTATGTTGCATGTAGGTTAATGCACACTCTGCCACACTTCCTCTCCTCTGGCTCAAATAAGCTCTGCAGAGATGATGTGTGTGTGTGTGCGGCTGTCGTTAACCCAGAATTTGAGAGTGTGTGTTTGTGTGTGTGTGTGTGTGTGTGTGTGTGTGTAAGGGGGGGGGGGGGGGGGGGGGTATTCGGGATCTATTTATGGTAACAAACCAAGTGCTGATGTCAGACCCCGGAGGAGCATGGACATTCAATGGTGATACAGTGTGCATTGTTACTATGGCAACAAGCTTCTGCTCATTCATTAGGGAAGCCAAATAAATTAAACAGCAGATTACATGCCTATAGATGAGTCCTGTGTGAGTATCAGCGCCTGCTTTGGTGCATTTCTCAGCCTTTAACGCCATCAGCAGTGGAAGAATTGTTCACAGAAGGAACTGATAGTCAATAATAGATTGATCATCTCCAACAATCCTCATTTGCACAGTTTTATGACAGTTAAGCTTCGGGCGATCTACCTACTCTATGCATTTATTAATATAGAAGATGCCCTGATCAATTATTGATCTTAGGGGCTGTTCGTCTTTGCTCCGCAGCACTTTTGTTGCCCTGACGCTCTCCTCTGAAGCTAGCCCCCCTGCGAGGAAAAGTCAGAATGATAAAACCATGCTTCCTTTGTCCTCCTGGAGCTCAATCTGGTTATTCTGTTTAGGTTTATCTAAGAGGACTGTGGGGGGATCAGTTTCTCTGGAGAGGATGTGACTGTTTTGTGCTCCGGTTTGAAAGATCTCTTTATAAGAGGCAAAATGGGAGTATTTGAAGCAGCTTTTCTTCTGCTGCAGAGGCTCTGTTTGGATTTAGTGGTATATAAAGACACTGTTAGATCAACTTGAAATGATGTAAAACTAATGCTCCGTATTTTATGGTGAATTAAAGACAGGAATGCCTTAAAAAGTTAATGAGAGTGTGAAAGGCGCTGACTCATGAAGCAGACTTTGCACTTGCAGAGAGGTCTGTTTCTGTCTTTTTGCACAGCTGCACTGGACACATCTGACCACTGAACCTTACGTTTGAAATATTAATGGCTTACATATAGATGCTTAAAAAGATGCATATTGCAGCTTTCATTGCATTAAGGCTTGCTGCTGTATATCTGAATAACTTCTGCTCCATATGCTGTACTTTCTGGGTTAGCATTGGCAACATTACTAACTCAGCAAGTCCATTAGCTGAAACGCATATGTTCTATGATACAGGGTGCAAATCTGTAGGTTTCACTCAGTGAGAAAGCTGGTAAGACTTTTTTTAGTGACTAAAATTGATCTACTGTTAGGTTAAGCAATCCACGGACAAAATGACCGCCATGGAGATATGCAAAGATGTAGACAATGTGAAGAGAAATCACATGCAAAAAAGAAATGCAGTAAATCAAGACAGACAAACGGGAATACTCCAAGTCTGCAGGGGGCGCTGTGTCTGCTTAGCCTTGTCAAACACTGTATACGGTATATAAGACCAAAAACACTAACGCTTATATTGTTTTTGTGAGCTTTAGTGGTTTCTACTGCAAAATGACAATCCTTAGCATGGTACAAACTTGAATAAGATGTAGATGGTCCTTTGAAACAAGGTCTTATACCATGTACACCAAACGCAAATGACTACCCATCAGAGAGAAACACACAAAACTCAAGGTTCACTGCCGTGGAGTGCTAATGAAATCTAACATTTCATCAGAGACAGTTGGCCAAAAATGAACAGGAGATCCATTTAAAAATTAAAGCTGTTGCAAAAGTATCACCAATAAATTGCATGACAGGGATTAGTAGACCTGTCTGTCCAGCATATAGACTTGGTATGAATAGATATGTGTAAGATCCGTGGGACACCTTTGTTGTTTTGTTTATCAATCGCTATGACACAGGCATTTCGACCAATCAGTAGCTTATATTCCTATACGATTAAAAGCTTTTCTTTTTAAATATATATATCTCCTGGTATTCAGAGTCTTCCTGCTCTATCCTCCTTAAGGTTTTTTTTATTCTTTTATATCAAGCTGAAGCCAAATGCTTTATTGGCACTTGTTCCGTGATTCATTTCATCACTGTTTATGTGTGAGAACCGTTCACTCTGAAGCTGTTGTGCAGCAGCTCACTCTGGTGTGCAAACCTTAAAAGGCTGTGAAGCAGAGGAAGAGGAGGAGGAGGCTAGGGTTGTGTGCTTGTGTGGCGGTAGATGAGAGGATGAAGAGGAGGAAGGGGAGAGGAGATTGGTTTTGACCTCCAGCAGATGTGAAACACTAATACTGTAATACAGCTGGCTGACCACACCGAGGGGGGGAAATAATATTTGTTCCAGTGGAGTAATTGAAATTGTAGTGTAGAAAAAGTGAATTATAGGTACAGGAATTGCTTCTTTACTTATCTTATATACACTGAAAATCTTTTCTGTAAAATAAGGGTGGTACAAACAATCAGGCAGCCACACGAGGAGAGAGGAGAGAGGAGAGCAGGTTGAGGAGCAGGAAGAGGAAGGTGTCTCAGCGGTGTAGCGTATCACGTGGTAAATAAGTTGCCATTCTAATCAATGCAGCGAAGCATCCAGGACGGGTAAGCAGTGTCGCAGCATCGTATGGAGAGCAGCACTGCTAAAGATATGCGGCGAGTCTATTTTTGCTGCTCTATGCTTCCAATGTGCGTCAATCCATACAGAGAAGATCGTTTTGGACAGGAAGTCAAGCACGAAAACTGCGCATGTCATCCAGTATTTCAAAATAAAACCCCATATGCGGACTCCCGTCTGTGTATCAGTTTGTGTAAATGAGAAAAACTTTCTGGTTATGGATTTATCAGTAACACAGAACAATCAGATGGTCAACTGCTAATATCTGTGGACCCCAACAGGACTTTTAACTGCTAACTCTGTCTGAAGGTAATGGCACAGCATATAGGAGCATAGTTCACAACAGAAACAGAAACTGTAAAATCACGTTGCTTTTTCACATACAGTAGCGGCTCAACGGTCATCGAATAATATCTGAATTAGTTGGAAATAGACCACAGAAAGGCAAAACAACCTGTTGTGAGCATGTTGTTTCCTTTATACTAAGCCTAGCCGACCAGGGCTGCACTACGTTGTTCCCTTGCTCCAAATACGCATCCTGTATGCAACACCCAATACCCTGCTTTACAGAGTAAATACGAAATGCGCTTAATATGGATCCTGTATGTTTTCAGCTTTTGCCTGATAAGAGAGAGGCTGCAGCGATCAAAAGCGCTTAGGGGCCAACAACCGCCAGACTAAAAAGTGAGAGACTCTGAATCATAATAAACTACAAGCCCAAGTCTTGACGTTAGGATGGTACACACAAATATTCACACACCCAACTGAACAAGACCTCTTGGTGGTAAAATCTTGTAGCGTGGGCCAAGCTTGATTTTATGGGCAAACAACAGCAGACTCCTTTGTAGGCTTTTCGATGCCTTAAAGGTTCATAATTGAAATAATAATAATATGAAACATATGAAATATTTTTCGCCTGAAGCTAGAGTAAAGGATTATCCTCCAACACAGAGCTGTTAGTGTGCATCATGACACACAGAGTGGAGACTGTGGAGGCAGCTGCATCTTACTATATCAGGAACTCACTCTGCAATCTGCCAATGACTCACTTTGGCTGCTCATGTGGTGGGAAGTGGGTTTTTTTTCTCACATTGTGCAAAGGATCTTGAAGTACCAGAGAAACATTTTGACCAAATGTGCTGTTTAATTTCGGAGATTGAATGTTAACTTTGCTGCGCAACGAGGAAGTCGGTTTTCATTTGAGGGAAGTGGATTAATTCTGTGCTGCTTTCCTCATTACTAAATTGTCAGCATGCCATGGTGCAGAGCCTTATTGCAGGAGGATAAGATTTGATTTGCTAACTAATGCCAGCTTCTTCAACAACCACTTATTCAGTTTTTACTCGTAAAAGAAGACCTTTCATCACCTCCATGTACTCATTTGAGAGACTTTTATTTGGCAAGAACATCTCTGTTAAAAAAAGAGGAAGTGGGACCGAGGTGTTAGCGATAATTGAAAACTATACAGAGGTCGACATAAAAGGCCTTAAAATGTAAATGAGACTGAATAAAAAGGGGAGGTGGGATGTAATCGAGGGGAGTTCAGCCCCTCCTCCCTGTCCCCTGGGTGTGATTTTGACAAGGTCAGCACCGCCTTTAACCATCCCCCGGCTGACAGCCAAACACATCAGAGCTCCCCATTGTTCTCCTGATGTTCATATTCACCCGAATCTTCTCCCTGAAATTACTCACTCCAACTGTTTCCATGTGACCTTTGCAAAGTTTCTGAAAGTAACTGAAAATGAGACAATTATCCTTCGGCACATTAAACCTAAAGAGCCTATAGCCTCTTTCGGATACAGACTCTTGACATTTTCTAAATAATTTCTGGTCATTTAAGGTCCTCAGACACCAAGAATTTGCATTTTATGTATCTCACAGCAGTTTGTTAGCTCTGTAAAGAAGAAGGACTGTTTTAGGTTTCCCATATTGACCGTATATAAAGATAAATGACCTTCCTTCAAGGGCTGGGCGGTTAATTGAATTTCATTTTAAACTGGCTCCCTATGATCATAAAAATAAGATAATCGAGACATAACGATTTCCGTGCTGCTCGCTGTGTTACACTCGTTTTTTCCTTTATCAGCGGACCTTCCCTTTCTTCCTGCACAGTGGAGTGTCAGCTCAACCCTTTCTCTAAAAAAGCTCTCACTTTCATGTCATCACAATTAGCTCAACTTGATACACAGCGAGGTTTGGGAGCACGGGAAAGTTGCAGATCCTGCCAAAGTTCATCCTCAGGACATTGTACTACATCAGTACAAACTATAAGGCAGTGACAGGTGTAGAGAGGAGAGCAGGAAGAGGAGCAGGAGGAGGCAGGTGTGTGTTTCAGGGACAGAATGAGCCTGACAAGAGAGAAGCTGTAACAAGCAAACAGCTACTCGGCCAGTAAGTGCCTTTTTCGACTGGTTGATTATTACGAACAGCACTGGCTGGTGGTCAAAATCATCTAGTCGAATACTCGGTGAGTGACATCCAGAATCTAGCATGTTTTGTAAGTGCTTGCATCTTTCTTTGAGCGCCATCTTCTGGGCAAAATACTGTAACACAATGTAATACCTCTCTGTATTTTAGACTGGTGTCTTAGTTACTCTTAAGTAAAAAGTGCAGCTCACTTTGAGATGACACTAAGGCGTTAAAAGTGCATCTGAATAGAACATTTTATATAAATGAAGCTAAATGTAATGAAAAAAAAAGTTAAAGTTTGACCATGTTCAATCTGTTAATATGGAGGAGCTAGGCTCAATGATATATACTGCAGCAAACCAGGAGGAGCATCCAAGTTATGGCTTTACTTTTTAGGAGATGTTATGCCATCAATCTTTAAATAAAGTCTATGGTCACTCACTGCAATATGTAAAGATATATTGGCTATACAAATACAAGAATGTTAAACAATAGCGACAAATGAGGTTTAGCGGAGTCTGTTTAAGGTTGTTGTGAACAGATTTGACCTTTTGTGTCCACACATGCTGCTCTCTGAGGCAGCGTAGAGGAATTTCCAGGCAGGTGTGAAAGGCCCTTTTGAATAGTTTTTTTTTTTCTATGTGTGCATGCTTCTTTCATCTGAATATCTGAATATGATGTGAGGTAAGTGTTTTAATTAGATCCCAATAATAGTTCCTATTTTATCTACTTAAATCTCCTCTGAGAGCTGACCCCAGCTCAGGTAACCACCGCTTAACTTCTCCCTTCCCACAGTTATTAGCTGTCTCGGCACGTCCACAGAGTCCACCTGGAGAACTTAATCTCCCAGCGGTGACCTACATAAGGATGAGGTTTTGGTCTCGTTCTGATTAAAAAGTTTGCGATTTAAGTGCCCACCGGTCTGGTCGAATCAGGTAAAAGTTTTCTTCAAAAGAGCCTTTTCAGGTTCTGATAACAGCAGGTGTCTGAAGCGCACAGAGAGGCTTTAGTCTTCATAAGTTCAATTATTCACGAGTGTAGCCGTGTAAAAACTGCATCCTGTCACAGTGAATTGTAACCTTTAAAGTCGCCACTTCTATTAATAGAGCGCCTCACGGCCACATCATGAAAAAATTAAAATGTCCTTTCATTTTTTATTGCCTTTTTTGGACAGTGGACTCATCTGAGACATGTCACTGATTCCTAAAGCCTGGTTTTAACGTAGGCAGCCTCGGCAAAGGATTTGCATGTAATGCAACAAATGTTTGAAATGAGTCATTATGAGCTGGCAGGGCAGACACTCAACACAGAACACTTATAATACAGCCGTCATATAAGAGCAAATCAGAGTACCCTATCCTCACAAAGATTCTGGTTTTTATATCGATAAAAAATCTTAATTCCCATTAAACAACTTTTGAATTTGAAACTGTCAGATTTAAAATGAATCAAATTTGGTCTAATGTGCAAATGCAGCTAGAACCAGTTTTTAAAGATGATAAATTTGACCTTGAAAAATACGCAGGATGAGATTTTCTGCTAAAAGTATGAAAGCATGTAGAAGACATAAAAAGCAATGATTAGGGATGGGAATTGATAAGATTTTATCAATCTTGATGCCATTATTGATTCTGCTTATCTATTCAAATCTTTAACGATTCCCTTATCAATGCCTTTCTTTGATTTAAAAAAAAAGGAGACTATAGGTTTTCACCAGTAACTCAAAATTTTATTGAGTCTCTGATAACAGAAAAAGATTTATGCCATCTTCAGTGAGAGTCTCAAAATAATCAAACAACAAACTATTTGTACAGCATTTACCTCGGTCGGTATTAAGTTAAAAATGGGGGGATTATATTGTGGATCACCAAAAAGAGGACACGACCATGCAGAGCGGAGTTGCGCAAAATTTTGAGGGTTTTTCGGGTCAGGGCAAGTGTTTTTTACACGCTTCTAACTCAGTCCATGCTACACAAACTCAAAACTTCCATACAAAACCCCGAGACGGAGCAGCAGCTCCTGATGACCGGCGGAGAGCATTGAATACATATTTGATGCTGTGCCCTGTTGACAAATGTTTAAGCATGTTGCTGGTGTTTCCACCTCTGCATATTATCACTGCTCGACAAATGTTGCACGTCGCGCTGTTGTCGTCTTTCTTAGTAAAATGAAGCCACGCTTAAGATCGTTTCTGCCTACGTTTCGTACTGTCTGCTATGTTTTTTTCCTCAAAGTCTCTGTTGCTCTTGCAGGATTTGTTCAAGGCATCTGGAAGAAAGGAATCGTTAAGGGAATCGTTAAGATAAAATGTAAACGATGTCAATGGACTGAACCATTTGGAACCGATCAAGAACCGGTTCTCGATTCCCATTCCTAGCAATGACTGCTTTGCCCACAGGGGGCGCCAAAAGTCACACAAACAAAAATTTCCTCTCAGGAGTTTCATTTTTAATATCGTACACCCCTAAAAAGTATTCTTATATACAGGTCATTGTCTTGTATGATTTAACACATTAGTATTATTACCTTGTATGTCATCATCCATTATTAACATTCAAACGTATGATTTAGCATCAGGCTGTGATATTTTTCTGTCTTGCCTTGGTTCATATCCTACATCATCAAACTATACTTTTATTTTCAAGTATATCAATTCCTGTAGATTGTAAGCTACAGAACTAAAAGAAAACAGTTGATAAACTGTTAGAAAGAAACACAAGCCTCAACCATGTTTTTGGAACCACAATAAATCCTGAAAGTCAGTTATAAAATCTGCAGACTCACCTTTCAGAGAGCTGCTGTAGCTAGCCTGAAAGCAGCTGCTACTTCTTCATCTCTTCTCTGTTTTATGGCAGGTGGCATTCAGCATATTAACTACTGCTATAAAGTCACGGTAAAACTATTTGCTTATTTTTAGGGTGATGTCAGTGTTTTATTCTTTCAAAAAGACGATTTTTGTCAATATCAGTATACTGCAAAAGCTCTACTCAGGACAACTGGAACAAACAAAACAATTAGTGACTTGAAGATGAACAAGACTTTTCCTCTACTCCAAGCTACCCACGAGCCTGACTCCTTGGACAAGGTCTTTTGGTTGCCTAACACAAACTTCAGAATGAATTAAAGGAACATTCTGGTCTTTTAAATGCTTGAAAAACAAATCAAATGTTTTCCCAGAACGCACTTGGAGAGTTTTTAAAAATACCACTTTATGAGGTTTCTCTTTGGACTCAGCCTGGAAACAATGTCAGAACAATACAGAGGTCTAAATTTGGCTGCAGTCACGATGTGTCAACCTACAACAGGCCCCAAAACTGCATATAACAGAGTGGAAATGTGACAAGTCTGCCCTGCAGGAAGTGAACAAGCGAGCGGCTGAAGACATTCTGAACAAAAGAGAAAAACAGGAAAATGAGAAAGTAGTGTAGGGGAAATGGAAAGTGAAAAATAGCAAGAGATGAAAGAAAAATAACAGGAGATAATAAGGAGAAGAAGCGAGGATGGACACACCTGCTGAGCAGAAATGTACACCCAGGAACCTTATTTCATCCCTTTCTTGTGTCTTTTGTTCTCCATCTCTTGACCTTTATTACTCCTCCAAACCGGGATGTCATTTTTCTTTTCCCCACTGTCAGCACCCTTCAGCAGAGCTCTCACAGACAAGTGCTATTATCTCATTATCTTATTATGGGGAGCGATTCAGGGCCTTTTATTCAGCCTGTGACATTCAGAGAGGCCGGTCACATTCATGAGGGCACAGCTGCGTTGGTTTGCAGATATGGTCCAGCTCAACAAACACTAAGATGCAGAGGAGGAGAAGTAGGAGGAGGAAACAGAATCAGGCAGTGAGGTGCTCATGTTGCTAAAAATGTTGATAAATGGAGAGCTGAAGGAGAGTTTGAACTTCTACAGACTCCCTCACCCTGGGTCTGTGGGTGTAGATATGATCCTTTGAGCAGACTCAGAGTAAAAGCCTAAAGACTTTCCTCCTGCTGTTTCTTTTATTGTTGAATGGTGTCTGATGGCAAAAAAACTGCTGAAAGAAGCGTTAGAGTGCAGTGCAAAGGATGAAAATGATGATAAATGTCTGATGGTGCCGTCACATTAGCCTACAGCTTAGTTTAAAGATGAGGTGTCACAGGCTTGGAGAACTCAATTTATCAAATATTCAGCGGGGCGATCACAAACTGGAAAAAGACAGTGAGAGAAATGTGGTGATTCCCAACTATTAATATTAAACAGATTTTAACTCTTTGCTTGCCATATAGTTAGATTTTTGATTTATATCTACATTCAAACCTGATTTTTTTTGTGTTTTTACCCATCAATATTAATATTACTATTTTTTAATCAGATTTTCATTTTTTTTCCATAATATTTTACAGAGCAAATGACAAATTATTCAAGAAAATATGTCTACAAATTAGCAATCATTATAAGTGTTGGTTAGAGCTACACTAGACTCTTATTCTGGGCTGAGATCCTCCGTATACTGACATAAACCATCTTTTAACAACAATAAAATACTGGTATCCTGCTAAAATAAGCATCTGGTAATACCTAAGCACAGAAAATAGTTATTTTCATTCTTCAATTCTTTTGAACAGCTGTATTTTGTGCCTATGTGCCTCATGTTTTCATTGCGGAGGAAATGCGTCTGACACCTCTCTATTGGCTGCCCTTACAAACCCCCCCCCATTGTGTGATGGGAAAGACTGGGATATAACCCCTTCACTGGCAATAGGTTAAGGAAATCAATGAATGAATAAAAGATGTCTCCTCCAGTAAACAAATTAGCAGTTGGGAGCGGGTATGTAGGTGTTTGTATTTCAGAACTTTGACCTGACGAACACGTCTATGGTTCACTGAATAAAGAAGCAGACAGAACAAATGAGAGAGGAGGGGAGGTGCCAGGACGGCGCTCGTATGGCACATCCGTCATCCCCTTGTTAGCATCTTGGCATGCAAACACACCGACACACACACACACTCAATACTAAACAGGCCAGACAGCTTGCTGGGGCAGATGGCCTCTTGGTGAGGAGCAGCGAGGAGTTCTGCAGAAAGGGTTGGCTTGTTTTGTGAACCATGACCTCCACACGTCCCTCCCTCTGACTCCGGACAACACGTGCATGGAGGAGGGATGGATGGGAGATAAGATCAGTGTGTGTGTGTGTGTGTGTGTGTTTGTGAGGTGGGGGTGGAGTGGTTGTTGTGAAGCGAGGGGATTATGCATACAGTGCACTGACTGTGTGTGGTAGGAGATTTCCTTTTTATATATAACCATGGGAAATAGCCACAGGGAGGACGTTTGATTTATAATCACTATAATACAAAGTGAAATGGTCATTGTGCACATACATCCCCTCATTGTTAACTACACACTGAGCCCATGTTTCCTGATTATTCACTTAATCCTATTTTCTAAACTGTGGTTGTCGCTGTTGTGTTCACATAAAAGATCTAGTCCATTTTGTAGACTTACAATTAAAACATCAAAACCAAACCAGAAATGGATTATTCATCAGGGGATAAAATGGGGCCAAACAGCTTATATAACGCACATAAAAGAGAGTATAAAAGGTAGTATATCTTTTTCTCAACAACATAGGACCTTGTGCTGAAATGTTAAAGGGCTTGTTCTAGACGTGCAAGACCATGCCAATAAATAAAGTTATTTTAATGTTTGGGAAAAGAGAATCTTCCTGTTCTGATAACAGGAGCTCAATTCAAAGAGAATCTTACACTGTTTTATTGCAGTTATGCTCTTATATGTGTTTGTCACAATGCCAGAAATGGGGCTTCAACACCTAAACCAGAGCTGCCAAGCGTCTCGCTTTGGGTGTGACAGTCACGCAATTTGACCCATTCTCACTCCACATGCCACACTTGACATTTCTCACGCTTATACTTCCCATTCAATATATATATTTTTTACGATAATAAACTTGGCTTGCCATAGTTCGAGTAACTCTGATTGACTGACCGAGATTACCAATCCCAATCCAATCCATCAGTCCTTTGTGCCTAAATTTAACCAACCACGGAAGGCACCACGCAATGTAAACCAATCAGAAGCAATGTAAGGCGGGTCTTGGCGTCTCTTACTATCTTTCACACACAAAAGTGCCAACATTTAAAACCCACTTGATGATCTCCTGTTCTCCTGAAGACGGACAGTAGGTTAAGACTAGCAGTAGGAGGCCATAGTGCAGGGAGAGCAGCTGGCATGGAGGTGAGGACATCAGTCTTAAGGTATAAATTGATGTTAAAAAAAGGCCAGTTTTTTTTTTTTGCTGAACACATCATAACACTTAAGTCTCACTCTTGTCATTTTCTGAAACTTGGCAGCCCTGCCTAAAACAAGTCTAGTATCCTGATACTAAAGTGATACTCTGAGCCTAATAGAGATCAGGCGATATCTACAAGTGTTGGTCACATTTAAATATCAGTATCATTGAATATATTATTAAAACCTGCATTGCATATAAAGGTTTTAATAAGTCAGCAGGTTCACCATCAGAATCAGCTCTGTACTCAAAGTAGTCCTAAAGGAGTCCTAAATCAGCGGCTGATTGCTCACGGGGATAGGATGTGGAGGAATTCTTTGAGATGACTCTTTGTTATCATTGGTAGTGGACATGTAGAGGCAGAGGCATTGCTTTTCTCTCTCTGGAAGTGGAGGCTCAGGCTGAATAAACACAAATGACTGACAAGCGCATATCTCACTTGGCAATGACGTCCAACATGCCCTTTTTGCTAATACTGCCACCTTGCGGAGATGGAGGTTTCACTCTCTCAGTTTGGATTTGCTTCTGTCTCAGTCACTGCCTACCATGACCATATTGAACTATTTGGCCCACTTTAAATACCAAAATCAGGAGGTTTTAAACAATATTATCTGCAATGAAAGTAGATAAAAAAGTAAACAGTAAAAGTAGTATTTTTCAGCATTCAGTCTCTAATGTGGCATTTGTGGCTGTTCTTGCTCTTATCCTTAAAAAAATCGCATTTATTATTCTCAAAGTAGAAATTTAATCAAGCTTAGACCTGAAATCTCCGATGATCCCATCGCGACTTTGACCCTTGCTCCGTGCAGCAAACACAGCTGATATTTATGATTTCTGCAAACAAAAGAGGAGATCTGCCAGCTTCATACAGCCTTCTGCCAGCTTCATACAGCCTTCTGGCTCTGTATTTGTGTGTGTGTGTGTGTGTGCGTGTGTGTGTGTGTGTGTGTTTAGGGTAGAGGGAGCAGGTGGGAAATGTGGGTGTGGCGACAGTGAAGAAGATTCATCACAGCCTGGTGTGTGTGTGTTTCCTTTGTCCTGTCTTCAACCAGTGACAAATGTACACACAAACACTATCTCTGTCTCTCTCTCTCTCTCTCACACACACACACAGACACACACACACACACACACACACACACACGAATTGGAGGTTATATATCTGATTGGAAAAGCTGCCTTATGACTAAGGAGGTGAATGGGAGTGTTTGGTGATTTTATCATCTGTCGTCTCTGTCTCTGTGCTGTTCTGCCTGAAGACCATCTGGATCACTGATAACTTCTCATTGTGTCATTTTTATATCTGTTTTGGTACAATTCAACAAAAGTTAAGATATGGCATTGTTAAGAAAAAACTGAATTTATAACTTTGCATATTGTATCAGAAATGGGCCACAATGAATTAAGCACATTTCTGTTATTTAAATGACAATATATACCTAGATTTGTCATTTTTTTAATTAAAAGAAAAATTTTTTACATTGTTGGCTGCTGCTGCTCAGTTTGTTTTCATATGAAACAAGATATTTTGATAAAATTTTGTTACAATTTTGTGTTAACTTCAGAGGTATCAGTAAAACAAACTGTAGGATGCGGCAAAAAAAATCTCAAAAATTGTACCCAGGATAATTTACTAAAATATTACTATTGCATTCAGTGTAAAATTATGGACAACACAATAGTTTCCCTGAAGTGAAACCAAACATTTAGAGCTCTCCTTGGTGACTGATACAGTGCACCATAAAGCTGTTCCTCCATGTAAACAGATGGAATATGGCTCTAAATTGTGTCTTAGATACTTGTTTCTGATTAGTTAAAACCCCATTGCCTGGTGGTAATCAATTCTGAGTGGCAAAAGAGACATCAGGGATAACCTGATCACACAGGTCATATCAGATCAATCCATTGGATGAAGAAGTTAATGTTCTCCTTTACTGAGGTATAAACTAGCTCTTGGTTTTAAACTTTGTCAAGCCAGTAAAATCCAGACAAAAAAAAAACAGCTGCAGTTACAATCATCCCAGCTATACTTCATCCCCATGAGCAGCTGCAGGACCAAGATATATGTTTTTGCTTCCCATCCTTTGATATGCAAAGTATCTGAGCAGCACAAAACAGATAGAAACCAAAAAGCTCAATTTTGAGGCTCCCATTCTGTTTTTGGTGCTAGTTAAAGGTCGTAGGAGTTAATGAGACTCCCACATGCTCACATTATATGTCTGCAAATGATATGGTGACAAGGTGAGATTATTCAGTCAACCAAATTAGATGCTGGTTGTCAAACTAATTTTTGAGTCCTGAGTGTTAGAGCTCTTTGTGGTCTTTCTGACATATAAGCTGCAGACAGAGTATGAAAACAGCTGCTGCTCATGATAAAGAGAACATTTTTTGAAGATTGTCAATATATGGTACAACCCCAGCGGCCATTATTTTTTAAAACAAGGCTGAACATTCAGGTGAGGTACTTCAATTGGAGAGAGTAAATGAGGAAGAAAGAGTGTGAAATGCATTAGTGTCACTGCCCCATTGTAGAAATTTAGAAGTAATTGCCAATGCAAATGTCTACTTCTTGTCCAGGCACCAAAGGACACAAGAAAGCAGGGGCTGGTCTTTATTTTAAAGAAAATGCAGCAACACTTGGTGCCCCTTTGATTAGCACTGACCAACCACCAGCTATAACAAAGCAACTAACTACACAAAGTTACACATGAAAGTCAAGCCATAGGAGTAACACTCAAACTTTAACGTACCACTCAGAGACACGCAGACTCCTCTTGTTTGAGGTCAGTTCTGGATCATATGTGTAGCTAACTGGCATGGGTTCTCCTGGGATGTCAATACTCGATTTTAATTTTCACAGTATTTGTTTCAGTCTTGATGCTTTGTAAGAAAGAGTGAAAGTGTTTCCAGTCATTGACTTCCTAGACTTTAATCTAGACTGTAATCTAACCTAGATTAAGTAAATCTCCATTATTAAGACAATGCAGGGTCTACCCTGTGAGAGGAGGTCCTGGTGATTCAGCTCTGGTGAGGATCAAATGTAATCTGAGCATCCGGAGAAAGTGATGAGTTCTGCCGGGTCAAAGGATTACATAATCAACCTTTGAGCTAAAGCCTCACAGTCTGCTCTGATTGTTCACAGTTTGCCGTGCAGGGAGAGAAGCATCTTTTATATAGAATCACTCATTATAAATACAGTGACGGTGGATATTTTTATATTGAAGAGCAATGTCAGAAATACTCTAAAACCTCTGGACATGTTTTAAATTCCTCCAGTTTCTCAAGCAATTTCCCTTTTTCTTCTCCTCTACACATAATTTCCATCTTCTTGAAAATGACAGCAGAGTTGTCACGTAAAAAGGGAACAATGTTCCTCTTTTCAATTAAGTCTCAACAGTAGAGTTGAAAAAGTCCTGCGGGGTCATATCTGGGATGTTTATTTGGTTAATTGGAAGAAAGTTTTATCTTTTTACTCATATAAAACCGTGCCCCGTTAAAGTTACTAGAAAGTTTATATGATGAAGAAGGGTGAGATCTGGTTGGTGAATGTTATGCTCCTTGTTGATATTAAGACGATGAGGAACAACAGTTAAAGAATTACTTTTTTTTAGCACTTAGGATATCATCAGTGGATCAAAAGTGTCTTAGATATGTTGTATTGGTGAGGCTGCATCTTGAGTTTCGATGATTAAAGCCACGGCTGAAGTCTTTTTGAAAACTATCTAACGTGTCTCCAGTCTAAGAGAAGCTAACATTGTGTTCCTTGGCTAACAGAGACACGTTAACTGCATTTTCAGTAACATATATGCAGTACACAGTGGGGAAAATATCATGAAATTTAAGTTTTTGGCAGTTCAAGCCATTACGTTTTTGTCTTGTTTACAAAAATATGACATGTTTGTCCAAGTTTTCTTTTCTGGTTTATTTTTAGCTCATTATTGTGTCATCCTCGTGGGAAAAACTGCTGTAAATGAAGATTTACCATCACAGTTTTGGCTAACAACACCAACGCAGAACACTCCATTATGATATTGAGGAGATATCAATCAATATTATCTTAACCATTAAATGTTCTTCTTTCTTTTACTGTCTCTACAGTGCCAACTGTCCCAGGCTCTGAACGGTGTTTCTGACAAAGCTAAAGATGCCAAGGAGTTCCTGGTTCAACTGAAGAACTTGCTGCAGCAGATACAGGTAACTGTAACACCTGTAAATGTCCGTTTATGTTTATTAAACTGCTTCTGTATCGATTAATTCAGCTGTCTGGAAGTCAGCTGTACATGTGTAAACAACAGGATAGTATGGAGTGAGTAATAAAATAAAGATACCTGAGAAATCTTGAGTGTGCTAGTTCAACTTAGTTATAGCAGTCGAGACTTTAGCCAATATGCTGCTTTTTATAGCTTTACATGTTATGAAACTTTAAACTTCTAATACCTGAAAAGATTATTTTAATTTTTTTTTTTTTTACTTATAAATCCACAAGTTTTCGACTGCAAATTTTAACCTCAAATTTGATCATTATATAGATATATTTCACAAACTAAAGGACTTTACAGATGTCAGATGTATGGGTTGGTGACCTTCCTTGAAGTCTTGCTAAGTGTAAAGATACTTCAAAGAGCCCCCCAGAAAAGCCTAGAAAAAAATTGGTTTTGGGGTGATGTTGATGGACACGATGGTCCAACAATATGGCCCACAGGAGAAAATACAGTCTGCTGGAAAGATTTCTCAATAGATTGTTTGGAGAAACAGTCCATCAAAGTGGCGCAGAAACTCCAGCTTCATCTGCATCATTGCTCAGGATTCCTGAAGTCTCAGGATCTGCACATTTGCCAAAGGATATTTCCTGGACCCTTGTGAATTTGAGCTGGCTGTGCAAGACTGACTCAATACTGGCACCCATGTCTGATTAGTTACCTCCACATGCAGAGTCTTTACATAATTTACATCACTACTGATGTTGTCTCACACTGAATGCATTCTGCTCTGGGGAACCTGCTGCTAATGGGCATTAAGCTCCAAATAAATCAGCTCCAGAGACACATTTGGACTCCTCACACAGTGCAGCAGGAGGTAAATCCACTGAGTCACCAAACTAAAACAAACCAGATTAACCAAAAAGTGTGTGTGTGTGTGTGTGTGTGTGTGTGTGTGTGTGTGTGTGTGTGTGTGTGTGTGTGTGTGTGTGCTGTTTCTCCTGCAGCCTCTGCCAGTTGTGCACACAGTTTCACACACACACACAGTCTGCTCTGTCATATCTCGTCAGCCCCTGCAGCACAAGCAGGCATTAAGAGTCTTAAACTCGGAGCACTTATTTGCCCAGTCTGAGAGCCAGAACAGCAGGAGAGCGATGGGGGGATAAAGAGAAAGAAAAAGAGTGAGAGTCATCCTCTTATAGATGTGAACTGTGTCATTCGGCAGAAGAAGCTTGATTGGAAATCAGTTTTATCTGAGACTTCATCTTGTGAGCTCTGTGCAGGGATAAAAAAAAACAAACCCTGAGGTTGCATCTCTTATTTAGGCCCCAACCCCTCTACTGCAGGTATTCCTAACATGAGCAAACCCTTCACAATAAAAGAGGCTGTTTTGTTTTTAGACCTTTCTGTGTGGTTATGTTTTTTCCTCTGCATTTTTAAGACAGTTTCAGATCATAGCTGAAAAATGGATCTGCTTTTTACTCGTCCAGGTTTTACTAAATGGTGTTTTTCTGCTTGAAACCATTTTATTGAGGCAAGGACGCTGGTCACCATGGCAACAGTACTAACATGTGGTCAGGGGATATATGACTCACCTTTTGAAGCGAAGAAGCAGAACTACATTCACGTTTTTGACAGTTTCCTGTCACAGTTTTCTCCAGGGATTATAGGGCTGAGTTAGTTAAATGTAAATATGTTTTTATTGTATTTAGAAAAAAATAAAACAAAACAAAAAAAAAAAAAACTGTTCATGTGGAGAGCAAAAACAGGTGAAATGCTCTCAGTCATAATGATATCCAGGCTCAATTTAACAACAGTCATGATCTCTTTTAAGGCATTTGAAACACAGGTATTAACAGTATTGATATTGCACAGAAGTGCTAATAAATGTTCACTTTCATAATCGTTCATTTAGCTATTTTCATTCAGTTCTGTAACTTAAAATTTACCTGAAACACTTAACTTCAAAATAAAAGCATGTTTTCACAATGACGGTCCTAACCATAGACTGTATATAGAATGGACAGAGTCTGCCTCCTCGCTGGGTGAAGCCACTCCGAGAACAGCACCCTCTGTTGATGGGCTGCAGTATAGGTCATAAATCCTGCTTCCGCCAGCAAAGCTTATGGGACTGTGGACCAACTTTAGAAATGTATTACACAGAACACAAATGTTTCTCCCCCCAGCTTGCGGTGTTGACATGTAGTTACAGTAAGACTGGTTTGTGCTCAAGTCCTCTTTTTTCTGTGAAGCTCCGTTTTGAAAAGTTATTAGGGGGTTCATGTTTGCTATGATTGACACCTGATACAGCCTATGGGCGTTCAGGGATTGCGTCGCTCTCCCGGGGGATACGCTGTTTGAGCCGAGCGTCATCACAGCGACTCTCTGCGACTGCGTGGCTGAATGTGCGCATCGCTACTGCACAGCGCTGGTTTCAGGAACTGAAGAAAAATCCCGGAAATACCGAGAGCTATTTGGCTTCAAATCCGTATACAGGCGGTAGGCGGAACCAAGTTGTCCATAGTATATACAGTCTATGGTCCTCACCCATGACTGTAAAAATGTCAAAATAAAAGCATCAAAACCAATCTGTTCTCTCCAGAAGTTCCTGCCACATGCCTGTCAACACAGATAAAACTTTGTTCATCGTTGACAGACAACTGGAACTTTTAAACTAGTAAAAATAGTGGAGTGCTGGTTTGACTTCTTCACTTCTAACATGTAACCAGCAGAGGGGGACAGTAACATGACTCGGGGTAAATCAGACGAGGGCATCCAGTCTAACAAATATAACAAATATAAAATAGTTTGTCAGTTCGATCTCAAAGAAATATGTTATTGCAACATATGGCTGTATTGACATATGATGTAATATTATTTCAGACCCATTTGGCTGTTCGGATGTGAGGCATTTAGAGTGAATGAATTTGGTGGAGAGCGTGACTGTAGTGCAAACAGATGGTAGACATGATTAATTTTTCTCTGCAGTCTATTAGAATAATTACCACTCTGCTGTTTTGTTTGTGTGGTGGAAACAAAAATAGGACAAGATGTTGCTTGTAATTAACATTTCAGTAACAAACATAAAGCAGCTCTCTGCTGCTGAAACACATTAAAAAAAACATCTATTTTAAGCGCAGTAACTTTATTATTTCTGAGGGGAGCTTATGATGAGGATGACTTTGGGAAACCTTGGCTGAAAAGTGTCATGCTTATTTCATGCCATATTATAATCTTCTTCTTTTTCCTTTTCAAGTCTTCAGTAATTTTCTTCTATGTTTCTGCTTGTGTGTTTTTGTGAATTTTGCCTCAGGAGAGCGGTGTGGAGTTTGAGGCTTGCCTTGTGGCCCAGTGTGACTCCCTGATCGAGGCGCTCACCAGACAGAAAGCAAAGCTGCTCACCAAAGTCACCAAGGAGAAGGAGTACAAGCAAAAGGTGGGACGGGTGGTTTCTTACTTTTTCAGTTCCTGTCAAAGAAAAAAAGGGAAAGAGAAGTGTTGCGTTTGTCGACAGGAAAGCTGACGAAAGGACCCCAATGCAGATGACTAAGACAGAACTGGTGCAGCTCAGATATATTTACAAAAGGCTTACAGTGAAAGAAGTCAGGGGTCAATCCATGGAAGGTTATCCAGAGCAGGCATACAAGTTCAATATGGAGCAGGCAAGAATTAAAAACTCAAAGTGGAATAGGTTTAGGAAAAACAAAAGCAAAATACTAAGAAATGCATGAAGGGAAAAAAAGACAAACTGGCAAAGAGGCAGGAGCACACACACTCTAATTTTATTATTGAGATTTGCTCTGCAGCTGCCTCTACAAAAATACCCATTTTGCATGCAGTATGCATAGTTGTGAAATAAAACTGGACCTTCAACTCAATCCTGTTGCTTGTATTTCAGTCTGTTTAAAAAACTACTTGCATATACCTCATCTTACTTGTTTAGCAGACACAGATTGTTTTGCATCTCCTTAGTTAAGATAAGATAAGAAGAACTTTATTAATCCCCTAAGGGAAATTCAATTTACACAAGAAGTTGTCTTTACCTAAATTTTCTTTTTGTTTCAGCTTTGAAACCAGACATAAATCACTGTGTTTTCAAACTGGTAAGGCAGACAGCTCATGTTTCTTGCAGCAGAAGCAACAAAAAAATTGTCTGTGTTTGTGCATTCAGGCTCTGTCCTCCTCATTCCTTGCAGTTTCACTTTAACATGCAGAAACTTCAGAGTGATGATACAATAGCTTAAACTCCTTAGTTTGAGGCTGCAGGTGGATGCTGGAGTGTTGATGGGGCTTAAAATTTCAGTGCAGCACAGTCTGGCTGGGGTAGCAACAGCAAGCAGACAGAGATTGGATATCTTGCAGCTTATATTAGGGATGTGTTTGTCATGCAATTATGACAGTGAGGCATGTGAAGTACAAAATCACTGCAGCCTGAGTTGCCTGCCCGAATAAGCTCCCAGGCTTCACTGATTATTTTTTGCACAGCTGCAGATGCATTTCTTTGACTGAGAAACAGACAAAGCTGTGGATCATAACCCCCAAAGAGCTTGTTTTGTACTATACTGCAAAGTGTGACAAGGTGTTAGAATCTCTGGTTTTAGGACATTTGACTCACTACCCATTGTTTTACAGAATATTTCGATTAGTGCAGAGTCTGCAGAATAAAACAAAAACTTTCGTGCAAGAGGTCCAATTCTGGCAGATATCCGAAGGATCACAGTGAGCTCTTTGACTTTTGAAAGAAGCTGGTTAGACGTTTTTTTCTGGGGCTCTCGGTCTGAATCACTAAAACAGTGATTTCTGTCCAACAGTCCGGTTTTTACTCCCCTTAGTAAATCCTCTACAGGGGTTTTCCTAAGTCTTAGTGTATCACATGGACTCCTGCCCAGCCTCAACGTGTCCACCGACCGACTGACCGTCTGGCTGGTTGGTGGCGGCAGCAAGGAGAAGTTGGGGGAAGGTTGGACGGAAGCCTCTAAGGACAGCTGTTGCCATTATCTGCAGGCTGGGGATTGAGATTGAGCCAAGGGGCAAAGAGATGGAGGCTGCAACAAAGCTTGGACAGAAGAAGAATGGCCGCCTTTTTGTTGACTGAAGATAAAATATGAAACATTTTTCAAACCAACAAAAATCAGGAGAGTGTTTCTCTCCAGCTGATTTCATCACAGACTCTTATTGATGTGGAGACAAAAGAAAACAGACAACTAGAGGCTTAACTGATCTGACTGGAAACCAAAATCTGAGAGCCAAAGAAACAGCACGTTATTATACCAAACCCTTGATTTTTAATCCCAAGAAATTAAAGATAAAATAATAATCGGACCATGTCCTGTATTATTTTAGTAGAAGTATATATGCAGACAACTCTGAATGAACACAAACACAACTTTGAATTGTAGGAATAATGTTATGTCACTGCGGTTTCAGGAGAGCTGAACTCTTCCTTTCAGGGTTTCCAAAGGATAGAGCAAGCAATAAAAAAGACAATCTATTTCAGTAAAATTTAATATTTTCTGACTGTGAACTTTGCCCGCTTTCCCATTTTTCTAAAGCAGTCACATGCCTTTAATCTGTTTTTGTAGATACAGCTGCAGCCAGATGCAAAAAACCCAAAACAAAACAAAAACAAATAAATCTAAGGATTGTGTCCGCAGTGAAAGAAAGGCAGATGTTCCTAAAAATGAGAAAAGCCAGAGTGTAATCCTTTTAGAGGGACACATTTTGTTTTTTTCCAACAAAGAACAAACAGAAGTTTAAAGAAAAAGATCTTTAAAAGCAGCAGTTTAAGGCAGTATACTACGAAACTTAAACATCTCTTCTGATTATTACGATACAGCTTCAACAGTAAGGCACTGACTTGTCTTAGTGTAGCCATCATGGTTATTAAAATAAGCTCAGGTCCACATTGAGACCAGTAACAGAGATTTATTATACTCGTCTTATTCTTGTTCTGTACATATGCGTGCAGCACTGACACAAAGAGAGAACATGAGTGTGTTAGTGTGTCACAGGGTCATGTTGTTGCTCTTATCTGAGTCAGTTAAAGGTCTGTACCAGACACGTACAGTACATTAACAGCTATGCTATATCTATGAGGACCCTTTTTAAATGGATGCATTCCCATCTCCCTATCATAAATTGACTTCTCTCATACTCTTCCCCCATCTCAGTCAAAGATGTGGTTGCCTTGTGGTTATTGTCTCTTTTTGCATTTCTTGTATTATTCTGTAATCTACTTAATCTTTAAATTTGAGTATCCTCAGATGAATGAATGATGGATTAGTTGGTGCATGGTAAAAGGTTTTTGGGTCCAATCCATATGGCCTTCTTTTGCAGTACCAAATAGAGTTTCTTTTATAAGTATTTCCCCAAACCTCTTCACAGGAGGTCATGTGTGTACAATGACTGAATAGTAGAGAAGGTACAAAGAATGCAAAGTGTGACATGTTGACTGTGGTGTGGTTAATGTGTGATTTCCAGATTAGTTTATTGCTTAATGTCTCTCCTAAAATTTTGCTCCAAGCACTGGTTCAATATTAATCTTTTACTTCAATTTTCCTATGAACGTTTGAAGCCCAATTTCCAAGACTTAAACATTTACTAAGTTGAAGTGATAATGAATTAACATCAAATCATTTTGTATTGTTTTTAGTCCTTTCCTTGAAATTTAATATGATTAATATTCAGTAGTCCGAATACTGAACCCTGTTGCACCCCTCATCTTCAGAAGTCTGGGATTCAAGTTATTAAAATGCACACACTGATACCTGTCTTCCACATTATTGGTTAACCGATTAAGGGTCAGTCCTCTGATACTATATCTTTGTAATTTAGATGAGGATAATAAATGATGTCAAAGGCCATTTGTAAATTAAAAAACATCTCTATTGTATAATCATTCTGAAAAACACAATACTATCAGTTTCATCAGTAATTATTCTTTCATGCATGCAAATTTGATGGAGTGCCCTTTTAATTTGCAAGCCACAGAGAAAGACGAACACATTAAAAAAAGCTGTAACCTTGAAACAGAGAGTGGAAGCCAGTTACATACAATCCAAAAGATCCTCACTTTGAAGGTCTATAATGGTCCTCACAAAGATACACACCCAAGCAAACACACACTCATATATGCTGTAGTCTGAGCCATAATCCTACAGCTGATGGATTAATCTCCATATCTCTCTAATGCATAAAAATGAGTCTGTGTCTGAGTCTTTCTATGAATGAGATTAGAGGTCAAACGTCCTCTGTTAGTCAAGTTAGAAGCCGATAATATGGATGTTCTTATTCCTATATTGCACAGATCACAAAGAAAATACTTGTGCTAAAACTTAAAGGTATATTTAAATCCCTGTTTGGTTGAATTTAATGGAAATACTAAAAGAAAAAAGTAGATTAAAAATTGGGTACAAGAGCTTCATATTACAAGCTGCAGATTGAGGCGAAAGCTTTGAGTAAAAATGCATTTGAAGAGACAACATAGACACAAAATGAAGCGCATTTAAAAGATGTGATAAGCATTTTTTTTTCCTTTTTCAACACTGTATTAAAAGCCCTGCATCACGGTTTATGACTGCTCAAGCCTAAAAAAAACACAGAAAATGGGAACAAACAACCAAAACGACGGCCTTACCTGACCTGGGAAAAGCCTCAGAGTGGGACAAAGAGACTGTGAATCACATTAGCACCATGTCTGCTGTCTGGGCTTGCACTGACATGTGTATATATCTGCACCCCCCCAAATTCATTTGAGATGCATGTGGAACACATTGAAAGATCGTCTCTGGTCTGTAGGAGCGTGTAGGAGGGGAGCTGATGTACGTTTCAGCGGGACGGAGGGAAATTGAAATAAATCTTGAGATTTATTCAGGCTTCACGCTTCACACTTCATGTTGTTTACACATGCGATAAGAGCTGAGCTTTACCAAGATGAAGTGGAAAACTGGTTTGGTCTCTGTGAATAATTTCTGTGTCTGTGTGTATTTTGGTGAATATAGCTGAAAGGAAGTGTAACATACCGAGAGAACAGTCACGATTTCTCTGACTGTTTTCCTCAAATCACCCATGTGACTCATTCTGTAGCACTCAGACTCATGAGTCCACTCAGTACCACACAGAAGTTTGTGTAGATGATGTTGATGTACAGGTGCATCTAAAAAATTACAGCTGATGAACAATGAAACAACATGGTATCTCGTCAAACAAAGCAGATTCAAGGACTTGGAATTTGGAGAGCTGGAGTCAGAGCATCAAGGGCCACCACACACTGCGGCTTAGAAGAAAAAGCCCTGAACAACTGCTCACTAGTCCTAAGTCCTGTTTTCAGAAGAAAGTCAGAAATCAAGGTCCCAGAGTCTGGAGGAAGATCGCAGAAGCCTGGAATCCATTTGGGAGGTCATGTCATGTTGGTCCTCTGTGTTTCATCAAGTCCAGAATCAAGCAGCCTAAAGTCTACCAGGAGATTTTAGAGACCGTCATGCTTCCATCTGCTAAGAAGCTTCATGGAGATACAGCAGGACCTGGCACCTGCACACAGCGCCAAAACTACCAGAAACTAGTTAAGGGACCATGGTGTTACTGCTATTGATTGGCCAGCTTGCCTGACCTGAACCTCATAGAGACTGAGTCCATAAATGAACATATATTTTTGTAGATGGTTGACATATCTGCATAAGTAATCCTTTTTTTTTTTGTAATACTGTAATATTTTGAGATAGATGATGTTTAGATAAGTTTTGTTAGCTGTAATCATCAAAATTCAAACTAAAGAAATCTTGAAATATTTAACTTACTCTGTGACAAATCCAGAATATTTACATGTTTCTATGAATTAAATTATGTGAAAAACATGAAAAATGTCATAATATTCCTGTTATTTAAGATGTACCTGTAGGACTGACTGAGCTACAAATGTTTGACAGGTTTATGATGAGACATGTCAGAATCCATAACTCCTGCTCTGTTATGACTGTCCTCTGGCCCAAACTCACAGAGTAGCATAAACAACCACTGTCACCCCTTAAATATCAGGGATTTAATGCTAGAAGCTTATCAGAAGGAGATATACAGTAGATGGTTTCTACAAACGTATGAATTTAAGTTTTGTTTCCTTTTTTTGCTGGAGTCCACATGGACAGGACAAACACACTTACTCGGTTGGTTGTTTTCATCCTCTTTATGCCCTTCATATTTTTATTTAAACAGCAGTTGATGGGTGAATAATTAACTTTGATCTCATTAACCATCAAATTAACGAGAGACTAATTAGCGAGACTCCATCTAATTAACTCTCTGATTCATGACGACAACCGTTTGGTTGACCATGTAATTAATTCTCTTGGATTGACCACAATGTGAGGAGTTTTCTTTCAAGGCTTTTGCTAAACCTTTAGGCCGTTGATGCATCTATAGTGTGCATAAACATACATGTTCTGCACCTTTTAGCATGTATCAGGTATGCTATAGTTAGGTTGACCATATTCTTGTAACCAAAAACCAGGACTCAGCCCGGCAATAAGATTGTCTTTAACCCTTTAATGCCTGACACCACAAATTATGGCCAGAAAATTCAAAAAATTTTTGGAGCTTTAATGTTTATTTCACTTACTACTGAAAACAAAATTTCCTTAAAATTTAACAAATATATTTATTTATCTTGTTTGATACATTAGATGTTTTTGGAAACTGATAAACTAAAAGAGGACATGTTTATCATTTATCAGACTGTATTCAGTTGTTTTTTTAGTGATTTGTTGACCATACTGATTTGATAGAAGTATATAAAAGTATGTATCAAATATGATACAAAAGGCATTAAAGGGATATGTTTAGTTTTCTTCTTCATCCTAGTGGCCCAATGACAAACAATGAAAACAAGGACATTTTGATCACTTTATAAAAACAACCTGGACAGGATTTAAAAAAACGGGACATGTCCTGGGAGAACAGGATGCTAGCTTTAGTCAACTTTTTTTTTAAGATTATTGGTCATGCAGGAAAAACAGGATGTAAACAAGTTGGTGAAAGTTCGCTGAGTTTCAATCAGCCTTGAGGTAAAGCTGGAGACAGCCATCTGAATCTCATTTCACTCAAAGTTCATGCAAATAGCATGAAGTATCTGATGTTCGCACATGTGAGATGTTCAAAGACGAGGATGTGAGAAAAAAAGTCCCCCGTCTCCCACTGATCTTCCCCTTATTTTCATGTTGCATCACTTTGAAACAGAGCTCTTGGAGCCTATAGAGGTTTTTTCATGTTGATATTTATATACATGCCAGTTTTTGATGCATGCACATTTTGCGCCTGCCAAATCCCAACTTGTGCTGTTCCAGTCAGTTGTAGCCACCTAATCCTCAGCCAGAAACACACCTGCTCCAAATTCCCTAATTTTTCTCCTAGGCTGCGATCCAATAGTGGAAGAAAAAGTCCAAAAATGACTGTTCTTCCTACGCCCGGATGGAAAATGTCAACAGCTCAGGCAGAGCTTTAAGGGACTTAAAGAGGAACAAGCAATCTGAGAAAATCCTGCTATACTAACATTAAATGTATGCTGCTTAAGTGGTCTGTCCTGCTGAAACTACAGTGATCTCCAGTGTTTACTGTGCTTAACAGGATAAGAATGAAAGCACCACAGACCCTCTCTTGACATATTGAAGCTGCTCTTTTCATGGCTGCCACTTCTGGATCATGTCACTCAGTTGGAGGTCTTTCTAAGCAAAGTAGACAAGCAGAAAATTGGTGTAGCTTCCCGTCCAACATTTACTATGCTCTTTAAAGGGATATTTCTCAATCATACATTTCTGCACAATCTCCTTTTTCTGTTTTTTTATTGTTTTGGAAACTCCTCTTACAACTGTTTTATGGTCTGGTTTATACAGCTCCGCCTACACTTTGCCTAAACCCCTATCGAGCGGCTCACATAGTTTGAGTCTTTTTATCTGCTCTCAGACTCTTCTATTTTGCCTCTTCCTACTCTTTGGACTTGTTCACTTATTTTTTTTGGCTGTGCTCCATTTGGTCATGCTTGAGATAAGGGCGGGGAATCCTGTTTAAGCAAAGTGCAGGCTGCATTAGAGGCGTTCGGTGTGATGTCAGATCTCTGTTAGCTGATTATCAAGCAGCAGGAGGTAGAAGAGATGCTGTGACACAATGTAATCTCTTTACAGATTGTAAGTGATGGCTTAAACTCTGCAGATTTAGTCCATATGTGACAGAAAGTTGGAAGAACTCAGTCTGGATAATTTGCCATATCCTTGTATCCTCATTATATACTTTTTTTTTTTTTGCATTTTCCTTGATCCACATTGAAATAATCTTGTTTTTCTAGGATGTAAATCAAACTCAACAGCTTCCTGCCCAGTCATTTCCAGTAAAAATGAACCCCTCCTACTCTTTGTCTTTCACAGGTGGTACGAGACCAGATCACCCACTGCACCATGAAGCTACGTCAAACCACCGGCATGATGGAGTACTGCCTGGAGGTCCTCAAAGAGAATGATCCCAGTGGATTCCTACAGGTATCTGGTCTGATTGGTCTCAGTTTCAGACGTCCCTCTCAGTATGTGCATGTCTCAAATGGTGGTCTGCATAGAAACTGTGATGGAGATCTCATTTAATGCAGTGGAAGTTTGATTTCTTTTCTTTGTTTGGGGTAAGTTGAATATTTTGCTTTCAAGTATGAAAAGTTCTGACAAGCTGTCAGATCACAAGCAAAAAATCAGACCCTTCTCTGGCAGCGTTTCATGATGTTATAAAAGAAACCTATATGTGAGCTTTGAGATTCATTGCTATTTAAAAAAGATGTAAAACAAGAATCAGTGGAGCTCTGTGGGGCAAAGGGGAAATGGTCTCAGGCTCCAGGACGCTGGATCAGTTTTTTGGTTTATGTCTCCTCTGGGAAATTGCAGATCTTTGTGTAGAGTTCATAAGAAAGTAACTTAAATGTAAAATTGCAGAGCTCACAAGCAGAGGTCTTGCTGGTTATTAAAAATATTCTGAAGTATTTACGACCAAAAATGTAAATTTGTAGGTTAAAAAGATGGAGAGGAAATGAGCTCTGCAGGGTGCCTCTGATGTTTCTAGAGCCGGTGCAGATAAAACATCCGGAGGAGGGACACACTGAAACACACAGACACACCAAGATGGGAGGCATCAGATTTGTTTGACTAATTCTGCAACATCTGGTCTATTTTTAATTGGCCTGGCGTGTTTAGCTAACCCAGACTCAGATGTTTAATGGCTGATCAATTATAACTGATCTGGGCAGGTAAAGTCAAACTGGGTCATATACATGTGCACCTGAGAAAAAGCACATAGATTTAAGCCTTCAGCTCAGTTTGAGCAACAGAAAATCCCTTGACACTTTGTAAGACCTTGAAAACCTGTTGGTTTGTTTATATTCCAGTTTTATGAATATTTACCACCATGTGTTTTTCTGCTGCTGTTCTGAGTTTCATTGGCTTTTGATTTTATCCGTTTTTTTTAACCTGTGTGCTGATCTGTAATAACACGTGTTTATGTGACACTGTCCAATGAAAAGTCAAAAAAGTGTCTTCACATTTCATTTATTGGAGTTTGGTGTCCAACTGATCCCAAAATATACATTAAACCCAGTAAATGGACATTGAAAAATGTGCCGGTAGATCATTGGGCTACGACTATACCCTCGGTCAAACAGGATCTCTTCTGTGATACTCAAAATGCCTCTTGCTCCTGTACTCTTCTTTGTGGGGGGTACCTCTGGGGTCTGTTTTGGGTCCTGTGTTGGTTACAGTTTACAATAGGGTGACCATACGTCCTTTTTTACCCACACATGTCTTCTTTTATGGGGGCTTTCCAGCCTGTCCGGCCTTGTCCGGGGGAGTTTATAAAATCCTTCAAATGTGCGGGGCTTTGTATGGAAGTTTTGAGTTTGTGTTGCCTGGACTTACTGTGTTAGAAACACGTAAAAAACACTCGACCCAAAAAATTTACTACGTGTGACACCGTGACTCCGCCCCCGGGATTCAGAAAATTGTCACCCTAGTTTACAAGCTTCACTTAGGAACGCAGCTTAGACTTTCAGTGTTATGCAGATGACACACAGAAGTCACAGTATCATAGACCATGTATCATATGGTATGGTATGGTATTGTATCATATTGTATTGTATAAGGACCTGCTTCTTCACGCAGGGAAAAACACTGATGACTTAGGGTACGTTAAACCTCTCAAAGACCCCTAGTAGTTGCTATGGTGTATGAATTAAAGGGGGGGGGGAATCTGGTGTCTCTGTTACTGTTAATGAATCATATCTTATTGTAGAGAGAGAGTGGGAGAGGAATAGAGTAAAGTGGGAGGGAGAGATGAAACAGAGATCAAAAACACTCCTTAGGGACTAGCACACTCATACACACACACACACACACACACACACACAAACTCTTACACACATGCACGCATGCACGCACACATGCACACACACACACACACACACACACACACACACACACACACACACACACACACACACACACACACACACACACACACAAGCTCTTGCCTCCATCTCATCTGAATATTTTATGACGTATTGATTAGAGGGCTTTTTATGGTTGCAGAAGCCTAAATCATACTTAGAGGCTTTTAGGAAATCAAAGGTGGATATTAGGGATAAATTTAAGATCAGAGACTCAATCCAGCTAATCTGGAAAGGGTAAAGAAGCTAAATGAAGCAATTTAGGTTTTAGTGCTTCAGGATGGGTCTCTAAATCCTCTGCTTATTTTTTTGCCTTTAAAGAGATAGTGATCTTTTTTTTTTGCTGCTGAGTGCAATTTTTAACGTAATGTATTCACTTAGGCTTTTTTCTCATCCTGAGGCAGTGGAGCTCCCACCAGCGAGGGGTCTAATTCTTATCCTTAAATATTTGAACTGCATTAATGCGTGCCTCATTTGGCTTGTCAGACACAATGTAATGGAGCTGGCCTAATGGAGCACATCCTATAACGGAGGAGCCGTTCTGCATGCAGGGAGGCTATCTCTGCAGACATTCATATATACTGTAGATATTAAATTACTGCTCTATATCCTCTTCTTCTATCACTGTGCAGATCTACCTCTATGTTTATTGACCTGTTTTGACCTTGAACTTCATGATGAATACACGTCTGTCTCCAGATATCTGATGCTCTGATAAAGAGGGTGACATCATCCCAGGACCAGTGGGTGAAAGGGGCCCTGGAGCCAAAAGTGTGCCCTGAGTTTGACCTCAGCCTCAACACAGACACACTGCTGCAGATGATCCTGCAGCTGGACTTCTGCCAGGGCAAAGGTAAAGGCAGAAAAACACAAACTTTACACTTTTGTACCTTATGAAAGAACACGTTTATAAACTTAAGTGTGTTTGCCGGGAACACAAGATTGGAAATATAAAAAATGAACTGAACTTGGACTCTGAAGACTGCCCTCGCCCCATAAATAAATCAGCTTAAAAAACAGAAACATACACAAACAAGCTTGACCTGAAATAAAGAAAAACTCCCGCTGATGGCGTGATCAACAGCCCAGAAACAACATTTTATCTCTGATTATCTTCCCTGCTGACGTTTCTTTAAGATGCACAACTGATCAGATATTCATCTGCTGTTTCTACCCAGCAATCATCCATGTGCATGAGTAAACACTTGGTACTTTAAATTCATTGTGCTGCACTCTTAAGAGGTTACCCAGATGTATTGTTAATGTACACTGAATATGTAATCAGCAGCTTTAATTTCAATACTGCCCCTCTGAGATCAGCTGTTTCCCTCTTCAGATACATACCTTCACTGAAACATCCATACTGCCTCGTATTCATTTCCAATGTAAAACCATGTTGCTTAATGAGTTTGTATTACAGTATTTATTTAAAACACATAGAGGTCCATTACAAACTCATTAAAAATGTGTTTTATACAATCATTACATAATTATGATCAGTTTAGTACTGGGATAATGGGATTATGCACTCATAATAGATTAATGATATTCCTACCAGTATAAGGCTTTATGTTCCCCCTGAGGGCCTCCTCTAGTCAGCTGCTGTACTTCAAAGATTTCGTATCTACCTCTTTTATCGCCAGATCTCAACCTTTAATGACAAATCCATAAACACAGTGACCCGTTAGCAGGTCCTGACCCCACAGCGATCTTAAATCAAGGGAGAGTCTCTCCAGTTTGAGCTCCAGTCCTGTAAGAGTATGGGAATTGGACTTTGGTCGTCCCTGCTTTGTTCTCAACGTTTCCCCACAGTCACATCCCGCTCATGATGTGAACAAAGCGACGAAGTTTAAAGATAGACCGTTTGATTTCAGGTCTTTGAAGCAAAGGCTTTGACATCCCGAGCAGAGGCAGAGTATGGGGCGCGTCCTCATTCACAAGCTGCTTTAAATTATTTGCAGTTATTATCAACGCCAGTCTGAAGTGAATCGTGTTTTTTAAGAAATCTGGATGTTCTCTGTGTTCATCAAAAAGTTACTTTGGCTGAGATAAAATATGACATGTGCCTCTCTTTAATCTCAAATATACAGAAAGTTTTGAAGGAAATTTTTCGGGAAGAAATATTAAATAAAGTATTCTCCCTTTCTTCCAAAATCTGATCCAAAATGTCATTGTCATATTTACTTACTTGGCTTGACGTTTAAGGTAGAATTCATGACATTTAAGTTGGTTTCAAGATGCAGACTAAGAATGGAGAGCTAACTCTAAAATAAGAAACTGGTTTTAGAATTACAACCTCTTAAAATGTTTTATGTCAGTATCCACTCAGTTAACATTAGACATAGATGTCCCTAGTGATGGTTAAAACACTGATGCGTATAAAGTTGAAATTTAATAGCACTCAAAAAAAAATCTGCACTCATCATTAATGCTGCCTTCATGTTTGTACTTACAAGGGCCTGTGTACACGGACATATTTTGTGTTAGGGATGCCCCTCTCAGAGTGCTCTTCACCTGTACTTATTATTAATGCTGTCTAACAGTATGTCCTTTCACCAGAGTTACAGTGTTAGATACATATGACCCATTAGAAGTATGAATTTCTTGATTTTGACTGGTCAGTAGGGAAGAAGTGACAGTGACGAGTGTGGTGGATATCCAAAGGTTAATCTATCTTTGTTTCTTGTTATTGCAGCATTTTCTTCCTTTTTGTCAGAAATGTATGTATATATGCAGATGATACCATATTATACATTCATAAAGCTTGAACAGTGTTTACTTGATTATTTAGAATTATTTACAAACAGAGTAGTCTTTTTTGAAATAGAAATACCAATTAAGACATTTTGATTATGATAAAAAGTTAATAACTTGTAGATTTGTTTCATTAAGTGTGACTTTTGCCACTGTTTTGCCATTTAGCCAATGAAACCCACTCTTTTCCTTAGAATTTTGTTGCCATCAGTCTCAGTTGTCCACTGATCCTCCTACTTTTACGCCTTCTTCTGTCTATATGCTTTTGTATTTAAACATCCAAACCAACGTCATATTTCCAGATATACAGGAGATTCCATTATTGAAACAAATGCAGGCAGCAGGCAGTGATGAGGCTGACATGGAGGCAGACAGCCCAGGAGGTATTTCAGAGACTTTTCATCGTAAACCTACGTTTCCTCCCTGAGTTTATTTCATCACTCCTTCCTCCTCCCTCAGCCCTGAAAGTCCTCACGGACAATCTGCTTGGACACTCACTGGTCTTTCTGTCCCACAGCGTCTACCTGGTCTTCCTCCTCTGCATGGTTACTGTTTTTCCAGGTCCTCTCCAATGAACGGCACATTTACAGAGTAGTTCTGCTTTCAGTGAAGGATAGCGCTATAAGAGCTACAATTTCAGAAATTTGTCACCTGAAGTACTTCTGTACTTCCAGTGTGAATAACTTTGCCACCTTTTTCCACAAAAGTTCTTATTCCTCTTTAAAATACCATCTGGAAGTATAATTGTTTCCGCTGTAATAGTTCTTAACATTTTGGTGCTAGAAGTTCAAGTACAGCTCATCAAATCTTTGCTCCGATATAATCTGTCACTAGTCATCCATATAGAGTGACCTCTACTCATTGAAAAGTTGTTTAAAAGTGTTAGTCCAGTATTTATCGCTTAAAACGTTGAGCTGAAGCAATGACTCTGTATTTATTAGCATTGCATAAAAGTCAAATATTAACCTGAACCATGTTGCTCCCTTTGTCCTGACTGCTGCCTTTCCTCTGTCTCCCCACAACTTGTATTTTGGTTCAAAGATATCACTAAATAGCGAGATGATATGACGCAGATTTTATCACTTCCAGATCTCCACTTGTGTGTCTGGTGCTCATTCTTTCCCTGGTCCTGTGTTTGATTTATGTGTTTGTTTCAGCTCCTTTTTGGAGCCCAAGTTTTACCACCAAAGGGTTAGACAGATATATCTCCATTTTCAGTCCAAGAAAAACTTTCATTTAGGTCTGGTTTGGCTCTTTAATCGTTTGCTTGCCAGTTGGGAATCCAGCCCTGGCATAAGCTTTTGATTAATTTGAAGCTTTTCCCATCAGTATTTCTTTCAGTTGGGACGGTATGTGCCATAGAAAAGGTTTTCCCAGATTGACAAGAGCATTATGCCCTCGAAGAACTTAAATGCGGGGAATAATTGGCAAGGTACTAAATACTAAATATCAACCCGCCCACAAAGCCGGTATCCGTCTAACCCTTTGAACTACAAGCACTGCTGCCTCCATAGGGGTATAATGTCCTCACATGGCCTACTTAAAGCCTCCACTGATTCCCAGATGTTGCCCTCTAAACCTGGAGCTCTTTCACCTTTAAGGCTCCTTTTTTTATCTTCCACTTGATCCGCATTAAAGCTCCTCTTTTCCCTCTCCAGTTGGTTTTAAAAGCAACCAGCCAGCTGACGACATCACCCTGCTTGTTTTCCTTTTTCTTCTCATTCATCCGCCCTTTCACCTCCTTTCTCCTTTCATCCACCATCCTCCAATCACAACATCTATGTCTTATCCATCCCTTTTTCTTTCCCCCACAGCAGTAGAGTCAGGACCCTTGGTGCCGGCAGCTCCTCTCTTGCAGCTGGAGAAGTGCTGTACAAGGAACAACAGCGCCACACTGGCCTGGAGGGCAACTGCGCCCTCTAACAGCCCCATTGAGGGCTACATCCTGGAGCTAGATGACGGGAACGGAGGACAGTACAGGGTCAGTGCATCACAGTAACAAACTCTAGGGAGGACTGTGTGCTATAGAGTGCGCAAATGACAGATATCCAATGAGATATGCAGTATGATTTTTCTCTTTTGTTTTATTATTAATAATCCATATGCTGCTCAATTTTGACTAAAGCCAGATGGTAGCGCATGTGTGCGTGGTTAAATATGTGTGTCATGAGTAAACATGCATTTCAAGTGCATGAGTACAGCTCTTATCCCTCTGTCTCTGCTCCTGTTTGAGTCCATGCATGCGTCTCTGAATGTTTGGGAAGCAAACATACACGTGTTTGCACTCAATCCGCATTTATAATCAAGCCACTACTCTAATTTGTGTGTGTCTTTATGCATGTGCCCCCAGGAGGTATATGTGGGGAAGGAGACAGTGTGCACGGTGGATGGTCTCCATTTTAACAGCTCCTACAATGCCAGGGTGAAAGCTTACAATGCCGTCGGTGTGGGGCCGTACAGCAAGACTGTGGTGCTCAAGACTTCTGATGGTGGGTATTCTGTGAACGTCTGTGAGGGTGTGAGCATATGAAGTTAAAGGTCACATATCATAGTATTCGTAGCTGTTCACATCATGCTCTGGCATTCCTTAGAGAAAAGGTTTGAATCCAGCATAAGCGGAGAATCTGCAGCCTCTCAGTTTCTAAGCTCATTATCCATGCAGTGATCTGAGTGGGCAGGAATGTGAAAAAGAGGCTCTGTGCTGATTGGCTGCCAAAATGTTGTCTGAGTGTGAAAAGTGATGCAATTAGATGCAGAGGTGGAAAAACACCAAAATACACAGTACATGGCGAGTGCCCCAGAAGAACACACACCAGGGGGGGAAATATGGAATAAGTGAGAAATAAATAAGAAGGAACAGAAAGGGGTTGGAGAAAATGGGAATGGAAAGTATAGGAATAAGAAGAAAAGGATGCAACAGAATGAAAATGAGGGACAAAAAGCTTAAGAAATGTTTGGAGAAATTCAAAAAAGGAGACAATGAAAAGAAGGCAGTCAAAAAGGAAGGATGGAAAAGGGGGGGAAAAGAGAGGGAGGGGAAATCTTTCACAACAGCAGTGGGATAACAATGAGGAGTTTTCCCACACTTACACACACACACACACACACTCACACAGCTGAATGTCACAATGGGCATTAGTCTGTTTTCTGACTGATAACTCCCCATCCCTTCGTTTCCTTTTCTCTGCTGTTTTCCTTTCTGCCTACTCGCCTCCTTTTCCTCTCCCTCTCTTTCTCGAGATGTAGTTCCCTTGTTCTCTGTCCTCCAGCTCTGCAGCTCCATTCAGCTGCATAAGGGTGGGAAATTATGGGATGCGACTCCTGTTGGCATGACTTGTGAAAAAACAGGCAACAAAGGCTGGAAAACAAATACTGATTAGTGACACAGTTTCCAGAATTGGTGTTGTTATTGTGTGTGTAAATATTGGATGTGTCAGTGATTATTCAGTGATGCAGCATGAGGATGTTGCTCAAAGACGGAGCATGTCTGTCCTCAAGCCTGGGTAGTAAATGCGCCCCAGATGCTTGTGTGTTTATGCACTTGTCTATCTATTTTTGTGGGGACTTACTCTGGTTGTTAGACTTATGGTGTGGGGACCTTTGTGGATAGAAAAATCAAAGCTTTGTCAGAGGTTTAAATTCAGTTTTCAGTTTCATGACTGACTGTTTTTTCTTTCCTGCAGTGGCCTGGTTCACCTTTGACCCCTCCTCAGCTCACCGTGACATCGTTCTGACCAATGAAAACCTGACTGTTTCCTGCAACAGCTACGACGACCGCGTGGTGCTGGGAACTGCAGCTTTCTCCAAAGTAATCACACATCCATCACACTTTTGATCTTTAAAGTCATGTTACGATTTTTTTGGCCTCTTTGCCCAGTAGATTGATTTTGTCTATTTTCAAATCTCAGGGCATTCACTACTGGGAGGTCTGCATCGATCGCTATGACAACCACCCAGACCCTGCATTTGGCATAGCAAGGATCAACACCATGAAAGACATGATGCTAGGGAAGGACGACAAAGCATGGGCCATGTATGTGGACAACAACCGCTCCTGGTTCATGCACAACAACTCCCACACCAACAGGTAGGTGCACAATGTTGCACTGTGTGTTTGATGGCTTTATAAAAGCTAAGCTGGCATAGTATAAAATGTTCAGTGGAAAATATAAAATGGAAAGAAAAAAAAGAGAGAGAGCAACACCTGAGTCCCTTCTGTGTTAAAAAAAAATAATTCAGAAAAGTTTGGACTCACAATCTGATTTTTGCTGGCATCCACCACACCAGTATAATTACTTTATAATAACTCATGTGGCTGATACTGATATTTACACACCTTTTTTTGTACAGTTTAAAAATCCTCAAGTCTCTCCTGTACAAAAATTCACCTGCTAATCTTGTTGTGACAATATATACGTTTTAGAAACAGACATAAAACAAGACAGACAACATTTGATTCTAAAATAGATTAATAGTTTTTCAAATATAGACATTTAGTAATGTGTTTGTCAATAATGCTGTGCAGTCATCTATGGAATATATTTCATACAAACATGCTGTCATGAACATATTTGGACATTTTCCATGCAAATTATTACAACAGCCAAAAACAATAACTTTCAAGGCTACTGTTTACTCTGATTTGGTACCAATAATATGAAAGCAGCTGATAGTATGAGCTTCATTCAGGAACATCAAAATAGGTTGGTACATGACGGGTTAACTCATCCAATGTGGCATTATGTTGACTGCAGCTAAAAGATGAGAGTAAGTAAAAAAGTGAAAGAGAACAAAATATGGCTAAAGAGATCCCTTGTCAGAAGAAGTTTCAGACAGTGGGAAATAATTCCAAATCTGGAAGAAACTTCGACAAGGTTTCTGTCAGTCATCCTGGTCAGCAGGGATTCATGTGGGGGAATACTTGTCATAAAAGTGACCCATTCTGTCATCTATGGGTATTTGATTGACTTCCAGTATCTGAGTACTGTTTGAACTGTATTTTTTTTTTATATATGACAACAATCTAAGAGCACCTTTTAACAATTCCCTCCTACTGTAAGGTTACAAAAGTTGTCACCCATCACTTCTGCATTCTTTGGTAGTGACCCCCAGTGTCTGTTTGATATTACACAATATATTCCATGTCTGCTTTGGTTTGATCAAATTCACAGAGAAAATGTTGAACAAAGAAAAGAAAATGTGTTCTTTCATAAGCAGCAGCTCCAGGCCTGGAATAATGCCATATATGTGTATATACATTAAAAAACAGTTATTAGTATAATGATAATAGTTATATTGACCGTGTTGAGGTCATATGTTTAATTCTGATATTTGCCCAATACACTACCCACTGAGCAATAGATGGCTGTAAGACGTCTAGTTTTTTTTAGACCTAATATCATCCGTCTAGATTCTGTACATTTATCTATCATATTTTTAGATGGAATTTAGACGTTGCACTTTAACCCATTATTCAATAACTATCTATTTCAAAAAGCAACCGTGAGTTGCATAACTGATCTCCAAGTACTTAACCAAAATGATACCTGTTGAGCAGCATACATTAAGACCTCTGTTAGCAGGCTAGTCTAAACTTGGTCTAAATTTAGACGTCTAAAAAACTTTCATTTTTAGACCTGTGGTTGCCTGATTTTAGACCAGTTTTCTAGGCTACATTTAGACATCTATTAGACCTCTTTTAGACCAAAAAATGTTCTGTGGAAAATGCAGACTTGATATACTTTTTAAACCAATGTTTTTGTCATCTCAGTCCATTGTAAGTCCATCATTAATTAAAAGTAGAATAATTCACCAGGTCTCCAGCTGCAGTCTTTACTCCAGGGAAGGTTTTTAGTACAACCTGGCAGCTCAAACTTTGGCCCCTCTGAATAAATAACATCAATGAATAATGCAACAACCAATAAATCAGCTCACTGCTTAGCCAGTTCAAAATTTTCCACTTGTTTGAGAGCCCATCTTTTAAACTTATTTACAAACTGCACTTGTGTGTCAATAAAAACAGCAGGAGACGCACCTCCTGCTGTGGCACTGGATGTTTTCAGTCAGAGTTATGTGTTCTGCATTAAATCACTTGCTCCCCCACACACACTCACACACACACAGCAATGATTCCCACACATGATGACAGTGGGACCTCCGGGGTCTGGTACAATACTGACTAACAAACACATCAGGGAGCAGCAGAAGAAGACATCAAAACATCGCTGCGGCATCTCTCCGAGTGTCACAGCCAAACCATCAAACACTCATTAAACATTTATTCCGGTGAAAATCTCTTTTCTTCACAAGAAAAATCAGACTCTCCACAGAAAATATGTAAAACCGTCAGAATTTATGCATCTCCCTCAACCTCAAGTTCACCCAGACACAGATTTATTCAATGTGCTGTCTGCTTTCATGTATTTACTCATCTCATGTTTGTGTTTCGCATTGTTATTTATCACACATTCACTCCTCCTTTTTCTCTGAGTGCTGCCTCACCCTCAAGCATTGTGTGGTTGTGGATTTAGCTTTGAGAAATGTTGATTTTTGTGCATGTGTATGTGTGTAGAGTTGAGTCCACATTTTGGCTTTTGTGCAAAAACACAATTAGGACATAAAGACTTTTATGAGTTCAAGTTTCCATGTATAACTTTCTGCTTTACGAGCCCAAATTAAACCAAACCCAGAGCACTGATTATGAGAGTTTAATTTTTAATGCCTTTGCTTTATCTTTGCAGCCAAGAGTTCACTTTATTGGCAAATGTAGAATTAAACAGTCATGTTTTTAATATCTCAAGTGGAGCCGGGTCCAGTTTCAAGTGCAAGCTTCAAGTTGATCTATTTCAACAAGCCAGGGGGGACAAGATTTAAAGTATGTAGGACATATCGGAAGAGAGACTTTCCAGAATATTTACATACAGCCAGTCAGACGTCAGCTTCAATTTCACATAATGCTCTCAAATTTTGCCCCTTTCTACGACAGTGTGAGCATCCAAAATTTTACAGGATGGCACAAAATAAGGGGTTTAGATAGGAATGTTATTATGCAATAGCGGAAACAACATCAAACTCCAACCTTATTCGCACAAGAAATTAATAGATTTGAAGCCTGAGAGTTCACTTTTACTTTATGTTGCACAGACAACCTGTTTGAACTGTTTGTTTCGATTTGTGTGTGTAGGGCGGAGGGAGGCATCACCAAGGGCTCGACTGTGGGCATTCTGCTGGATCTGAGCAAACACACTCTGACCTTCTTCATCAACAAGCAGCAGCACGGACCCACTGCCTTTGAGAGCCTGGACGGGGTCTTTGTACCTGCTGTCAGTCTCAACAGAAATGTACAGGTTGGTGTTTTTTAAATCAGTAAGTATTTTTAGGGGTGTTTGCACTGCTTTAAATTTATGTCTTTATGTGGAGCACTAAATCTTAAATGCAACCTGTGCAACAAAAACACAGGACTGATTTCTCCTTCCTGAAAATATTTTATCTTTTGCAATCAAATATTTGTTTTGCACTTAGAAATCAAATTTAGTTTTTGATATGAAAGTTTTACAGAAAGTGTAAAAAGATTATTCATCATTAAATTACTAATTAAATAGCAGTATTAGACACCAATCATGTTTAACCAACAAATCTTTGAGTATAATTTTTCATTTTCTTATTTTGCCTGTGGTGTCCCCCAAGGCTACATACTCGGTCCTCTCCTCTTCTCCTTCAGTTTGCCTCTACTTAGCCACATTATTTAAAATCACATTATTTCTTTCTGTTTGGTGGATGATACTCAAAGGGGCTCAACTACAACAAACATCTGATTTAAGAAGTAAGTCCTGGATGGATGCAAATTTTTTCTCCTGCTCAGAAAAAGTAAAACTTTTCTTATTTTATTTGGATCATGACATCTGACCAACATTACTCCTCATAATCTGGGCTTGTTGGCCTCCTCTTGAACTACAGCAAGAAATCTTGGTGTCATATTAAGTCCATGAGTAAAGTTTGACGTTCAGATCAATCAAGGAATAAAAGTAAGTTTTATACAGCTCCCAACATTTCCACAAACTCAGAACAACTCTCTGAACTTCTGACTTAAAAAAAAAAAAAAACACTCATGCAGTGATGGAAAAGTTATTCCACTGTGATTACTGCCACGCTTGATACTTTGGTTTCACTCAGTGTTGTGTTATTCTGTCCTGAACTCATTCAAAATGCAGCAGCAAAAATTCTGGCAAGGTCAGCTACGACTGTCTCTTAGCTACAGAGGACCAAGAGTGACAGAGAGCTTTCTTATCTGCACCCAAAGAGTCATCTTTAAACACACTTCAGCTCCCTAGATTCACTGCTCCTCACCAAACCAGTCTGAACTCCTCTTACTTTTATTCTTGTTCTTTTCCAGCTTTGTGACGTTGCACTTTAAGAGGATCAAAGTGGGATTTAAATGTTTTTATTAAGCTTTAAAATTTTCAGAACACTGTAACCTTTTCTTAATCTAGTATCTGTAGCTTTCCTACAAGTATGAAATAATAAAAACCATCAAAAAGACTCCCGAAATGAAAGCATTTATCCAGCACAGCTGACATTATCTATCTTTGATCTGAAGTGTATGTAAAGTGTGTTCAAAACCTCAAGTGGGCTCAAGTGTTTCCCTCCATAACAGGCTTTTTAATAGCTTGTTTGATTTAGTGACAGTGTGTCCTCAGTCGTCAGTGTGTGTTTGCTCTGTGTGTTTGTGCAGGTCACCTTACTGACAGGCCTGGAGGTGCCAAAGAATATCAAACAGTAGAAGATCCATCCTCCCTCTGTACGTGTCCTGGATGTAAACCAACCATGTTGGCTCCCATGGACCTTTTTCCAGTCACATCAGACCTCCTCTCCCATCTTCTCAAGGTGCCCTTTGTTACGGATAAACCTCAGTGTGAAGCCCCTGGAGTTAAAGAATAAATTTAGGCTCATATTTGCTCCAAACATGGTGAGAGAAGTTGGTGAAAATGGATCCAGAGATGACTCGAGTTACTGCCACACTTTTTCCACATCCGAGTTCAAGCTCCGGCAGCGACCTCTGTGTGGAAAAGTAAAGTTCAATTGTTTATCCCAAAAAAAAAAACATGCTGCTTTCAGGAGTCGACCAAACGAGGCAGAAACAGCTTATTTTTAGTCTGTTTCTCTCTCAGGTGCGTTTACAGCTCACATCATAATTCTTGAAAAGTGTTTTGTCGGAGCTGTAGCAGCACTCATGAAATATTTAGAAACTTCATTTTCCCTGCATGGCTTCAGCAGCATTGTTTTCTTATTTTTCCTTCTCATACAGAGTGGCGTAAACATTGTTTGATGTTGATTTTTACACACAAAGCTCCAGTTTGGAAAGAAAAGGCTCAGGTCCATCTCAGTTTCAGGGATGTGACAGATCTGCAGAGTGGGGAATGACTGCGCATGCGTCTTTTCTTTTTACCAGTCCTAAATCTCTAAAGACCAGTTGTAATGGTTGTTATACTGAAGTGGATGGTCATTACAGTTTGTTCAGGGAAAGGAGGTAATTAGAGACACAAATTAGGGACCTGCAGCATAGAAGAAACTATTCTTTTTTTGTAGGTGTTGCAGAAAATGAAAGGAATTCAGCGTTCAGTAATTATGTCAGTGCTGGTTGGTGAAAATTGTCCCCTTCAAACCAAGCCCGACTGTTTTCCCACACATTATGCAAATCCAAGCTTAGCAGCTGCCAGCTGCAGAAATGAGAGCGGTGTGCATCATCTCATCAAACTTATGGCTGGGAAGAAAACAAGGACATTTCACAGACTGTCCTTTAACTTGAATGCAACAAGTAACTGCTTCATCTACAAACACAAGAATGAAGTTTTGGTACTCCTGTGAGTCAGCACCAGATTTACAAGTTTGTTGTACTATTGATATTTTTACTACTCTTTGCTTTAAGTCCATTTATATAGTGAGTTGAAGCTGTTGAGGCTTGAGGCTGTAGCTCTTATTAATGCATTACAACCCAAATATAAACAGGCTGTATGGTGGCCCTAAAGGTCAAAAGCACAAACATTTACTGGCTCAAATTTTTTTTAAGTCAAGGTCAGAAATGTTTCATAAAGCCCCCCAAATATTTATTAAAGCCTTAACAATTCACAAATAAAAAAAAAATATTTTACATGATTTTTTTTTTTCAGGAGATGAACTGTTTTTAAATTTTTGGCACTTTTGTTAAAAACATTTTGCATTTTGTAAATTATTCTAGATTCCGCGAAATACTTTTCAGTTAAGAAATTTCTGTGAAATATTTTTGTATTTTGTCAAATGTTTTTTTAAGTTTCATGAAATATATCTGCGTTAAGGAAGGGGATTTTGACTTCCAATTAATTTCTTTTCTGTTGAGTCATGAAAAGTTTGTGCAGTCGACCTTTTGGGCTTCCGTACAGATGACATCTAGTAGAGCGGCAAGGTTAGGGAGGACTCGATCTTAGAAAATGGAGATAAAGTTGCATGTAGGATGTGTCTAGTTAAACTGGTCTAGAGTGGCTCGACAGCACATGGACCTTAACTTGTGCAGTGGACTGAAGGCTTGTGGTGCTGCTCTGCTGTCTTTAGTCAGCTTCCTATCATTTACATGCAGATCTTGATCCTGCTTTAATGTGTTTTTAAAATTTTGCTTAATTTAAACTGTTTTCTGAGCGTTTTCTATCTTTAAAAAAGTTGCTGAAGCTTTAATTTGTGTTTAGTTGCCTTAAAAGAACCTGAGTTTGGACTGGGTGGATAACTAAACCCCAAACTCTATGATTTTATACCAGCGCCTCTCCATCAAATGTAAACTTTCTGGATATGTTGTAAAATTTATCTCTCACTTTTCAACATCCAGACCTTTGAGCCTCTAACAAAGTTTGAAATAAACTCCAGTATGTAGATCAATCGTCGGCTGCAGAGGATAATGACTGAACCACCTGCATGTCAGAGAGGTTGGAGGTTAAAATACGCCTGCAGCATTACATTAAAGCGTGGACACCCTGAGTTAATTTAGCAGCTCACAGTAGACAAACTGTGTGCGAACATTTTGCACCTCTTCCTGTTGAATAAATCAGAGTGAGGGAACAGGGTCGATCGACTGCCTGCAGGAGAACTTCCTTTTTAGATGTTTACCCCGCAGCCTCTTCCAGGCTCCGAAATGTTTTCACCTTGAGGGAGGAATGTCAGAAAAGCTGAAATGAGGTGGAACTGAGCTGGCCCTAAACTTTTTTTTTTTTTTTTTGTCCTGTTGTTTTATCATATCAACAGCTCCCATAATACATCAAACACAGATGAGGAAAAAGTGTGGCCGCCTCATGGTAATTTTATTCCGCACTCATCTCGCAGTCTCTCTGTAGATTCTCCAACGCTTTCGGGCATCTTTAATCTGTCACACTGAAAACCATCTTGAAAAGTCACATCAGGTAAAGCTACATCTGCTGCTGCTGCTGTATTTCTGCATATCATCAGGGTTCAAATACGGCAGCCTGTAGGGGACAGTAGCTTCAAATATCAACCAAACCACTGTGACTAAGGAAATAAGAAGTTGTTTTCATACCCCTTGTGTATTTTATGACTTATTTTAATGCATCAGAGAATGAGGAGGATTGATTTAAGGTTATTTCATGTTAGATCTTATTATAATATCTGAATTATTTCTATTCCCTGTGATGTGAGCGTGAGAGAGGCGTTCTTAGAGTCACACATAGACCCGCTTTGTTTTTGGTGTGAGTGCAGACCAATTTACTGTAAATACCGATACGTGAGTTATGACTATGACGTGTGATATTAAGCATGGATAAGCATTGAACAAGTTTACAAAATATCTGAAGCTGTATTGTAAATAGTGTACTGTATTACTGCTGTCTTTGCTATGCGTGACGTTCAAGCCAACTGCTACCACAGCTCGCCCTCTGCTGGTGGAAGGTGGAAACAACAACAACATACAGTGCAGACCGGCTGTGTTTTGGTACCTTTAATCTCTGACTTTAAATCCACACGGTGTCAGATCATCTCAAACATTCAATCAGGGACCTAGAAGAGCAGTTATTCACATTTTACAAGTTTTATGTATAATTATGGATTATTAAGATTACAGGCAGCAACTATATCTTACAAAACACTTAATTTTATTCTTTTACATTCACCGTCAATGACAAAATCTTTAAGTATTTCAGAAATAACTGGAATTAGTGGAGTCTATTTTCAATACTAAAGCAGAGTTATCATAAATGCGGAAGCCTGTGGTTACTTTTTTAAATTATATATCATTAGAGTAGTAAATTATGGTTATATATATTCAGACTTTTTGTTGGTTTTACTTACTTTTTTCTCCTTTTTTTATAACAAAGATATACTATTAGAGACGGATGATCAAGCCTGTTTTCAGGGGTTTATTTATGAATCAAAGCTGTTCAGTAGAATGTGAAATTAAGGACATGAACATCCAGGATCAACAAACCGCAGGTGTGAAAGGCTCAACAAGCTAAACTGGCATTCTGCATCTGATGCTGCTTTCATGTGACGCAGGAAAGAGCAGCTTCAATGCACATCTTTGTAGTTAGAGTTGTTTGAGAGGATTCAGCAGTTTCAGGACGACAGAGAAAGATCATCTGGTTTCACACAGCTCCTTTTGAGCATCTTTCAGCTCATTGTTTTGATTCTTGAAGCCTATTAAAGAGTTCTGGCCTTACTCACCTTTATCTATTCAGGGTTATCTTGCCCTCTACATGCATTCAAGTACGAGCTTGAAAGACAAATTTGTTTCTGCTATCATCTAAAGCAGTGGCTGTCAAGTCCAGTCCTCGAGGCCCACTGTCCTGCATGTTTTGGATGTTTCCCTGCTCCAACACACCTGATTCAAATGATCAGCTCGTTATCAAGCTCTGTAATGGCTTACTAACGAGCTCATCATTTGAATCAGGTGTGTTGTGCAGGACAGCGGGCCTCGAGGACTGGACTTGAGAACCACTGATCTAAAGCAACCGTATCAGGCCACTTCAGACATTTATTACAAACTTACAGGATAATATTTACTCTGACCACGCTCAAGTTTCAACCAGGATTAATCTGTTTATAGGCCAACTGAAACTGTCAAGACTAACAGCAGCTTGATCATCTTTCCCACATGACATGAAAGCAGCATCAGCGTAAAATCGGCATCTGAACCTGTTTCCACCGACCCAGAAAGCAAATATCCAAATTCCCCTACAAAGGAAATCTTCTCCTGATGTGCAGCAGACTGCCAGTTACCACCTAAGGGCTACATTTGCATCATGTGAGGCTTTCTGGCTGCTCAGCCTTCATTTCTGATAGTGCTGCCACCTTTTCACACACCAGAGGAGAAACCTGCCCCGAGGTTACCTTCACCCTGACCAGGAATAGATTTCCAGGCCCGGCGGGTCAAAGTGAGACATCTATCATACAGCCACAGGGAGAGGAACTTCAAACTCTGGGTGATTTGGGGGTCACATGTTTGCAGGGTTTGTTGGTGTCAAAGTGGCACAAAGGGGATCAAAGCTAATACAAAGGTGTGAATATTCACCAACAGAGTCCGGGTGAAAATAGGTCATGCCTTTTACTTTCCGAACTCACTGTTTTTTTGTTTTTTTTTAAATGAGACTTTATGTGACGGGTACAGACAAAAAAAAAAAACAATAACAACACACATTAGAGTCACAGTGTAGTCACTCCTTTCTAAGTATGGTATTGTACGAGTGCTTGTTTGGCATGTCCCTTTACCCAACACTTACCCACCCATGAATGTGACATATTTGACTAATAACCTTCAGGATATGGTGCTGGGAAATAAGCATGTCACCGCTGTTCGCTAGTAAACTGAGACTAATGGCTGGTTTATTTACTCTATGAAGTATGTAAATAGATTTAATGACATTATATTTTCTTTTGTATATTGCCCTCATGGATTTACCGTTACTAAAGTCAATGGCTGATGATTATATATATATATATATGAACAGTGTATGGTTGATCGCCAATATTTGCAGGTTTATTTCAACATCCTCCTCGACATAAAACCGGTTTGCTTACAGCTTCAAACTCGTGCAACGTGCCGCAGATAAGCTTCATATTTGCTCGTCTTTCTCGACTTTATACACTCAAAAGCTGCTTTCAAGGAAAACGGTGTGAGAATTGTGACCTCACCCAGCCGCACACTGCCAGATCTCACCTCTTGTTTCGCTGTTATCATCTACGTCGCTCATAATTCATCCCTTTAATCAATAAAACAAACCTGGATCTGGAGAACTTGGTCACGTTTACATTTAGAGAGCATCCAGCTTCTTGAAGCTGTGAAAACGTCGTGTATATAAAGGTTTATATAAAGGGAAAAAGCTTTCTTCATTCGGAGCGTGTCTGTGTTTTTGTCATGAAAACTTCTGCCAAGACTTTATGTGACTCCATTTTTTAATGACCCCCCTCATCTGTCCTGTTATGACCCCCTCCCCTCTTCTTCTTGCCGATGTAAATGTAACTGTTTTGTACGACTACATGGTTTGTATATGAGAAATGCATTGTAACTGCATAATTTTCAAACCTTTACAGTGTAAACACGAGAAACGCAATTGTCTTTTTTTGTCATTTATAAAACAAAATAAATTAACTGTGATGGAAGAACGGTTCGACTCCAGTTTGGTGCATTTACATCCAGCCAGATGGTGCGTTCAGGGTCCATCTGGGAGATCAATGCATTGGATTCATGACTCAGCTCTCTGTCACAGCGACATCCTCTGAGAATAAGTCTTAGAGCTCAGGTTGTTTCCGCTCTCGTGTACCTCTTCGTGATCCAGCAGAAAGCTGAGTCACTGACAGTCTGATAAATCTTCTTCTTCTGTTCTGGAGGATTTAATTCTGGCTCCAAGCCTCCACAGAAGTCCTAACACGTCTCCTTTCTTTTGAGGACGTCACGTTTGAAGTACACAGACACACTCACACACCTATTTGCTCCTCTTGCCTTTGATTTTCTGGATCTCCTTGGAGCTGAGGATCAGCATGCCGTTCTTGAAGCGGCCCACTTGACCCGAGGGGGCTGTCCCTGGACCTGAGGAGACTTTCTTACTTTTGTCCCTAGTGAAAAAAAACACAGATTTTAACTTCTAAAATGCAACAACAACACCTCTAAGAATGTTTGTTTGTTGAGCTTACTGATGTTAAAAATAATAAAGAGATAAATGTGCACAATATTTAGATAAAATACAGATTTAAGGACACTGATAAGAAAAAGCAATCTTATCACCCTGTAAACATGAGTCATCAAACCCCACAGATACTTATGGACAGATATAAAGAGTTAAAATAGCTGCTTTACTCACTTTTGATTGGCCTTTTTCTTCTTTTTCTTCAGCTCCTGCAGAGAAATAAAAACAGGCTTTTACAGGAAGAAAGACACTTGTTTGATAAATAAAACAATGTGTACTTTGTGTTTGGTCTACTTGTGCTCTAATCCAGATTGGCTCTGTACTCTCTCTCTCTCAGCCATCGAAATCCACCAGCTGCATTTTTAAAGGACAACACTGAGCAGCGTATCTGAACAAACAAAGGATTTCTGCATTTCACAATGAGCTCTGAAAACCTCTGACTTGTTGACTCCAGGCCTGACTCTGCTCACTATGAAAGTTAATTGGATTAGTTAAACTTGCGCCGACACACAGCGTCTTATTTTGAAAAATGAACTGGATGTTTAAATGTTGTTTTGGTGTCTGACTTCCTGTCTTCCTCAAGCAGGTTGATGCGTCGGGCTTCTGAAGGAAGCTAACTAAAGCTGAGTGTTGCAAAGTGTCTTAAAATAAAGTCAGAATAACATTAAAAGACAAATTTAATCAACTGTGATGACCATATTTTTTGCTGGGACTCCGTCTCTGATAAGTTTTACAGGTTTAAGATGGACAGCATGGCAGCCAAACATTCTGAGCAAACAGCCTGCCTTCTTTGTTGTAACCATCAATTTCACGACACCTTTAAAACTCCTCATTGCAGCTTTAAACTCTTCAGACTGAGTGACTTTGCAGCTCTTACCGGGTTAACCTCCTCCTTTGCTTTCAGCTTCTTCTCCTTGATTTGCTGCTGCAGCACCTTGTAGTTCACGTACTCCTTCTTAGGAGGCTGTTAAAGACACAAGTTGTGAGTTGGTCACTTGGTGTTGTAAATGTCTGAACTGCTCAACTGTTCAGTGTTTATTAAATATACATTCGTTCTTACTCTGGCTCCCAGCATGACGGCTCTGTCCTGCTCAAAAACACGCTGTTGCTCTTTTTTATAGCCGGTGATCCCAAACCGATGGACCTCAAGACGAGCCTGGAAAAGAGGTACAAAAACACAGTTTTAAGATAGGAGACAGTTTTAAATGAGTGATAATTATTTTCAATCCAGCATTCAATCACAGACATATCCAAAAAAATAAACACCCAACTGTAAAGGAGCAGAAACGGTAGCACATCAACAGTTTCAATCCTGCACTGAACATCAACAACATAAAAAGAGACAAATGTGATAAAACCGTCACCTTTTCTAAACTCAGTTCTTCCGACTGGCTGCTTTCCTTCTTCTCCGTTGTCTGAAGAGCCTTAAAGTGAGGACAGCGAGCACCCAGAGGCAACAAAGACAAGAGGAGAGGGAAAAAGTGAAGTGAATGAATCATGACAGGAAGAACACAAACAGAGGAGGAAGTCTTGGGGTCACACAGACCATGAAGGAGGTGAGATTTAAAAATGTCAAATAGGAGAAAGTGGTCTAAAAGAGGGGAAGGTAAAAATGTTTGCTTAACAGGAGGCTAAGAGATCATAGCTGTATTTTCCCCTCTGGTATCTACTCTCTTTTTCTGACTTATAATTGTGTCATTATTACTTTTTTCCAGTCAAGCAATGCTTTTCATGAGCTGTAAACATTCAAAAGCTACAACCCTATACTAATGACACACAAAATCAGAACATAGTGTCAAATTTTAGATGCTGAAGATCATTTTTTCGAGAGCTATTTTGTTTTTGTGTGTTTTTTTAAATCCTGCAATAGTTGAAAGGATGGTCAAGAACCCTTATTATTACACCTCCTAATAGGATTTGGCTCCAATCATGAGTCTTACATGTACTTTTATCAGCCTCACCAGCTACCGATAAAGGATTCAGAGTAAGATAAAGCAGCATAAGCTTACAGGTTTTTTCTCGGGGGCTGCCATTTTGTTTGTTTTCTGTTTCTTCCTGGGATCCTGAAATGTCACCACCTTTACCTGCGGCGTGGTTTGACCTGAAGAATAAGAAAGGTCTCAGTGAACAACGTGAGTCAATAAAATGTACATCTGTTACACATTACTGTGGTTGTAATACTTCTACCAACCTGTTTGTTCAGAGTTTGTTTGTTGCTGCTGTTTTTCAGCACTGACATGATGTGCTCTGTTGTCTTCAGCGCCACTGCAGGTATTTGCAGTTGCAGGGGAGCCTTCCTCCTCTTCTTCGTCACATCTTTGTCGTTTTTTCTTCTTCTGATACTTGTTTTTCTTCTTTGATGCTGGTCCATTACCTGCACAACATCACACAACATGAGCATGAAGTAGATCTTTTGATTTCACTGCAGTCCTGAGAGCTTTCTACCAAAACCAGCATTAATGTGTTTAGCAGTTTGAGCCCAAGTGGCTGTTCTGTTGGCTCTTTCAGTGATCATAATACTATGGCTTATCAGTGTATACATGTTTATATACAGTTGAAACCAGAAGTTTACATACACTATATAAAAAGGCACATAACCTTTTTTCCCTTACTGTCCAACATTAAATCAGATTAGATGTTTTCCTGTTTTTGGTGTTTACATACATTTCATTAGTATTCAGTCGCTGCCCTTTATGACTCGGGTCAAATGCTCTGGATATGCTTCCACAAGCTTCTCACAATAGTTTGCAGGAATTTTGGCCCATTTCTCCCGACAGACTTGGTGTAGCTGAGCCAAGTTTGTCGGCCGCCTTGCTTGCGCATGACTTTTCAGTTCTGCCCATAAATTTTAAATAAGATTGAGATCAGGGCTTTGCGATGGCCACTTCAAAACACTGACTTTGTTATCCTTACGCCACTTTGTAACCAGTTTGGCAGTATGCTTAGGATCACTGTCCATTTGGAAAACCCATTTGCGCCCAAGCTTTAACTTCCTGGCTGATGTCTTGAGATGTTGCTTCTGTTTTTCCACATAATGTTCTTTCCTCATGATGCCATCTATTTTGTGAAGCTGCAAAACAACATGATGCTGCCACCCCCATATTTTACACTTGGGATGGTGTTTTCAGGCTTGCAAGCTTCCCCTTTTTTCCTCCAAATGTAACAATGGTCATTATGGCCAAAAAGTTCCATTTCAGTTTCATCAGACCACAGGACATGTCTTCAAAAATTAAGGCCTTTGTCCCTGTGTGCATTTGCAAACTGTAATCTGGCTTTTTATGTTTCTTTTGGAGTCATGGCTTCTTCCTGGAAAAGTGGCCTTTCAGCCCATGTCGGTACAGGACCTGTTTCACTGTTGATAATGATACACTCGTACCAGCTTCAGCCAGCATCTTCACTTTTTGCTGGGCTTTTGCTGATGTTCTTGAATTGATATTCACATTTCAGACCAAAGCACATTAATCTGGAAATTTCACTCAAGGATGAACCAGACTTGTGTAGGTCCACAATTCTTTTCCTGATATCTTGGCAGATTTCTTTTGATTTTCCCATGATGTTACACAAAGAAGCAGTGTGTCTCAGGTGTGCCCTAAAATACATCCACAGGTGTGCCTCTAATTAATTCAAATGTTGTCAATAAGCCTATCAGAGGCTTCCAAAGACTTGATATCATCATCTGGACTTTCCCAAATTGTTTAAAGGCATAGTCATCTTAGTGTTTGTAAACTTTTGACTCTCAGGAAAATAATAAAAAATTGTCTGAAAAATTCTCTCTCTAATTATTTTGGCATTTAGCAAATAAAAATAATTTTGGTAATCTTACTTGACCAAAAACAGTAACAGTTTAATCTGAATTAATGTTGGAAGGTGAGTAAAAAAAGGTTATGTGCCTTTTTATATAATTTATGTAAACTTCTGGTTTCAACTGTATGTAGGGTAAAGGCAGAGATAAACATTCACAACACAAGTATGCAATGACAATATGTTGGTTAGTAACTGCAAACAACAGAACTGGTAAGATTTCGACATTTGGTGAAGAAATTTAACAAAATAAAAGCTGGGAGGGACTGTTAAACTCATGTCATGATGAATGCTTTTTTTTTACTTGCAAATAAGAGATTTTTTAACTTAAGTCGTTGGTAAGTAGAGTATGTATAACTCTAAGGCGTTTGAAAGCATATAAGTGATGTACCTTTGGCAAAGAAAATGTCAAATTTTCTCTATAAGTTTCAGAAAAGGTGAGCGTTTGATAACCACTGGAATGGTGTTTTGGTTTAAAGATTGACCGTGTTAACTGACGACCTCCGACCAAATGTGCTTGTCGAAGTTAATATTTCCACAATTTACTAAGTAGAACTGTTATTTAGAGAGTCTTCAAATCCTGGTTTAGTTTTTGTTAACTTTAAAATGAACTTATCAAATGCGCCTTAAACAGAAAACAAGGCCTACATTCGTTTAATAGTTACCAGATAACATGGTCACACGTTAAGCTATAACACCGTCCAACGGTTAGCTCTTGGTAATGTTTAGCCTACTGGATGCTGGCGACAATAAGCGTACGTATATTATAATTTTAAATGCCATAACAAATAAGAAAGCGTTTTAGGACGTTTCAGGAGTTAAATTATCACAACAGCTTTGTAAAAGAAACATCAGACCCATAAAGAAGCTAGTCAGCCTGCTAGCTCGCTGCACTAACCGAAGTCATACAGGCTATCCAGAACGCGTTCAAGAAAGGCACGATCTTCGTCTTCTTCCCCGTTTGTCTTTGTGCTCATTTTGAGTGAATAGCAGAAGTATGTTATCCGGAAAACAAGTTTCTATGCTCGTGAAAGATGAAGCAGTACTTGCTCTGGGTAAGTGTCAACAAATCGTACGAACACGTGGGACGCGCATCAGAGCAAGGTTTGTCCTTTCCGGCTGCCGTAGTGCGGAAGTAGCTCGGTTGACAACACGCCCATGTGAAGTTGTGCGGGCGCTGCCTTCACGGAAAAGTGTTTTTTAAATTTGGAAGAACTGTTACAATACTGACTGCACTTTTGATTTTACTGGATGCAGCGTGTGTGTGGTCGTGCTTAGTAATTTAGTATGGCATCTAAAGCTGTTTACACGGTATGTAACGTGTTTTATTATGCTGAAGAGAGCTAAGCTAACCTCTGCTCTGTGAACTTCGACATTTTAACTTAAAGTCATGGTACTGTCAATTTAATATCCTGTTACTTTTTCATTTTCATAGCATAGAGACCCTATGCTGAAGAAAAGAGATGATTTTGAAGACATTTTGGAGGAGAGGAGGAGCTCGAGTGACCTGAGATACGCCCTCAAGTGTTACACACCTGTCCTCTACAAAGGCCTGACTCCCTGTAATGCCAGTCTGCTGAAGGGGATGGTGCTGCAGTCTGATCAGCTGCACTATGTCATCAGTCAGGTAACACTGAGACAGGGGCTGACAGGCTCGGTTATTCTGGTTAAACCTGATATAAACATGGTCAGAGCAGCCGAGAGAGGACCTGCTACCTGTGGAGGTTTCAGTCATCAGTAAACCAAGAGACCAAACTAATCCCTTTATTAAACTAAAATTGGTATATTCAGTTATAATAACTTCAGAATTTGTCTCAGTGTCACAAAAAAGGAAATTCATGTTTTGGTGAGAAACTCAAACAGCGCAGTTTTTTAGGACATATTTTCCAAGCAATATGCTCAACAATATTTTTTATCAGATTTATACAGATTATACAAAGGAAACACATTACAAACACCCCCTTTCCCTCAAAACCCTGTCTACTGCTGGATATTCCTATTACTTTACTTAAAGCTATAACAAAAATAATATAAATAAATAAATTAAAAAAATACAAGTAAGTGCTGGAATTCGGGTTTTGTAGATCTTGAAATACAGAAGATGTTGAGGAATAAAAAGTAAAAAGAGTATATGTTAAATGAACTACTGTGCGTTAAGAGAAATACAAATATAGAAAAGTCGCTGAAAACTGAAAAAGTCCATAAAAGAGAAAAGAATTTTAATTGAATGCTAATAAAACATCACAGAAATATATTTAAAAAAGAAAACAACTGGAAGACGAGAGTGCTAATTCAAAATGATGAGAGTTTCTGAATGTGGTCTAGGAAAGGTCCCCAGATCTTAGCAAATTTTCTGTCAATGTCTGCAACCAAGTAACAAATCTTTTCAAGGCCTAAACAAGACATAAGGTCTTTCAGCCACTGACTGTGACCCAGGCAGCCCTTATTTTGCCTAGGTGATCATGTCTTATATCAACTTATTGTATATTATGGAAATGAGCCCTTTACTTGTTGGTTGTAATTGAAGCACATCATCGACAATGCTTGTATCAGATGCTACAGGAAAGTTTTGTACCTGAGAACGGATGACTTTTAAAGCACTTTTCATACATGGAATGTAGCACAAAGTGCTGTCCATTCAAGCAGGATATTAAAAACAATAAAGTAAAATAAATAAATACAAAACCGCACACACCCTCCCAACCCTCATTCAACACATACAGCACTCACAAACTCACACACACAGATGCATCACAAAAGATCAGGTGAGGACTCTTCAACTTGCCACAGATGACTGAGGAACCACTATCTTAAGTTAAAAAAGATGAGGAAACACTGGATTAAAACGATAAAACCATAATAAACACAATAAAGGTGATGAAGCGTTAAAAGTTAATTAAATAAAACAGTCTTAAAATCAAACAAATACAGAAAGTAAATTTTAAAAAAAGGTAATAAAACACAAAATAGTTACTCTAGGACTAAAATAGGGTAAAATCACATAATGCAGATTAATAGATTAAACTCAACTAAAAGTCAGACTAAAAATGTAGGTATTTAGCTTAGTTTGAAAAATGTGAATGGTAGATGTCGCTCTCAGGTCTGCAGGTAGGCTGTTGAAACAGTGATACACCATATGTGTTAGTTGGGTAACAATTTAAAAGACCACCAATTTCAGTAAAAGGGCTAGTATATTGTACAAGTGTCATGTCAAAAAAAGGGTATTAGAAAATTGAAAAATAAACTCTAAAGTTATGTATAGTAAAGTATTTTCATTGTTGCTTTAGGTTGTAGGGTCTTTGTCAACCCATCTTTTTAAAGGTATAAATAACTAAATAAAACTATTATTATATAGTTGAGATTTAATAAATTGTTATTAATTTGTACGTAAACCCATGAAATTACAGTTTTTCTCAGTCACTTTGGTGAATCTCTCACATCAGTATTAACATTTGCACAACAGTTAGTGCATTTCTCAAAACAATTAGTGCAAACTGCAAAACCTTGTGGATAACCTGCGAAAGTGCGTCATTTGCTCAAAATGAATAGTTGATTCCTCAAAAGCAAGTATTCAATGAAAGTCAATACAAGTGTCTGTGTCATCAAAATCCTGACACCATTATTTATAAACAAGACAGTCAAATGGCTTTGCCGTGTTTTCATTATAACACTTTACTCTCTCTGTGTTTTCCAATGCAAAAAAGTCAGATCTTGGTGACACTACCTGAAAATGCTCAAGACAGCACTATACACTACCAGGACAGCCATTTGAAAACTACAGTAAAGTTACACATTACTGTATTTAGTGAGGTAACTGAGTACAAGACGCATTTATGTTTCACATATTTACTGCATATGCTCTCTGCAATTCTACAGCATTGTGCAAAAAAAAAAAAAAATCACAGTCACTTATTTAGAACAAACATAAGAAATACCATTTTGGTACAACTGTGAACAAATGTGAACAATATAACAGTACATATCACAGTAAATGATGCTGACCTTCCATTTTTGTGTCACAGCATTGTAGAAATGGTACACACTATGTCCTGCTTGGTCTATATATGCTTGCCAAGTGAGGGTTCATGGGATTCAGCTCTGAGTGACTGTGGACAAAGGCTTGTCATTGGTTACAACTAATACTTCAAACATCTCCTCATGTGTGCCAGCTGAGGTTCACCTGAGAGCAATTGTTCAATTTAGGAGACATTTGCAGGAACAAAAATGATAAAGGAATATTTGAAATCAGCTTGACATATTTTGACAACTAGTTCAACAATTTTGTATGTAAAGACTCAAGCAATAAAATGAGGACTATTAGTTTTATAGGAAATGACTATTCAGCATTCAAAAGTATAGTTCATTTTGACTGACATGACATCAGCAAATGATAATAATATTGTATGAAAGTAATTGATACATGTGCACAAATGACTCAGTGTTGTGGAGGTTGAACTGATAGTTGTGAGAGCTTTCATTCTGATCTGAGAAATGCACCAAGGCGACTGAGAGAAACTGTAATTGTAAGTTTAAATGATTACGGTTCAACAATTTAAATTTCAGAAAATGAGCAAGGTGAGTAAATGTAAGTCTTAATTTGATTCGTGCAGATGTCTAAAGGGACAGGCAGAGCCACTGATGACATCCAGGAGGAGGCGATGGCCATCCTGGACGAGATGGCTCACTCCCTGCAGCTCAGCACCATTCGCTTTTTCGCCTTCACGCTCAGCAAGGTGTTCAAGACTCTGTTCAGGAGCATCTGTGTGAATGAGGAGGGCATCCAGAGGGTGAGGACACACACACACACACACACAATGAAAAACTCCATGAAGGAGACTGGTAAATGAAAAAATGAATGATCTCTTTGTGTTTGGTGGTCTTAGCTCCAGCAGGCCATTCATGAGCACCCTGTGGTCCTGTTACCCAGCCATCGAAGCTACATGGACTTCCTGTTGATGTCTTATCTCTTATACACCTACGACCTGGCTCTGCCTGTCATTGCTGCTGGCATGGGTTTGTACAAAAAATGTCATTTTTTCCAGTTTTATTTAGTTAAATTTAGTGGACCTGTGAAATTGATGGAATATTTTATGCCACAGTTGTTTTCCTCTAACTGTTTGTGTAAAGATATTTTGTTGGATTAAATCAGGGGCACAATCACTTCTCACTTTTCACGCAGCATCAGAATTTGCACGTTAACTTACAGTCTTCCTGTCTCTGCAGACTTCATGGGGATGAAGTTTGTCGGGGAGATGCTGCGGATGTCGGGAGCTTTCTTCATTCGGAGATCGTTCGGCGGGGACAAACTTTACTGGGCTGTTTTTTCAGAGTACGTCAAGACCATGCTCAAGGTGAGGACGCTGTTTTTGACATTATGGGGGGAACCGCCACACCTTCTTGGCCTGTTGTGTAGGCCATACGTCTTCTTTTACTCAGACATGTCCTCTTTTTGGGGGGCTATCTGGCCTTGTAAGGGGGAGTTTATAAAATTCTTACAATGTCTGGGGATTTGTATGTAAGTTTTAAGTTTGTGTCACGTGGACTTACTGAGTTAGAGGTGTGTAAAAAACACTCGACCCGACCTGAAAAACTCAAAATTTACTACGCGCATCTCTGGCATAGTCGTGTCCTCTTTTTGGGGATTTAGAATATGGTCACCCAACTGTTGTGTTCTTTCACATGAATAATCACTAAGAATGAACACAATCCATGCATTTCTGTTGTATTATTATTTCTGTGTCTGCTACATTTAAAAAGGTTGATATTTTTTTTTGTGATAATCCAATTTTGTGTCTTCAGATTGGATTTGCACCAGTTGAATTTTTTCTAGAGGGAACCAGAAGCAGAACATCCAAATCTCTGACTCCAAAATTAGGTGAGACACAGTCAAAGTCTGTCTCAATGTATCCATGTGTCATCTGTCAAACATCTTAAGTATATTAAGATCTACTTTACAGTCTCCTCAAAGTCGAAATCTCAACATAAATGTCCTCACACACTCTTAAATATCCGTCAGAGTTCGTTCATTGGTGGTATTTTCCGTCATTCCATCCTTGTGTCTTCCTCAGGTTTGTTGAATATCGTCATGGACCCGTTTCTTAAAGGGGAGGTGTTTGATGTGAATTTAGTCCCTATCAGTATCAGCTATGAGAGGATCCTGGAGGAGTCTCTTTATGCCAGAGAACTGCTTGGTGTTCCCAAACCTAAAGAGTCCACATCGGTAAGTCGTAGAACCTCTATCCCTGTCTTGAAATTGTGAGTCTTATTCGGCAACGTAGAACCATAAACACACAGTGGGTTGATCCTCTTTGTATGACTGAATCTGCCTCTCCGGCTTCTCTCCTCTCTGAAGGGTCTGTTCAAAGCCAGGAAGGTCCTCAGTGAAGATTACGGCAGTATCCACGTGTACTTCGGTCAGCCTGTGTCTGTCAGGAGTTTAGCTCAGGGGAAAGTGAACCGCTGCCAGTTCAGCCTGGTGCCCAGGTACGCTACAGCAACACTTCATGTCATCTACAATTTATAATTTGACCTTCAGCCGCTAAAAGCTCTTGATATTTTCCAGACATATCCCTAAGAGGCCCAGCGAGGAGATCCACAGCTTTGTGAACGACTCGGCCTACAAACTGGTGCGGGCGCAGGAGGAGAACATGGTCCTGAAGCCGTGGGTCCTACTGGTCTCTCTGCTGCTCCAGAACCACCACCAGAATCAGGGGTCAGCAGATGCAGGGCAGAGGAAGGGGGTGGCGCTGGATGAGCTGACTGCACAGGCTCTGTGGCTCAGAGACCTTTCCCGGGAGTACGGAGCCTTCCTGCACTGGCCTGGTACTGCATGAACCCAGTACTCCTACAATACTGACAATTGACACGTAAACCCTGCATGAATAACTCTCCTCATTTGTTCCTCTCTCTCTCTCAGACCACACGCCTCCTTCAGAGGTGGTTTCCTCCAGTCTGTCTCTACATCAAGGTCTGGTGAGGATCTGTGAGGGAAGAGTTCACCTGGCTGTGGAGCAAGGTCAGGATTTGTTGTTGTTTTATTTATGTGTTTCGTATCTTGATTTCTTCTCTTATTTTATAAGGACAGTCCTACACATTTCCAGTGATCGTGTGTTATCATGTAGCTGAGTCACCAAACCCAAAGTCTGAGTCGAGTGGAATAGAACAGCCAAATAAAAGCAGAGGGACACTTTTTATCAATCACTAAAGTCATCACTGCTCAAGTCTATTTACAAGTCTGGAAAATTAGGACTTGAAGTCAAACTTTTCTCCTGATTTTCTCTAAACACTAATGTAACATAGTCCCATAAAACACTTATTTAGTGTGCAGTGACTGATTATTTTCAGTATTCTATTTTGTGAATGGTCCCAGAACATTGTGGCTTTTTAAAAGAAAGGCTTCACTGAAGAGGTATCGACCTAGAAACGCCACAAACTCAACAAGATCTTTGAATCAACCAAAAAAATGTCCCATCCTTGCCCAAACCAGATTATTTTCCCTCCAGGTCCCTTTGAGGGCTCTGTGGTTGTGTCTGCAGTTGAGGAAATCTTAAAAGATGAAGTTTTTATCCATCCTTTGTCCGTAAATGTTGTCTTACAGCAGCAGCAGGCGTTGGCCAGCCTCAGGGCACCGTCACTCCAGAGGAGGAGCTCCTGAGCCAGGCAGTGGTCATCTTGTCCTGTGTCTCCTACAGAAACCAGGCGTTGCACGTCTTCCTTAGACCGGCTCTGCTGGCCTCAGCCATCCACACGGCCTCCTCCAACAACAAGCGTAAGAACCGTACTTCTGTTTACCTTCTTGACATGCATTACTTCCTCCTGATTCAACCACACAGGCCCTAAGTACGAGAAGACCACAAAATTTATAGTCGTTTTATTACAGTTTTACACAAGTGTGCCATAAAAGCTGCTTAGTCTTCAAGCATTAAAGCAAGTGTCTGTTTCTTCTCCCGCATGCTAATGATTGTGTGTTTTCCAGAGGAGGTCTTCAACAGCTTCAGCTTCCTCAGAAACATGTTCTCCAACGAGTTCATCCTCTGTCCTGGAGCTACAGTGCAGGTGAGGAGCAATGTTTCTGCACCCTGGTGTCTGTAAATACAGCCAGACTCACCTGTAGTTCCTACATTTAGACATCCAGTCAAAGTTTTATCTTCCACTCATGATTTGTAGGACTTTGAGGAGGCCTGTTACCTGCTGATGAAGACCGGAGCCCTGCAGGTCACCCAGCAGGAGGTTCTGGTGACAGAGAGTGGACACAGGACCGTGGCCTTCCTCACCAACATGTTAGATCCATTTTTACAGGGATACCAGGTGATTATCAGACTTTCATAAACAGTATTTCAATCATATGTGACTTTGATCCACCTTGAGTTTGACCTAAGAGATGTTTCGACATGCGTACCTTTTCTGTGTGTGATCTCAGGTGGTGTGCAGGTTCCTGTGTGAGGAGGCGACTGACTCTCTGACTGAAAAACTGTTCATTCCTGCTGTGCGGAAATTCATCATCAAACTTCTTCTCGAAGGTTTCTCCTTTAATTTAAAGAAGTTTCATCAGTCAGATGTAGGGCTGGGCGATAAAACGAAAATGTACAGATACCGAAATTTATGACAATTTACGTCGTCATTTTGCCCATATCGGTATATTCAGTGTCAAAAAAATAAATAAATCAAAGTTGGTGTTGGATGTGTGTTGGTAGGCTATGGTTTCATGTCCCTTAAAGACGCTGTCCTACGTCAGAGACATGACTCCACCCCATCCAGTCCGTAACAAAGAGGGAAAGACAGGTGTGGAGATGGAGGGCTGTTCAAAAGTTGTAGCGGCTGAAGTAGACAAAGTTAATGTGGGAGAGGGTGAGGAGCTTGTGGAGTAGTAATCGTCCATTTATCGTTACCGAGGTGAACTGCTCAATATATTGTGATATTGATTTGAGGCCATATCGCCCAGCCCTTGTCAAATAACTTATTACCATGTTTCACCTTTGATAGGATGTGCTAAATGTGATTTTGTGTTTATCAGGGAGACTAAGATACGCTGAGGTGTTGTCCTCCGACCTGCAGAAGAATGTTCTGGCAGCTTTGCTCAGACTTGGAGCTGTACAGAAAGTTAAAGGGTATGTTTGTTTTGATCATCTGTGTGTGCCTGTTTGGTGGATAGATAAACAGTATTAACTCCACTCACGGCAGAAGACGTCAAAAGTGGAACTTTTTTTATTTATTTATCTATTTATTTTTCTGTAAATAATTAAACACTTCAATTCCTGGTCCTCAGAGCGGCGCCAGGGACTCTCAAGATCAACACTGTGATGGTGAACTCACTGGAGGACACTCTGGGTGAGAAACGAGCTCTCAGTGAAAAGCAGAAACCAATTTTGGGCTTTTCAGGCCTTTTTAAATAAATCACAAATGTGTTTTTTTTTTTGTTTGTTTGTTTAGGAGGAAAACTGCCCACTCAGAAAACCGTCTCAGCTCGCCTCTAAACCAGCGACCTCACCTGGCGACTGACGGTTTTTACCTTCAATGGCGTAACATTAATGAAATTCTTTCTAGGAGAGGTTAAACCTCAGAGTTTTCTTGTCCTCTCTTATGACTCCTCTGAAAACCTTTTTTACTCATTGATAAAACAGACAAGGAGTTGGCCTTTTGGAAGCTTCATTTTGCAAAGCTTTCTGAGTAACCGACCTTTTGCTACGAGCGTCTCTGTGTGAAAGCTTCTGAATGTGCTGACTCTACTTAAGAGGCGTCTATTCTGCATTAATGCGTTTGATATGTATCCTCTAACACTCAGCGGGCTTTTCTTTGTGCCGTTTCTCTCTCTGCTTTTCCTCTCCGCTTCGGTCTGTCTCTCAGGTCTCATCTGGATTTTGTTTGAGCACTTTAATCTATTTATTCATGCGGTGTGGACCTAACTCTTTTCACCGACTGTTTTCTCAGTTTTTTCGTGTTGCTACATTTGTCAGGTAAGAGGAATTTGTTGGTTACATATTTTTTTCTTTTGGTGAAACGGTTTTCTGTTGCATTGTACGAACAAAAGAGTTTGTATATTTGAGTTGGATTTGCCACAAAGCCAATATCTACTTGAAGAAAAGCTTGCTCGAGTTTGATTTAATCCACTGCTGTTCAAGCTTTCAAAAGGAAAAAAAACACTTCATTTGTCATTTGTTTACACAGAGGGGAAAAACTCTGGAAAAAATCGCCAACATGAAACTGCAGTTTTTCACGCCAAAGATACAAGTCCGTTTAAAGTAAATCTTATTTTTCTGCTGTTTTTTAAGTCTTGAATAGTTGTCGAAGTTGCTTCAAAAGTTGCTGATATAACCAGGATCTCAAAGAAAGGAATCAGAGGGTAGAAAAATAGGAAAAGAGGTGCAGATTCTGTTACCGAACGGTCACAAATATTAAAAGGAAAACAGGTCAGCTTTAAAAATACCTGCAACTTTATCACTCAGGATTACTCACTCTGAGGAGTGTGGGATATGTTCGATATTCTCTGTTAGATTAGTGCCCTCAACCTTTATTTCAAAGCTATTTATTTGGTATTTAATGGACAGTGTTGTCATGGTAACCTTTGTAATCACAGTCCAGTGTTGTCAGCAGGTTGCTGTTCGCAGGATAAACTCCCATTAGTGACACTTAAACTTATGTTTCTTATTTTGGCTTTTAAGAGTTAAACACCTACTAATTTAACATTAACATTTTGGGAAAATATAACTTTTGTCTAAAGATTTTTTTTTTTACTTGCCCAAAAGCTAATAATTAAAATAAAGGAAAAAGTTGCCAATATTTGTGAAATCTATGTTGCAGTGAAACCAGTCACTGGAGCTGCATGCTTTTACATTTAATTGGCCAAAAATCCCTGAAATAGTTTAAAAATCCAGGAAACACACTGTCAGTGTTTGTGAGCCAAATTTTTCACTCCACTTGAATTTCTGGGAGCTCAAACTCTCGTTCTCACTGAGGTTAACTCGTCTCACACTGTAGCACCTTTGTAAAACAACAACCTGCCAACAGCACACCTCATCCAAAGTGAGCGTATTGGTGCATTAAATTTTTTTGTTCAGCTTTTATGATGTGATGTCTGAATAAGTGTCTCTTTCGCATCTTTGTAAGTGTGTGTGCGTTCCTACACGTGTGTTTGTTGAGGCCTTTTCATGCCTAATGTACAGGCTGATGAAATATAAAAGCATGTTAATAAAGTGTTTGGTTATATAAAGGTTGTTTTTCGTCTTGTGCTGAACTCGACTTAAGCTGTTTAAAATTCCCTCCATCATCCTGGAACGTCCGTCTCTGTCTGTTTATAGTCAAAGCTCTGGTGACGGACCGCTGAGAGACGCTCTTTCATGTTTCTCCATGAAAGACGATGTAGTCATTTTTAATTACAGTGATGTGTTTACTCCAATAAAAAAACAAGTTAGAGTTTTTATACTTTATCCTCTCGGGTGATCAGCTCTTTAAATGCTGCACACAGAATCAGCTGGATTTCTTGATTGACAGCCACCATACCAACACGGAAAAACGGGGGTACTGTGGAAAAGATGATGAAAAGGAATTTAAGGGTTTACAAATATTTTAAACCTTGGATTTAATTGGAAAAAATGCAAAGACACATAAAATGTTGAAACAGGAAACAGTTATTAATTCCCAATTCGCAGAAAAACAATTTTGATAGTAGTTTTGAGGCGACGCAGTGATTTCCACCACAGAGGCATTTCTTTATTTAAATGCAGTACCACCTGAGAGTCCAGAGATCACAACCATCCAGTCCATGTGTCCGGTCTTGTCCCTTTTGTGCAGAAATTCCCCGAATCTTTTAATGATATTATGAATTGTAGATAAGTGGTCGACTGATATCAGTTCTAATAATGAGACTGCAGGTTGGCTGATATCTAATATAATGCTGATATTTTTAAATGTAATAATGCAAATTCAAAACAATATTGCTGAACTGCAAGTGAATTATTAGCCAAGTGTATAGAGACAGAAAAATACTGGGCTCAGTGAGATATTGTCACAAGACACTTATGAAATTTGACCCAGCTATCTGAAATTGGTAAAGAAATATATATATAAGGTGAATATTAACACTATTATAGATAAACTGCATTGTCAAATATATAAAGATTTTTATAGCGCTTTATCAGAGACCCTCCTAGTGCTTTTACATTGGAATATATCTCCGACCACCACCCCACAATACTCACAATCATACACCAGTAGAGGACACACTCTGGGAGCAAGGTGGGTTAAGTGTCTTGCCCAAGGACACAACAAACATACTCAGGATAGAGGGGAATTGAACTGCTAACCTTCCAGTTATTGGACGACTGCTCCACCTCCTGAGCTACTGCCGCCCTATAATAACAGAATTAACATGAAACACTGGTCAGGCTTGCATCTGCTACGCTGTCAATTGCATTTTTCATTTGCAGAGATAATGGTGATATCGACCTTATGGGGGCTGATACCACTAGGACGCTGATTATATCAAAATGGTATCAATCAGCTGACACATTAATCAGTCAATGATGAAATCCTTATGTGTTATTTTATTTTGATTTCTATTTACCTTCAAAACAAACAAATCTTCACTAATAAAAATAAACATACAACCACAGCATTTAAATGTATTACCACATTAAAAAAAGAAGTTTTGAAATAATCAAAAGTTTTAACATCACATGTTCATTAAATGTGCTTTCAAACTTATTTCCAACAAATAATCACACACAAAACCAGCCTCTAGGTGTCAGACTTGCCCCTCTCTGAGCAGCACTGTCATGGCAGGTTGTTGATACACACACACTTGTACACACACACACACACACTCAGTACACACCATCACAGCAGCATTTTTCATCATGTTTTGTGGCGCTGCTGCTGAGTAAGGGACTGCTGCCAGCAAATCCCCCCTCTCTCTCCATCCATACTGCCCTTTCTCTCATACTCACTCAGGCTCTGACAAATTATGGGTTCATCTAAAGTTGCCACAACAAATTGCTTATACACACACTCCCGTCTGTCCATCTATCCATCCATCCATTCACCCATCCATCCATTCATTTCCTCCTCCTGCTTTCTCTGTCTTTCCATCCGTCTCCCTGGTGGTGTTGGTGTATAATAGAGTCAGCCTCAGCCGTATCAGCACTTTATCTGCCACATTATGACATGACACACACACACACACACACACACACACACACACACACACACACACACACACACACACACACACGTTATAAATAAAGTACCTTCTGACCTGTGGTGGCAGCCGCTGGGAAAACAAAAGCAGCGGACTGCTACAGTTTTAAGAGCAAAAGTGCCAAATGTTTAGATTTGCTCCTTTTAGTCTGCTTTGTGTTGTTCAGCCCCTTCAGGATTTCACAGGCTTTATTTCGGGACTGGTGACAGATTCCAGGGCACCTTTCTCTTTTTCCTGTCAAGTTACAACTGTGTAAAAAAAGTCTACATTCTCTCACCAAAAACAAAAAAGCCTCCTGGTTGCTGAAGCTCCAAATAATAAAAAAGCTTTGTCAACAGCAACTACAAAAATATTCACAGACACATTTCTCAAAGCACTAAATCTTTCTGAATCTTAATTTTAATCAATCAGTCAAGAAACTCCTACGAACAATGAAAGCATTTAAAGCACAGATGAAAAAGTTACAATTAAGAACTTTCTTTGTGCTGACAGAATCAACACACTCGACTTTTAAGCAATTTTAATCATCATTTCAGATTTCAGAAATGATTGAAAATGGAGGGAGGGGATCATTGTCATGGAGGGAATAAAATAACGTCAATTCCAAAAAAAACGTTTGCAAGATCTTGTTCTGCTCTGGCAAGATCCTGTGTAACTTTAGCTGGAATGATTCTATGTCAACAAGTCAACTTTTCATATATGTCTACTCACGTTGGTCATACTACAACAAAAAGTTCCAAAAGTTTTTATGAGTCTTGCAAAAGGTTTTAAGGGCCATGTCAAAGATTCTTGGGATCTTGAAAAATGTATCTACAAATGTATCTTGAGATCTTAAGTTTCCCAGGGATCTTACAGAAGTTTCTTGGCTCTTAAAGAAGTGCTTGGGATCTTGTAAAAGTTTCTTTGAATCTTACAAAAGTGTATTTGGTTCTTACAAAAATTTATTTGGAGCTTGTAAATGAGTCTTATTATCTTAAAGAAATTCTTGGAATATTACAAAAGTTAACAAGGATCTATCAAATGTATCTTGGGATCTTACTGAATTTTCTTGAGATCCTACTAAAGTGTCTTGGGATTTTACAAATATACGAGTTCTTGCACACGTCTTTGGATCTAAAAAAAATTGGGGGATTTTTTTTAAAGAAGTATCTTTGAATTTTTTTCAATTCGGGGGATCTTTTAAATACTGGGCATCAAGATTTCTTCATATCAGCCTTGCTCTGTTTTCCTTTAGGGTTTGGTAAGAGACCGAGATGATGAATTGTTAATTTATATTGACTCAGAACAGACACTTTTGCCCCTTACTTCCTCTTTATATTCTCCTTATTTCTGCTCTTTTGCTGTTGCTTCTGTTTGGTTCAGCTCTTTTCATTTCATCTTTGTCTTATTTGTTGATTAAATCAATATAAAAATAGTCTGCGATGTACTGCAAAGAAACAACTGTCAGGAATGATACATTTTTAATCACTGCAATAAAGTAATGTAAAGATTGTTGCAATCCCAACCTCCCCGAGGGACTATTTCATCCTTCACTTTGTGTTTATGTACTGCAAAGGTGTGACTGAGTGCGGAGTGACCTGGTGTTATGCCCAGAGGGGTTTGTGGAGGTCTATATGTAGAGAATTGATCGAAGGAGAAAAGGGACCCTGGCGTATAATGTTTCAGCAGTTAACCTTAGGTAATGTTGGGTGATGGATTGAACTTATTGGCTGCAGCAGATCCTGTTTATCAGCTCTGTGCTCGAGGCTGACGTATTCACATAAAAGGGAAGCAGCACTCAGATTTTAGGGCTAGTTTAGGATCCCCACGGAGAGTCCAGCAGATCCCAATTAAGACACTTTAATGTTTTTTTCTTCATCTAACCAGGCGACCGGCTGAGCAGCAAACATCTCAGCTTTGAGCATTTCACCCCCAAACCACTCGTCTCATTCCTTATTGACAAGCCGGAGAGGAAAAGTCCATTTCATAGGTAAAACTATCCAAACATCAGGAGCTGGAACCAAAAACATCACCCATAAATGACTCAAGCATTCAACTGAGAGTCTGGTTGGTTAAAGCAAATTACATTTTTAAGCCTGAAATACCTTCAAGATGTCTCGCAGGAGCACATGTGGAAGAGAAATGACCTGAATGATTTATCCAGAGGTTTGCTCTTGTTTCTTTTCTTATTTGTAAGGGTCACAGAGGATAAGTATTAGTACCTTTAATGTATATTTCATGTAGGTAGGTAGAGAACAACATCATCTGCATATTTGTCAAGGTTTTTACTGAGTTTTCAACTATTCACTAAACTGTGCAGGATGGTGGGTAAAAATAGTGATTCCTGAAGCAGAGTTTTGAAGCTTTTCAGGGTAAATTTCCATTATGTGTTACTCCATGTAATCAACATCCTTCAGTCTGGATAAAATCCACTGCAGAGCTCAGACAGAGGGCAAACAATGAGGTATAATGACAGTATTGTTATTTATCATTTTGGTTGTGTTAATGTATTCCTCCTGTTCTATAACGCATCAAAGATAAGCTCCTCTAAGATCGGAGATTAGTGCTCAATGAAAACATTTGCATTTTTAACTCTATTTGCATAAAACACACGCGCAAGGATCTAATATGCTGAGATAATGTCTGCAATTAGCCAGAATATGATTTCCCATTCTGGGTGCAGTTGATTTAAATTTCAACACAAGAGAGCAAACACACACACACACACACACACACACACACACACACACACACACACACACACACACACACACACACACACACACACACACACACTCAGAGTCATTCCTCTGCGTCTCTGTGGGACTCCACGAGCTGCCAGTTCTTGACAGCAAGATAAATAGTAATCCTCTGATGGATGCTGCCATGAAGTGAAAGCTCCAGAAGATTTAATAAAATCCAATAGAATCTAATTGAAGTGGCATGAGTGAATGTGCGTGTATGTGTGTGTTTAGGTGTGTGTGGAAAATGTGTGTGTTTATGCATTTGCAGTGGAGCTACCTTTGTAAATCTTTATTG